GAGAGCCGGTCTCCAGCTGGGAAGCCCCAATCACTGCTGTCGGGTACTGTGGAGGTACTTGATGTACGAATGCGAAATCCAAACAGGCAGGGCATCTGCGACTAGGCCGGATTGCACCAATTGTGGGCGTTCCACGACGGCAGGATTGAAGTCGCGTCGCGAATCAATATGCCCACTGGTTCACTGTCGTCCAGCGAGCTGTAATGTAGCTGTAGATGTAATGTAGGCTGTCGGCAGCTCGCATCAAATAGGCTCAAAGAAATCCAAGATCCATGATCCACATGCGAAGGGAAACGAAGTCGATGGACCCTCCCTCACCGCTAGTACAATTGCAGCGTACGAACGCACATGCAGATTCGACATTCCACTTCCTAAGACCACTTCCGCTGATCTTCAATGGCGTGGAAGGGACAAACGAGACTCGGAGAAGGCACATGCCATCCATTGGATATTGGGTAGACCGTCGGGAAGGAGCGATGAGACGACGCTGGAAAGGTTGTGGAAGTACTGCAGTATGTGGGTACACCATTCAGCCTGGCGACGGAAGGTGTAAGGGTGTAAGTGGTCGTCGGTTGCCTGGTCGAACACCAAACCACCGAATCCATGAGCACCTGCATTGCTTCCGCCGCTTCATGCAGCAGGAAACAGCAGCAGGAGCATCTCTCCTCGCCTCTCACATTGTGCGTCGCACCTTGCACCTTGCACCTTAACCACGCCACGCTCTGTACTCCTTCCCCCTCCTTTTCTGTCAAACGCATGTGCTTCGTGACCCTTTTAGTTCGACCATTCAATGTTTCGCTTCTCGGGGAAAGGAGCTATCGGCGAATTCTTGTCTGCCAAGTATATTATCCGTCCCCCTGCCTCCGAGTCTCCGAGAAAGAGCGAGCCTGCAGAGGTGTCAGACTGCAGATTAGATATTAGCATTATTGTTCGAAATCCGGGCGGAGAACACACCCCATCGATATCTCTTACACAACCAATATCCTTCACAGACCCAATGACAACTCGCCTTCTCCCTCCTTCCCCAGATTTCTATCTCGGGCACATTCTTTCTTCGTGTCCTAGAATGAGACTACCATGACGGATCTACGAATTATGAGAGAGACGTTGGGCTTTCTTTCATGACCTTGCCTGCCTCCCTGGTCTGTACTCGTCCTCCCCCACACACCATCTTTGGATTCTGGTTCGTCTTCGGTCACCTCCGCCACCAAGCAATGTGCGTGTTTGTCCGGGGCAAGGGCAAGAACTGGCTAACCTGGCACTTTTACGCGCCTCCGCTGCCATGCGCCCTGGTTGAACCCCCACTAGGTTCGTGAGACCAGTGGCAGGCACAATCCCCACACCCAGAGCCTTGAACCCCAAAATCACGGAGCCTCCGGCAAACGTGGCTGGAAAAAAGGGAATATCTACATCGTTGTGGTGGGCGACCGTCGTGGCGCGAAGAATAAGGCGACGCCGGTCAGTGTGGACGACGCGGTTATATTCGTGGTCGGCTGATGAGCGACTAGAACTTGCACATCCCGTACAAGCAATCGATGACGGCAAGCAAGACGAAGATGAGCACGCGAAACAAATGCCCACAGGGTTTCTTTTTAGGGCTGGAACAATCTTCGAAACTCAAGGTCCAACAACCTTCCTCATTCATGATTCTCTCTCTCCAGGGGATCTTGGCGCACCAAGTGCGGAAGAGGTTCCATTCGTTCCACACATTCCACACGCGTGGCTGAATGGCTGGCGGAGATTGTCTACAACAGTCGTGGCAAGCTCGAAAAGAAACAAAATTGAAGAGGTGGGTCAGGTGTTCCCCCCTTTACGAAGTACACAAGCACTGCTTCGAATGAAGACTGCCCAGGTTTGGCATCCTGGAGCGATTGCGTCATGGGGAGGTTGTGAAGCTTCCCCCCCGGAGCAACTTGCTCCCTCCATCATGGATTGACCTTTCATATCTTCGCCCGACGGCAAGCGAAGCTCTATGGAAAAGCTCGAGCCGCCTTGGCAGCGGTGCTTTGAAATTAAGTTACAGCTACCGGTCCCCCTTCTCAAGGCGAGGGGCATGAGGTTGCAGCAGATGAAAGGGAACTCGCAGTCTCAGGTAGCTGGGTGCCTTGCCGTTTTTGTGCTCCCTTTCAATTTGAACAAACTCCCGAAAGTTTGTACGTAAGATAAACTCTTCCGCGACAACACCAAGTAAGAGATTGAAACTCATCGACTTTGCTGGAGACGCCTCTCCAAGGAGAGACGCAAAAAGGGGTCAGAAAATTAAGATCCGCGAGGACATGGCCACATGATCACTCGCCGGACAGATTTACAAGATCTCCATCGCAGACGAGGTCTTCGATTCACCTTGGCTTGCATTCTCCATTCTGCTTGCTGCATCATGCCGACCAGGGTGACCAAGAAGGGAAGTTGAGCGGACTCTGCCTCACAAGTCTTGCCAGACAGTTAGTTGCAAGTATGCCCCCAAATTTTCTTGGGCACTGGTTCATGTTCCAAAGTAAGATCCGAGCTGGCAATTCCGTTGAACAATTATTATCCCCGTGCTGTACAAGGTAATATTCCTCAAGTGAGATGCTTATCCGTTATTACTGAGACTGTCCGAGCACATAATCTACATCATCGACCAGGCACGGGTGCTTAGCCCGTTGGTCACATGCACATCCATTGGCAGCCTCAGGATTTCAATGAACCGTCAATTGATTGCTTCATCAATACTTCCTCAACCCCGCTAACAACGGTCCAGTGCCTGCCGGCGCGGGGGAATCTGCAATCCCGAGACACCCAAATGCTGAATTGAGACGACGGGAGCGTCGTATTAGTTCCCCGATTAGCTTGGTGCGGTGCAGGAGCAACAATAATTCGGGCAACTGGAAGAGGAGGGAGGCTAAGCTTGCTAGCTAGCTCACGTTCAGCAGACGACGTGCAGCCCGGACACCAACCCCCCGTCGCTATCCATCCTGACTCTATCTATTCCAATGGCTGGCTCCGATTTCCCCAGATTCTTCGACCTACCCCGAGAAATCCGAGACCACATCCTCTCGTACCTCGTCCCCACCCACGAGACCCTCCACCTCCACTCTCCCGCCTCCCACCCACCCCTCAACCTCCTCCTCGCTCACCCCTTCATTTACGAATCCGTCACCCACCTCTTCTTCACCACCAACACCTTCATAACCGATCACTATGGAACCCGCATCCTCTCCACTCTCCCGACCCCAACCCTCCGCCGAATCCGACGCCTCTCCGTCTCGGTAGTCTTCCGAGAACGGCCCCTCAAAGCCGAGATCCTCCTCCTCTCCGACGCCGTGCTAAACGGCGCCCTACGTATCCTGTCCATCTCCATCCCGCCGCATCACCCTCCTCCATCCCCCAGAAGCAGAAGCGCGCTGCTGGCTCCCCAGGCACGACTCTGGCAACAGTTGCCGGAGGGTATGTGTAGGGACCTCGTGCATCTGCTGGCCGATCCGTATCTGGAGAGGGCGGCGCTGTGGGTGGGTTTTCATCACCGGGCGGGTTGGTGTCGGTTCCATCCTGGGGTGGATTGTCCACATACGGTGGGGGGCAAGGGGCCGGATGGTGTATTTCGTGGACCTATCAAGATTGATCTTGAGCTGTTGGCGGAGAGGTATGGTGATGAGGAGAGGCTGAAGATGATGGTTGCGCGAACTAGGGAATAGAAAGGTACCGCCGCGTTCTGGTCCGGCAGTCCAGAGAATGGCGGGCCATGCGCGATGGACGGGCCTGTCTGTACTTATAGGTGAATCTGTATATTAATATATAAATCAGAACGACGCTCACGCTCTACTTCTTGTACGTTGAGCTAGTGTAAACCGCCGAACCCTTGCACCTGTCGTAGATGCCCTGCCTCGCTTAAGCCGAGATGTTCAATTTCTCCAAGGGAACAAGGAACGAAAGGAAAGCAACCGGGCTAGGAAGAGTGGATGGGAGCAAAATATCTCGATAAGAGTGATCTCGCCGAGGAAGAAGATGCATCTCACACTCTTCCCTCTAACAACTTAGATCAACATAAAGTCTCGCAGCGCAAGAGAGGCGTATCATATATTATTCGAGGAAGGAAAAGAAAACGAGATCACCCTTTGCTTCACATGGGAAGGGAATGAAAAAACCCCTCCTGAGGAACGATAACTTGGAAACGTTTCATCACCCGGAAAGGGTTCCGATTACTTCTACTTCCCCAACGGAAGGGAAATCAGAACAGGGCCAAAATGCCCGCAGCGTCAGCCGTTCTACTTTCCTGTTTCGGCAGTTAAATTGTGGACACGCCGGACTCGCTCCGGAGCCGGCAAGTCCGCCCCGGTCAGCAGCGGGATCGGAGAATCGATTCCGAGATTGGTGGGCGATAAGCTGATAAGCCCACCATCTCTGTCTCCAGTAATGGCCGTCCCAAACAAGCAAAGTAGGCGACTCTTATGTGGATTGATGCTTCATCTGTCTTCAGGCTGCATTGAACAATCTCTGGCTTGCGAGAAACCTTTCTTTTCGGTCAACTTTCGCTGTCTATCAAATGTCATCCTGCCAGACCTCGTCTATAGAATAAGGCCCAAAACCACCAGAAAGACCAGGAAAGATGAGAAAAGAAACATTTCTAGTAAAAAAGAACGCCCAACCAGTTAGGGTAAAATTTCTGCCTCGTCTCTCCTACATGTATACATTTATGCCTTGTAGTAGGTGAAAATGCACCGCCATGTCCCAACTTTTTGGTGTAAACGATAAGAAAACCTCAAACAGGGGAAAAAAAATCAAATGCTTGAACAAAAAAAGAGGGAAGCTTTTGGTATTGCCGTCCAAGATCCCGGTTCATTACCGCCCTAGTCATCGCGACCCAAATTCAATCTTGCACCACCACACCGCATGGCTGCGTTAACATAAAAAAAAAAGAAAAAAAGCTCTGAGGCTTTGCTGGGCTTGGCATGTGCCCTCACAAAAGGCCCCACAACTTCCCCTTCCAACCCCCATCTCCCAACATCAAGTCTACAAGACGTTTATCGGCTGGACATAGCCTTGGTCACAAGGCGCTTGAGAGCAAGCTCCTGCTTCTTGAGATCCTCGGCGCTGGTCTCCTTGAGCTCGAGAGCGGCCATGGCATCGCTGATGGTGGCCTCGATCTTGTCCTTCTGGCCACGCTTGAGCTTGAGGGAGAGCGAGGGGTCAGAGACGAGCTCCTCGACGTGGTTGATGTAGTTCTCGAGGTGCTGCTTGGCCTCGAACCTCTTGCTGAAGGCCTCGTCGTTGCTCTTGAACTTCTCGGCATCTGTAGTCGTTTGTATTAGATCCATATTTGCTTCTTGAAAATGCGTTTGGGCGGGGGGTGGGGGAGTATTATCATAAATCATTTTTAAACTTACCGTTGATCATGCTCTCAATCTCGGTGGACGAGAGCTTGCCAACAGAGTTGCTGATAGTGATGTTGGCGCTGCGGCCCGAGGTCTTCTCAGTGGCAGTGACCTTAAGAATACCGTTGACATCGACCTCGAAGACGACCTCGAGAACGGGCTCACCGGCCTTCATGGGAGGAATGGGAGCAAGAGTGAACTCTCCGAGGGAAGTGTTATCCTCACAGTTGACACGCTCACCCTGGTAGACAGGGAACTGAACGGTCTGCTGCATATCGGCAACAGTGGTGAAGGTTCGCTTCTTGATGGTGGGGACGGTCTGGCCACGGGGCACGACGGGGGCGAAGATGTTGCCCTCCATGGCAACACCGAGGGAGAGGGGAACAACATCGAGGAGAAGGAGGTCGGCAGTCTCGGCGGAGGTGGCCTTGCCAGAGAGGATACCAGCCTGGACGGCGGCACCGTAGGCGACAGCCTCATCGGGGTTGATGCTCTTCTCGAGCTTCTTGCCACCGAAGAAGTCGGAGAGGAGCTTCTGGATACGGGGGATACGGGTGGAACCACCAACGAGGACAATCTCGTCGACCTCACCCTTCTCGAGGCCAGCATCCTTCAGGACGGAGGCAACGGGCTCGAGGGTACCGGCGAAGGCCTTGGAGTTGAGGTCCTCGAAACGGGCACGGGTAATCTGCATGGCGAAGTCCTCGCCGTCAAAGAGAGAATCAATCTCGATGGTGGCCTGGGCACCGCTGGAAAGGGTCCTCTTGGCACGCTCGCAAGCCGTCCTGAGACGACGGAGGGCACGGGGGTCGCTGCTAAGGTCCTTCTTGGTCTTGCGGGTGAACTCCTTCCTGCAGTGATCGAGCAGGTTGGTATCGAAGTCCTGGCCACCGAGATGGGTATCACCGGAAGTAGCCTTGACGGTGAAGACACCGCCCTGGATGTTAAGAAGGGAAACATCGAAAGTACCACCACCGAGATCGTAGATGAGGACATTTCGCTCCTTGCCGGTCTTGCCAGAGCCGAGACCATAGGCAATAGCGGCGGCGGTAGGCTCGTTGATGATACGAAGGATGTTGAGGCCAGAAATGGCACCGGCATCCTTGGTGGCCTGACGCTGGTTGTCGTTGAAGTAGGCAGGAACAGTGATGACAGCCTTCTCAACCTTCTTGCCAAGCTTGGCCTCGGCAATCTCCTTCATCTGTTGGTAGGGACGGTGGCGTTAGCCCAAGAAAGGTAAAAAGCTAGGACGGGAAAAAAAGGTAAAAAAAAAATTTGGCACGAAAAAAAAAAAAATCGACACCGTGTGGCTGGTAGCCACGAACGCCGGGAAACTGCAGCGAAATTGTGCTTCTCGGGAGTATGCATACCTTGGTCAAAACCATAGCAGAGATCTCCTGGGGGGAGAAGGTCTTGGTCTCGCCGAGGTACTCAACCTCGACCTTGGGGTTACCAGCATCATCAATGACCTTGAAGGGCCAGCTCTCCATGTCCTTCTTGACGGCGGGGTCATCGAATCGGCGACCGATGAGACGCCTAGTTGGAGGGTTACCCGTTAGCTTTCCTGGAACAATGGCAAGGAAGTCCCTTCCAGTTCCTCAGTTAGGATTGAGCTTACTTGACGTCGAAGACGGTGTTGCGGGGGTTCATGGCAGCCTGGTTCTTGGCGGCCTCACCGATCAATCGCTCCTTGTCGGAGAAGGAAACGAAAGAGGGGGTGGTGAAGTTACCCTGCTCGTTGGCAATGATCTCGACATTGCTCCCCTCGTAAGTGGCAACGCAAGAGTAGGTGGTACCTGTTGAAGGAGAAGAAAAAGATTCATCGTCAGCCATCAGCCATCATAGTAAGGCGGCAAAGGCGGTGGGGGAGGCCCAAAAAGCGGAGAGAGGCTGCGATGCGAGATGTCCGCTGTGCGATGGACATCCCCATCTCAGCGGCGAGGGTCAGCAGCGGGGTCAATTCTTACCCAAATCGATGCCAATGGCACCATCATAGACTTCTTCCGCCATTTTTGATGAATGAGGGTCTCCTAGGAGGGAATGATTGAGGGAAAGGTGATGAAGGAAACGGGAGACACAGCGAGGGTGAAGAATGGAGATATGGCGGGAAGAGGAGGTTTGTTGTTGAGGGAGGGTTTTAAGCCAGGGTCTGACCTTGACTTTCAAGCAAGAAATAATTTTTTCTTTCCCCAATTTTTTTTTTTTTTTTTTTTTCCTTCTTCGCCAGAGGGGGTGGGGCCCCAGAGGCTGGGTCCTAAGTCGCCAAGACGCCAGACACTAGGCCTGAATAGGGTGTTAGGCAGGTTTTAGTGGTGCCTCATATTTTCGGCCTGAACTCAAACCAGCCCTCCCCACAGTTCAAGATCGAAACAGCACAATTGCAATTGTAACATGTGGCTTATGTAATACTGAGTCTTCCCGGATTGTTATCTCGGCAGCAAGTCTCACCCATTTGCTGTACTCCATACTTCTTCGTGGCTAACAGAAGCCAAGCACTGGAGCTCTCACTGTAATAGGCAGCACTCAGAGCTCACTCACCTTTGCAACGTCTCCGCAAGAAGTCAATCTCGAGAAGTTGATGCCAAGCGTCGAGTCGGCGTGGAATGCTCCATATTATATTTTCATGAAATTTAACTTGAATTTAACCCCTGCTCTCTCCTTTCTGATATACTACTGCATGTGATACTTGTTGCTGTTGGTTCCTACACTGCTCCTTGCAGGAACGGGGGAATGATCCTCCCCAAGTCGATCCACCATGGGTGACCTGAGGGGCAGGCATCCAACTACCCAAGTGAAGTGCCTCATCTCATCTCGAAGTCACCATCATCACCAACATCCTTCCTTATCCATACTCTCCTCCCCAAGCTTTTTACTATTCTTAAGCTGTATCCCTTAATTCATTTCCTCCGTATCCCCTAAGAGCCTCATCCGCGCTCAGCGTAGGTCCGTGAACCATGCCGCCCTCAGCAACGGAACCACGCGAGCTCGTGGTACTCCTAAACCCCGCCCGCCGCAAAGCCCTATACCAACTCAGCAACGACATCATTATTTACATGCGCGCGCAATTGGAACTCAAGGATGGTGATGATGACAACGATGAAGTACCCGAATCCGAGGCCGACGGCTGGTCCGACGATGATACTCTCTGCGACGGCGAAGCTGGGCGTCAGCGGTATGCCCCTCCAAGCCAGGGCCCGCCACCACCCCGCAGGCCAACCAATACACTTCCCAGCCGGAAGCTCCTCACCTTACGGGCGGAGGCAGTGGCCTTCCTGAACCGGTGGGCCAACGGGTTTATGACGGATCTAAAAGAAATCGTGGTCGAGCGAGAAACCCCCAAGATTCTCGAGGAGAGGAGGAACCGCCTGCAGCGCCTCCGAAACGAGCCTGAGCCCTCGTTCCAGGGCGACGATCTGATTTCCTTTGACGGGGATAGCGATGCTGCATCGCCGCGGCGCCGTCCGGAAGTGGCGAGCCTCGAGTCCCTTTACAAACCCCTCCCCACCCGCCTCGACACGCTTTCGTTCCATGACCGGAGGGACATGCTGAGCTGCGTCCTGCTTTTGCTCCTATCTAAGGGGTTCTATTCGGCGCATGCGCGAGTATTCGTACTCTACCTAACATCTTCCCTGAGACTTCCCGTGTCCGTATTGATTAACGAGGAGACCGAAATCGCAAAGTCACTCCTGAACGCATCCGCCCAGGCAGAACTGGCGCCTCCCCATTTGTCCGCCGAGGCCGAGGCCGAGAAGAGGCGGCAAGAGGGCCAGACGAGCAGGTTCTGGAAGGTGGGCCTCGCATCTGTTGCCGGTGCGGCGGTGATTGGAATTACGGGAGGTCTCGCCGCGCCGGTGGTTGCCGGCGCCATTGGAGGGTTAATGGGCAGTGTCGGGCTGGGTGGGGTGGCCAGCTTCTTGGGTATCTTTTGGATGAATGGCGCTCTAGTGGGAACACTCTTTGGCGCCTTTGGAGCGAAAATGACAGTAAGGAATGAGAATTATTAACATGTTATATTCGATCTATGAATCATTAACTTACTTCGTCTTCTAGGGAGAGATGATGGATAACTACGCCAAAGAGGTGGAAGACTTCCGCTTCATCCCCCTCCGAGAAACCACACGAGCGAGACGAAACCAAGACGACCAACCGGGACGCCTCCGCCTCACCATCGGAGTCAACGGCTGGCTGACAGATAAGAACGACATCACCCAACCGTGGAGCGGCCTCAGCAACGACTCCGAAGTCTTCGCCCTCCGCTACGAGATGGACAAGCTCCTATCGCTGGGCAAAGCCCTCGAGAACATGGTAGGCAGCTACGCCTGGAAAACAGTCAAATCCGAAATCCTTCGACGAACCGTCCTCGCCACCATCGGGGCCGCCCTCTGGCCCGCCTACATCCTCAGCCTGGCCACCACCATCGACAACCCTTTCAACCTCGCCCTTAACCGCTCTGAAAAGGCAGGCCTCGTCCTCGCCGATGCCCTCATCAACAAAGTCCAAGGCGAACGGCCCGTGACCCTAGTAGGCTACTCCCTCGGCGCCCGCGCAATCTACACCTGCCTCCGGACCTTAGCAGAGCGCCGCGCCTTCGGCCTAATCGACACCGTCGTCCTCATCGGCGCCCCGGCCCCGTCCGACCCGGCCCGCTGGCAGAAACTCCGCAGCGTGGTGGCCGGGACCATCTTCAACGTATACACCTCGAACGATTACATCCTTGGATTTCTCTACCGCACGCACAGCCTGCAGTTCGGCGTCGCGGGTCTCCAGCCCATCCAGGGCGTCAAGGGCGTCCGGAACCTCGATCTGAGCGAGGAGGTTAGCGGCCATCTGCGCTATCCGGACCTTATCAGTCAGATCCTGACGCGGTGTGGGTTCCCGAACGTCGCTGGGGGGGACGGGCCTATTGAGCGGGAGGAGGACCTCAATGCAGCTGCGGCACAGGCTAGTGGTCAAGATGCTGACGGCTGGGGGGATTGGAACGATGGACCACTCATCGACTTTGGGGAGGAGCCGGAGCCGAAGTCTCTCGTTTCCCAGACAGAGCCTAAGTCTCGTGCTTCCCAGCCGCCGGGAAGTATGGTAGCGCCTGTCGGTTCATCCAGTGCAACAGTAGTAAGCGCTGGTGTTTCCTCAAGCCGTAACAAGCAGGCGGGATCAGGCAGGGGAGTAGGACCAACTCGATCGTTGGGCTCAAGTAGTGCGGTCCCGGCGGAGGATCGGGGTATCGATCCATTGTCGGGTACTTTTCCGATCCGAACGGTGGAGCTCCCTCTCCGAGGAGTCCGGCCACAGGTAGAGGAGACCTGGCCGGAGCCACCAAGCCCCCCGCTCAGGGTTATCGAGCCCAAGAGTCTCGTTGAGCCTTCGCCATCAACTCTGGCAGGAGCAGCTGGGTCCTCTAGACCAGAACCTACACAGAACCCCCTGAGCCATAGTTACGTTGGCACGTTGGACATGTACGATGGTGTCTCAGACGAGGAAGTCGGCGGCATTAGGATGGTGAGCTACGACTCTGACTAGGGGGCAAAGTCCTTGTTTTCGGGAATAAAACGCTCTGTATATAATTGTATTAATCTAATATCGTAACGGAAAATCATTAACGCCTCGAGAAATTTGTATAATCTAAACTGCATAGGATTTGAAAGCCACGATGAAAAAGAGAAAAAGAACTAAGATGCAAAACTAAAAGTAAAAGAAATGGGAAAGAAAATTTGAAAGAAGAAGAAAGAGCTCCAAAAAGCCAATGGGGCATCGCGATCATGACTCGTCTCCTTCCCTTCCTTCAACATCATCTCCCTCTCCGCCCTCCTGCCCCTTATCCTTCGCCTCCGCCTCTCTCTCCTTCCTCCTCTCCTCAACCCAAGCCCCCAGCTCCCTCCAAATCCTCTCCTTCTCCGCCGGCGCCAACGTAGCCGCCAACCCGCTCGTACTCGCTGCAACAAAAACCCTCGCCCCTCGCCACCCCTCCTCAGGCGCAAACCTCTCCCCCTCATCCTGCCACCCATACTTAAACTCCCCCTTCTTAATCGCCCTCCCTTTCCTCACCCTCCACACACTCTCCCAGATGCTCTTCCCCACGAAGCAAATCGCCTCGGGCCTCCACCGCCTCGCCTTCTCCTCTAATATCGCCACGCCCTCGTCCATCTCCGATTTGCTCAGCTCGGCGCCGTTGCGGCTCGGACGGGACACGATGTTAGTGAGTCCCACGTGGAAGAGCCGCGGCATGTCGTGGTCCTCTTCGGGGCGGCAGAGACGCGTGGTCACGCCGCTGCTGTGCATGAGTTTCCAGAAGAGGTTGGAGGGGTGGGCGTAGGCGTGGCCGGTTTGCGCGGTGCGGACGCCCGGGTTGAGGCCCACCATTAGGACGAGGAGGTTGGGGCCCATGCTGTCCGTTAGGGGGGAGAGGTGCGCGTAGGTGGAGGGTGGGGCGTAGCCGGAGGATCGGCCAGCGGGTTTACTTCTTCTCTTGGATCCCTTTGCCGGGGACCGAGAAGAAGAGGAGGAAGCGTCGGCGTCCGGTGAGTCAGAGTCGGTGGCGGCCTTACGCTTTGTTCTGGGGGCCGGTGACGGTGTGAGCTTTGCGGAGGCGACGGTCGCTAGAGAGACTTGCGAGCCGGAAGGGTTGATGCGAGGACTTCGGCGGAGAGGAGCCCCGGAGGAGGATGAGTCCTTGAATGCATAATCCTGGAGGTTGAGACGGCCTGAGAAGGAGACCGGCTTAGACTCAACGTCAACTGCCTCCGCTGTAGAAGCCATCATTGATCACTGTCAAGGTGGTGGGGGCGGGAGGGTTGTAAGAAGTAGGGTGTAAATCAACCTCCGTCGAGCAAGTGAAAGGCGTCAATGGCTTTAGTAGATCGGTGATACACTCGTGGATATAGTCATTTATTATAGGAAAGAGAGACAGAGAGGAATCCAGAGAGATGTTCCGGGAGAGATGGCTGGAAAAGATCAAGTCATCAGCCCTCAATCCCTGGTAAATAATAACCACAATAATCACAAGAAATTAAATTTTGGCTTCAGCTCGAGGAATGCTGCCTGGTCGTGCCTTCCACGGAGACATGGGTCTGGTGGCGTTACGGTGCACATTAGCATCACAAACTGTGCTAGCCTGGAAAGAACAACCCGAGGAGCAAAAATTCACAAATCTCCAAATTCCGCGGCGTGAATCCCATACGGTCTTGACCCCGATTCTGCTGTTGCTTCGGGGTGCAATTTGCTCGAGCCGGTAATCGTCACAACGTTATACGCAGCAAGGACCACGAATATTCATGGACACAAAACTCACCTCCAAGTTAGTCGGATCGGGATACTCGAGATCACTTGTTCCCTCCACAATTGCACGAGAGCCGAGGATCAAAGACACAGAGCGTCAAGCCACTAATTCGTTGATTTCAAAAAGTTTAAAGATTAGAGAATAGCTAGTCGCAAGGATAGTCGAGAACCAAGGTAGAGACAAAAGCGCCAAGAGTATCTGCAGAAAATGACAAACAAAAGGGGAGAGAGTCTGTTTTCATATTCAAAATCCCAAATCCCCGGTCGGACTGGGTTCCGTCACGAAGATGTCCGTACAGCAGTATAGATGATGAGACTCCTCATTGGAGACCCGACTCAAATAGCGAAGAGAATAGGAGGAAAAAAAGGTCATATAAAAAGCAAGGGAAATGGGTTGTTTGTAAGAAGAACACGAGCTTTCCTTCTAAGTGGTATCATCTTGGTTTGGGGAAGAAATGAGAAAAGCAGAGTAGCAGAAAAATCTCAAGACAGAAAAGCACGCCATTAGAGTAACGGGCCTGCACTGGCCATGTGAGGATATACCGGGGAAATCACCAAAAAAATCAAGAAGGCAGTGTGTCTCGTGAGGATAAACGAGGGCAGTTAGACAACGATTTTTCGGCCAGAACCGTAAGCGAGTCCTTGATCAAGAACCGCTACGGTATGGTCTTGGAGGCATTGCTTGCCTTTCTTGACATCTAATAGCGCGGACCAGGAGCGTCTCGGCTTTCGGGCCCACTGACGCCTTCCATGTTGCCCGTAAGCTCAGCAACGCGAGCCTTGATACGGGCGACACGAGACTCGATAGCTGCGAAAGGTGATGTGTTAGCAGTGGCTCCAAACGATCCGACACAACAACTTCTCTGAAAATATCAAAATAAAACAGATTGAACGGAAGGGACTGGGATATACTTACTCTCTTCACCACTAGTGTCATCCTCGGGGTCATGCTTTGGCGCAGGGGCCGTGCTTCGCTGCGCTGCACGCTCAGCTGCATTCTTGCGGATCTGGGCCCATCGGTCAATAGCGGGCGGGACTTGGACCTTGCTTAGGTCTTCAATCGATGGATCGGGGACAGGGGCCACGGCTGGAGAAGGTGACCGAGCATGCCGGGCAATCGGGGGCGGGACGGCGTCGTCCGAGTCGCTATCGTCGGGCACGAATGCCGGCTGGTCAACGAGGGGGCCCTGATCGAACCGAGAAAATTCCTTCTTGGCATCGGCGATATCGGCAGCGTTGGGCTCCGAGGTCTCGCTAATCGAGCGGGGGTAGGTCGGCTCCGGGCGAGGGGGCTCAACCGACTTCTGAGCCGCCTTGACGGGCTCGGGCTGCTTCTGAACAGGAGCAGGAATAGGAGCGGGGGCGGGGGCGGCCACATGGGCGGGCTTCTCGACTGGTTTGGGGACAGCTGCCGACGACGAGGTAGCCGCCGCCGCCAAGGGAGACGATGCACCAGGAACAGGCGAAGGAGCCGCCCTGTCCCGCTCGAGCATGCCGTTCAGCTCCGCAGGGGCATTATCCGGGATCTTGGATGAGCGGTTTTTCCTTCCAAAGAGCTTCCTAAAGCCAGGGGCTGGGGCTGCAGCAGGAGCAACGGGAGCAACGGGGGCTTTGTCCTTTTGGAGCTTCTTGTGCTTCTTGCTCTCTGGGCTGCTTTCGAGGGATGGCTTACTTTCGGGGACGGGTACCGGCGCAGACGCGGGGACAGCCTCCTTGTGCGGGGGAATTGGTGAGCTGGCTCCGGCTCGCTCAGCGGGATGAACATCCAAGGGTGCCTCGAGGGCCTTCTCTGAGAGTCCCCGCTCGGGCGACTTGGGAGTCACCGGGGTGATTTGGTGAGAGGCTGGCGCGGCGCCGTTTGTACCAGTGTGTCCATTCTGCCTTGAGGGGGATCTCTCAACGCCACGACCTGCGCTGGGATCTGCGAGATAGGCGTTCCGGGTGGACTCCTTGTCATACTTGCTAGCCCACTTCATCGCTTGAGAGGCCTCGCTGACAATAGCCGGCTGCAAAGTCATCATGCTTGAGGTTTTCTCTTGGGAAGCTTCGATGTCTGTCCTGCCTCGGCGCTCCGGAACCTGCAGGGCTGACTGTTTCTCCTTGGCCTGTAGCTGCGCGGCGGCAGCCTGGATACGGGCATGCTGGTCGGGGCCGATGCTCGTCTTGCTCAGCCCGGGGTGGCTCTGATTGAGGCGTTTATCACCATGGTCGAGCGCCTGCTTTCCGGTCGACTTCCTGCGGCTAAGGGCCTTTCCGCGTCGTGTCCAGCTAAAGAAGCCCCTCTTCTTTTCGGCGATGTATGCCCCGGCCGCGGGCTCAGGAGCCGCGCCGACTACCATCTCCTCCATGACCAACCACCTGGCCGATCTGATGTTCGTCTCGATGACCGCGCATCGACCGAACGCCGCCTTTCTTTCGGGGGTCTCCTCCGGAGCTAGACTGCTCATCCAAACCCACCAGAAGGCATCGTCCAAATCAAATTTCGTGATGCTAGCGAGCTCGCCCGGCTCGAGGTGCCGATCAGACTCCAATCTCGGTCGGTGGGACTGGGAGCTACGCTGGCGTATCGCGGTTTCGATGGGCGGGAGGACCTTGTCAGGCGGAAGCAGAGTATTCGTCGGGCTCGCCGGACCGTCGTCAACGAAACCACTGGACAGGAAATCGGCCCAGGACGGCGTAGTGGGCCGTCCCAGTCCGCCCTCTGATGCTGGGGTAGATCTCAGAGCGGGAAGCTTCCGAGTAATACCATCTGTGTCATCTTCATCCTCTTCCTCCAAGGGGCTAGAGAACCCAATATCCTCGAACCTCGACCACGAAGCGTCGCGTAAGCTGGTGGAGTGCTTGGAGCTAGAGACCTGAGACTGGTTTGCCGAAGAGATCGCCTTGAGGACTCTGCGGCATTCCTCGGTCAAGGCCCGTACGGGATCCTCATACTCCGCGTACTCGCTAAGGCCCTTATCCTCGTTGCGGTATTGGAAGTGATTAGCTCGGCGTAAGAGCGCAAAAGGAGTCGGCGAGACCGTGTCAACGTGCATGAGGACCTTGTTCGTCGTCGTCTGCATGAGCGATGGGCGCTGAGGTGGGTATTCGGTCTCCTGGAGGAGCTTCTGCAACGACATTGGGAGCATGGTGATTCCGGCCTGAGGCGTCGTAGGAGAGAGCGATCGAAGATAGGCGAAAAATAGGTGACTTGTAGCGTCGGCAGCACTAAACAGTATCATCCGATCAGCAGCCATTGGAGGGGGCGAAGAAGAGATAAGAAAATAGGGTCGCCATGAAAACGGCAAGGCCTCACGGCGGGAACGTGCCCAGTAAACCTACCTGAGCCAGGCGTTGTAGCCTCCCTCGAATCCTTTGCCGGTATCCTTGTGCTCAAAGGTCCACCATGCAGCTAGCCGAGACAACTTTCGTCCACCGAAGCCATTCATCTTGCCGTGAGCGGCAATAGCCGACATGAGATCGAAAAGGTCGAATATGATGCAGGATTTGGCGCCATTGTCGACACTAAGGGGAATAAACGTCTTGAAGGAATCGCGGGCCAGATTGGAATCTACAGAATTCCGTGTTAGTTTTCTCATACCAAGGCAGGGGTTTTGGCCGCCTGCCGAATCTTCTGTCTTGAAATGCCACGAACCTTGCTCGCCAACTTTGAATAGTTCGTAGGCATCCCAGCCAACAACGCCACCCGGTAGCCTGCTCCAGCACCATTTCACGATTCCCGAAATAACCTACGTGAATTGTTAATCGATTGTACGGAAAGACGGCCCACCGGAGGCGACGGCAACATACCATAGGCTCTGTCATGCGAAGCTCCTGGGCGAGGACCTCGCCGCGCATGTTCTGATCAAAGAAATGACGAATAAAAGTACGGACAGCGCTGGGATCGGATGCCGGCCTAAAAGGCAGGAGGAGGAACGGCAAGTCCAGAGCTGAAAGAAGCAACCCTTTGTCAGCACATCTCGCACATAACACTGAGCAGCAAGCCGCTCTGCTCCACCGCATTACATGCAGGACACACGGCGAGGTAACAATCGACCTCTCGACCTCGACATACCTCGACTCTTGAGCTCCTCTGTGCATCGTCGAATCAATTCTTGGATCTCTTCGGGTTCGACAGATTTGCGTGCCGACGCATCGTCCCATTTTTTTACGGCTTTTTGGTTTGCTGCATCATCAAGATTTCCATTCTTTTTGGACTTCTTGGAACCATCGCGGCTCCGAAACAGCGAGAACAAGCCAGCCATCTCGCCGTTGTCGACCTCTTCGCAATGGCGGGGTGCAACAGGGATTTCGAGACGCGAATCAAGGAAACCGCAGAATATAAACTTCAATGGAGAAACAGTTCGGCGGGGGGGTGGAAAGCGCGGTCAAGCGTCAATAGAATAAGCGGATCCGGACTGTGGCGGAAGCGGTCTCAGAACGACTTGAGACTAGGTTAGAAAAAAGCGAATGTCCTTTGAAGCTGGCAGGCGGGAAAAAGCAATTGGAAACCGTGGGGGGTTTAAGATACGAATACTAACTGGAAATAAGAAAGTAAAAAAAGAGAATACAATGAAGGAAGGCGGAAGAGCGTCGTCGAGTTCGAGTTGGGGTAGCACCAGAGCTAGCTTTCGATTCGACCTTCGATAAATCGGTTGCCTAGATGCCTTTATCGACAGGGTCAAAGAACAAGGTAACAATAGGAATTGGCAATGGTCAAGATGAATAGTAAGGAGCGGTTAAACTGGCGATGAGGGTATCAGAAACGGCCCAAGCGATGGATGGACACTGCAATGGCAATGTGCGGAAGGAGAGACGAGCAGGGGGCGGGTGCGTCGAGACGAAAAGAAGAAGAGGCGTTGTAATAAGAGGACGGAAGAGAAGCGAAGCTGCGGTTGCAATTGCGATCGCGATCGGGAAGGCGCTGCGCTCGCTGACTTGGATGGAAAAAAGAAAATTGCGCCCGCAACAAGAATGACGATGAAGAAGAGAGACAGCAAAGACAAGGAGAGGGAAAAGGAGAGAGATACGAGAGTTATTGGACGAGGGACTTGGTTGAAATTATGAGGTGTATTATTATTCAGGGGTGGATTGGGTATGAGAACTTGAACCATCACGTCGAATTAATATTGGGCGGCGTTCAGGCCGGGATGTTTTTTTTTTTTTTCCCTTCTTTTCTTCTCTCTCTTTTTTTCCGCCTTCATCAATGCTCTTTCCCCCTGGTTTGGTTAGCTCCTTCTCTTGGAGTCTCCAGAGTACATGCAGAATAGGGAGAGACCTCGTCTTGGGAAAGGTACTACGATGTAATTACCCCCAGATCTAAGTACGAAGTACGAAGTACAACAGTGCAGCGAATCCCTCACCGGACTTCGGGTTCAGGGAGCTGGTTTGTAACCCATACGCCAATTTCATGCGGCGGGATACTTAAGACCTCCCGTTCCGAACGGTACTTTTCACTTGGAGCTAATAAGCGAACACCGTTTATCACAGGCAAGGTTCAGAAGTACTTCTTACTTCGTACGTCAAATCTGATTGATGGTGTGTGGCTGCCGGCCTGCACCTGCAGATAACTTGTACTTGTTGTGCCACTTGCATGGCAGGTTGACCGTCAACCTGGATGGCAGTTGAGGGGTGGGTGGCATCCGATTATATGGATTGAGGGAGCAAGAGCGAATATGGACAGGCAAACCAGACGAATGTAGGCGGTCATGGACGCTAGATATCAGGAATCCTCTCAATTCAGGTACTGGAGGTGCCACCCACATCTCAATCGAGACTAGTCAGGCCAGTAACAAACCGGGCCAGGATGGAGTACGGAGTACTTCGTAGCGTAAAGAGACTCATCCGATGTCAATGTTGTGTCGTTCAAAGGAGCTTAAAATGGCAGATGTTGCGCCTTGCCAGGCCATCGTTATGACGCAGGATTCCCAGCAGTTCCATCTTAGATTTCTCGCAGATGACACACTTGGCTCCGAGTGGTAGCATGGGCCTGACCCGATCGGTCAACGTCTGAGACTCTGAGAACGGACGTCGAAGATATTATTATTATTACACTCCACTACTTTGTAAACTATGTACACTACGCTACGAAGGAGGTGTAATATTAATATCATCATTGTATCAAATCTGGAACAGACATGCGGACACTCCACAACGTGGACTCAGGTCCCTGAAAGTTGACGGCCTGTTCCCAATTAGGTCTAGCTCCACCAGCCTTCTCCCCAATTTAAATTGGAGGACAGGGCTAGAAAGACTCAATCAATGTCGGGGACGGGGAGGGGACATCTCTCCACTAGTGCAGATAGTGCAGAGCCATAAATTAGCTGGTTCTCGTACCTGACGATCTGATACTAATTAATAGGAGCAGCAAACCTCAGTTCAGATGCATGGACGGCTTTAAAACGACCAAACAAATCGTACGGAAGCGTGCCTCGGAAACAAATCAATTATGCGACCTCAAGGAACTACTTACATCAATCAAGGTGGATTGATCAATTGATATTGGTCCATTCCCTGTGCTCTGAATCCGATGCTGGCCTGCCTGGTCTAGCGAAGGCTGATGGCATGGTGGGGATGATAAAGGAGGACAAGCTTCAGCTCATTTGGCTCCTCGACTTCCCGAAACCCACGGTGGAGTTTGTGTCGCACAGAAAGAGTCGTGCATTCATGCTAACTCAGACGCTTCGGCCTCATCGATCCATTCGAAGCGGAAATTACTATCATCGTGTCGGCCTCGCCGTCTCTGAGAAGAAAATGCCTCCCGGGGCAGTTTGGGAATCCAAATCCACCAAATTCTGGGATTAAGAAATGAAGAAGAGGACGAGGACGAGGACCAAAACTCCTCCGCCGACGTAAAAGACAGCAGACGAAACTTGAATTGCCGAAGCACCGTCAAGGCGCCCTCTTTTTGGATGGGATGTGGATCAATTGATATTTCGGCCCAGAGCGGCGAAGAAGAGGCTGCATGGGCTGAGGTTACAACTACGAACTGTACATGTGAGCAAGCCAAATCGAGAAGGCCAGAGATTTCTTGTCATGACCTTTTCATACAACGTTAGACGAACGGGTTGCCAGCTTCATGACCCGGTGTCGTACGAAGGTATTTTGACGCATGCCGCCTTGTTGCAGCAGGGTGGCTGCGTGGCTGCTTGACGCGCCCCATAATAATACAGTCTGACGACCGATCAACTCCAATGTTGCAGTGATCGGAAGGAAAGTGTTAGAAAAGGTGATCTCGAGAATAATAAAATAAATTTTTGAAAAACAAATAAAAGTTACGTCGTGCCAACTTTCCTTGGATACAGGGATAATGGGACAATTCCCATGTCTTAGTCCGGCAGTTCCCGTAACCCAAGCTTCCTCAACTCCGGTTCGTAAACTTCCTGCGGGGATTCAAGAGCATACACAATGTTGTGAGGAGGGCGCGGAGGTGCTTGACGTGTACACGTGTACGCCATGTCCTCCTATGAGCTTTGAGTTCCTTTGGAACAGTAACATCTACTTTCAGACGCTTATTCTGTAGGCAGTATCTTTTGGGGAGCCTAAGAAACTGGATACGGAACTTTGATCAACGTCAAAACGCACTACTTTGCAGGATACACAGCAAGACCTGCTTGTGCGACCTGCAGATGCCAGCGTTCGGGCAACATCCAGTACCGCGTAAACCGAGAACAGGGCGGTCGCGAGGACACAACCAGGTCGCATATGCTTGTGTACCTAGTTTTTTCATGACATCATGAAGGACTCTGTACCCGCCAACCCAACCCGCGAAGATGGTGAAGTTGTTCGTGGCAGTTAGCGCAGAACTGCATCGAAGTTAACTGAGAGAGCACCTCTCACCCTCCGAGGCAGAAGATAAATCACCAGCGACGCCGTCAGTGTGGGTAAAGGCTTATCATAGGTACCACTGATCCGGTCCTCGTAGTCTGCGTGCATTCTGGCATTAACCGGCACGATGTCTTACCGGCTCGGGTTCACGACGCTGGTTAGGAGTATCTCCGCGGCGAACATTAATATGAATTGATCCCTCCTGTTCATCCGACTAGACGTTGAGTCCATGGATGGAATCAAGGACCGCCCATCGGCCGTCCTATTGCGACTTGCAAGATGGAAATTACTATCCATTCTACAGATCTCACGAGCATCGCATGCAGTCTCCTGGCAGCCTGCCCCGGGTAGCTTGCGAAGCGTATATTTCCACTTTCCCAGCTGGGCGTTGCTGAGCATGACTCTTTTGTATATCTTGCCACCCGTGAGAGCCAGCACTTGGCTCACAGGTGAATAGCGACCAACACCTACGACACTGCCATGTGGAACTGGCGTCCAGATATGGGCTTCGACCAGCTTGAGGCGAGGCAACCAGCGGTTCCGGAAAGTCATGAGTAGTACTATTCTCGCGATTCATTGGCTCCTAATCATTCCCATTGCCTCAGCCTGCCCGCAGCTCAAGTCTAGACTCTCACGCCGTGTAAATGTTTGCGGTGGTTGACCAGGTCCCGCGTAAGGCGCCCTTGAGCATTTGATCTTACCCAGAAACTAAAAGACCACCATAAGACATAAAATAGAGAAGATGTTCACTTGCTATAGATCGTTTTACTTGTTCAGACAACCCTTCGACACCAAGCCTCGAGAAAAAGAAAATCAAAAAAGCCTCTTTTGATAATAGGTTCCCTTGATTTCCATACCACTTACACCATCATGAACCCTTTCCGCCAAAACGACCAGCCCGACCAGCCCACCGGGTGCCCCGTCAGTGGGCCCGGCACCGATTACAACTACACTGGCATCCATCCACCTGTCAGCCTTCGCGTCCAACCAGAGTTCCGTGCCCTTTTGACTGACAAAAGTTAACAGCCCGATCAGCCCGATCAGCCCGATCAGCACTTCCAGCTGCCCCCCGGGTGGCTCAACATCGATTACAACTCCACCGGCACCCATCCACCTGCCAGTCTTCACCTCCAAACTGAATTCCGTGCCCTTTAACTGACAAAAGTTAACAGCCTAGCTCCGGATTCGCACCTGTCCCCACCGCCCCTGGTGCCCCCCAATCCGTCCCCACCACCCCCCCTGCCCAAATCATCACCACACCCCCCACCCCCTCCTCCCATGTACGTATTCCTCCCTTCCTTTTTTTCTCTCTAGATTCTAACATAAACTATTGCAGTACGTGTTCGGAGGTAACCATATAAACGGCCATTCCTATATCCGCGCCGCCGACGCCTGCCCCCGATCCCGGCTCGCCGTACCCCAGCCTTTTGGCAACTATCCCCAAAGCGACAGTAGACCGGAGCTCCCCATTCCGTTCGAACGACCGTACCAGCACGTCCCGCTCTACCCGAACCAGTCGACGCCGTATCAACCCGGGGAGGCTCCCCGGACGTTGAGGGCCATCTATCAGGACGGGGATCGCTCGAACATGATTGTGGCCCGGCATATAGGAATGCGGGGACTACAAGACGCGGAAATGGCAAGTTTGTGGAGTGCGAATACCATCCAGGGTTCCCCGGCATTGAAAGAATGGTTGTGCGCTAGGGAAGGGAAGTTGGATAAGCTGGATCTTTGGGAGGGCGGCGGCTGATTTTATTTTATATATAGACCATGACTGGTCTTTATCATGTATTGGCGGCCGCATGTGAGATTCATAGATTGTCTCTCTTTATGAGTTTACCTAGTTACACTGAGTGCTTCAATGTCGTAGGGTGGGTGACTTCCCGCTATCAAAAAAAAAAAAAAAAAAAAAAAAAAAAAAAAGCGGCAAGCCCTGTTTCTTCTGCCATAACAGTAATTCTAAAGCCGAAACTTGAATTCCATCGAAGGCGAGATGGTAGTCCAGCACTGGACTCTGCACCCTGCGGCGTTCAAGGCTCCGTGCCTGTCCGAGATGGGCTCCACTCCCCGGACACCAAATTGAAGGCAGTGGCAAAACGCTAAAAAGGAACGCCGCCGTGGGGGAGGGATGGGCCGGCCGGTGGCACAGAAGGAACTTGAACTTAGCTTGGCTGGTTGGCCTTCTGTTGTGCCGCCCGAAAGTTGACAGCATCAATAATATTCCTGTTGCCAATCGTTCCCTCTCCTGATATCAAATTGCGGTATCAAGAACGAGGCACACCCAGTTCAGTTCAGTTCCTCTCCGAATACGGTGATTAGATGTGTCAGTCGGTCTCTTCGTCTTTGCGTTTGCGTTTGCGTTTCCGTTTCCGTCTCATGTACTTTTCAACCTAGTTGAGCCGATGCCATGGAAGGATTTTCTCAAAGTTCCCTTTCAACTTGCCTACTCGTCTCATCCATGTTCGGCACAAGCGAATAATACCATTCTGCCCGTCACTGACGCGGCCAGATGGAGTCCACCCACCCTACGCCTACGCTGCCCCCTCATCGTGGCGAATGTGGATGATGAGTTGTCCATCCAGCTAAGACTCTGCCAACTCATCGCCGCCAACGAAATCTAGCCAGTCCTAGCCTCCCATTCTCCACCGGGGTCCTGCGCGACATTTTTTTTTGCTTGCCATCATGGCCGTGGTAAACCACCTCTATTGGCCCACAGCAAACTACACACAGAATCATCAAACGCGCTGCTTGTGTGAAAGAAGGCGACGTTGCGAGGATGGCATTGTGCCCAACCAGCTTCACCATACGCACTCGTCGCGAGTTCCGATGTGGCATCATTTACTCTGCGGATTCTACGGAAGCAACAGAGCTTGTCCCTTGGGGAAGTTTTTCCCTTTAACCAATCTGCGACTACGAGTCTGAAGGAGGAGAGCATTGGACCTCGGAGGTGACTTGCATTGCGATCAGCAGCATGCCGGCCATTCCTGTGCATGGGCAATCCGAGCTTGAGAATATTGGGCACTGACTAAAATTCTTGTTTGACGTCAGAATTATACAAGAAAAGAATTTTTTTTTTTTTTTTTTTTTTTTTTTTTTTTTTTGGGAGGGGGGAAAAATAAATAAATAAAAGTAAAAAATTCCAACGGCTATTCGGAAGAAACTCGACATCACGAGTACTTCGTATGAAAAAGAATCGCAGTTCATTGAGGCTGTTCAAATCCTTCGCGGATCCACGCTTAGATCCTCCTCCGGCTTGGGCCCTTCCCATCGGAATACCACAACGGGCAGTGGTTTCCAAACCACAGTGGGTTCGTCCAGGAGTGAAATGCTCGTATTGTATCCTGCTCTTGAAATATTTTCTTGAGCTGTAGCCTCAAGAAGGCAGGTGCTCAGCTAACAGGTTCTTTACATCCACTTCAATTACACGCCATGGGCTAGGAACAGGTAGCCAACACTCAAGCTTGCCAACATACAGACCCGCCCCGTAGAAACGCCCAATTCCACCTTGCCAATTCAAAAAGTTCATGCGAAAACACATCATGATGACGGCAGCTGTACACGCTGCCCACGCCCAAGGTCTTATGAGTCCTAGCTGCCTCGGGAAATAATAGCTGGTGCCCATCTTGGCCTTCTCGATAATGGCGCGGCATTGAGCGGATCACCGGTTGCGGTTCTCTCGTGCATTGCGGGCGGAGATCACTTAACCCAGTGGAGCTTATCCGTGGGAGCGAGATTACGAATCTTCCTTCAAACTATGGAGAGAACAGGAAGATTTCAAAGTGCCTCTTGGAGACATGTACAGTATCCTTTATTAAAAACGTGCATCTCGATCTTACAGGTCACCTACATCCGATCGATCGGTGTTGCTCGGTGGGTAGCGTGGATAATACCGGCAACGATGAAGACGGAATGGTCCTTTTCTGGGAGGGTGTCTTAATGAATCTTCCTGTAGGATGGATAATTCGGACGTTTAAACTAGGTCTGAAGCGGCCCGCTGTCCTCGTAACGGCTTTGTTGTTTCAGTGCTCCATAGCCGGCCGGTAGACCGAAACGCGGTTTCGAGTCGCAGACGACGCTACGATGGGGATATACGGCCTGTGGGAAAGACTTACATAAATGCCAACTAACGATAGGTTGATATTCCACCTTTCACTCCTTTCACAATAGGCACTCCAGGGTAAGGATGGAGTATGACGGTTGTACTTTGTGGATAGGACGCCAAGTACAAGGAACCTCTGCATTCCATCGAGTCCAGAGGGCTTATAGAGAATGGCATTTGTAAGTGTTGTTGGACAGGAAGTCAAATTGATGTGTGGACTTGGTTCATAGAAGAGACATCGACGGCCTCTAAGGCACGTCCGCGCCAAACTATATAAGCACTCACTAGACTTCCTCCTCAGCAGGATATCAAACCGCTCACAGTTGCTCTCAACAACACTAATTCCGGCCCGCCGTAGTTATTTTTGATGCCACCTCCTCAAGAAGTATTATGATATTCTCAACTCTCACTCTTTACAAGCCTTCCATGCTCTATGTATGCCATAGATATCGCTTCAGGGAAAGGGACATACCTCCACGGGAAATGAGCCCAGCTCTTTGCCAAGAATAACAGTCCAACCAACTCTCTCTTCGAAGCCTTTGGGAGAACGGACATTAGATCCAGGGAAACTTTAAAACATAAACTCTCTTCCAGTCACTGACACACTTGTATGTTACCGAAAGCCCCTAACCACTCAGCGAGAACATCATGGGTGGCAATCGCCAGCGGACCACACCCATGGCCTGTTGCCTCGACACCGCCAATCCTTTCCTGCATCTTCACTCCTCAGAGAACAGTTGAGTGTTATCAATAGAATCCAAATGACCATTGTGCCAGTGACGCCCTTCTTATTCACAGTACCATTGACCTCCTCCAACCAGATACACAGGTTATCGGAGTAAAAACAAGCCCTCTTTAAGACAAACAAAAGACAACCGCTCCTCGAGCGGACCCAATCCTAAACATTGGGATTTCCAGGCAAGGAACCTGGGCCAAGACAATATCCCGACAGTTCGACGCAAATATGCAAATAGATACCAGTAGCCTCGCCACTCGTACCCCATACCCCAAGTTAACTTACAACTGTCCACCATCAATGCCTGGGACATTACTCATCTTTGCCGTCATCCTTCTTCTCTTCCTCTTCTTCGTCTGTCTTTTGCTCATTTTCTTCCTCCTCCTTTTCTTCTTCCTCATCTTCCTTGCTCTTCTCCGTCTTCTCCCCATCCACCTTCGTAACGGTCACCGCCGTCTCGGCAGCAACAATATCCCCCTCCTTATTCTCCACCTTCTTCACCTCAACCTCCACAATAACCTTCTCCTCCCTCGGCCCCAAGCTCCAATCAATCTCACTCCCAGCTCCATGCTTCGTCTTCAACCACTCATTCGCCCTCTTGAAATGCCCGCACGTGAAAAACCCCCTAGCCGCGCTCAACGGACTCGGATGCACCGCCTTGAGCACGAGATGCCTCGATCCGTCCACCTTCATGACCCTCTTGCCCGCGGGCGTGCCCCACGCCATGAAGACGACGCCGCGCGTCTTCTTCTGGGCCACGACGTCGATGACGCGCTGCGTGAACCGCTCCCAGCCGCGGTTCGAGTGACTGTTGGCCTCATGGGCACGCACCGTCAGGCACGTGTTGAGGAGGAGCACGCCGCGGTCTGCCCATGGCTTTAGGAGGCCGCCCTTGCGAGGGGGTTCCTTGAAGTTGGGGTAGTCGTTCTTGAGGGCTATGTACATGTTCTTGAGGGATGGGGGTGCGGGCATGGGAGGTCGCACGGAGAAGGCGAGGCCATGGGCTTGGTTGTGGTTGTGGTAGGGGTCTTGGCCGAGGATGACTACCTTGACGGAGTTGAAGGGGGTGTACCGAGACCTGTTGGGGGAGAAGCAGAACATGTTAGAATCGGACTTCTTACATCTTGGAAGGGGAGAAAAAAGTGGAAAACGTACCAAGAGTAGACATCCTCAGGAGGCGGAAAGATCTTCTTCCCAGCCTTCTCCTCCCTCGCCAAGAACCTCTTGAGCTCCAAGAACTCCTTGCTCAGGATCTCATCCTTGAGAACGGCAAACCAGCTCTCATGAAGCGTGTCAATCTCGAGCTTGAGCAGCTCCTTCTGCTCGGCCGTCAGCTTCGCGGCCCACTTCTTCTTGTCAAAGGTGCTGCTGGACCCGCTCGATCCTCCGCCGAAGAAGGACATGATGCTTCCGTCTGACTTGGGTTTCTTTGCGTCGGGGCCGGAGGAAGAGCCGTTTGTGGTGCCGGCTTTGCGTTTGAGGGTGGACATTGTCGGCGGTTTTGTGGGGACGGAGGAGGAGGAGGAGGAGTAGAAGAGGGGGTGGCCGCAGGAGGGCTTGAAGGATGGGAAAGGAAGGATGAGGACGGGTCGGCGGGTGAAAGTAGGCAGAAGCGGCGCTAAGGGGACTCGGAAGAGAGTGTAGGGAACCAGGATGGCGGTGTTGAGAGGGTGAAAACTTGTGTGTGTGTGCGTGTGTGTGCGTGTGTGCGTATGTACTATCGTGAATTTGGGACGCAGGCGTGGAGTTGGCAGCCGCCCCGAGATGTGGAGAACACTAGTCAAGACTTGGAACGAGCCGCAAAGTCCCGGAATATTCTAAGATGCGAAATCGGGGTTGAAGCAAATGAGCCCGAATGTAGGCAATTGGGATTACTCAAGAAGGAAAATCGATGAAATTCAAAGACTAAAGAGAGAGAAGGAAGTCGCCACGCTCGCGATTCACAATGGGGGAAGTCAAGGTTAATTGTACTTCGTGAAAGACAACAGGGGCGAAAATGACCAGGACACGCGAATCCCTGGAGAGCAGAATCGACGTTGGTTCAATACTTCTTCCAGAGAAATTGACAACGATCAATTACAGCATTGAATACTTCGGACTCCGGGTTACAGGGTGAGACTTCACCAGGTTCACTGTGGGATTTGGGGATCAAGCTGGGGCTTGGTTTTAGTTTCTAGGCAGGGGCTGCCACTGATAAGACAATTTGGCTTGAAATCCCAATGGATTCGTAACTTTTTTTTTTCCCTTCTCCAGGGGCGACCCGCGTCTTTTTCAGCTGGAAAACGCGTGTAGAAAGTCACTTTACGCGTCGAAGCTCTGGTGGAGAACTGCACACAGTGCTCTTGTCACGGTCTGGCCAAGGCTGCCTGGCTGCGAAAGGATTCGCTCCCTTGCTTCATCACCAGGGACACAGCACGCCACAGTGACATGCTCACATTTGACATTCACTTCTGGTACTTGGACATTTGGAGTCCCTGACCGGGAAAAACCGAGTCGATCATAGGCCATCACAATCTCATTCTGGAGCCCCGATCCGTAATGCTTCGATGATAGGAATCGTTCGGCTGCCTGAAATTAGTTCTCGCATGCAGGTTTGCCAGACATCATGAAGGCGAGTCAATGTGCGCACGATGTACAATGTAATGACTGACCAGGTTCCCTGGAATTGGACTGGGTTTCCCAAGAGGAAACGCCACTCGCTGCAAGCTGCAGGTTTGAGCCTTCGTTGGGAAAATTCTGTTCAATTTTCCGATCCCGAGCATTCGGCTACAGCCTGCCGAAAACCGCTTGAGCATCAATTGATCAGACAAACGTTGCAAAAGTAAACCCAATGATTGCAAGGAGAGTTGTTTTCTTTTTCCCTATAATAGACAGTCTACCTATCTGCCGGCCTCTAGACCCGGTCCGGTCGGTTGTATGTAAAAATCAAGAAACACTGTGACCTTTTTCTAAGCTCCCTGTAACGCCTGGCAATGCTATCATAGGAGATGTATCCGTAAGAAAACAACAAGAAAGCAGGCGCGGAAACAAAAAAAGTACAAAGAAAGGGGGGGTGGATCGTCCATCAGCCGAGGACAACCTTGCTTCCCTCCCCCTTGCCGTTAAACCGCATTACGACCTCCTAGAGCTTGCCAGCTCTATCCGATCCCGACCTTTCATTCACACCCCTGAACACCCGTTTCGACACCTCGTAGCTGCTAATCATAATGGCACAAGCCGGTGCAACCTTGAGCGTCCTCGGTATCCACCCCTTCCACAATCCCGCCACGCCCTCGTTCTTGAAAATGTGCCAGAGCAGCCGTACCATCGACCGGGCCTCGGGCACCTCCGACTTCGCAGCATCTGCCGCAGCCTTGCCGTCGCGCATCACTTGCGTCCGGGTCTTTCCGACGTCGAAGGGCATCGTCAGCGTCGAGGCCATCGCTCCCGAAGAGGCGCCGGCAATGAAGCTGTCCGCAAACGTCTCGCGGTGGTTCTCGTGGCTTTGGGAGCGCCTCCGCGCGTGACTCCGGGGTCCGATCCTCTCCAGCGTACGTCCCCGTTTCTCATCTCTCATGTCCGAAAGCTTGCCCCGGATAGCCTCGTATCCGTACCAGTAAACGCCGGAAAATGGCACATCGCGCCACAAAGTGAGAGTCAACCCCCTCCAGAGTGATCGATAACCTTGCGCGGAAACCATGTCCTGGATCCCGCGGAATGTCTCGAGGACATGGCTGGTACCGGCCTCTCCCGATGTCGCCTGCAGACGAGTCTTGAACAGTTCGATGGGGCTGACCGAGGTGGCGGCTAGGATCCTTGCGGTTGAACCAGCCACGAGGGGAACATAGTCGTCCGGCACGGTTCGCGCAATCGGGCTCTTCGAATTGAAGCGTAGCCAGTCGTAGCCGGTAAGGTAAATCATGTTTGCCGGTATGGCCATGACGAGCGTGGGCGAAAGACCCTTCCACAACCTCGAGATACCCTCGTTCTGCGCAATTTTCTTGAATCCATCCAGCGTTGAGCTTATCGTCCTCCTCTGCGCCTCTTCCACGGCGCATTCGATATTCGGCATCGTCGCAGTCGCAGTCGCACTCGCGGTAGCTGTCATCGTCGTGGCAGAGGGGGGACGTGGCGCCATGATGCAGGATTCGGCATAATTGTTGGAGAAGAAGACCTCCCGACAACAGGACGTCACACCGAGATCGGCAACGCGGACATTGGGTAGTAGAGAATCAGTCGTGAGGGCGAGTTTGGAGAAGTCGATCTTAGGAGGTATGGTGGCGACTTGCGATTGCAATCTTACGCGTACGACATCGAGGGGTGTGACTGTAGATCTTGTTAGCCAAGAAAGAAAAAGAAAAAAAAAATCCAAAAGAAGAATTCGAAAAAAAAGGATCATCCGATGTCTATGAATCGAGTCTAGAACACCATTGACGGGAAACCCAAACCGGGAGGGTAGAGAAAAAGAAAAGACTCACCTAGAAGCGACGTTAGGAGGCTACCAGATATAGCAGACATCATCTTCTGTGGCGCTGTGATATCGTCGTTATCATCGTTCGCATCGCGAATAGCCTCCTCAATGGTTGCCGAAGCCATCTCGGTGGCGACCTCTGCGGCGTCGATCCAAAATCTATCGTGGTTTTGTCCGGCGGCCGTGGCTCTGAGAATGGAGGTCATGTCAACGACAGCTCTCGCATCCTCTGACGAGAGTGTCCTGGGATGACGTCGTCGTGAGGGAGTCGATGGCGATCACGAACGGAGGGGAAGGAGAGAGAGTGAGGGAGAAAAAAAAAGCGGAAAAAAAAGAGTGAGTTCCCGGTTCGTGGCGCGAGTTGGCGGATGGATCCTAGAATAAAACCCCGACGGAATCAATGGACGAGAAGTCGAAGTAAAAAAGAAGGATTATTATGTAGAAGGGTAAAGTGAGTTATTGTCGGGGAATTAGAATAGGATTTGCGCCTGCGATAAGGGTCCTCGATGCCAGTGAGGGTGGCCACTCCTGGGTTGAGTCAGGTCAGTTTTGCGAGTTTGAGAGCTAAGAATTTCAACGACGCTTTTCGAAAGCGTCATTGACTGATTTGACTGGGGTGGATTGAGCGGAGGTGCGAACTCGGCCTGTATAAATCTCGGGTAATAAAAAAACGAAAAAGCCGAACATCGCCGCTGATTGATAATGAAAAGCAGCCATTGCCTTTGCAGGTGGCGCACAATTTTATGATCATTGGCCACGCCACAGTTGAACTTGCCGTTTCTGGCACATCGGCGATTCAGTTGTCGTTGAAACTACACAGGTACGAAGTACATTGGTACAAATCCAATCCCTCAAATAGCCGCTCCGAACCCGAGCTCCGGATTGTGGAGATCCGCGGACCGCAGTTTGTCACTACTTCGTAGATATTTACGTTGACATCAACCTGGTCTTGTCCCAATGATGGTCGCAGTACATTTGCAGCGCACGTATTTTCCGTAAGAAACACCTAGAAGCAGTGAAACCTGCGAGAATTCGAGATTGATAGTTTCGACGAACCAGATTCTGATATTACACACTGAGCTGCAAAAAGTCTCGAAGTCAATACACTGATGAAGACGTCGCAACCCAATCCCAAGCTCTCAAATCTTGTCAACTTCCCCTCCTAACCTCCTCTCTTCTCACCTTGCCTCCTTGTGCCCGAGGACTGAACAAAAGAACAAGAATGAAAGGGAATGGCATCACATTGTGAAGCTCAAGCTCCAGCTCCAGCCCCAACCCCCGAAATTCAGCAATTCATGAGAACATAAACCTCCGACATTGTAGGTGTAGTATTGTACAGGTCATTTCCCCAAAACGCCTGTGCCCCAGCGCCCGCGCCTGCCTCCCATCCAAAAGACTGGGAGGTAGGGGGCACGAGTCAGACGCGAGACCGAGATGAAGACGAACGAAAATCCAGAAAAAAAGACGTCCTCATCCGAATCATCCCCTCCACTTGGTTGTTTCGTTAATGCCTCCTCAGTTCTCCGTTTATTTTCCCCCTTCGATTTCTTTGGTCGTTTTCGTGTACGCATCTCGCCCGCAAAAAGTCCAATGCAATTCCCCCGTTGCTCCCAAGTTTTGAGACCTTTTTCGTATCTATATACATAATCATAACCAAGAGCCCCGTCGTAAAATGCCGGGACGGAATCGAGATTGTACTCCGGGCGTGGATGAGAAGAAATGAATCATGCGTAGAAAGGGAAAAGGCGAACACAAGATATATGAAAAGAAGAAGAAGGAAAAAAAAAAATAGAAAAAAAAAAAAAAGAAAAGCAAAAAAGCCAGCGCAAGAAACACTAGACAAGAACGCTCGACATAAACCTCGCTCATACCTCGTCCTCTTGCGGGTTTGGGTATTCCTGTAGAAGCACGACGCTAAGAAAGGAATGGAAGCGTATATAAGAAATCCCCGGCGGAACCATCCAACGCCGATTGGAAGGGAGAGTGTATGTGTATGTGTATGTGTACGTAGCGCAGTTGCAATCCGGACGTGAGCATCGCGCTGCTCATTAGTGCCGCTTCATCGATGGTCCGCCATCGTAGTCCCAAGCGCGCTTGAGACCTACTTCATACACACTGGCCACGGACTCTTGCCACATAGCTGGCGTGATGAATGTGGGTATTGGCGTGGTAAACTGCTGAGACGGCATTGCCTGAGAACCGGACGTGATTGCGTCATTCGCAGGCAGATTTGAGTAGCTCGACATATCTGGCGGACTCGATGACGACGACTTCATTGACGCTGGATTTACGGCACCCGAGCTAGGGCTTGGGTGCTGCACCTGCGGGTTCCCGAATGATGTATTCCAATTTCTAGAGTTTTGTTAGCGTGATACTTTTCGATAGGGTTGCCGGTACGGCTTCATGGAGAATAAAGGCGTCCAGGGCGACATACTCAAAGATGCGCGAAGGGTTCCAACTCGGCTGCTCCGGTATTGACATCTGGTGGCCCATCCCAGCTGTGTGGTTCTCTTGTCCTGAAAATACCATCATCGGCGGTGAATTCTTCACATCAGCCGGACCAGCGGATATAGGGGGTGTAATAGCCTGAGTGGAGTAAGATATATGGGACGCATGGAGGTTCCTGGGGCTTCCTTGATTGCTGATATGGCCAGTGGGGTCGACCAGAGGTCGGTAGGCAGGACTGGATCTGGGAGGCGTGGCGGCGCTTGAGGTCGGACTTCCATACGGGAATGAGGGTTTCAGGACGAAAGGCTTCCTAGTATCCATCGAGAAAGCCTCACGGACGGCGTTAATCTGCCTTTGAAGCTCCGGCATTGGCCAGGCCGCCATCACCTGTTCAACAAGTCGCATTTGCCTTTGGAAGTAGTCCCTCGAGTCGGTGTTTAAGTCCGGATCAGGGGACGTCATCGCAACCTAATTTTAGACACAATGGGGTTAGCCAAGTGTCAACTAAGACGAAAGAATGAAGGAAAATGATGGTGCAGCTATCGATCGACACCTCGGGCTCCTTACCAGGTGGAGGACGACGCAGGACAATGCGCAGTACACGGGGAAACTAAAGCCACGTAGCATGTTCTGCAGCCCGTTGAGGCCAAAGGAATGCAGGATGCCCTCCTGCAGCCTACAAATTGCTTTGGCGGATGAGTAGCAAATCATCATATGTTGCTTCCACTTCCCGTTTAAGTCGTTCGGATCGCAGAAGGCGAGCTGCGGCCGGTGGAGAAGAATAAACGTCAAATAGTGATACGAGAGGAGATTTCCGACAAAAGGAGATGGAACCCATGCAGGTGAGTTGTCGGGAGGGAAGGTGATGGAGAGATCGGCCGGCAGCTCGGTGAGCCACGAGGTGAGAGAAGGATTGAGTTGCACAAGCTCGGGATCAATACCCCAATCCTTCTTCTTCTTGATGCGCGCGTAAACCGAGTTCATGCGGCTGATGTTTCGTACAAGCCTTGCAAGGTAGGTGAAATTGCGGCTCACGAGGAACTCGTCGTCGTCATCTCCGGGGACGGGCTGGGGTAGACGGAAGTCCACCTCGTCAACATCCACAGTCAGGTCGGTTCGTCCTGTGGGAGACTAGCGTGTCAGTATATAGGGGATTTCGCGTTTGGGGGATGGTTCCAGCTGCGGCGGAGCTTCTTTCGGGGGCGCTTACCTTGGGGGGACCCAATCATCACTTCGAGAGTGAAAACTGTTTGCCAGAGACGTGTCTTCATCCGACATTCCAGTTCCGTAGAGTCACAATCCTTGCCAGCTAGGTGATCCGCGTAATGTTCATCCAGGCCAAGGTCTTTGCCCATTTGGACACATTGGACGATAGACATCCACGACCGGTAGTAGTAGCCCTTCTTTGGCGCGCCTTCCTTTGCCTTGAGTATTATAAGAAGGGCCTGCAGGGTGCTAAGCCTCGGCACATCCATGAACGCGTCGGCGTGTGCTGTTTTCCAGTTAGTTTGAGCAACAACAGTATAGATAGTAAAACACGAGAAGTGCCTACCGGCTGCTAGAGCCAGCCATTGCTGTCCTTGAGCTGGCTCGTCTGCCAACCTCCCACCGATGGCGAAGATGGCTTCCAGGATTAAAGGCGAAATACCCTGCCTATTTGTATTCCACTGCCGGTAGAAAATAGCCTTGCTAAGCACTGGGAGGAAGGGATGGACGTTCGTGAAGTAAAGATCTAGATATTGATGTGCCGTCGCATCATCCGGCATCAATGCAGGGGGAATCCGAATTTTTCCAGACGTCATGGGAGGTAACACAGCCGTGAAATCATCCACCTCCTCGATAACAGGCTCCTCTTCGCGGCGGAATGAAGCTTTATTTCTTAGATACGGTGCTTTAAGTGGTAAGTTAGGCCATATTCGAGGTTAAAAAGAGCAGAGAGATGGTCAACGTCCAGCGGAACCCCTAGAGGATAAGGACTTACCTGTGCCAGCTTCGTTAACTTTGAGCGAGCCTAACAAATCAGCGAGATCCGGTTGAGAATAGCTGTCCTGGGAATATGAGCCGGGGGAGCTGCCCTGGCCTTGGACCTGGCCAGCTTGCACGGGGGGATTAGGGAAGACATTATGTGATGCGTAATTTTCGTCGACTATGTTTACGGGAGGAGCGACGGTCGTATAGTGCACATTGGATTGAGGCTGCGGCGGCGCATCCGGGTATTGCACCGCATGGAAGAGATTCGTCTGGCTTTCGGCGAAAGCAGGTTGCTGGTAGATGGAACCGCCCGTCTTCGGCGTGGCATTCATCACGGACTGTTGGGGGTAGCCACCCTGGGCGGTGGGAGTGGAGGCCTCTGTAAGGGTACGGTTGGAAGGATCATAGGTGGATGTGGAGGTTGGAGTCGAGGAAGCAGTCGCGCCGCCGCTCACAGTCGTATATGAACTGATAGACGTCGTGGTTTCGGTCGTCGAGCCGTCGAAGCCGTTTGGGCGCACGCATTGTAGCTTTAGTCGGACGCACGCCGAGCACGGCCATGTATTCGTAGTAGCGGCGTCGCATTTGATCTTGCGTCTTCGGCAACCCTCGCATGCCCTCATAACTTCGGATTCACATATTAGCATTACAACTGAAGAAAGAACGACATAGCTTGGGCGGACTCTTGGTCGGGCATACCTTTCAACCGCTTGTGGCGGTTGTGCTCATCGACGAAAACATAGTCTAGTGGGGTCCAGTCAGCCAATCTTGCTCAGCCGCGGAAGGCGCAAAAAATGAGAGCGCGAGACCGCAATCAAGGAAAGAAAAAGAGAGATGGATAATGCGCACTCTTCTGGGTTTGTGGCGCTGGCTGCGGAACAAAGTTGAAAGATCCCATTTGCGAACTCTGAGGAAGTATCCTCCTCGCGGCCGGATCGTTGGACATGGCGGACGTATGACAAGCGGGAGAGGCAAAGCAAGGGTCGTTCGCAGACGACCGTCACTTGCCGGAAGGGTCGATCGTGGCAGGAGAGTTAGACATGAAATCTGCGATCCGGCTAACAAGCTCTTGGAAGCGATGACGATGGCAGATATTGAAAAGACGGGGTTTCTTCTCTGCGGTCACGCGATTGACCTGGCTCCGTAGCAGTGGTGAAAGGGAAGGATAAGTGAGAAGAGGTCGGGAGGACGATGGTGGAGGTGGGATTCCGACAAGAAGTACTAGTACCCTTCCCGGGTAGGCTACGGTGGAGGATTAGCGCAGAGGCAGACTTGAGAGGGCGTTGACATGAGGTATTAGTGGATGCTGCTATAATTGCGTACCTCAGTACTAATACTTCAATCCTGTTCAATTACTAGTTTAGAAGGAGGGAAGAGATGAGGGGTGTGGGAGTTGTGGATGTGCGGGTGGAGGAGGTGTAGACACTACTGGGAAGAGGGGGAGGTGTGTGTCTTGTCCTTGGGTGTGGGGGGAGTGAGATGGACAAAAGAAACGCCCATCAACTTTGTCGTGTCGTGTACCTCGTACATTGATTCATTCTGTGCCTGTACGAAGTACATAGTGTACACTCGACCAAGAATTGCAAAACATTACAATTGATCTTGAGGTGAGTAATTGGAGTGTATGAGTACGAGGGTAGGTCCAGAGTGCTCTAGCAGTGCAGGCCCTGGAATTAGTATGAAGTACGAAGTACGTCTCCAGATCATTGTCCGGGTGTACTTTCGTAGCGTGGTCTGGTGCGGGCCAGCCAGCGTCAACGTGAATTACCAGCAGCGGTTGGGGGTGAAGAGTTCGAATGCTTAATTTTGGCCGGGACTGCCCGGGCTGACGAGATTGATTGATTGATTTTGATCCAATGTACGGAATATTCAGTCTGTCAACTCAACTTCAGCTCGGCTCTTGGTAGTATCGGCGACCTCGATCAGAGAAGTAGACGCTTCAAGTCCGTAGTCTAGCCCTAACTACTTCATCCTACCCTGCAGGGTTTGGTCATTATCATCAAAATTTGCAGCCAGGCTTGAGGACGAACCACAAAGCAGAGCAGGTCTTCAATATCACAAGCATCACAAGCCGAGCTCTGTCGAGAACGTGCAGCCTCTACAACACACCAGGCACCATGAATTTGGTCCCCAACCACGAGCCCTGGCGACACCATCACGTTTCAACCCCTTGACTTTAGAAGTTGGCAACTTGCAGACGCAAGTACTCTGGCTCATGTGGTTGACACCGGAACCTTCAAATGCACCACGCATGCAAATGCTTTTGCCCTCTTCTATATCCTCATGCCGAAAACGAAGTACGAAGAAGGCCGATTCTTGGGTTGCAGGAAGTGTGGCTGGATTCGCCATCTTGATTCATGGTGGAGGGCAGGGGTAGAGGGTCTCCTACGCTAGTGTCTACCCTCATTATCAACTTGCAGCTGGTCTGGCTGGGGTAAAGAGGCGACCACGCAGGAGAAAAATCTCATCACCTTCGGATCCCCTTCGCGCTTTGGCAATCCACATGCTAGTTGCATCTTCTTCAGTGACCGTACTCGTGCATGACCATGGAGGCATGGACAGGGGCTCGGCGTCAGTTCAGTTTAGCAGTGTAACGAGAGCTGTATCTCATCAATTCAATGATTCCCAATGTCACCATGATCGAGCCCATTGCTCTCGGATCGGGTTACATTGCTGGCGTGCCGCAAACTCTATCACTTGGATGTCGTTCTCTGCCTCGGTGCGTGGCCCGCCAGGGGTCTTCCAGAAAACCATAAGAAGATGTACTTGTAGGCAAAGGTGAGCTCCCGTGGTTCGCTGGCGACGCTCTCTCACCCGAACCTGGTCTGGTCGTGTAAAGTACCAGTACGAAGTACAGGTTTGAAGATATCATGAACTGCCATTCTCCTCATGTTAGTCGCTCAATTATACATAGAGGGTTAAGTTTGAGCGGCTGCTTGGAAATGCAGCCAAGACAGGCCCATGTTTTCGACTCGACGCACGACGCGCCCAAGAAGGAAAGAGTCTCAAAGAGAAGATGAAAAAAACACGAGAGGCGACTCCCACCTCGTTCGTTTCTAGGCAGTGGTACTGATCTTGGCTGAGTTGGGCAGGACCCAAAAAACACTCGAGGTCATTGTGGGGTTTGCTCAAATCCACCGTGGCTCGTGGGCTAGTACAGAGGTATGAAGTACGAAGTTCGTGGACCTTAAGTACGCTACACTATAGTGTATTAAGTCCTGTGTTAAGCATCAATGATGACGCCCCGGAACAGCCGGTCACCAATCTCGACCTAGCCTCCTTGGAATTGTTTAGTACAGCCGTTGACTAAACGTCGTAAGTGGCGAAAAGAACGTGGTTTTCTACACTAGAACTGCTTTCTTCCCGGTTCTCGACCGTGTTTTTGATGTCCAGTGCCGGTACCATAGTAATATAGGTAGCGTGGAGCATGGTGGTAGGGCGGTAATTACTCAAGTCAATATAGTAATAGAACCAAAAGGTCATTCCTAAGAAGTAGAATTCGGGGATACTAGCTTGGATCCGCGCCTGGGAGCATGATGAGAGCTTGTAGACAGTATGGTAAAGATGCGTCCGTTTTCTGGTCAGTATCCGTACCAGGATCGTGACACGAATCCCAGCTGTCGCGCCCAGACAAGCATAGACGGGCATACCTGCGGCCCTCAAGGGCAGGCTGGGCCGGGCATCAAAAAGGTGGCTAGTTCTATCTGATCGGCGGCTAGCGTAGTGTATACGATGGCAAGGGGTCAGCCTGAGACAGGACTGAGTTGTGTCAATGCCTCCCTGACGTGTAGCCCATATTTTCTTCTGTTCTTCTATTCAGAGCCAAGCAGCCGCGATGTCAAGGAAGGTGGGCGAAAGCAACAGGCAAAGTTCTTGACTCGACTCCATACAGACGGGTTTTGCACTAGCTGCTGCAGCGTAGAATTTAATTATGTTGGGACTGTGCTATTAACTAGCTGAGAACTTGAGCGGACGTGATGTGGACTTCACGGGGGTTGAACAAGCGCTGGCGCCATTCAATGGAGACTATGGAGACTATTAGAGTGAAAGAAGTGCGCAGGGAGAGGAACCTTGAAGGCAAACCGCGACCAATTACGAACCTGTGTCTACTTGCATCCCACTCCCTTGTGGATACTCGCTTTAGTGAGATATCAATCGATATCATTCTCTTTAGGGCAGGTCAATATGTAAGATCAAATGTGATCCAATTGATCAACGGATTATATGTGGAGGGGGTGCTCAAGGCCCCAGCCAGTGGGCGTTGAAGGGACCGATCCGCAAGCCAAGCCTTGATTTAATAGCATAAACGATCGATCTTGGGCTCTGATCATCAATTGATGATCCTGTAATAGTTTACTTCAACGTTCGTAAGGCGACTTCGTAAGGCGAGAGGGCCAATCCTGTGGGCCCTATTCCACCTCGGCCTCGAGGCAGAACGTGATTTATAGGTGCAAACCCAACCCTCCATATCGCGCGGTCCTGACAGAAAGCCTGCAGCAGTTCGCGACAAGTCACATATTTTATACAAACTTATGACTGACCTCTCGTTATTAGGGAGGGTATGGTTCAAAAAACCTTTGCTAGACACCATTGCTGGATCATTCATAGTGTGTCGCCAGGAGCCAGGCCCAATGCAGTATACCCCAGTTCGCGGGCGACCTCCACACACAATCCCCAGTCCTTGGTCCTGGCTTTAGCGCAAGTCTCAAACATTACCATTGGCCTGAAACAAAGGAGAGTGGCAGGAGGCCGGATGGAGAAACGAACGAAGCCAGCCTTGCCGGGGATGGTGTATATTCGAACGTCACAAAGAAAAACAGATGTCGTGATACTCCTCGCGTGGACGAAACGTGTCTAACCAATTCCGCGTGGTTGTGGTGCGACGCACAAGCTGAGGGGAAACCGCACAGAACCCTTTCCTGCGTGCTGAAGCAACCGAGGCCCCTGCTAATACTCTTCAATCGCCATTGATATTGCGCAGGCGGAAACTGGGTGCACGCGCCAAGTCTGTGGTGCAGGGCTGGACCACCAGCAGAACGTGGGCGTCGTTCCGACAGCACAGAAGGGAAATGGACAGGATTGCTTCTCTCCACTATCACTCGGTATTGCCAGCTCACAATCCTAAACTACTTGCAGTCTTACAGAGCACAGCTCTTGTATCGTGTGGCGGAGCTGTTTCCGCACTCTCCGATGGCAGCTCCCCTTGACTAGTTGGCTCTCGTGTTAGCTTTTACGTTTTGTGCTGTTCTGAGTCAAGGCTTTGGGTTAGAGCCCAAACCGAGATCAGGAAGGAGGAGCTCACAAGTCCCGTACACGAGCGAGTAAGGCACCGTCCGAGTCTCTAGCCGGCCGGCTCATAGCATATCGCACATCAGACCCTTTGTTGGAGCGGCTCAGCCCGCTTATGGTCTGCGTATTCTCCCCAAGAAGCCCTCATGTTACTAGATGCTGACCACCCATCTTGATTCGCAACTCCAAGATTAGAAGCTGGATTATGACTCGCGGGAGATACGACCATAAGGCTCTTCGGTGTGACCGCCTCCAAATATAACAGCTCGCAGTATACTAGATTTGATTAGGAGCTTTGACAGCCGAGTAAGGCAGTTTTCAACGTGAATTGGAGTTTAGATGACTGACGGGACGAGATGACACTGTGGCAAAGCTTTGACGATTCAATTTAGCGACAAACTTCTTCCTTTTCGTATCCCAGAGATGTGACAAATTGGAACGATTAGCGGCGACCTCTGGAAACTACGGGGATGTTCGTGCTGGCAGGCAGATCCAGTCTCTGAGCCCTGATCCCCACGTCCCCACTCAAATGTTCAAATGGAACGTGGCAGGCACGAGGGCCCACCCGGTGTGTGTACATATGTACGAAGCAGTGCGGTTGGACGGGACGTCCAACTTCGTACACTACATCGACTAAGAAAGCCGCAGTACGAAGTACTGTACTTTGTACGGACGAAGTATTAATACATCTGAAAGTGGACGGCCCTCAAGATTGTTGATCAGCATCACTTGCTTTGTACGCCCAGGAAAATGAGAAAAAGCAGAGCTGCACAGCTTGGCCCGCACAATAGGGATCTAAAACGAGCCCAGACCTTGGACAACCCCCAAATCTGCAATATCATGCTTCGTAAGCTGCACCTCGCGGGATCATGACTGGTGATGCAGTCCAGTAGGTGTGTACTTGTAAGAGGGCCTAGCTCTCGGTGAACAGACTAGGATGGCATTTGGATATTTGATGCAAAAGAACCGCGAGACCATGGGTCTGACAGACTCCACGCGGTTCTGCCATCTGGTACATCATGAAGCAGTTTGCTTCGTATGTACATGATCGTGTCATCCCTTCCCTCGTCAAGGACGGCGGTATCCGAGTAGGGCCGAGTCGAGCAGTGGCTTAAGGATGCGAGAACCAGGATTCGCGATTTCCGGACAGCATGTACACTACGGAACACTACAAGCCTCAGGATGGGGCGGCTTCCTTGCCGGCAGATGCACATGTGTATTAGTATAGGCGCTAAAACAGAGCAGTTGCAGGGTTACATTTGAGGGCTTTCTGGGCTTGCCCATCCTGGGGTTCAACTGTTTTCTTGCCCTAAGTGCGAAGTACTGGGTACATTGACAGTGAGGGGACAACATCGATCTAATCACTGAACGCTTTAGTCGATGAGTATGTGTACTTTGGAGAAGGGCGGCGATTCCCCCACTCTCCCGCCTTCTAATCGGTGACCACTGACCACAGACTACGATGGGCTCCAATCAATCGATTGATCCTTCCATCCAACGACTCTCATCACGGCAGAAATGACATGACATAGTATGGGGACTATGGGGCTCGATATGAACTAAGAGGGGGAAGGCGAAACCTCGCTGAGATAGATTTACGAAGGAGTACTTCGACCAAATAATTATTACAGACATCGATACAAGTTGCATGGCAGCTCATTGAGCCTTCCCTCGGGCTTTATTTCGGGGGGATGGAATTCGTGCAGGGCACCGTCGCATCCACAGCGAGCCGCTAATTGCATCACATGCAAAATTGGATCATATCCCCATCATGGTGCGATTAATTGCCGAGGGATCCATCAAGTGCATCAACTGTCTTTGAGAGCCATCGATCAACTTTTCATGTTCAGGACCAACACTGCAACCAGCCAAGAAGCCAGGATTGGGGCTAGTGTACCCTCTACCATACCCCAGCCTACGAAGTTCGAAGCCGTTGCTGGCTACACTACATCGATGTAGCCAGGCTGGCTGACAGCAACCAAAAGCACCAGCACCGGTAACTAATCCGGTGCCTCGCATTAACCTAACGTAGAGCTACTCCTGACGGGAGGCCGTCAGGGTATCAATCAGTGAGCCACAACTGGCTGGCGGCGTTTCCTCACACCAACAATATCGAAATCGAAGAAGCCTCGTGTCGGCCAAGCCGAGTTCCAGACTCAGAATTCTCTTCACTCCCCTTTAATGCAAATTAATTCGATATGCAAGAACCGCGGTTTCTGGGCCTCACGAGCACCTGCCCCAATCATATAATTTCCAGAACGCCTGAGGATTCAGTTCTCGGGAATTCTTACGCTGGCCAGGCCAGGACGCAAGTTGTTTTGTCAACTAGCGTCTTGAGATGAGAGAGCCAGCCTTACCTTACGCATTAAATTACTCTACAATTATTGCCAGGCCGTGCATAATGACATCAATATTGCTGCGTCCACCTCCCGCGGGTGACCTAAGACACTCGTGTCCGAAATGACTCGATTTCGCATCGTATTAACCTTGCGTATACGCGCGTCTAAATCCAAAATTTCAACCTCGTGTCCCTGACAATGGCCGACACCGAGGCTGGTCTGTAATAAACTACCTCGTACTTCATGCTCATGGTTTAGATCTACTAAAAGGGAAGATGCAGGTCCGCGTGCCCGCCTCACATCCTTTAGCCCTTTCGAGAAGTCGTGGCCGATGAAGCATCGGCGATCCAACCTATCTCGACAACGCCTCGACCTCTTCCCGTCCTGACTGCCCAAGCTGCCGGGACTTTCTAAGCATCATGGTTGGTGAGGGCGGAAGGAGAGCAAGACCACCCTTACCAGGAACGCGGTTTTCTTGGTCTTCCCCAAGTTCGAAGTCGCAGTGACAGCGAGCATTGCGCACACCACCCATTTTTAGGGACGAAATTTGGCCGGGTGGGGAGGCTTACCCTAGACTTTTTCCAGAAGGCTTCTCAAGCAGGGATGCAATTACGAAGCAGGGTAAATTACATTTGTCAGAGAGAAGTGCGTAATATTAGTATCACAGTGTGCTCTGACAGCGATATCGCAAATCGCCCAAGACAGGACGGACTTTTCTTAATCAATCAGCCCCTGATATCGATAAAAAAAAAAATAGTCCCTGCTCCCAATATTTCCCAATATTTTCAAGTCATGGTCGACATTAACCAGCGTCGTCTTTTTTCTTGTTCCCTTTTCTTGGTCCGTCCGAAGTCGAGAGATGGATGGATGTTCCAGAACAGTTCATCATGGTTCTAAACCCTAGTAAGTAGATTACGAAGTAACCAGCTGGGGCAGTACTTCGTAGTCAAGGTGCACTTCGTGTAAACCAGCAAAATGCGGGTCCTCTCACTCAATCGGGTACTTTCGTCGTCGATCGCTGCCATCAAAGCAGACTATCAATCGCTTCCAGTTCTCTGATCGAGCCCCAGCAACACTAGGAACGCCCTGGGAATGCTCAGAGTCCATGTCATCAGAGCGCACACTATCAATAATGTTCGACAAGATCACATATAATGCAAGCAATATATGAAGTACCTTAGTATGCTTGGTGATCAGGGAGATGGAGAGTGGAGAACGGAGCGCACCATGACGGAATTTCTTCGTCCATAATGTGAAGAAAGACCGTCCAGGCTCGGTTTTGTCTTCTTCGACTTGTACAGGTACATTCTGCAGTACAGTCAGCGTCTCACCTTCAGTCAGCCTCCTCTACTTCGTAGTCTTGGAAAGCATACAGCGGGAAGGAGCCAATCGCCAATCAGGACCTGGGTCTGTCCAATCCACCACCAAGGCGGCCGAACCGGCGATGCGGCGACACTTTTTTTTTTTTTGCCCCTCCACTTTGCTAAACATGCTAAACTCATAAAGTGGACAGCTGGATTGAGACATCAATTTGATACGCCTGCCTTGTGTCGTCGCCTCACACCTCCTTCCATCTTCATCCACATTTGCAGCAACGCTACCGACACTACCCCGGGCTACCCCTCAACGGAGGCGAGAGAGGCTCCTCACGGACTCCGTACTTCCTACAGCTCTCGTGATACATTATACCTGCCACCAACCTGCGACTTTTCGGCACCATCTCGGTAGCTAACGTCACAGCTTCTCCTCTGCCACACACGCATCCAGGCACACCCACACACCTCCCACGAGCTCAACGATCCCGTAACCCTGCGTGGTGCCCTTGCATCTCCCACTTTGCGTCAACCTAAGAAGCCGAACTCCTCCGACAAGAGAGGGGAAACTACAGAACCCAGAAAAGAGCAAAAAAAACTTGACCCTGAAAGAGGGGGCCAGCAAGCAGAGCAAACCAGAGCAGCGGTCATGGGCAAGGATAACGCCAACCCGACAATTCTCAATGTGTCTCAGCTGCCAACGAGGCAGGCCAAGAAGAAGAAGGTCGCCCTAAGCGGGCCCGGCACAAAATACGCCAGCCTCATCTTCTCCCGCCCTGCCTATCTTTCGTCATCTGCGTCGTCCTCGGACGATGAAAGCACCTTCGACGAATGGAGTGGGGCCGAACAGGGGTTCACCGACGATGGCTTCGTGGAGGAGCCAATTGATGAGCAGGAGATTTACGGTAAGATAATTCTCCATCTCGGCCTTTTACCTTGCCCCTAAACTCCTCAAACACAACACACGTCCGCCGCGCAGACATCACGAGAGGAAAGAAACCATGCCATATGCCGCAGATGCCGCAAGGACATATCCCTTGCCAGCAAAGATACTCAGGAGATATGCGCGGGAGATCTGCCATTTTATTTGTCTATCCCCCTCAATGATGTGGTCCCGACTGCTCCTAGATATTTTTGGACGCAACCCTAGTTGCGGATCACACAACTGACGTTTCACAAGATCTCATATCCACGATATCAGATCCAGAGCACCCTCTATCCCTGGGTCAACTGGCAGTCGTCAACCTCCCGGATATCCACATTACCCCGCCCCCATCGTCGGGCGCATTCTCGGATCCTGATGCCCTGGTAAACGTCCTCGTGGAGATCACACCCACCATTACGCATTGCTCCCTGGCTACGATCATCGGTCTCGGGGTAAGGGTTCGTCTCGAACAGGCCTTACCGCCCAACTACAGGGTTGATGTCCGGGTCAAGGAGGACACGCATTCTCAAGACGACCAGGTTAACAAGCAGCTGGGGGATAAGGAACGTGTCGCGGCGGCCCTCGAGAACCAAGACCTGAAGAGGATGTTGGACTCCATGCTCTCCACTTGCACGTGAGCAACGGGCCTCAGCCTTGCCGATGAAATCTAAGCCTTCGATATCCAGTAGTTTGGTAGGGGGTGGCTTTGAGGCTTGTAAGCTAAAGCAGACTGGTGGAGACGCCTCTTCGGCCCTGTTGGACGGGGGAAGTGCGGTTGAATGCGGAATGACACGGAAAAATAGGATTAAGACCGAGCAGACCACGGACTCTCTTGCATGCCGTTCAACTTATAGGGACAGATAGGTTGCAAACCCAGCATGGCAGTGACGGTGACGGTGCGCCCTGGTGTCAAGTACTAGGTACTTACGTACTCCTACTCCAATGACACTTCCCTCCGTTCAGCAAGGAAAAACGGTGACGGATCCCGCCTACCGAACAAGGAAGTGATGGGGCCTTTCCCGGTCTAATGCAGGCCGAGGTGGAGCGAGGGACTCCGGGACCTAAGAAAGAAGGGGAAAACAAAACATGGGATGAAGGTCGGAAGCAATGATGGCGACTAACAAAACACCGACTTGCCCCGGAATAGATAATAATGCTACCACAATAAGACCAACTCTTCTCTTGAGCCATAGCAGTCTAAGGGTATAGTGTACACCGAGTGTGCTAGATTGACCGGGCTGGGTTCCTGGTGCGTGGATCAGCGGTCGTCTGGATCCGCACAAGTCAGGTTGAAGCCTCAGAACGGAGCTTCACCTGGATGTCACTCAGACGGCGGACGCGCTGGCAAGGCGGCCCTACATACGTGGGAGAGAGCAAACACAGCACACTACGACCACCCTCCCGCCTCTACGAGTGGGACGTGCACTGAATCTAGAAGCTCTTTTGACGTTACAACGCGCTGAGAACCCACCGTCGACGAGGTGCTGCTAGAACTATAAATGTTTTCAGCTATAGCTTATTATTGCCTTACTGAACTTTTGCGAACACGAATCCTTCGACTTAGGTGGCTTGGCATCATGTTCAATATTTCCTCCAAACCAGGTTACTCTACCCAGACTTTTGTAGTTGTATCTTGGTATTCTTCCGAGGAAACCAAGCGCATCGTTGCGGTCCTTTCTTGTTTTTGGGATAATTTCCAAGGCAGGCGCGGGTTTCGCGAATTTTCTGGACAATGATCTGGCCTTCCCTGTCATTATGAGGCTTGGTATATAGGCTCGTCCCGTCATTGAGGTTCCGAGGCTTAAAGGTCCCGGTCCAGGGGGCTGTGATCTCATTAAGCACGCATGATATCGATGTTCCCGCAATAATACAAGAAACCGAATTTCATTTCTTCATTCTTTATGCGCATCTCTGGGTCCCGGTCCCATATCCAATAATTCCCATGCCAAATTTCACGCATGCTAGCCTTACCGATAAATTCCGTTAACAAGGTCCTTCTAGAACTACTTCCAGGCCATTCGAAGAACACGGGAATAACACGGCTATTGATTTTCTTACCAGGGGGAGGGGGTCTTGATAGAAATTTCTTCTCAACCGTGTCATCCCTCGCCGACCCGCAACCTCGCCTCGTCTCGTCTAGATCCCAGACTCTTTGGCGCGTTCTCTCCACCGGCCCACGGTGACCCTGGTAGACCCGGATAGGGAAGGGGTGGAGGCATTCGTGGGATTACGCGGATTTGTTCCCAAGAGGATCGCCTACTCTTCATCCAAAGAGCAGCTCCCCATGTCACAGAGAACCGCAAAATTCTACTTCGTACGAAGCTGAAATATCTGCAGTGGGAAGTTATTCTCACGAAACACATGACCTTACTATTTCGTAAAGAGTTTAGGACTATAGGCATAGCAGGTAGGTATGGGAGGAAAGGCGGTATAAAGAAGAACGGTTAGGCCTCTGGTGGTGTTGCCTTGGAGAACATTAATGCAGTCCGCATTAGACCTACACAGAAAAGCCGTGTTTTGGGGGTATTGTACTTGATGTCCTCTGGGTGGATGTCTGCATAACTCGACTCACGGCCTCATCTGAGATGTCCGTACCCTGGAGGCCCCAGGTGCAAATGTGGCGAGTTAAGCTTGTGAGGCGCCTGATACCGGACGATAAAGCCAACCTCTGACGAACCGTGATGCCCCAATCAGCCTTACAGTCGCGTATCTAGTCAACTCGGATCTGGCTAATGTTCGGTTTTTGTATGTCGGCTTGCCGGTCTCTCGGCTAAGGCTTTCGCGGAATGGGGCTCCGACGGCCCCGGAATCCGCTGGAAATAGAGTATGGTCTCCCCAGATGGTCTTCTGCTGCTCTAGGAAGCCGGCCAGGCTTTGAGACGAGTAGGGAACCACTTGTCTCCTGGATTAGATATGGATCCCTTCGATGTGAGGCTCCTATTATGCTGGACCGTGGAGCTTTTGAAGAAAGAAGTATGGCAAGCCCCGATGTATTTGGATAGTGTTGTCCTGCGCCGTTGCGCTTCCTCTCTCTGACCAGCTTCCTCGACACACCCCGCCCCAAGCCTTGTCTTTGGAGGCTGCTATCAGCCGCAGTGTCTCGAATGTTAGACTACGAAGGGAGACCGGTGATTTACCTATGACCTTGGCGAGTTGGTTGGGTCGATCACCACACTGATGTATCATCTAGATCTACTATAATATGCAAGATTGCAGGCGTCGTCAAAGACAGCTTCGCAGGCCGAGCACCACCCGACTCGAGACATACTCTATTCGGTGGGAAGAGCGGGATCTAGAATTTCCCGAGGACACGAAGGGTTTCAAGAGCATTTGCGATTGCCGTCAAGGATGCGAAGCGATGCTCCCGAACGCCATATCCCCGACCTGTCTACAGGGGCGGGGAGAAGGGGGGGTTGGTTGTCTGCAAGATATTGCGAGTACCATGTTCCCTATAGGCGCAGATATACTTGCTTGCGACGTCCCGTGCCACATGGCAGTCTCCGTCTGTCAACCATTGGCTGCTGAAGGAACTCACTCAGTTTAGTGTTGAACTGGGAAATGGTTGGTTACTACTTTCATATTCAGTATTCAGTACCGGGGATGGCCTCCGAGCGACCTAGAATGATACTATGCCGTTTCTAGCTCGGGTCTGCTTTTACTTTCTGGCTGGCTTGGAAGTGAGGAGTACACTTCGGCAGCACGGCATAGAGAGAACCAAACCGAGAGGGCAGAATATGAGTTTGTAACACACAAGACCGAGTGCAGCCTGGCGCCTCTCATATCTCTGAGCTGCATCATGTCACGAGGTGGTGCGCAGCAATGTGCAATAATAGGTAGAAACCGGCCAGGCTTTGGACATCACTATCACATTGTTGTCGTCGCTGCCAAGGAGATTAAAACCCCTCACCTTGCCGCCGAACTTTGCCTCACTCCGGGTTTGTGTAGAGCCCTCGATGCCAGGCCTTGGGAACATTTCCACCAGCAGAGCAAAGCCATAGGTTCACCTTCCACTCTACTTCACCTTCCGTAAGTTGAAATTTTGTTTGCGCAACCCTACAATCGTATAACCTCAAAGCGGCCGCTAAGCGGACCACTCGGATTCGCAGGACCGGCCCGGAGTTCTTACTGCTCCCCGGAAATGTCTGCACACGAAGAAAACGTCACTGTCGGATGGATCGCTCCCCTTGCCTTGGAGGTCACACCCGCCATGGGAATACTAGAGGGCCGAGAAGAAATTGAAAGCCACAGCACAACGTACCATGTAGGGCGGGTGGGACGCGACTGGGTCGCGATAGTTGTTTGTCCTACCATTGGCACCCATCCGGCCACAACGGCCCTCGCCAAAATGCGCGCCTCATTTCCGAGAATCCAGCACATTCTCGTGGTTGGGATAGCTGGTGGGGTGCCCTGCTACGGCCAAGACGAGGACCAGATTGTACTGGGAGACGTCGTCGTCAGCGTCTCTCGGGGGAAGGAAGGAGGAATAACATATTACCAGTTCGGTGCCTATGTACCGGGAAAGAAGTTCTCTCCTAGCGGGCATACCCTTCATCCATCTGATTCCCTACTCTCCGCCGTACAAAACCTCCGGTCAAAATATATGTGGAAGGGTGGAACTAGGATCCCAGAAATTCTCCGTGGTCTGCGAGAACTCCCATCTGAAGAGGAGCAGCTAGAGTACGAGGACCCCGGGAGCGACCATGATTACCTATTTCCGGGTAGCTACCCCCATGAGGATGAAACAAAACTGTGCAAACATATTTGCGATTCATCGAAGGCACAAACCCGGAAGGATCGAGGCTCCAAAGCTATGCGACGAACAGATTACCCTCGTATCCATTACGGCAACATCGCCTCGGCTAATGCACTGATGGTGTCAAGCGAGATTCGGGATGAACTTCATAGACAATATGAAGTTATTGGCTTTGAGATGGAATCCGCTGGAATAGCACAAAACTGTCAGGCTTTGGTGATCCGGGGCATCTGTGATTACGCCGATTCGCACAAGAACAGGAAATGGCAAAAATACGCTGCAGCCACGGCGGTGGCGTACGCAAAGGAACTCCTGTTGACTCTTCCAGCAGAGAAGGGTGAGGAAGGTGAGTCTATACATATAGTCAGTGACCTAGTTACACTTGAGCTGGCCGACTGTTTGCTGACCCCTTGAGGAGACGGCAAAGCAGCTACAGTAGTGGCGTGCGCAAATGAGGTCCGACCGAATGTTCCAGCCAATATATATAAGAGAGGTGAGTCTATATATAGCCAGTGGCCTAGTTATTGACAATTACATTTAAACTGGTTGGCTGTTAGCTAACATCTCAGGGAGGTGATAAAGATATGACGGCACCTTCAGTCACTGTTGGACAAAGCTCCTCGTGCAGTTTGGAAGTCGAACGCGCTAGAGAATACTTCGACCGCAAGGACTTCCTAAACGCCTACTACGCCTATAAACAAGCGCTCTCGAACCTGCAAAAGCCTGGCGCCTCGACAAGCAGGCAGGAGCTCTTCCAGATCCACAACCGGATGGTAGTATGTCTGTTGACCCTCTCGTCTGACGGCAAGGGCTTCAATATACAGGAGAACCTCGAAGAAGCGCAGAAACTAAGCCTCAGGAGTGAGGTGTACGCCCTCGACCGAGACTGCAAGGCCTGGGTGTTAGTCATGCAGTGGTGTATCGCGTTCCGCAAAGCTAGGGAGGACAGTAGTCCCAGGGGACGGATCGACCCCGCAACTATGGCGGAGTTCGCGGACTCGTTGGAGAAGGTGAAAAGCAAAGTGATTTGTTTGCCGGATGACGGGTACCCTGTGGACGAACAGATTGAGTCTATAGAGGACCTGAGGAAGAACATGTTAGGTATCCACTAAGCGGTTAAAATACTGTCGCTCCTTCGGTTCAATGCCAAATAGCAGTAGAAGCTTGCTCTTTTACACTAGCTACGTCCACGGTCAAGATATAACTAGTGAAGGAATCGCCAGAGCCTCGCCAGTCGATATTACTTATATACATAAAAGCAGCGCCATTTATAGTGGACGGTGTTGGTCCTGGCGAAGTCCTCTCCCCGCAGCTTCGGTTCATCCATTAGTGTAGTAGCAACGTCGCGCTCTATGTGACTCGGGTGGAGGGGGGGGGGGCCACTTCCATCTAGTCTTAAACTCGAGGTGCCAATATCGTCGCGAACGAACGGGTCGGGCTCAATATATGCGGACGCGTTTCTCGGGCTGAGGTTCGGTTGGGCGCGCTTTGCATTGGCTGGCTGTCGACTGAACTTGATGGGTGGCTGGCGAGCTTCGAGCGTTTCGAGCGCTTGTGGCAGAAGTACAGTAACGCGATAATGATGCCAAGGAAAAGGATACCGAGGCCAAGGCCGAGACCAAGACGGAGGCCACGGGAATTACCACCCTGCCCGGGTTCTGAATTGCCGCCGCCGCTGCCGCCGTCGCCAGGACTTGAGGAAGAGGTGGGTGGAGACGAAATGTGCGAATTGGACACGGTGGGAGAGATGGGTCCCTCGCTCAACACCAGGGAGCCGCTAACCGCAAGCTCCGGGAGGACAGCAGTCATCTGATTGTCCAAGAGCTCGGTCGAGATGTATAGTGTCGTGGGCGTGGTAGAGCAGTCCCAAGATGTAGCCGTCTCCGTGCCCCTGACGATATACCTGGCCTCAACACACTCGCCAAAAAGTGTACCAGATCATGTCCTGCGAGCCTCTAGGCGAGTTCGAATTGTAAGCAGAAGCGGCACGGCAGGTCGTAAAATAGTTGCAAGTCGTTGAGCCCCGAGGTTCCCGACTGCAGCATCCAACATGTCCGTTGTTTATTATAGCGCAAAGGCCGCTCCCCGCACACCGAATCGGGTCCTCTGTAAAAACTTGGTCAACTTCGCGCACTTATGGAGCACACAATCTAGAAGAGAGAGACATCAATGATTGTATTATAGGCATAGGAGCCTTACGTACCAAGGATTCCTTCCACCCAACCGCAATATTCTGGGCCTAGGACAGCCCGATTCTGCAGCGGCAAGGCAGTAGCCATGTAATAGCGGGCCTGTGCCGGGGGAGTAACTGGGGCTGATAGATGGTCCACGGCTGGTTCGGGGCCTCTCTGGAAAGTTGCTGTTGGTCGGGATTGAGGTATTGCGGCAGTCAACGGCGTGTTCAGGGAGAGTGAGAGGAGAAATGTTAATGTCGTGGCGCCAGCGGGCCAAACCCTTTCGGCTCGTAGCTTGGTCATTTTTCAGAATCGATAGGTAGTTGGGAATTAGATCGAAGGTCGAACAGTGTTGTTCGAGTTTGGACCTAGGCAGCGGGCTGGAGAACGGCATTTTAAAGCGACGAAGTGCTATCCCCCCCTCTTCCCTCAAGGCTCCCGGATTCGTGGGACTGGATGTTCTATTTCATTCTGCACGATTTCAGGGGCAGAAAATGCCTGGCAGTAAGGGAGACGTATGTCCATCAGCTAGGCGAGCATCACTCGGCGGTTCCGTGACGGCCCAGGCCAATCCCAAGGCTCCGAGTCGCAAAGTACCAGCCCCATTGATGATGTCTCTCACCTGGTTTCCTACTGAATATCACATCCAGCAGCACGAAGTATGTACTTCGGTAATCAAATACTTTCTACGCCAGAAACACTGCCACCTTTGGGCGCATATGCTTTACGTCTGCTTTAGCTAGAGGGAAGGCATAGAATGAGCGTTCTTCAGGATGGGCTAAGAATGGTACAAGTAGAAGACGGGTGGCGGCAGGGAGAGAATGGACGAAGGCCATGCCCGTCATTCATTGTACTCACAGCCTTGCCATGAATTGCGCACATGGCTGGGGCGGAACCAACCCGCAGCACCATTTACCAAGAATTTGATAGTGAAGTCTACCGGGTGTCCATTGGATTTCCCATCGGATTGTTGAGCGCGCTGGCTTCGCCTGCATCCTATTGATCGAGGTGACCAGCGCCACCTCATTTGACTGGTCTCCAATACTGGAAAACCATGGCCTGCCAAGGCTATGGTTTTGGCTCCTCAATCTTCAGACGGGATGGTAAGTTACTCCGAACGAGCCACTGCCGCCCTAGATTACGCGCCGGGAGCAGTTCGTACTTCGTAGTGTGCTCGACCGTGTCACTCGGGATCTAATAACAATCAGCTTCTATTCAAAAGGGGGGGGGGAGGTTATATTGGGATTTTAGAGAGTATACCGCGCCGTAGTCTTACGCAGCGCATGGGAGACTGGGAAATGGCGCGCGTGTGCGTGTCGAACCTGCGTTGAGGCATCACATCGTAAAATATGTTGCGTCACTGGACCCCTAAGTCTAGAAGTCCTTTGATGAGAGCGGCTGGCTGAAATGCAGGTAATGTTGCGAAATAACCTTAATGAGCCAACCGAGCCGTCCTTTTTGCATAAGGCCGGTCTTGGCTGGTTCGTATTGACTCCGGATTAAGAAGTACCGCTATGTACAAGTTCACCAGACCTCTGGCCAAGGGAGAGAGGGATTGGGTCCGACAAGGGGTTTTGGGGTATTTGACTAGAAGATTGGACGGCCGCGTTTTCGGGCCGGCTGATGTGAAACTAGAAAAAGGGATCGACGAAGTAATTCTACTTCGTGAAGGAAATAAAGTGTCCAGTTTGGTACTTGTTATGCGGATCATTTGACACCATCGAGACGGCGCAGGGCCTGCCGCACGCACGCGACAAGAATCCGGGGCGCGGGCCGGCGCGAACTCTGTATGCCTGGGAACTTTCAATGGACTGGGAGACCATGAGCAACTACTCCGACATCTACACGTCAACTGCACGATTTGATTGACCGTCTTAAATTGGTCGCTTGTAATTCTCCCACAGCAGGAAATGGCGCCAAGGACCTATTCTCTAGCTCTCCAACACCGCTACCCTTCACCCTCAAACAAAAATTCATCATACCTGATCCAGCAACCCACTCTCCTTCAGCTGCCCATACTGTTCCCCCTCCATATACGTCGCAACAGAAACATCATCGCTAAGCCCCTTCCTCCTCCTCGTCTTAAGCACAAAGTCCCTAGCCGTAGCCTGCACGCTCGCCGCTTGCAACGGCCTCACCACCACCGACTTATCCAGCGGATCCCCCGGCACGACGCTCCAGTGCTCGAACAGCAGGCTGACCGAGGCGGCGCCCTGCGTCTTGATGCGGAGATCCGTCTCGAAGCCGAAGCTGTCGATGACGGGAACGAGGCCGGTGACACGGCTGAGGGGGGTCCCAGCGATCTGGGACTCGGTGAGGACGTGCCCGCGGCGTCGGGCGAGGCATGTGTAGACTTCTGTCGTGTAGCTGTCGAGGCATGTTACTGATACTTGGTAGACGGGCTCCATCAACCGGGGGGAGGATAGGAGGAAAGAGGAGTAGCATGCGCGTCGGACTGTGGGGATGATTTGGCTGTGGCCACGGTAGATGGCTTCTGACGGTAGGACCACATCCGTGAGCCTGAATTTTGTATTCCGGATCGCTATAGTTTCACATCAAAGAGTTAGCCAGTGTTCTTCTCTCGACCCTAGATCTCAACAGGAGGCATCTAGACTTACGCTCTTCTATTAACGGGCCTTCTCTTGCCGCCCAGTTAAATCCTTGCTTGATGGAGTCCCTGACAGTCCTTAAAAGCTTCTTGTCCACCTGCACTATATGTTAGAATAACTTGGAAAATCAAGACAAAAAACATTTGGTCTGAATAGCTTACCTCTCCTGGCAGGGTATCATCCTGCAGGATACTCGTTCCAAGATCACCAGGACCAAAAGCCCAAACATTACGCGCCGCAAGCTTGTCCCAGCCATAGTTTGTCTCGAAGAACTCCGCGGTTTTCCGTATAGGATCCTTGATCTTCACCGCGCCGCTCTCGATATCGGGCGAGATGCCCTCGTCAAGGGGTTCCGCGATCATGGTGAGGCGGACCTTCTTGTTCGGCGAGATGGCGAAGCACTTCGTCATGGACTGCTCAACGACTGTCTCGCAGAAGCCAGTCATGGGATCGGACACCTTGACTTCCATGTCCGAGTAGAGTTTCCTCAGGTCATGTAATACACAGTCCATGTACAACTCTCCGGTGCCGATAATGACGTGCTCTCCTGAGTCCTCGACCTTGGCGTCCATCAAGGGGTAGCTCTTCTTGATCTTCCGTAACCCGTCTAACATCTTGGGTAGCTCGGAGGGGTTTACAGGCTCCACGGCCACTTTCAGGACTGATTCGGTGAAGTGCGTTATGGGCTTAAAGATATAGGCATCCTCGTCGTCTTCGAGCTTAGGGGGAACTATCGTTGCCGTCTTCACAATCGAGTTATCCACGCCGCTGAGTAAGACCCATTGTCCGGCAGGCACACCATCTGTTGGAATATTGTATCTCGTCTCCGCGATGAATACATCATCCAATCTCGCCATAAGCATGTCTTCCTCATCGTCTATAGAATAGCCTTCTCCGAGGACACGGACTTGGGCTCCGGGCCGCGCCGTTCCGCTAAGAACTCGCCCAAATGAATAGAATGATTTCGCGTCTGAGGTATTGAAGAGTTTGCTGATGTGGACGACAAGGGGGCCGTCTGGGTCGCACGCAATCATGGAAGCAGCAACCTTGGAATCGAGAGGACCGGTGTAGTATTTTTGAAGGTAATTTTCTGCAGACTCGACAGGAGAGGGCACGTGTTTGAGAATCATGTCGACAAACCCGTGTGACGCTCCAAAGAACTGCTCGCAGGCTAGCTTGAGCAGCACCTTCGCGTCGGATTTGTACTGGCTCGGCTTCAGGAAGATACCCAGCGATTCCAGAACCGCTCGGAGGTCTTCCGGAGAGTCGGTAATGCTGTGAGTAAAGAGTTTGTAGATGGGCTCGAGCACGAAGTGAAGGAACGACCGGTTCGCACCGGGCTCCGCAGCTTTCCTTGTGAACGCCCTCTTCTTAGGGTTGAAATAAATATCTCCCCATAACCTCTTGGCGAACTCGTCCACGTCGATACCGCCGTACGCATCCGTGTACATCTTCGCGAATGAGGGTAGAGTGAAGGACCAGCCGAGCTCGGCGGAGGCGAAGAGGACGTTGCCCTTTTCTGGGCTCAACCTCTTCGCCGCCCCCTTTCCTGGTATCGCTTTTTCTATAACAGCGTTCACCTCCTCTACCACGTGCCGTATCTTGAAATACGCCTCCTTGGGTGGAAGCCGTAACTCGAGGATAAGTCGGTCCATCTTGTTTAGTATCAAGGTCAGAGGAATGTCCTCAAGTACCGCATGCTTGATGATCCGCTCTGTATTGACCTGAACACCCTCCAAAACATCGACGACCAAGCATACACCGTCAACTAGGCGAAGAGCGGCAGCAACCTCGTCGACAAAGTTGACATGGCCCGGCGTATCGATAATGTTCACGAGATGCGACTTGCCCTTCGTGTTCGGCAATACCAGGCTCATGGGTGCCGCTTTGGCAGAAAGACCCCTTTCCCTCTCCAAGATGCTGATGTCAGTGTACCGAAGCTGCTCGTCCCTCTTCCTGCCTGTTCTCCGTTCTAGGCGATCGGTGATGTTGTGGGTCTCGAGCACGAGCATATCCATAAACGCCGTCTTTCCGTGGTGCAAGTGACCGGCTAACGCGACGTTTCGAGTCTGTTCGGGGAAGTTCATAAGGCTTGTCATGAAATTCCTATCGAAGAATACGGGGGGAAGGTCGGCCTCCTCGATGTTGAACTTCTTTTGTTCGACCGGCGCGATGATGGGTTCGGACAGCGGTTGCGCATCGACCTCCTCGACAAGGGCTTCGACTTCGGCGCCGTATGTCTGCTCGGCGGTCGGGTAGTATTGTTTGTCTTCGTGTAATATTACAGCGTTGGATGGGCCCTCTTCTGAGACTGGCTGTCAGCTTTCGTCACTGGCTGGCTGAAATGGGGATGAAAATGTGGCGGGAACGAGAAAACTTACCATCAAGTTGCATCACTTCTTGCCCGGCGACGACGCTTTCGTTGTCTTCATCGTAGACATACTTGGCGGCCTCGTCGCCGCGTTCGGAGCCCTCCTCCGACTCGGCCTCTTCGCCAATAAAGTTACCGAACCTAGTAACGCGGAATGATCAGTATCGGGGCGGTCGCATTGCGGATGGGGTCCCAGTCGCACATACTCATCGTATAGGTCATCCATCTTGCCGGCCCTGCTCTGTGAAGGGTCACGTTCTTAACTGATTCTTGGAATTGGCTTGTCTCGCGTCGCGCGTCGTCCAGCACAAAATTTCGTTGTCGTTGCGAGGCTAGGATCTAGAATCGCAAAGTACTGTCACGTGCTCTGCAAGGCTGCTGTTGGCGAGCTTAAGGTGTGTCTGTGCACGATACCGACCCAGAGACTGAGGTACAAGGTACTTGTCGCAACCTTCTTTGCGCTTTCATTCGAATTGCAGTTGCGGGGCTCCAACCTCTCAAGCTTCCAGCACTCGCCCAGTCCTTTTTAAGCCATTAAGAGCTCCTGGCGTGCATTCGGACAGGAAAATCCGTACATTGGCTGCGAAAAAGGTATTCCACTCCACTGACATTCAACATTCGTTCCCCCTAACCACCAAACGTTCTGTGGGTCCGACGAGTGTTTATGCTCATCGGTCACCAACGCATCGATTCTCTTCAGAAATCGTTCCTCACAAGATACGCCTCCATAGTCGCTCTTATATTTGATAGCGTTGTATTGTAGGCGAAGTTCTCACTACCGGTGCCGTACGTCGCAAACAGCTAAGCTCAGAGGTTAAGTGGAATTTGGAAGATTATCATTATGCTGCAATTCTATCTCGGATATTAAACAGATGAAGGAGAGTTATTTTTCTTTCCCCAGCAACTCTAATACAAACTCATATACACCTAGGGTAATAATGGCGGAAGGGATAGAGCGCAGAAGATGGGGCGTCAAACCGCCATATAAGCCACCCATCCCTTCTTCCCTCCAGACTAGTCGAAAACACTGGATAAGACCCGTATACTTCTGCCCACCTTGCAGTGGCGCCTGCCTTAGCCGCGTTCTTACAACCTGAAGGAATTGTAAGTACCCCAGAGCCCTTTGTGTAGTCGTGATAAAAGGACGAGTTTACCTCATGGGGATACGCAACTAGACCAGCAATAAGTTTCGAAAAGCCAGCCGCAGCACTAATCCCTGCGCCGGTGTCCTCTCGTTTTGTACCATGATCTCGCTTTGACAGTAGCGACTTCAGTTGTTCATATAAAACCAAATGCAGAGTCGTCTCTGCGGCGCCGAGATAGCTTGCCGTAACACCACGGAACAAGCCCTTGATACCTTCCTGTCGCAGCACTTGTCGTACACAGTCTATGCTGTTCTTATACTGCAATTCCGAGCGGGAGCCGGTTTTCTCTACGCTAGACCGATCAAGTTGTAGCCGTGTCTTCACCAGCCATATCGGATTTGTCGCCGTGGCAGTGACAATGCCCGCCGCAGCGGCAGAAATAGCAGGGACAATAATGGCGTCTTGGTCGCATTGTAAAGCCTCGGATACCATGCGCTTACAGTTACCGTACGTGTAAAACTTGATCGCAGTAGCAGGGACTACGCCCACCAGGCTCGGACCTAGACCGCGAAACAAGCCGCGCCATCCCTCGAGCTGGGGAATGGAGGCAAGGATGCGGAAGGTCTCTCGGAAGTGGAGACCGACAAGCTGGATCGGCCCAGTAGCAGAAGTGTGAAGGGCGGTAGCAGATCGGTAGAATTCGCCTTGCAATCGGGTTCTTAATACATCAAGCGGTGATGTGAAAATCGCGGTGGCCATTCCACCAGTCCTAATTATCAACAGTTCAATTAGAAAGCGAGCAGAGTTGCGCGTATCAAGGAACTGTGCATACGCTCCGGCGACCAAGTGGACCCAAGACTTTACTGCATCAGTCTTCGACCGGCCATATTGCGAAAGGGGCTTGGGTGACGGACGATTATCCGGCTGGCATTGAGGCGTTGACGGTGAATTCATTGCCACCTTCCCGGAGTGATTGCATCAGGAAGGGAGTATGTGTGCATATTCCGCCGAAGTCTTTACGAAGTACGAAGGTACCGAAGCCTTGGAAAGGGGGCAGGGGAAGTTGAGGGTGTGACATTGATTGCTCCTGGTCGCTCAGACACTCACCGAGCCACTCACCGAACGTCCCAGTTAAGGTTGATGCCTAAGGAGAGCACAGAGCACATTAATTAATCATAAAGTGTGTAATCGTTCTTTTATAGATTCCAGCATCGACACATTGGCCCGTCTAGAGAGTCGGGGGGAAATTGAATCAACATAGTTGTCTCATGCGCTTTTCCATCTCTGCGGTTCCTGAAAGCTGGGAAGCTTCCTCAAACATCAGATTGGCAAGCCGGTGGACCCTTGACGGAGCCAAACTGTTTTGGGCCAGTCTCTGGTGGTAATGCGTAAGACTGAAGTATTTTTGCCTAGGAATTATGTGTAAAAATACATCATGATGACCAGAATCATGTCGACAGTGGTCACCCTTGTTCAGGAACTCTTGAATCTTGGGGCACTCTGAGAGCGGATCATTATCGGCTAAAGCTCCGAGATCCCTTCAGACTGTCGCAATTGCATTTGCTGGGGTGGAATGCGGGGTCCTACTACAAGGTACCCGAATCGAAGAGGGGTAATTCGAGTGGGACAGCAAGATCGAGATTGTACTTGTTCGAAGTACTTGTACCAGGGCAATAAGCTTCAAACAGTACCCAAAGCCCAACCTCTTCCGGTTCAAAATCAACGAGCTTGATAGTGGAAATATGGACTTTTATGTTGGCAATTGATATCGATGCGATCAGACATTGAGCTTGCCCTTGCGTGTGATGAGATGCAGCACGGCCAAGATGAATAAAACCGAAACTGTGTTGAGAATCAATCGCCGAGTCTAGAACGTGCATCCCTGGAAATACGGCAGCCTAACACAACAATTTGAAGAACCTCTCCGAAAACGGCTTGTAGCGCAACAATTTGAGGTTGCCCCCTTGACCGACTTCAAAGCCATAAAATCTCAACCTCCTCTAGCTTGCTGTACACGACAGAGCAGCTCTTATAGATACCCACCGCCTGTCTGTTCCCCCCCTTTCAGCCCATTGCTGTAGTAGTAGGATCACTACCTCCTCCTCTCGTGCTATCCATCCTCTTTGATTCTTCGAATTGTCCTGTAGCTCTCCATCATGTCGAACCTCCCTCCTGTCTATATCGTCTCTGTTGCGAGAACCCCAGTTGGGTCGTTCTTGGGGTAAGGCCTGTCCTTGTTTCCTGCCACCCTCTTGACCTACACTGGGGAAAAGCGACAAGGCAAGGAGACTAATTTGCTTTTCGACTCTAGCTCTCTATCCAGCCTCGACGCCGTTCAATTGGGCGCTCTCGCCATTAAGGGTAAGCGTTTCTCTTGGGGACCCCGCCGTCATCACAGACCCCTCGTTCTAACTCCCCTCAAGGTGCTGTTGAGCGTGTCCCCCAGATCAAGCCCGAGGATGTAGAAGAGGTCTTCTTCGGCAATGTCTTGTCCGGCAAGTAAGTGATGCCCAATTGATCCTATCGAACATAATGTTCTTTCCCCGACCTTTCGCGGAGACTAATATCCCCTCCTCCCCAGTCTCGGTCAGGCCCCCGTCAGGCAATGCGCTCTCAATGCCGGCCTCTCCAACTCCGTCATCTGCACGACCGTCGGCAAAGTCTGCGCCTCCAGCCTCAAAGCCATCATCATCGGCGCCCAAAACATCATGACCGGCAACGCCTCCATCGTCGTCGCAGGCGGCACCGAATCCATGTCCAACGCGCCTCACTACCTCCCCAACCTCCGCAACGGCGCCAAGTACGGCGACCAGACCCTTGTCGACGCCGTCCTCAAGGACGGTCTCACCGACGCCTTTAAGAAGGAACACATGGGTATGCAGGGCGAGCTCTGCGCCGACGACCACAGCATCGACCGCGCGGCCCAGGATGCTTACGCTATCCAGTCCTACCAACGGGCTCAGGCTGCCAACGAGGCTGGTATCTTTGCCTCTGAGATCTACCCTGTTGAGGTTAGCGGAGGAAGGGGGAAGCCTCCCGTGAAGGTCGACCGCGACGATGAGGTTAAGAACCTCAACATCGAGAAGCTCAAGGTCGTGCGCCCCGCTTTCAAGCCTAATGGCGGTACCATTACCGCTCCCAACGCCGCCCCCATCAACGACGGCGCTGCTGCCGTCGTCCTCATGTCCGAGGCCAAGGTCAAGGAGCTCGGCGTCAAGCCCCTCGCCAAAATCCTCGGCTGGGGCGACGCCGCTCAGGAACCTGAGCGCTTCACTACCGCCCCTTCCCTCGCCATCCCCAAGGCCCTCAAGCACGCTGGCCTCACCCCCGCTGACGTCGACTACTACGAGATCAACGAGGCCTTCTCTGTCGTTGCTCTCGCCAACATGAAGATCCTCGGCCTCGACCCCGAAAAGGTCAACATCTTTGGCGGTGCTGTCGCCATCGGCCACCCTCTCGGCTGCTCTGGTGCCCGTATTGTCACCACTCTTACTACCGTCCTCCGCGAGAAGAAGGCCAAGGTTGGTGTCGCTGCTATTTGCAACGGTGGCGGTGGTGCTTCTGCTCTTGTTATTGAGAATCTGCAATGAAGCCAGGCGGCGCAGGACGCAGTGCCTGCTGCCACACCTCACCTATAGATAAATATGAGTGTTTACCTTCCCTCAGGAGTTTAGCAAAATCGGATTGACGGAGGACGAAAGACTGCGAGGAAGTCAAGTTTTCCGGTATATACAGAGGCGTCAAAAATATAGCTACAGGCCTCTCTAATAATTTAGCTAAAATATCACAAAATCAAAGCAAAATTTACGAATCGAATTTACGAATTAATGTTGGGTTTCATACAACCCGCGTGTGCTCTTCGAGAGATGCATCATCACTTCATGCAAATATCAATATCATTGAGTAACAAGTATGAACAACTGTCTACGACAGGCGCCAAAAGAAGTTCAGAGAGGAACGGCTAGCTAGTATTATACATATCTCCATGATGGCTTTTTTTCTCCCCCTTTCACCATCCGACCTTCCAAGACGTGCCGCCGTCCGACAAAAAAACAAAGAAGCAGTACGTACGCCCAAAGACAAGTCGACGACAAATCAATGATAATGACAGCGGGGCAAGGCGCCGACGCTCGAGACAACAAGCAGAATGCAGAACCCCTAAGAACAAAAACCCTTTCCGAAACAAATCTGGTCGTAATGTTGCTCACTTGGCCACCCAAAACAACTGGGTGGGGTACCAAAATGGGAAGCTAAAAATAAAAGAGAAAAGAAATAAAAATAAGAAGGGGGAATTCAGGATAAGACAAGTCGAATAGGAGAAGGATACGGAAAGAACAAAAAGTGATTGGATGAAGTCCCACCGGACTTATTCGGCCATCTCGACGTCTCGGGCCTCAGGAGCAGCAGCTTCTCCTTGTTCGGAGTCACCATCCGCCCACTTTTTGTAATCGGCCTTGTACTTCTCAACCTCCTCCTGGCTGAGGTCCTTCATCCACGAGTTGTTCAAGACGAACTTCTCCCGGAGGCGATAGTCACGCGCAAGGGTCGACATCTTGACAGCCTTATCGCGCTTCTCCTTCTCTTCCTTAGTGGCGGGAGCTGAGTTATACAGGAAACTCTCCGAAGAGCCAGCACCCCAAACCATCTTAGACGATCGTAGACAGATACTAACCACAAGATTCTCGTCATATGAGACAGGCTTGGGTATGCTTCTATCGTCAAGATCGACATCCGATGGAAGGTTGCGAGCGAGAACGACCTTTGAGAGCTTGGATCGGGGAATACCCTCTGTGGGTTCCACTCGGATGTAAGATGATATGTAATATTGCCAGCGCTGCTGGAGCTTCATCTCATCCATGTAGAAGGTCGTCTCGTCACGCTGGAGCCATCGGACGCTAGCTTCCGACTTGTCCGGTACCTAATCGGGTTCAAAGTTAGTAGAGTGAATCACAGTCAACGGAACAATACATTAATGAACTTGTGCATACCCAGCAAATAACAAACAACTCGCCATCCTTGACACATTTCTCGGCGAATTTACGAGCACTAATCTCGGTCTGGTAGCTCGTCTCCTCTCGCTCACGGCTAGCGAGGAATTGCTTGATGAGATCGTAGGTTTTTTCTTTTCCGTCCACGCTGCTGCAGGTAAGAGACAACCGGCAGAGAGTCCGGATGAGATCCTGGATCGTGTAGAGTTTCCAGCCCTTTGCAAGATAGAAGTGGCGAAGAACTTCTTGATAACGGGCCTCGTCAATGTCGCCCACGATGTATTCCTCGATCAAATCCATAGTCTTTGGCCAGTACGTGTCCGGGGTGTCAGAGGACTCGAAGTACAGTTTAGGCGATTCGGTTAGACCGACTTCATGAGCCGGTCGTACCCGGTGCATGCGCGCAATGGATTCTGTGACACTCTGCTCACTCTCTTTGACCTCGCGCAATCGTTGGTAGAGCGTATGGAAGATACTGAAAAAGACAAAAATGGACTGATTGCAGAAGAAGTTATACCATGGGCGTGGGAAATATCCATCGGCCTTCAGCTCGTTGTCAGCGGTCAGGAGGTCGCCATCTTCTCCACTCTTGAGAATGGTGGGCTTGGGGATAGTAGGCATCCATCGCTCGTTGGAGAGGTCTGATGACGCATGGTCGTCGTTGATTTCTGGTGTTTCGTCCTCGTTGCCAGAGGCAACATCCGGGGTAGTTTCCTTGCTGCCAGAAGCACTACCTTCCTTAGATGCGCGGGATTTGTTTGTGTTGCGGCCAGGATCGAGGACACCGCGGAGGAGATCGCCCCTCCTACCATTGCGACGGCTACGGCCATTAGTCAACTCCAAAGGTGTTGGGTCATCGGCATCCTCTTCTCCAGAATCCAGCTGGAATTTGGGGACTCGCTCCTGCACTGCGGCGTCGTCAAGGTCGAAGAAAGTTGGAATGAAGTCAACAAAGAAGTCCCAGATCCGCTCCTTCTCCGTGTTACTATGCTGGCTGTTATGGATTGCATAGAGCGCCATGAGTCGGAGGAGATCGAGGGTGACATCTTTGTCAGAGAAGGACCACTGGAACTGATGACGAGGTGCAGATCCCTTGAGGCTACGCTCTCTGCGTTGCTCCTCATGCTTGGTCTTGATCACGTCGACAAGATGCTTGGCCGAGAGTTGTCGCTTATCAGTCTGCTTGACCAGAATGCCCATGTGGTCTAGACTCTTGAGATGAATGTTTTCGGTTTGGGAGTGCCAGACCTTTGACCATTCACGCTGTTACAAATAGTTAGTACCAGTCCTGAACTTGGCTTGGTAAAAACAGAAAGACTTGCCTGGGAGAATCGCCATTCTTCATCCTTTTGTTTCATGCGGGCGAGAAGAATTGGGACGACGCTGAAGGGGTGGCTGTAGAGATCGTTCACAACATCAATACCCTTGTCGCCATACAGCTTCTTGCAGACGCGCTTGAAGATGGAAGTGGAGTGACCCGCTAGAGCTGCCGGCATCCGGAACTGCTCCTTCTCCTCGGGTGACATGATGAGCATCTGCTGGGCAATCGGCTCCAGAAGCTGGATGCACTTGAGGTTTGTCTCAATGTGGAAATCATAATCATGGCGCTCCTCCTCAATACGATGCAAACCTTCTTCATAGACGTTCTTACGATGAGCGACAAAGCCAGAGTCCTCCGACGCCCAAGTAGGGTGCGAAGCCCAGCCGTCATTCAGCACGGACATGCAAAGTTCGTCACGGCCGCTGCATGGCTTGAGGCGTTCCTGTTGGTATGGCGTTAGCATCTTGAAGCAAAAGGTTCGGGATTGACACTAAGAACTTACCCTTCGAGGAAGAAGTCGGTAACTAGGACCGTGGGCGCGACAGTTACTCAAAGAAACCTTGCCCGTTGGCGCGGCGGGAATATTGTCAACCAAGACATCCTGGGGATCATATTGGAGGAAGGCCTTCCAGAAGCTAAGGAGCTCCTGGTTCGCCATCAAATAATTGCATCCCTGGTGGTAAAGCGTGTCTCGGTCGATAATCTGTTGGTTAAACAGATTGCAGAGTTTGAGGAACTCGTTCATTGAAGTCCTGTTTCCAAGATGCTTCCTGACGCGATCGAAAAACGCCAGTTCCTCCTGGTTGGAAGTTGCTGCGGACGGGGGGGGGATAGGCTCCGGCATGACTGGCGTGAGAGTCGGTTCGATAACCGCCACATCCGATGTCAGAGGCTTATGGGCAAGCTTGGGCTTCTTATGAGCGGTCGCAGGAGGAATTACAGTACGGTTGGCTGTAGGGGTAATCTCAGCGGGGGCCGCAACCGGCGCAGGGGTTTGCTTATCGGGTCGGGGGCGCTTCTTAGATTCTTTGCTCGCGCTTGGGGGAGGGGCGAAGCTTCCCAATGGCGGCATCTTGGGACCGCCGAGAGCAGGCTGCGGCGTGTGCATTGCACCCGCAATTGCGGCCTGATCTTCACCCGCTCGGCCGGGGGTTGCCTTCTGCCCCGCAGATTCAGGAAGGAATTGCTTAAAGTCCTCGAGTAGGTCGGGCGCAGTGTGGAATAGAGCGGTGACTTGAGAATAGACATCAGCAATCGCCTTGGACTCCCTCTGATAGGTTTGGAGAATCTCAAGAAATTGCTTGTAGATCTCGGGTTTGTCCTGGAATCGGTTCTGCGTGTCAAGTTTGTTAGTAAGAAACCTACAGAATGAGTGAGCCCCGTCTGGCATACCTTGATTTTGTTTACGTAGCTAATGGCATGGTTGAACTCGACAGGTCCCCGCTTCTCCTGGTTGGCCAACTGCGCCGCGCCCACAGCGGCAGGCCCGGGAGGCCCGGAAGGAGTAGGGGTGTGGACATTTCGCTGGGCTGGGGGCCCCACGGGAGCAGGAACATTAGGCGGCTGGGATGCTCTTAGTTGTTGGCCTGGCGCAGAGGCATCAAAAGGAGGGCCACCCTGGCTCTGGGCATGCGGGTACACTGCAGGGCCGTTCTGCGGGGGACCGCCAAAAGGCGGTTCGGAGCCATCTCCACCGTGGGGGAGTTGTTGGGGCCAATTGCCTGCTCGGTGGTTAAAGAAAGGGTTGCGACCACCCGCTGGCTGGTGGGGATCACCTTGATTTGCCCTTCCAGCAATCGACTGAACTGTAGTGCCCATTGGGGTTGTAACCCTGATTGTGTTGGGATCATTCCCGGCGCCGCACTCTATGCGGTAGCCTGGGGGTAGGAAGGTATTAAACCCCTGGATGAGGTTGGGATGTCCGGCGAATAGCTCGGAAACTCGGTTAATGACTCCTGGGGTATCAATGCTACAGTATAATCATCAGTACTAGCATCTATGTTGTTGCTCGGGATGGCGACGTACGACTGGCTCTTGAAGTCCTTCATGATATCTAGGAAACGATTATAAACGTCCGGTTGGTCATGGAATTGGACCTTTACTTGGTCGAGGTATGTGAGCGCATCCTACAAGTGGTGGAAAGAGGAACAGAAAAGTTAGCAATGTGTTCGATAGGCCACAATACATGTAAAGTTCGACACTGGAGTAGAAAAGCAGGAAATCTGCTTGGGATAGGGACAAATTGAAGGGGAAAAGAGGAAAACCACTTCAGGGTCAGGTTAGACGTAAGACAGCGTCGGCCACGTACATTAAGGATAGGCTGTTGGCCCTGAGGAGCCGCGCCAGGACCTGCCTGGGGCGGAGCAGATGTCTGCACTCCCCCTGCAACTTGGCCTTGTTGAATAGGAGGCTGACCATCCTGGGCAGAGAGAGGGCCACCAAAGATTGCCTGGGAACCAGCCGGGGCACCATGCGGTCCACTGGGGGGGCCGCCTCCATGCGGCATCTGCGCAAACATTTGATGCTGTGGTCCAGGATTGCCTTGTGAGCCGTGCTGGACAGGCGGCCTGTTGCCTTGTTCGTGTAGGGGACCGCCGAAGTTGGCAACAGGACCGGAAGGGGCCCCGAGGGGTATGGCTGAGGAGGAACCGTGATTCGCGAGAAGGCCACCGGGGCTATGGATAGCACCTGGCAAGCGGGACGCTACTGGTTGATGGATGGGAATAGAGCCCGCGCTGCTATGGTGCGGCGGAATGTTCGGGTGGTATGGCTCACGGTGAGACCGCTCGTTTTGCTCGCGCTCACGATGAGCCATCTCGTCGACAGCACGCTGGCGCTGGTGGTCAAGGATTTCGCGGTCCCGTTCGAAAGCTGAGCCTCGTGGAGGCTGATTATTCATGCTGAGTGAACACTGTATTTAAAATAATAAACGTCAGTATAGGGAAAGTTTGCGCATGCGATAAACAATCCGTCGCGAAGGATAGCAGCGAAGGCGGGTGGGTGAGGGTGAAGACCCAAATGAGGCGAGGGCGAGTGTGGGAGGTCGGAGAGAGACAGGGAGCTAGCTGTCGAAAGGGAAACACTCACGTTACGAAACAGCAAATGAAGTCTGCCGCCTACATGTAGGAGACGAGCGCCATTGAATTCCGAAGGGACAATATCTCGAAAATGGGGTTGTGGGAAAAAGATGAATGGAGAGTAACAAATTCTGGTGTGAAGAAAATAAGTGGAAGCTCGGCTGCGTTTCTGCAGCACGTTTGGGAGCGGGCAGACAAAAATGGCGCCTAGGTCGGTCGAGGCTGGAGCGGAAGGCTGTCGAGCCGCCGCTCTCATTGGCTCAAGGGGGTCCACCTCACGTGATGATAACAATTGTTATCAGCGCGACTGTGATTTTCATTCCCGATTTCTCCGGTTCAGTGTCGGGTATTTGCATCATCCTTGTTCAAATTGTGGGACAGGGGTCCGCCTTATTAGTCAGGTACAGTCCCCAATTCCTTTGAAGGCTCTGTGACTGGGCACACACATCACATCATCTCAAGGAACACGTGGTTACACCGGTATATGAAGGCCTGAGGCATTCTGAACCGTCAATTTCAGTATCGGGCAGATCTGCTTTTGAAGGCACTGCGAGATTGATTGCGAGACTGATTTTTGGCAGCTGTAGATTGAGCATAACCATGATGTGTACAGTAAGGTATCACACTTGGGCAGGACTTGAGGAGAAGAGCTGCCTGGGTTTATCAGTCTGTGCAGTATACCACAAGCTTGTCGAGGAGTCCTACAAATAAAATCTTGCAAAGAGCATATTTCAATCCCTGAGGGACTGATACAAATTCTCAGCAAAGCGCTGTTCGTATGCTGCGCCACAGGTCCATTTAGATTATAAACTACCTACATACCTGTCCACCTCGGGAACCAGAGCCGCCACTCAGCTAGATGCTATTATCTAGAGTTCTATTCAAGGGGCTCCATCGTAGGTGAGAAGAAGCGCGTGATGACTACTATTCCTAGGACTATCATATTTAGTATTGTATGTGATGTATACTCACTTAGAATCCTTCATGATATGGAAATACTTCGAAGCCATCAAGAGCTTAGAAGAGGGCTTGATGAGATCAATGACTTTTCGACTGCGCTTGCCGGAATGTACAGAGTAACCCCCGGCGTGGTACAGTGTCAAATCATTATTATTACTGGGCTGTTGGTCGAACACTAGACCTGAAAATCCTAGCACAGCGCAGCGCCTTTGTTCATCCCTCAGATCTTCAAAATCTCCAAGTTGCCTTTATTAATTTCAGACAGCATTCAGCATCACTTTCCTGATCTATTTGCATTCTGGCGACCCTTGCCTGGAGCAAAGTCGCCCCTTCTCATCCGATACATTCCTCTTGACCAAACCGACCGGCTCTTACCTCAACGGCAAGAAAAGGCCGACCGCTCCTACTCTCGCGCCCGCACCCGCCACAAATATCAAACCTTTCCCCGTCGCCTGCTCGCGCTGTCACTTCCCATTCCTCACGACTGGACTCCGATCTCGTCCCTACTCTCGGTCGATAGTCGTCACTCGTGCCTATTTCCGTCGTCCTTGTCGACTCCCATCCTCCTGCGGTGCTTTCTGACCATCCGCCGTCCTTAGTTCTGCAACCAACCCGCTCCAACCCTCCCACCTATAGGTCAAGCTATGGCTTCTACGGCGGACTCCTCCAACATGGATCAGCAGGTCGACCTTTCTACTATCCCCATCTCCCCCGATGGCGATCGCACCGCCGCCGAGGGTTCTAAGGATAGTGGCAAGCTGGTAACCATTTTCCACGACAAGGAAAACTTTAATGTTAAGCACCAACTGCAAAACAAGTGGACTTTGTGGTTCACCAAGCCGCCCAGCGGCAAGGTTAGTATCAAGCTCTTCCTCTGACCTTTTTCTTTCGTCCTGGAGCGTGTCTAATCCTGTTCAACATCTAGGGTGAGAATTGGAACGACCTGCTGAAGAAGGTTATCACCTTTGACTCCGTTGAGGAGTTCTGGGGCATCTACGTAAGTCCTAGTCCGAGCTACACCCATCCCGCCACTTTTAACTTCTATCCTAACGGAGATTTGCCGCAGAATAATATTGTCCCGGTTTCCGAGCTTTCGCTGAAGGCCGACTACCACCTTTTCAAGGAGGGTGTCCGCCCCGAGTGGGAGGACCCCCAGAACAAGCACGGCGGCAAGTGGTCGTATCAATACAAGGATAAACGAAACGTTGACATCGACTCCCTGTGGCTCCATGTCATGCTGGCCGCTATTGGAGAGACTCTCGAAGAGGAGGATGACGGCGAGGTCATGGGCGTCGTCGTTAACGTGCGTAAGGGCTTCTACCGTATTGGCGTGTGGACCCGCACGATAGGGAAGCACATCCCGAACCGCGGAGATGGTGACATCGCCGGCGGCAAGGGTAGGTCTCCAGCCAAGGGCCAGGAGGTCCTTCTGTCTATTGGCCGCAGGTTCAAGGAGATTCTGAAGCTTCCTAACACTGAGGCTGTCGAGTTCTCCGGTCACACGGACAGCGCACACAGCGGTAGTACTCGGGCAAAGGCCAAGTTCACTGTCTAAAAAGAGAAGAAGAGAGTGAACAAAAAAAGGAACTTTTTATTTATTTATGTTGGCTTGATTCGAGCGTCACAAACGGGCAGTTTCGGGGCGTTGCTTGGTAGAGGGTCGGTGGAATTCACATTTGATGCTGTCACAGCGGTTCGTTGCTCTACTCTACCAACTAGAGCTACCGCAAACAAAAGTTATCGTCTTTCCGCTCTTTTCCCTGACGGAGAAGACTCTTCATGGCGTTCGCTCGAGTCACGGGACTGAGGCATGAGCGTAACGTCTAATGGCTAGTTATGGAAACTCTTTTGCTTTCGTTTTTATTGTACCCAGCCATTCCTCTCAGGTTTTATTCCAATAGCTTGGTTCTCTCAAAACAACGGCACTCCCAGGACATAGAATAGGCAAGGATTCGAATATCCCTTGTATCCTCGAAATACATTCAAAATTTTCGGGAACCTACGGTCATGTGGTAACGCTTGTAATCGTGCTTAAACGGAGGCCATCGTAGGCCAACGATATCTCCTTTCTCAATTATCACCAAAACCAGTATGTCTCGGTATACCTCTGCTATTCCGAGGGTGTTGATTCTTACCCAAGGGTTTCCGGAGCGCAAGAAGCTCTAGAGGCGGGTGCTATCTAAGAGGCTAAAGAGGCCATTGGTGATAGATAAGTGGTTAATCCTCTTCGAGCCTGAAAGGAAGCCACACCCGGATGCCGAGGACTACTTGCCAGCTGCGCCTAGTACGTCGGCTTGCGATATTGGCGGAGACCTAGGTAGAACCGATCTGGAGAGGATAACAGTATTATAGTGTTCCAAAAAAACGAGCCTGGATTAACAAAGTGGTTCGCCGAGCGCGACTTACACCAAGAAACAAGGTCTATGGGGGAATCGGACATTGTGATGCACACGCTCTATTATTTTTCTTCGCCGTCCGTCTAGCGTCTCTATATGTTAATACATATACTTACATCTCATCTCCGCTGAAGTCATCAGCAAAGACCGCTTTCACTAACTGCTTCTTATTAATCTTTCCCATCGCATTCCGGGGTATATGATCGACAACTCTCAAAATCTGAGGAATCTTGTAATTTACAAGGCGATCCCTAAGCGCCCGGCGCATGTCCATCGCCGACCACTTGGTCGCGTGCTCCTTGTCCAGGATGACGATAGCGCCAACCTTCTGACCCCACTTACCCGAGGGGACGGCCACGACAGCGGCCTCGGCTATCTCGGGCAGGGAGAGGAGCTCGCGCTCGACTTCGAGGGCGCTGACTTTTTCGCCGCCGCTCTTGATGATGTCGGCGCTCTTGCGGCCCTGGATGAAGTACATGTCGCCGCGGGCCCACTCGTGGCGACTGTGGCCAGCAGTAGGGACGGGTCTGCGGACGGCCACGTCGCCCGTCTTGAACCACTTTCCGCGACCGTCCTCGCCCTCGACGAACTCGGAGGCCGTGGCGGTGGGGTTGCGCCAGTATTCTTTGAAAATGGTGGGGCCGCGCAGCTGGATTTCTCCGGAGCGTTCGCGGCCCTGGGCATCCTTCTCCTCGCCGGCCTTGATGATCTCGCCCGTGTCGACGTCGATGAGACGGGCTTCGACGGTGGGTAGCGGCCAGCCGACGCTAGCGTCTACGCGGTCGGCGAAGTCGAGACCGCAGCTGAGAGCCATGCCGACCTCGGTCATGCCGTAGCGCTCGAGGAGGATGTTGCCGTGGCTGAGGTCGGCCCATGCCTTCTTCACGGGGGTGGGAAGGGCGGCGGAGCCGGAGATGCTGACGCGCATGTGCTTGGGGGAGATGGCTTCACGGGCGGGTTCTTGGAGCTCGACTGGTAGTGTTTTGTGCGTGGATAGGAGCCTGCTGTAGACGGTGGGTACGACGGTGAAGAAGGTGATCTTCTCCTTGGGCAGACCGTTCTCGTGGACGAAGGGGCTGGCGAAACGGCGCCATACCTTGTCGGGGTTGAACGGGAACATGAACTCGACGGTACTTCCAGCGAAGAGGGGGGTGAGGATGGCGTTTACGGTACCGTGGATGTGGTGGAGGGGGAGCACGTGTAGGAGGTGGTCGGCGGCCGAGTATTCCCATGCTTGCACCAGGCTCTTGGACTGCGCTGTGAGTGTAGAGGAAGGGAGGAGAACACCTTTCTACATATTTATTTATTTATTAAGTTAGCAACTTTTTGATGTTCAATCGCTGCAGAGTGTAGGTGGATCGAGGCACACGCACAGGTCGATTCGTCGTTCCCGAGGTGTACAACATCATGGCGGCATTTCCGGGGTCGTCATTCTCCAAGGTGACATGCTCATGCGCAGAGCCTCCAGGGAGCTTCTCTAAGTGCAGGTATGAAGGTTTCACGTCCAATTCGGTGGCCAGCACCTCGGAGGCCTTGTTCGCAAACTTTGCTGAGGAAACGAGGAGTGAGGCTTCGGATTGGTTCAGGATGTACTGGAGCTCCGCGGCCGGGAAAGCTGGTGAGAGGGGAATGGCGATGGCTCGGGCAGCAAACGTAGCGAGGAGAGTTACTAGAGGGGTGGAAAGCCTCGCATGTTAGTCTGGGGAAACTATGTTCCCGCGGTTTTGGGGCTGTAGAGTTTTCTTCCTCTGGGCCGTTACGCATCGGGGCGCATCCGAGTCCGGAGAGGTTGGAGGAGAGGGGGGGGTTGGAGGGGGAGGATGCGCAACTCACCTACGTAGTCATAGCTATTCTCTACCAAGAACGCGATTCTATCGCCATTGAGGTCCTGCTTGCCAGCAGCCTCCTGCAACCTGTTCCTGGCCTTGCAGACATCGCCCAGGAGCTCTCCGTACTTGAATCTCCGACCAGACAGCGAGTGTATCACGGCGGTGGAATCTGGATCGTGACGTGCAATTGCGTCGAAGAGGGGTAGCTTCGGTAATGTGGACGCCATTCTCAAGGTGGAGCCAAAGTAGGAGTAGGCAGTCTTGGTATGCGGTTGTGTAAGTGAGCTTCGGAGCAAGGGAAATCTAAGAGCAAGAGCAGACCGTCGTGTGACAGGCCGGAGGACACAAGGAGACCAATGCATCGTGAAACGGGGAAAAAGGAAGGGAAAAGAAACTGGTTATTATAAATAATACAAGAGCCCAGCCACCAGCCACTAGGGACGGGTTAATATCAATGGGAATTAAGATCGGAGACGCATCGGGATGGATGAGGAGCCGTTCACTGTCCGAGCCGGACTTGGGTTTAACAAGTTTCGCATCTGCCGAGTTTGGAAGACGGGAGCTCTGGCCGACATTGGAAACTGAGCGTGGTAAATTGGGACGAAAGTGGATAGGCACAAGAATTGAGGACCCTGGCAGTTAAACTTGTTTAGTGCGCACAAGATTAGCTTCCTCCCGCTACGTAACTAACCTGGCTAGTTTGTGAGGTCATGTCGATTTTTTTTCCTCTTTGAACGACGACAGGACAAAACCGCGTCATAAGCGAGGATCAGAGATGTACCTTCGTACTATTGATTATATCAGCATCTCGGACCCAATTGCTAGCCCAGCTTCGTTAATCCATCTCTCGCATCGGGTTGCCTGCCGGCATCCATCCACTGTTCATGCCACGAGTGGGCATCAAATATTCGTCATAAAGAAAGAAATGGACCCCGGGGTAACCAGAGACGATATCAAAACTATTTAAAAGTTCTGGGTGAGAAAGTTAGAAAAGGTCATATATTGCAGCCATTCATTCACCCTCATTATGCCATTAGCGCCCATCATAAGCACCAAGATAAACATCAAGCGAGCCTCAATTTGGCCCAAAACCCTCAAGAGATGGACATGATCGATGCCGGCCTCGGATACACTACGCTTGCTGACTTCATCACTAGCAAATCCTGATCACTCTTCAGGTCAAGGAGGGTGAGCTGAAGGCATCGTATTGCACTTCAGGTGTATCAGAAGCGGAGGTGGATAGTTAGTATGGAACCGTGAGCGTGTTTTGGACTGCGGCTGCGTAGGTTGGATATCCTGGCCTTCCTATTGAAAGCACGGACGGAGGCTTGAGTGACCGTGGTAATGGTCGCTGAGTCTATGGCTGGTTCCTCATCTAGACATTGAATGTGAGACAGAGAGGGGGGTCATCGTAACGATTCAGCGAGCAAACGAGTCGTTTGACATGCTAGGAACACTATACTGTTTTACAGAGCCATAACCCACACATGAGACCAAGAATGTGATGATCTCAAGCCTGGTATGCCTTTGTCGGCGAGAGAATCGAGCCGGAAATGTACGAGGGAAGGCAGACTTCTGGCTAGATCCAATGGTAGAGACGTCGCCGCCGTTTTCCGCAGTGTTGGTCGAGGACGCCGTGTGCAAAGAGCGGGATGCCAACCTGCAACATGTCATGCTCGACGGTTTTGTCCACGCGCTTCTTCTACTACCCACCAATCACAGCAAACAAGACTGGAGGCTGCTAGGAAAGAAGAGGTCATGGGGAGAAGATGATTTTGATATCCACTGAGTTAGGCGAGAATGGTAGGCTCGAATATTAGTATCGTCAAAGGAGGAAACGAGACTGGTAAACTACGGAGTCCGCTTGGAGGGGCCTCACAGACGAGATCATCCGATGTTGACAGGGCCGCGATACTTGGGCAGCGCGATATTGGGGGAGGCTTGTGAAAGTCTGTGTTATTAAAGCCTCAATCTCGGGCATTACATGTAGTAGGCTAGGACTGAATATCATTACGGGCTGAACTATTTTCTGAACCTCTTTTATTTGAACATCTACTTCTTCCCGAAAAGAAGAAGGGAAAAAAAAAAAAAGATAAGGACTGAAGTTAGAGGGCCCCTACTTCGATTAGAATCACAAGTACCTTCTTCCCGACACGGAAGTAGCCAGGTTGGCGATACCCTCGTCATCAATTTGGGTGTTGATAGCTTCGGATTGACAACCCCAACCCATCTTCGGCCCAATACGGTCTATTTCGGTGACGGCATCAGGCTCTTGGATCATCTTGAACATAATTTTCCAAGTTGATCCGCGCTTTTGGCGAGGGTTGCTGTTTCCTCTTCACCCCTTCCTACCCCAAAATGATGATATTGACATTCGAGGAGGCGGTATGCAGAGTGACTGTGACTGTTGGGTTGGTCCTTCTTGTCGCGGTGAAGAGATCAAGCTAACATAGCAGGCAGGCACCACTGCAGTCGATCCGAGCCAAAGTCCCTCCACACTGCACAGGCACCACGCAGTTTGTGACACACACACACCCAGCACCAGTGACTCTCTGGACATGCCCCCACCCCACCCTCAAAACCGCCCCCTTTCCGTTCCGAGCAAGGCGACCCAGCGGCAGGGCCTGACCAACCCCGACATTTCGATGTACCTCGTAGTGCAGTGTACAGTGCCTGCCAGCAAACACTGGTGTACATTTGTACCTGTGTACACTACCCACCACTGACGCCAGTGACAAACACCATCCAGAGGTACACTATTACTTCGTACCTCGTCATCAACCTTGCTTTATCATCACCGCCTCTCTCACTCTCATGACTTGGAACAACCTGGCGTCTGCCCGTGCCGTATCTCCTTGCAGCATCCAAGTGGGGTTGTCTGTACATGCAATTGAACCCTCCTCTCCCAGCACAACAACACTGGACCTCTGTTCTCTGGAACTGCAGCCCGTAGCTCGCTGATTGGGTGCCATCGTACTTTAGCCTCCTGTTGGAAAATTCTCAGCTTTTCACCGACACACCGAATTTTCCTGTGCCGTTGCCTTCTGTGTTCTCCTGTGCCTTTTGGGTTGAAAGTACTTGAAGAAATCCAATCCTCCCGGTCCTGTTCTCTTTTTTCCCCTTCTCTTCCTTTTCCTTCTCTTCCAGATGGCTCTTAGCGCGTCTCTTCGCCCCCTCCTCCCTTCCTCCACTCCTCTCGGCCCGTTCGCCATACCCCATGCGGGAAGGATATCGAAGCTTCCTGTCCTTGTCCACTTCTCGACGGCTCCTCCGCCTTTCCAACAACAACGTCCCGGTCACCGTGCTCGTTCCGGTCTTCGGGTCGATCCAACGGCGAGCAAACGACACTCGTACGGCATGTTTCGCAGATACGCCTTCGGTTTTCCTCCAGTGAGGCCACTCTCTACAATGTCATCAACGTCCGCCACACCTATCGAAGATGCCATCCGATCAAAGGTACATCTCGCCAGACCGCCTTATCCAAGGTCCCTTGTCAACAGTCCGCCTCCCGTCTCTCCACACGGTGACTCGGTACTACCCTGACAATACGTACTTGTACTCTATTGATCCTGGTTCTAACATGTATGGCTTCATGCTCAGATCACGGCTGCTCTCCAACCGTCAACCCTCGAAATCCAAAATGACTCTCACCTCCACTCCCACCACAAGGCTATGGTCGGCAGCACGTCCAAGGAGACTCACTTCCGGTAAGGGCCCGCTTTAACAACCAACCTCTGAAAACGTTACCCGTCCGCTGACTTAGACATGCATCAAGACTCACCATCACCTCGGAGGCTTTCCGTTCGAAAATGCAGTCCGCACGCCACCGTATGATCTACGCTCTCCTGAGAGAAGAAATGGCCCAAGAGGGTGGCATCCATGCCCTTCAGCTCCGAACTTTAACCCCCGAAGAAGAGGAGAAGCAGAGGACCAAGGCTGCCGAGCAAGAGGAACAAAAGCAAAGGCACCACCAAGAGCCTCAACATATTACCCCTGCCGAATAAATGACAACTCTTCTACCCTTGCTAAGCGAGGTTCTCTTGCATTTTACACCCCTCCTTTCTTTCCCCCCTTTTCTTCATCACTTTCTCTATTTGCTTTTTCTCCCCTCCCTTAGACTTACACTTTTCACACTCTCATGGCTCTCGGCATCCGATAGACTCCCCCCTACGCCTGCCTGCCATTTACCTCAAAAAGGAGAGAAAGAGCGTATCCCTTCTCCGCTCATGCTTACTTTTTCTACATACTTACTTTTTTCTTCTTCTTTTCTTTCTTTTTTCTTCTCGGATATACAAGTACTAGAGAGATATCATGCACCTCCCCTCGGTATGGGGAGTGTTGGCGCTTAAAACCCAGATTGGAGTTTCTTCCTTTCTTCCTCATTTTTTCCTTTCTTTTTTTATACCGCTTTGTTACTCTGAAACTACTAAAAGAAGTTGTCCAGCTTTGGACTAGAAAAGTCTGCTCAAGCAAAAACATATTGGAAACAGGATTCGCAGTCGACAAAAAAATGACCGAGATAAGATAGGGAATGGAATGGGTTATCAAGTTGATCGAGGAAACACAGGGACTGGGTAATTTGAGCCGGATGAAATGTCGTTCAAGACCAACTCATGTTTATGATCACAATACAAGGCCGCAATGGAGTTTGCCGAATTGGACTTAATGCTATGGTATCAATTACGAGCGAAGTGTGGTATGTATACACGCCGCGTGATCTCTATGGGTATCTCTGCATTATACCATCCGACTCATTACCCGAAAACGCCCATCCATATCATAATTCGTTAACTAGTGTACAATTCCATGTAAAGCTCACTTCTTCCGTACGGGTACTGGAGATGACGAGGCTGCTATTTCTGCCTTTCTGCGTAGAATATGCATTCTCAGGGCCTCCTCCCTGGTCATTGGTGTGCTGCCGCCCCTGCTTGCTGGCAGTGACCTCCTGGCCGTCGGTTTCTGGATCGTGCCATCTGCCACGGTCTTGAGCGCATCCTTGAGGGTCGCCTTTCCTGACATACGTGGGGGTAGAGAATGGCAGGCCCCGCGGGCTAGACCAGTGCTCGCTTTGCTAGAAGCCACAGGGAGGCTAGGCTTGGGAGGGTGAGGGGTCATCGAACGCATTTTCGTAGCCATTGGTCTGGGAGATCGCTCTCCTAGTGTCCCTAGAATGGGAGCTTTGGAGGCTGTATCTAGTTCTGGGAAGGAAGGCATCGGCCTAGGTGTGCTTGCGTCCTTTCCGCCTTCACCAAGGAGCTCTCTAAGCACTCGAGATGCGGGATTCAAAGGTGAGCGGGGAGTAACGATGTCTTGCACTTGTCGGTGTCCGCCGGCGGGACGAAGAGGTGTTTCAGTCACTTGGGCATCCGACATCTGCGAAGCGCTAATAGTGCGAATGGGTTGACTAATCTGACGGTCCAATATTGACCCAGTCTCGGCTCGCCGAGACTTGACCTCTGAGCGTAGCTGTGAGGCGTGAATTGGGGCAGGCGTACTAGTTGGTGACGAGTATTCGCGTTGGGAAGGCATGTGTTTGGGTGGCGGTGAGGATTGCGGAACGAGGCGGTCGTGGGATTCTATATGAGGCGGTGGAGCATAGCCGCTGTTCAACTTTGTGGAGGCGGAGGACAGTTGGCTGGACATGATGTTCTTAGAAGCAGCCCTAACGAATGTTCTGGGCGGTCGCGTCGGGGAGGACGGGGTATCTGTCTGGGTGCTCTGGTCGACTTGAGATATAGGTACATCTTTAGGTTGGTTTTGCTTCAGTAGCCTTTCCATAGATGTATCGACCTCGTTTGCAACCTCCTCGGTAGTCTCAGGGTAGGCATCAAAGACATCATCTAGATTCGACCTCCTGATAATCATCTCGTCGTAGGCTGGTTTCCCACCTATACGGTTATACCACTGGTGCGCTGGAAGCGGCCTATCAGTGGCCCCAACATAATCAACGTATCCCTCCGTGAAAGCGCGAATGAAGTCGTCGTATAGAAAGTCGCTCAAGAGATCTCGGTCTTGGAGGAACTTTAGACATACACATGCCCGAATGAAGTCGCTAAGTCTCCCTCTATATTCGGGATATATAAGCTTGAACGCCCTGAATGGTTTCACATCGCCCACACCTAGGGTTGGCCGGTTTGCAAGTAGAGGGGTTGCTGGGATAAAGACCTCTCCCGGCGGCATGGAAGCCGGGCCATGTTGGGATATGCGCCGCTTCTTTTGGGGATGTTCTTGATCGGAGATGATGCCATCAGTGGCGAGCCGCCGTTTAGGTTTCTCAGGGGAGAGCCGAGGAAGATCAGGGGTCATTCCTAGTGAATTTTCCGCAAGTGAGGATGAGGTCGAGTCTTCTCCGGCCTTTGGTCGGCTGGTTGAGAGGTGGCGATTGAGATATGCTTGGTCAGGCTCGATCTGGCTGAAAGACGGTGCCTCCATACGCCGAGGGCGCCGCGCTGGCATGTCAGGGCGCCGCGTAACTGAGCCTGCAGTAGGAGCAGGGGTGGTCTGAGAAATGGCAGCTGCTGATTCTCGCTGGGTGGAGTAGGGGTCGCCTTGGCCGCACGGGGGCGGGCTGCATATTCGTGGGGAGCTAAGGGCAGATGGCTGACTGCCAGCGTAGCGAACCGGCAGCCTATTGACCGCTTCGCCGGCCAGCTTTGCCACGTTGGGCACCGCAACCTCGAGTTCTTCCTCCTCATCTATGCTGCTGCGTGGCGGTTCTGCCGATCTATTTCTCGACCTTATGCCATTCGCCAATGACAGCGCTGAAGCTACCGGGGTGATACTGTTTGTGGGTGGAGATTCTTGAACCGTTTGAGCCGGTGGGGAGGATGGAGCGACAGGAGTTACTGGCCATGAAGTCGTGAACTCTTCAGGAGAGGATTCTTCGTCCCTTTCACTCTTTCCAGTCGAGACTGCATTTTTTTGCGGTGTCGCCGGTGCGGGCAAGCTAGAACCGGCAACATTCAATACATCGCTTTCAGGGCTAGATGCCTGCTGTAGAGACTGAGTTCCATTGTGTACAACTGCCTCTGTAGCAGTGCCCCCAACATTTTCTTGATGGCGAGTGCGGGCGAGGCGACGGCGTCGATGAAATTCGGTAAATGTCGTCAAAACGCTGGGCGGTATATTTATAATACCTAGCCTGCTATGGCCAGACTCCAGGGCGTTGATCCAGGAATCCGGGCGCTGAAGGAGACTCGCTTGGTCTTTGGGGATTTTGATGGTCGACAGACGGGAAGAGCGCCGCGACGTATTGAATGGGAACGTATCTGCCATCCTGCTCTTGACATGCTTAGGAATGTGGGAGGTAGAAGTTGAGGAGGTAATAGGTAGGGAGTTGTATCCCTAAGGACATCGAAGGAGATCACGGGGAAATCGGATTGTTAAAGAATCAGCATAGCGCGAAACCTTTCGGCTTTGGGATGGTAAAGGAAACCTCAACTGTAATCACACAAAGCAGAGGAAGGAGCTGGTTGGAGCTTGGACTTGAAGCTACAAACGCGTCCCTAGGAAATCGTTTAACGCGACAATTGAAGAATCTAATGCCCCACTCAAGTGAAGTAGTACTCCCCGATACATGCAAATATTCCATAGCGCCTAAGTATCCAGCAGAGCGGATCAGTTCCTCTTCGTACCCTCAGTACACTAAGAATATTGCGGGGTTGATGAACTAAAAAGCCAAACAGGAAGTAGGAGTTCCATCCGAACGGCGTCATGCAGCACCTATCAAGTATTTCGTACTGACAGTCCACCTCTCCCTCTTTGCAACAGCTGCGACTTGGATTTTGGGCAGTGACTTTCAAGCTCCACGGGCAGGGCCCTAGCAGAGTGTCTACACTACACTAATGTACTTGCGCACAAGCCTGCAGCGTGCCCTCGACACGTGGCAGCTGACCCCTTAAGGTTCTGACGATGTACTTGTACACCCCTCCTCCAAGGCTTAAAGTGATCATTGATGTACTTCGTAATTCGTGTAATATATTCTGTACGAAGTCCACTACGGAGTACGCATGTGGGAAGTACCAGGTATCTTTGTTGCCTCTGTCTCGACCAATGACAGTTCGAAGCAGGTGCTCTTCTTCCCAAGATCGACAGCTTCCTTGGTGACAATGACATAAGGTTCAACCTAATGGCAGCGGCTACAATATTGAGGTTTTTGTCTCTTCTTGTGTTTCTTGCTAACAAGGGATAACTCTCGTCGGCTCTTAACATTTTCAAACATCCCGCTACTACCGCTAACCTGACTCGGCTCCGAATAGTTGAGACCTTGATATAGCAATACCCAACTCATCGGCCGTCTCTGCGACCCTCATTTGAACGACCCGTCTACGATCGCCTCCAACGCTGAGCCTCTGAGTTACCCCGGTCGATTTCAACGCATCCTCCAAACGTGAGAATAATATCGGCCCGTCCACATCCCTTCACGTCCTCATCGAACGTAACCGTCCGCTCAAAACACGTCCTCCGAGATCTAGAGTGATGCGGAAGGCTGCTGAAGGTCTCACACGGTTCCGTCGCTAGACCTAAACACTCTATAAAGATCTGCGTCGTCGCATGGATGAACGCTAATGGTGGGCCTTTGAAGGGTAGCGACCCTCGACCTTCGGCACTGATTGTCAGACCGGAAAGTCGAACATCGTCCCGACTCGCTCACCATGTCGGCGGCAAACAACAACAATAACCTTTCGAGCACTCACCCTGCGTCTCCGGTCACCACAACCGCCAATATGGCAGCCCAATCCCGTCGAGACTCGTCCACCTCCAATGCTCCCTCTGTAGCCACATCCCGCGCCGGTAGAGATAAAGACCAGCTTGCTCAAACCCTCGATATGATACATACCTCGGCCAGTCGTTCTGATGCCCTAACTACTTTCAACGACTTCACGGCTCCTCCCCGTCGACCGACCCCTGTAACCGAGAGCAAGGGATTAGCAGGTGACATCGTCCAACAAGGGCTAAGCGGGTTGTACACGCGATTAAAGGAGGCTGTCGGGGGAGGTGGCGCATCCAAACCCAGCCAAGATACCGAAGATGCTATTCTCCGGGAGCCCACCTCCGGACACAGCTCTTCCAAGCCGAGCGTGGACTTGAGGGTATCGGTACCGTCTCCCTCCCGGCTTGGACCTGGTCCCCCGCCATCAGTCCTTGCCGCTGAGTTATCGCCGACTACTGCATCTGCGAGTCAAGCTCATTTCGATCCGTCCGCTTCAACCCCTTCCGGACGTGCAAGCATCTCAGGCGCAGCTTATGCTCTGGCGAATATGGGCATGGATACTACCAGCGCAACCCCGGTAACCGTTCAGGAGATCTCCCGGAGTGCCGTTCCTAGCGATGACGGTCTAAGTCGCCTATCTGGTAGCCGAAAGAGCTTATCCAAGACCGAACTGACAGCCGCCGGGACGCCGACGGGATCAGAGATGCCTATTTCTTTCGATAGAGCGGACGTCACAAGTGTGCGGAGTGATCGAGCCAACAGCTCCGCCCGTACTCCACGGGAGGAAGGCCCCATTGCAGATTATAATGGAGAGCTGCTACCTCTTAGTCCTGTCAAGTCCGCCACAGCATCCTCGGTGAAATCTCACGATTTTCGCCCACCATCCACAACACCGGCCCCGTTATCCAGGACGCCAGTAGTTATCGAACGTATCACGCGGCCACGGTCTCCAACACATGCGGGATCCCACACATCGTCCGTTGCCCCAAGTATATCCGATAACGGCCCCAACCATGCGTCTACCCGTGCCTCTCACTATCGCGATTCGAAGCCCGCCGACGCAAGGTCGCAAGCTACGCGCACGCCTGATCTTCGAGTACCTGGAGCGCAAGGGAATAGCGAGCAAGTGAACATGAGGCTTGAGAAGATGAAGAAGCAAGTTCTAAGCAAAGAATTCTGGATGGCAGATGAAACTTGCAAAGAGTGTTTTCTTTGTGGCAGTGTGTTTAATGTTGTACGGCGGAAACACCACTGCCGGACATGCGGGTGCATCTTCGACTCCAAGTGCACATCCATCATCTCGGGCCAGAAGTTTGGCGTATCTGGGAACATTCGTGTATGCAAAACTTGCCTCGCTATCATCAACAGGCGCTATGACACCAGCGGCTCGGACGATTCGGCAGACGATTCATATCTGCCAGCCATCTTCCGATCTACCACCGAGCAGTCTCAGAACAGCCAGAAGTCTACTCGTTTTGTTGAACCAAAGCCTTCTGGGGCTGAGGACCGGGTTTCTTCACATAGTTCGGAAAGAGGCGAAAGGCACTATGATGTCCGCTCGGGGACGACGCCGATGATGGCCATTCCAGCGACGCGAAGGATTGGGGAATCGAATAGGCATTCCGCGGTTCTTGAAATCGACGCACCACAACTAAGCCGTCCGGCATCTTCCCGATCTCTGAGATCGTTGGCATCATCTCGCCCACAGTCCTCTGGCCATAAGCGCCACCACTCCAAGCATAACGCCCTGGGCAGGTTCAAGTCCGTAAACCCGGACGATCGCGCCCCCTTTCGGAAGGGGCTGCGCGACGAATTAAATCGGAAGAGTCCTTTCCCCGCCTTCCACGAAGACAACATCATCGATCCGGAGCTCGCGGCTTACATGTCAGACGAGTCAAGCGCCGACGAGCAAATGGGTATTTTTGCAACAATGTCGAACGCCGACCTTCAATCCACAAGTTTTGACGACAAATCAAACTTTGGCCCACTTCTAGCAGCGGGGAGGAAACACCGTGGGCGAGACAAGAGCATCAGTGGCATGAGCTTTACGAGTCGGGGTCTTGACGATACTGTAGGTGTTGGTGGTCATTTTGGACATCGCGCTCCTCGAAGAAGGAATTTGAGCAACGTCAGCACAAGCGTCCATCATCTACGCTCACCACGACCCAAGTCTGGTGTCTTCAAAGGCCCTTCAACTTCAAATGAGATGCTTTTCTCCCTGGACACCCCGGTGACAGAGACTACCAAACTTACAAGAAGTGAATCTCTTCGAGGGGAAAAGGCGCCCCAGGTGGAACTTAACCCATCCAGCAAGCGACACGTTCGAAAGCTTCTCCACCAACTTCTAGAAGATGCTGAAGTCCCGAACCCTCCCGCCTGGGAGAAAGCTCTCATACCGATTCTGATACAATGTACCGATGATGTTACACCAGACGTTCGCCACGGGGATTACATGGACATTCGACACTACGTAAAGTTCAAAAAGATTCCTGGTGGGAGGCCCGGAGATACCAGTTACGTGTCTGGCGTTATTTTTACGAAGAATCTTGCTCTCAAAAGCATGCCTCGCCGGATTATCCGGCCTCGGATTCTCATTGTCACCTTTCCTATCGAGTACCAGAGACATCAGCAACAGTTTATGAGTCTTGGGCCGGTCATCGAGCAAGAAAAGGAATTCCTTCGAATAGTGGTCAATCGGATTGTTAAACTCAACCCTCAAGTCCTCTTGTCGGAGAAGGGTGTCTCAGGAATGGCGCTCGAGATGTTGTCGGGGGCGAATATCGCGGTGGCTTACAACGTTAAGCCATCTGTTATCGAAGCAGTGGCGAGATGTGCCGAAACAGACATCATCTCATCTATTGACATGCTCGCCTTGCCTGTTCGCGTCGGCCATTGCGACGGTTTCGAGGTAAAGACATTTGTGAATAACAACTATCCCAACAGGAAGAAGTCGTATATCTTCCTCTCTGGCTGCAACCCAGCCCTCGGATGCACGATTGCTCTGCGTGGCGCCCCTACGCAAACTCTCTCTAGTGTTAAGCATATCACGGAGTTCATGGTCTACGTTGTTTACAATCTCAAACTCGAAACTTGCCTAATGAGGGACGAATTTATTCGCTTGCCCACAGGAGAAACTGACGTTTCTGTGCCATCTACTACCCGGCAGACCACAGAGGGAAGTCTCAACAACTCGACTCACACTAAGCAGTCCGACCATACTGGGCCTGGTCCTACCGTGGTCATCAATGCGCCCGAGAGCGAGCCGCCATCCCAGACGAGCATCGATACTGGCGACTATAGCGAAACAACAAATGCCTCCGGTGATACGGCCGGTGCTCAAGACAACCACACAGAAAGCCGCCCGTCACAACCCTCCGATACTTCACACGCGGCGCACGACGTCACAGTACCTGAGGATGTACCAATGCCAACCTACTACAGCGACATGGTCGCTAGGTACGAAGCGAAGATCCTCTCAGCCTCTCCATTTGTCAGGTTTACGCAACCTTACCTCCTGATGAGGGCCCGAGAGCAAGAGCGACGTTTGGTGTACCTGAAGCGGTTGCGAGACCAGGACTCGGAGGCAGAGCCTGACCCAGAGAAATCCAAATCGCAACCCTTCCAGTTAATAACTCCAGAAACGGTGCACTCTATCGGGCAGAAGGCCCCAAGCCAACTAAAGGAAATCATCCGCGCAGTTCACGACGCCGAGTATGACAAAGCGCTCTATAACTACCAGACCCATAAGCGACAGTGGGAAAATTATATCCAGGGAAACATCAACCTCTTCGATCCTTACTCCCATCAAAACATTGTCGTACTTTACTCGGTTATTTGCACGGAGACCAAGATACCTTGCGTCGAACCCGGGCTGATCACGATTGGCTTCTATGATGAGCAACACATGGATACTGGGATGGACCCGGATTGCACATTGGGCCAGTACATCGAGGACTTGTGTTTTTCCAAAGACTCTGTCTGCGCGTCCAATGGCTGTGACCGGACTCTCCTGGAACATCATCGTACCTACGTGCATGATGCGTCCATGATTACCATTTTCCTGGAGAATGCACCTGAAGAATCGCCAACACTTTTCTCTGACGACATCACAATGTGGAGCTACTGCAAGGTTTGCCAAAAGGACTCGCCAGCGATGCCGATGTGTGAAAGCACGTGGAAGTACTCTTTCGGGAAGTACCTCGAGCTCCTCTTCTGGAGCAGGGGTTTGCGATTGAACGACAAGGCCGACTGCCCTCACGACCATCATACGGATCATATTCGATATTTTGCGCTCCGTGATACTCGTGTTCGGATCCACTACGACCCGATTGACCTGCTGGAAATCGTAGTCCCGAGGTCCCGCATCACCTGGAAGGTTGAACGTGACCTGAACCTGAAGAACGACATTTACACGAAGACGGAAGAGAGGTGGAACCGATTCATGATTTCCGTGACGGCGCGTCTCAAGAATATCCGCATTGACGTTGTGCTTCCAGAGAAGGCTGATGCCTGCAAGGCCGAGGTTGATAAGTTGATGAAGAAGGCCACGGACGATCACGTGAGGCTCATCCGCAAGATGCAGCAGATTTATATAAACTCGAAGTATTACGAAGTCATACCCTTCAATGTGGTTATTCGAGAAATGCTTGAGGTAGCTGGAGAGTGGGATACTGCTTTCGCGCAATTCGAGGCCGATTTCCTTCCGGATAAGGATGTGCGCCAGCTGACGGTATTACAGCTGAAGAAGATGTTTACGGATAATGAGTCCAGAGAATCGCTTCCTGCTCCGGAGAGCCTTACTTCCTCTACTGCAGAAACTCTCGAGACCACCCCGACGGTCGAGAGTGACGAGCCGCAGTCCCAAACCTTCACTGACTCGGAGGCCAAGTCCTCGCAACCGACGGACTACACAGATTCGAGTCTCGACAATAGCGGTGCGTTGGAGAAGGCAGAAGAGCCAATACCACTCGCGGAGGTCACCCTCCCGACGGACGAGGCTATGGATCGCGTGGAGCCTCTTGATCTGGCGACATCTGTCCAAGTTACACCTCACCAGGGCGCGAATGCTCAGGCACCACTAGCAACACCACCGATAACAACCGCTCCGGAGCCTGCGTCCGCCTTAGCGGCTGAGAAAGACGTACAAGACGAGGGTGCGGACGCGCAAGCTGGCCCCAAGGCCAGTGATGTGCCTCTCGCCAAGACGACGCCAGCATCCCCCAGCGTCCCCACGCCTCCACTCAGTAACTCGTCTTCAGATAAGTCGCTCAAGGAGAAGGTGGAACAGTTGAAAAGGAGAAATCAAATGCTGCAGGGAGAGTCCGGGCTTCCCCGGCACATCACGGCAGAGGCCGTCAAATCGATGATACCCGAAAGGAGCTCTTCGCGCAAGGTTGGCTCGAGCATTTCGCCGCCGATGATTAGGTCCATAACGCAGCCCACTGTTCGACAACTATCCAAGCCCCAGCAGCTGCGTCTGCTTGATGCGCCGGCTGCTGAAGAAGGTCCCCTAAAGACGGAGAAGAGGCTTTCGGACAGGCTTGCGGGCGCCCTGAAGCCGCGGAAACCGGGGCCGCCTTCATCGATACCAAGATTGGTGCATAAGAAGGAGTCGAAAGTCAGCACACTCGCCAAACATTTTGAGCAGCTCAGCCGTGAGTTTGAGAATCAGCGTATCCGTGACCGTAAGAAGCGAGCGGAGAAGATGAAACAGCGTCAGCCTCGCACCAATTTGCCTCGGACATCAACTGCCGCCATCGTGGAGGTATACGAAGATGTAGACGAGGCGGTACAAGAACCTAGCCCGTCGGAGCTCGAGCAACAGCCAAGCAAATGTGTTCAGTCACCCCCTCAGACGCCGTGCAAGCCTCCTTCTCACTCTCAGAAAGGTGAAGCCACACGCCCGGAAACGTTACCGCAGAATGGCAAGACACCTGCAACGCCAGTAGCAGAATCAACTGGCTGCTCAGAGAAAGCAGCTGAAACCGGAGTAGAGCCCAAGGCAGATGCTGAAGCGGAGACAGACGCTGTCCAGGCAAGCCGAAACGAGTCGGATTATGAATTCGTTAGTGACGCCGAGCGATCCCAGGACGACGATATTCTACAAAACGTTAAGGAGATCGCGGACTCTCTTGAGCCTACGACAGAGGAACTGCCGAAGCACCAAAAGACGAGCTTGCTCAAAATGCTGACCAACTTCTGGGCTGAGCGGTCATCAAGCGGATGGCAGCCCCTGGATTATCCGGTGAGCATGGGCGATCACATTTTCATCGACTCGGACATTATCGTGCGAGAGGATGAACCAAGCTCCCTCATCGCCTTCGCCCTCGGCTCGGAAGACTATCAGGCGAAGCTCGCAGATATCCACCACCAGTGGCATCTACAAGTTCAACGCAGCAGCGACGAAGAAAACGTAGAGCCGAAATCGATCCCGACTTCGACGAGCGGCATGTTCTCGCACGACTCGCACGATGAGGATCTCGAGAAGGGTCTTTTGCGGCTCACCGGAACGCACCTCAAGTATCAGTTCACTGAAGGCTCGGCAAAAATGACGTGCAAGATATTCTATGCCGAGAAGTTCGACGCCCTGCGGCGCAAGTGTGGTGTCGCCGATCGGTTTGTCGAATCTCTGTCAAGGTGCCTGAAATGGGATTCACGTGGAGGCAAAACTAGAGCGGTCTTCCTCAAAACGTTGGATGACCGGTTCGTGCTGAAGTCTCTCTCGTCGGTTGAGACGGCGGCCTTCCTTAGCTTTGCCCCGTCGTACTTTGGCATCATGGCCGAGGCTCTTTTCCATGAGTTGCCGTCAGTCATTGCAAAGATGGTTGGGTTTTTCCAGGTCTTCATCAAGAACCCGGTGACCAACACGGACATCAAGTTGGACCTGCTCGTCATGGAGAACCTCTTTTACGATAGGTCGCCCGGCAAGATCTTTGATCTTAAAGGATCGATGAGAAACCGAAAGATACAGTCGACAGGAGAGCAGAATGAGGTGCTTCTCGACGAAAACATGGTGGAGTATATCTACGAGTCACCGCTCTTCGCCCGCGAGCACTCGAAGAAGCTTCTCAGAGCATCAGTCTGGAACGACACTCTTTTCTTGGCAAGGCAGAATGTCATGGATTACTCTCTCATGATTGCGATCGAGGACGAAAGGAAGGAACTAGTGGTTGGCATTGTCGACTGCATCCGAACGTATACGCTTGACAAGAAGCTGGAGAGCTGGATCAAAGACCGGGGCTTCGCGGGCGGCGGTCGTAATCGTCCGACCATTACTAGCCCGAAGGAATACAAGTCTCGTTTCCGGGAGGCAATGGCAAGGTATGTTTTCTTTTGAATTCGTCCCTTATATATATATTATATCTCGCTAACGCAGACTCTCGTTAGATATATTCTCCAAGCACCCAACTGTTGGCATCAGTTCGGCGGTGTTTCCACTGGACTACGGCCTCGATTCGAGTCGGATCTCCAACAGGAGTAGACTGGTCGTCAAGCCTCGGATCTTGGCGCAAGGTCTATCACAACAGCCCTGAGAGAGAATGCCTTTCTCTCTCTCTCGGGGTTTGGTCTTCGTGCATCTTTATTTAATGACTTCTTCCTTTTTATTCTCCTTTCTTAGCCGCAGACACGCATTTCCTCGTTAGATATCCTGTCACAATACAGACAAGGTGTAAAGCACCAAGGGCATTTATTTGTACACTGATAGATCGGGCAACCATTGCAATCGTCATTGATGTTTAATATACTATTCACTGTTATTCCGTTGTGCTTCATTCTGTCGTCTCGGCTCATCGTAGTACTCCCGTCGTTTCTAATACTATTCATCTTGATCTCCTTGACCTGAATGGAAATGACAGAATAGATTTCTAATAGATGCGTCTTCGTAATGCGCGTCCAGCGAGGCCGAAAATGAAATGGTTTTCGATGAGTTATGGTTTGTAGGGATGGAATCGCGCCGAGCCTGCCAGTTAGCTTTTGTCTCGAGATCGGATGTTAGTCTTGTTCTGTTCTGCAGCCACATCTCGGATTTTGAACTTCAATTGTTAAATGGTCGCTCCGCTCCATTTTAGCTTGGAGACTTCTTTAGCCTCACCAATTCCGGACAACATCGACCATCAATCAATATAAGACTTCGGTATTTGAATTTTCAAAAATGCCATTTTCCGTCATTAGAATAAAGAAGAATCCCTGCTTCTGATTGAGAGAACAGGGAATCTGAGGCCCTCAAAAAAGCTGCTCATAGCTCATTCTCCTCCGCCACCACATCACTCACACTCGCCATCATCAACCTCGCTTCTCTCATTTCTCTCATCCCCCAAATCCAATGTCCATCGATCTCAACTGGGAAACCCTCACCACAGGGCCCGACGGCGACGCCCTCGCCCTTCGGATCCGGGACTTCATCCACGATAAATTCCAAACCATAAAACTCCCACGTTTCCTCAAATCCGTCACAGTGCACGCTTTCGAGTTCGGCTCCATACCCCCCGAGCTGGAGCTTAAAGACATCACGGACCCGCTACCTGATTTCTACGAAGCAGAGGCAGGCGGTGATGACGACGACGACTCAGACGAGCTGGCTGGGGTCGACGCTGGTCATCCACCGGACGACCTGAGGCCTTTGTATCACGAGAGGCGGAGAAGAGACGACGCCGCGCATAGAGCGGCGCCACTTCCGCAGTTGCAAATGGCCGGACGGTCCATGCCCGACCTGGCGAGCCCGTTCCTGGGCGTCGGCACGCCGGGCTTTATGGGCGGGGCGAATAGGCACTATTTCCCGTCTCAGCTTGCGTCGGGCTGGTCGGGGACGCAGACGCCGCTGGCGGCCGTCGCGGGCGGGCATCTGGGTAACCCAGGCTGGTTCGAAAACTTGCCGAATAGCTCGACCTCTCGGAACTACGAGGACGTGACGCCGAGCCATAGTAGGTCTCAAAGTTCCGTGTCAGAGCTTGATTTTGCACCTTCTACTCTCGCACCGCCCGTTGAAAGGCTGCGGGAAAAGTCGAGCGTGTCTACGCTGGCGCCGACGTCTGCGGGGCAGTCTAGACCGCCGACGCGGGATGCCGTGTTATCCGGATCAGCGATCGAGGAGGACGACGAAGGCGATGAGGGAGCGGGGGAGCCGCCGCAGGAGTCGCCGCCTACAGCAGAGACGAGAACTTTGAGGGAGCCTAGAGTGGAGGACATGCAGGCCATCTTCCGCATAAAATATGCTGGGGATGTCAAGTTACGTCTGACGGCAGTGATTTTGCTGGATTATCCCATGCCAAGCTTCGTCGGCATCCCGGTGAAACTGAACATTACTGGCCTGACGTTTGACGGCGTCGGCGTGCTGGCGTATATACGGAAGAAGGTGCATTTCTGCTTCCTGAGCCCCGAGGACGCACTGGCGGCCGTTGGGCTCGAGCCCGGCGAGGAAGAAGGGGAAGGGAGGAAGGGCAAGTTTGGTGGACTGCTCCAGGAGGTCAAGGTCGAGAGCGAGATTGGCGAGAGGGAGGCTGGGAGGCAGAGTTTGAAGAACGTGGGTAAGGTGGAGAGGTTTGTCTTGGAGCAGGTGAGGAGGATATTTGAGGATGAGTTTGTGTATCCTAGTTTCTGGACCTTTTTAGTTTGAAGCTCTCCAGAAAAAGGATGATTATTGCATTAGGTGTGGATATCATCAAAGCCATACTACGAACATTATGAATGAAGACAAAGTGCTCCTCTCTCTTCTCCATCAGCCCGGGTTTCAAGAACTCCAGTCCTATCCCACTTCTCTTTCCATTTTCTACTCCTATGAAAGGCAAGATCATCTGTTATGATAATATCCTCTTGAACCCTCCATACGCCTGCTGGATATCAAGCTCCAACTCCCTCGCCTGCTCCTCACTTAGTTCGTCTGTTGCCTTCATCTGATTTAGCGTAATTAGCCACTGCACAATCTTGCCCCTGTTCTCAAAGTCCTTGTCCGTCACTCGATTGACCGACTGTATCACATCCGACAAGAGAGGATGTAGCTGATCCTTGGATAAGAGGCCTAGCTTGACGGCGTCGAGGAAAGTGATGAATTCTTGCGTCGCCTCGGCGATGAGCACGCCGTTGGTGCCGCCTGCGCCGGGTGCGGGTGCCGCGGGTGTCGTGGACGAAGTTTGCACTGTCGTGGCGGGTAGTCCTACGCGGATGCGCTCCGTTGCGCGGGGAACCTCGAGCTGGGAAAGAGGGACGTTAGCAACTCTTCGACACTTTCCATGTTTTGGTGCTAATAACATACATCCCACTTGGCTTTGAATTCCTCCAGGCCCACGAACGCCTTAGATACCGTCTCATCAGCAAGAATGGATTTGTACTGCTTCAGCGACCGGTCGCATATCTCGGCGTAGTCCGCTTCTGGGATGGCATCCTTGAGGAACGCCTTCTCGAGTTCGTCGAGCGTCACTATGATGCTAAAGATTTCGGCAAGGGAGTCTTGCAGGTCCCTTTCTGCGCGGTTCTCGGCGAGTTTGACTTCCTAGAGTGGAAAAGACAAAATAAGTATACAAGTTAGACAACTTGCATGAACAAGGGGGAGAGGGGTTGAAGCTGGAGGGGTAGAGCTCAGCCATGGACACAAACGAACCTCATCGAGATTGATTGTTGCCGATAGCGTCGTATTGGGCACGTAGCTATGGGGGGTCGGCGCATATGGCTGGCGAGACATTATGAAAGATCGGACGCTGGAGCGAAAGGGCTCACATCGCGACGCTAGAACTTGAGCTTGTGAAGCTGGAGCCGGGAAAGATGTCTCCGAACTGAGGTCATCCAGGCACCGGTGTCCTGAAACAATTGCTAACAGCTGTTAAAAGTGGCAGAACAAAACCTCACCGCCCATCAAATTAGGATTAGTGGGATTTACGATAAGGCATCCCGATAAGCACCCCACCGCAAAAAATTTGGACGGTGATATTTTTCTTTAGCTTTGGCCGCTTCTCTAACTTCCCCAACCAGGACCAAGGCAAAAAAAATTTCAAGAAAAGGCAGACGAGCTACCGCGCTGCCAATTCATCTGCCGCAATGCCTCCCACGAAAAAGAATCTCAAGGCGACGAAGAAGTTTGAGAGGAAGCACCTCAAGTCCGTCCTCGACCACCGCAAGGCCAGCGCAAAGATCAAGCAACGGAACCAGCTCAAGGACAAGCGGAAGGCGAAGAAGGCCAAGGATGCCGGCTTCTACAAGAGCGAGAAGGATGGCGACGACCTCAAGACTACCGGAATCAAGAAGAACGCCAAGGTCAGCGCCATGAGCGTGGATGACTTTTTCCAGGGTGGATTCGAGTTCGTCGAGAAAAGCTTGGACAAGGAGAAGAAGAGCAAGGATAAGACCTCGAATTTGGGCAAGAGGAAACGAGCGGAGCCTGTGGAGAAGGCCGGTAAAGAGGAGGAAGATGAAGATGTTGAATCTGAGGATGACGCCTTTTCTGATCTCTCAGATGACGAGAATCCTATTCTGAGCGGCAGCGACGATGATAACGATGAAGAAGACGACGACTTGGACGGCGACATGGGTATGTCGAAGAAGGCTATGGACGACCTCGCCATGAAGGACCCGGAATTCTACAAGTTCTTAAAAGAGACCGATCCCGAGGCCCTTGATTTCGACGAGAATGCCGACCTTGCTGAAGTTGATGGACTTTCCGGAAGCGAGGACGAGGCAGACGAACAACCAAAGAAGAAGCAAAAGAAGGAGAAGAAGTCTAAAGCCAAGCAAGAAGAGGAAACTAGTGGTTCGGAACTGACCGAGGAGATGGTCGCCAAGTGGAAGCAATCCATGATTGAGACCAAGTCGCTTAGGGCCGCCCGGCAGATTGTGTTGGCGTTCCGTAGCGCCGCCCACCTTAACGAGGGAGACGGCGACGACAAGCGGAACAGGAACAACTACGCCATTTCCAGCCCCCAGGTCTTCAACGACGTTTTGGTCACAGCGTTGAAGTATGTCCCCGAGGTCCTCCATCACCACCTGCCCGTCAAGGAGTCGTCATCTGGAAAGCTCTACGTTCAGACTGAGTCGAAGAAGTTTAAGACTCTGTCCCTTCTTCTCAAGACCTACACCGCCTGCGTCATTCACCTCCTTAGCACGTTATCCGACGACAAGACCTTGAAGTTGACGATATCCTCTCTTGAGCCCATCCTTCCTTACCTTCTCACTTTCCGAAAGCTGCTCAAAGGCTTGATCAAGACCGTCGCACACTTCTGGTCGCAAGTCTCCAGCTCGGAGTCTACCAAGATCACATCCTTCCTTGTCCTGCGGAGGCTCGTCGTCATCGGTGATAAGGGCGTACGAGAAACGGTGCTGAAGACGGCCTATCAAGGTCTCATCCAAGGTTGCCGTGTCACGAATCCCAACACGATACAAGGCATCAACCTGCTAAAGAACTCCGGTGCCGAGCTTTGGGGCATTGACCAGAACGTCGGCTACACCACGGCCTTCCTCTTCATCCGGCAACTCGCCCTGCACCTCCGCAACAGCATTGTCCAGAAGAAGAAGGACTCGTACCGAATCATCTACAACTGGCAATACGTGCACTCACTCGACTTCTGGTCCGTCGTGCTCTCCGAGCACTGCAGCCCCCGGAAGGAAGCTGAGGCCGGCAAAGAGAGCCAGCTTAAGCTCCTCATCTACCCCCTCGTGCAAGTCACGCTGGGCGCCATGCGCCTTATCCCCTCCGCCACCTACTTCCCCCTCCGCTTCCACCTCATCCGCTCCATCCTCCGCCTCTCCCGCTCAACGGGGACCTACGTCCCCGTGGCGGCCGCCCTCCTCGAAGTCCTCAACGCCGCCGAGATGAGGAAACCCCCGAAATCCACCACCCTCAAACCCCTCGACTTTTCCGTGAGCTACAAGGCCCCCAAGGCATACCTCCGCACCCGCACCTACCAGGACGGCGTGGGCGACCAGGTCGTCGAGCTCTTCGGCGAGTACTTCCTCCTCTGGGCCACCAACATCGCCTTCCCCGAGTTCTCCCTCCCTGTCGTCATCCAGCTCAAGCGCTGGCTCAAACAATCCCGGCGCAAGTCCACAGGGAACAAGAACGCCAAGCTCGCCTCCTCCCTTGTCACCCTCGTGCAGAAGATCGAGGCCAACGCCACCTTTATCGAGGGCAAGCGCGCCAACGTCGACTTCGCCCCCAAGGATAGGGCGCAAGTTGATGCTTTCTTGAGGGACTTTGATTGGGAGAAGACGCCGCTGGGCGCGTACATGTCCGCGCAGAGGAAGTTGAGGGCAGAGAAGGCGAAGTTGGTGGAGGAGGCGAGGAAAGAAGATGAGAAGAGGAGGAAGGAGGATGAGGCGGCTGGTGTGAATGGGTTTGACGAGGGGGCGCAGGAGTATGATGATGAGGAGGAGGAGCAGGAGGTGGATTTCATGGGTGAGGATGAAGAGGGCGCTGAGGACGAGGATGGGGATGAGGATGAGGAGATGGAGGATTAAGTGGTGCTTTTTCTGTCTTTTCCCATGTTCTTTTTGTCTCTCACCCAGTTTGTCTAGGGCTCGGAGTAGCTTCTAACTGTGTACGTCTATAATGGCGAGAATGAGGCTCTCTAGGCGAGGCGTTTAAAATCCTTTTGAGTAGTTCTACCGTTTCCTTGCTCTCTGCGAATTCGAACGTCCAAGAGGACGGGCGGGAAAAGGTCATCAATTCATTAAGAGTGTTTAATACCTGCTCCATGCCGGTCTCTCGCGTCAACACTCCTCTGCCCTGAAAAATACATTGAATGGAATACAACCGAACGTAAACATGGCAGTCCGCAAGGAACAGCGGTATGAAGAAATGGTATGCAAGGGTCTCAACTCCACACCGAGTCTCAAATCTGAACCTAGTCCCATCTTTAAACTTCAAAGAACAGCCAAAACGAGACAAAAATAGGTAAACAAAGTATGCCCAGTTAAACGCCCGAGGGAAAAGACAACCACCCCATTGACACCCGATCCCATGCCGGTCCATTCTGAAAAGGAGATCAAACAAACACTTCCAACGTCGCTCTCTGTTTTCAAAGACTCCAACCATGCTGTAGTCTCCCAAGTACCCACCACACCATTCCCTTAACCTTCGATTCCATTCCAGGTAAGATTGTCGGTGACATCTCTAACCGACATGCCCGTGATGCTGAAAATCGTCATCTCAAGCTCCTCATCGCTCATCGCTTGGCCCGCCTGCTTCTGACCCTCAAGTACGTCGTACAGGGCGTAAATCTGATCGTTCTTGACCTCGAGCTTCTTGAGAAGCTGCTGAATCTCGCTCACGAGGTCGTGGCGCTCGCGCTTGCCCAGGGACTTGTCACTGATGTTGTACTGTGCCTGCAGTTTGGTGAGCTCCATGCTCATGTGGGCGGCTTCATCCTCGAGACCCTTGATGACGATGGCGAGGGCTTGGCCGGGGGGTTGGGACGGCCGCATGGTTGGGTCTTCGGAGCACTCGTTCATTCTGTCGGTCACGGGGACGGGTCGAGCAATGGTAATTCTCTTCTTGCCTTCGGCGCGATCCGCCGCGGATATGGTACCGCGGTGGCCGACGATGCGGCTGCATACCACACAGTTGCGGCAGTTGTGCTCACAAAGACCGTCGAGGATGCGACGCGCTTGTTCAGACAGGGCCGGGCAGGCGGCTCTGTTCAATACACTCGCTATGCTATTGACAGTGTTTTCAACAGAGACTTGTCCAGTCGAGGCTGCCGACCGTTGATAGCCAGTGCGCGAGGCTGGCCTCGGGCCGTTGATGTTGATGGTACGCTTGCTGCTTCGCTGGGTCGTCTTGGTCGTCGTTAAATGAACCGTCTGTGATTTGGTGTTGTTCTGGGTGAGCTGATGAGTCTGTGTGGGCTCAGCCGATTGGTAGCCGGTGCTCTCCTGGTCGAGGGTAAAGTTGACGGGCCCCGCAAAATCATTCTTAGAGGTCTCACGGGGGGCAACATTGCGCCTCTTTGCCGCAATGTTGGGCTTCGCCTTGGTTTCTTGGGGCGCCGGCTCCGGGACGGAGAAGGCCACTCGTTGGGACGTATTGTCACGAACGGACTTCGTCTTCTTCCGGTTCTTGGTTTGAGTCTCGGTGGCAACAACAACGCTATCGTCCTTCTCAATTGTCTCACGGATATCCATAGACTTGTCCTCCTGGTCGTCGGCAATCTCATTGGTCTGTGTCGTCAGATCCGCGGGGGGAAGCATATCAGTCTCGGTGGCCGCCTCTTCAGTGACTTCGACCTCCTTGCGCTGCAATGTTATGTCAGGGACAGTGAATCCGGAGGTCATATTGTCTTCATCGTGCCTCGAGAATGGTCCGCTCAGATCATCCTCGCGGCCGGTGGGGCGGACGTGGTCAAGCTGTTTCTTCAGGAATTCCACCTCCTCCTTGAGCTGGAGGTTTTCATCATGGAGGTCATGAAGGCTACGCTCGAAGCCCGAGTTCTCACGGCGAAGAAGCTTATTCTCGGTGAAGTATTTCTCGTTGTGGCGGACAAGGCTATCATTATCCTCCTTAAAGGTGGCCTTTTCCTGCTCGAGGACCTGAACCTCTTGCTGAAGGCTGTCAATTTCTTCGCGTGCAGCATCCATTTCTTGCTGAGCGTTTTCGGCGGTGTGGCGGAGGCCTTCGATCTCCGTCATCAATGCGCGGGCGTTGGAGCGGAGGGAACGGTTTTCAGTCATTAGGGTTTCTTGCTCGCGGCGAAGGCTGATGGTGTCGGTTCGCAGGGATTCGATTTCGCTCTGCTGGTTCTTCTGCGCCTCACGGAGCTTCTGAATGGTTTCTTTTAGGGAAGACACCTCCCGAAGCGAGCTTTCGTGGGCGCGCTTCGTGCTCTCCAGTTCGTCACGAAGAGTGTTGTTTACATCTTTGGACTGGAAGGTGATGTCAAGCTGCTTCTGAGTATTGCGCAGCTCTTGTTCCCTCGAGTCTAGCTTGTCCATAAGATCTCCAATATTGTGGCAAGCGTCTTGTAACTTCTTAAGAGCGCGGTCACGTTCAATTGTTAAAGTGTCGCTGTTCCTGCCTTCATCGTTAAGCTTCCTGTTGGCCTCATCCAGGAGTTTCTGCAGCTCCTCTACCTTCTCTTCCAGTCCTAGTGATCGTTAGCTTCACTGGTCATAATGACAAGTTCGTACCAAGTCGCTGCTTACTCTTCTTTTCAGAAAGAAGTTGTTCATACATGGAACCGTCGGGCTCTGATCCGAAGCCGCTATCCACGGACCTGCGCATCTTGAGCTGCATGATCTGGGTACGCAACTGCTCAACTTCAACCTGAAGCTCTTCGGCATATTTTTGCATGCCATCATGGTGATCTTGGAGAGCAATAATCTCGTCTCGAATCATATCCATAGAGACAAAGATGCGTTCCTCATCCTCAGGAACCTCGAAGCCGTCGACATCAGCATGGTCGTTGGGCGGCTGCCTTGTATTGAGATCAATGACCTTGCCATGCTTCACGAGAATGGGAACACCATTCTTCACCGTCCCGTTGAAACGCAGTGTGCCGGAAACAAAGTCGCCGAGGTAGGAGATGTCGGGCATGCAGAAGGAGCGGGCTGTCGTGTTGCCGTTGCCGGGGGTGGAGATGGGCACTTGTCGATCAAGAGCCTTCTGCACAGAAGGTGAGAACTTGGCAAAGTTGGACCCGGAGCTGTGTCTATGTGAGGTATGCTGGTTAAGTGAATGTCGGGCGCGGTCTGGGCTCGCGGTTGACGCGCGAAGCCTGTTAAGGAGCGCATCGGCCGATGTCCGACGACTTGAGACGTTGGCTGTATGCTGTGGACCGGAGGGACTTCTGGAATGAGTTTGGGCGAGAGGGCTATGCCTTTGGAAATCGCGTCGATCAAATTGCGCCGAAGCAGATCTTAGGTGCTGGGCCTTGCCGGAGAGCACAGTCGACGTGTCAGACTCGTTCTGCACACTGGGCTGCATCTCGGCACGGGTCCTATTCGAGCCTTTCCACGCGTCTTCGGTAGAGTCGTCGTCGTTGTTGTCAAGATGCGTAGAATACAAGTTTGTCCTGTTTTCTTTAGGGACGCGTTTTGAAGGTAGGTCGTAGAACTCCGGCCACTTTTGGTGGGCAGCTTCCCAATTGACCTGGAATTTCTTGCCAGTTATCCTCGCAATGTCGGCATTGAGCTTCCGCGTCGACTCGCCGTCGATATCGGAGAGGACGGAGGTCAGCGTTGGGCTGACAGTGCCATGAGATCCGGTGGATGATGGGGGAGAGTTGAAGGGGTTGTCGCGGTTCGCATTCATCTCTCGAAGAATGCGAGATCGATACCGAGAGGCCGCGTCGGTATCCATTGTGATGGTGTACGGTATCGCGGTGAGGAAAGTGCAGCGGAGGATAGGTTAGGAAGGAGATAGAGGTCGAATAGTGTGTGATGAGTAGAACGGCGCACCCGCGACAGGAAGACGCGAGGTGACCCTGGTTCTGTTGTTGAATATGCTATGGGATGCTGGAGCTCGGTTGTTTATCTTCCGTCATGTAGTAAGAGATGAAATGCCAGCAATGCTGATATATCAGTAGTACGGTCGATGCGTGCAGTACTAGTCCGCGAGGGAAGAAAATAGTACTGGCAAGGATGAAGATAGAATAACGCAGGAAGGTGAAATTTGTCGAGTCTTGAAGTCTTGAAGCCAGAGCAGGGAGCAGAGGTTGAATGTCGGTGCCCAGTGATAATAAACGGGCGTGTTATTTTTTGGTGTTCGCTCTTTTCGGTTCTGTTTCCGCTTTGGGTGCAAAGTAAACAAACCGGGTGTACCTCGGGAGGGGCAAAGTTTTGTGTTTACAAAGTACAGCTTTATACTTCTATTCCAAGCTGATCAAAGCTGAATAATTCGTATTTGTTTCGTACTGGCCTATCGCACCCTCCAAAGCCAATTCCTCGTCAAGTTGGGAGCTCAATTGGACCGCATTTGAAGAATATGAAGTGCCTGTGTACTTCGTACTTCAGAGTTCATCAAAGCCCAAGCTCAAGTCCTTCAAACTAGTTAAGATCATCGCTCGCGAGTGGCATTTCCTCCCCGAAGCCCGCAACCTCAATTTAGCTCAGGAGAGGTTCTTGCCTAATTGTAATCAGTCAAGGCAGCAATGGATCTCGGTCATAGACCACGGCTTGAGGAGAATTATATTGGATTGTTCCTTCCCAGTCTTACTTCGCAGTTTATCACAAGCTGGATTTATGAGAGGAAACTCTGAAGGAGCTACCCCCTAATCCTCGTCATGTGATGGAGGCTACAATTGGAGCCTCATTGAAATTCCATTTGGAAGGAGCGGTGGTCTGTGGACTCTAGGCTTGTGATTTGACGTGTGGTAGCAGGGCGCCTGCTTCACAAGACATTGCAATATGTTCAGCGTTGACATGCAACGACGTGGCTTTCGAGACATTCGTATTAGATAGAGAAGGCATCAATGATGAAAATGAATCCAACATCAATTGACATTAGATCCAACATGATGCTGAACAGAAGCCCATGTCATGCAGTCTAGAAGAGACCGAGAGAGGCGCATTCTAAAACTGTCTGTTCTTTCATGTAAGCAAAAATAGGCTTCCCATAGCTCCCATTCTAGACCACCAGCTGACCGGCCTCCACTACACCAGGGTACGTACGGAGTAGCTTAGTTTGTAGTTTACAACCTCACCAAATCAATTCCCCCCACGAACACTTTTCTAACCGGATTTCCACTAGGCAAGTTGGAAGTAAGGGAGTGGATGTAAAGGGAGATCCTGCGGGGGATGAAGATGATGCACCATTTTCGTACATGACACCATCAACGGCCGATACAAATTCGAACTCTCCAAACTCTCAATGTGGAAGCGAGTGGAGGCGAGCTCATGGCCCTCTTTCTTCGCGCTTCCTCCTTCCCGTTATGGCAAGGAAAAAACGGGAGGAGCGGTCCTGAGATGGGATCTTCGTGCAGCAATGCTGAAGAACTGTTCTGGGTGACATCCTTCTATAACTTAATCCAACCCCAGGACTTCGTCATCGTAGACAAACCCCAATGCCTATATAATTTTCTGAGACCTAGTTGAGCTCTTAAAAAGGAGATTCTGGTCGCATGTGTATGAGACTTCAATGTTGGAAACACTACAATACGATACAAACTACGAAGTAAACCGAAGTCACCGAGAAGGAGCACTGGTGTGGACTGTGGAGTGGCAGGTGGATCTCAAAACTCCTGGTTCGGCGGTCTGATACACACCAGCAAGATCCGAGACCCATTGATGCCTTCCAAGTTCCCATATCCCCATGTTCCGAAATCCTTTACCACTTGCCAACATGCAGCATGCAACACACCGAAGGATGGATGCCGCAACGCCGGCTTCTGCAATTGTATAGAAATCAAATCCGCCTCACCTCATTCACCGTTCTCATCCAGCCCTGCGCAGCCCGCGACGACGCCCAATTCACCCACATTCACTGAGTACTGGTCACATTTGATCCAGTCCAGTCCATATTTCCCATTCGCTGCGCCTTTTCCTGAGCTTGGGCGTTGTCTAGCGTTGAGCCTTGCATTGCTGCTCGAGCTGACATCACGCCTCTCACCATGCCTGTTTGAGAGAACTGCAAACAGCATCGGCTTGGTTTTCCAACCCGCGCTCTTTCTAGTGTATATTTCTAGCATCTATCATTGATAGACATCATATCCCCCCCTCCCAACAATGAAGCCATTATCAACACTCGCTCTCCTGCCTCCCATCGTGGAGTTGACTTTGGCCTTCGCCTCCAGCCCAAAGACGCCTGATAGATCTTACTGCACCATTTTTAAACGACCTGCGTTTTACCATCAGAACTGCCGCCCAGACCTTCCCTATACCTTCATGGATGATGGCGCCCCAGAGGAGTCAACCCCGATCCGGGCCAACAACTCTCTCCTAGAATATGCCTATACTTCTCTTGCTACCATGCAGAATAGGTTCTTCGTTCCCTACCAAGGCACTTGGCCACGCGCAATCGACTGGACGGCGGCCTTCATTCACACTTCGTTATCAGCTTCGACCAACTCATTATCCAAGGCCCTCGCCGAACCCCAGGCTAAGGGCATCGAGGACAGCATGATCTGGAATATGGTAGACAAGTATTTTTCACAAATTGTTGGCTTTTACTTTGGCCAAGACTATATATCACTTCGGCACCAGGTATGGCTGATGACAACCTCGTTCATCAAGCGAAACCGCCCATAGTCAACTAACACTCACTCTTCTTTTAGGCCTTTGACGATATTCTCTGGGTCGTCTTGGGCTGGCTGGAGTCTACCAACTTTATTAAGTCTCATTCCGAGCTACACTACCCACGCGACGGCAGGTGGGATGCCGACGCCCCTCCCAACTTGCGGGATGCTTTGATCAACCAGCCGTGGCATGGGAACCAATGGACCGAAGCATTCGCTCATCGCGAGCGCACTTTCTGGGAACTGGCTACGCAAGGATGGGGCGAGGACCTGTGTAATGGTGGCATGAACTGGAACCCCCGGTTTTTGACCTATAAAAACGCCATTACCAATGAGCTTTGGATTTCCGCATCGGCCAAGATGTACCTCGACTTCCCCGGCGACAAGATAGCATCTCCCGTGTCCCTGGACGACGACAAGCTTGCCGGCAGAAACCGAACCTTTCTGGAGGCGGCAATGAAAGGGTACGAATGGCTGATGAATGTCAATATGACGAATAACGCCGGTCTCTTCGTAGACGGATTCCATATTTCGAATAGGTTGCAGAATAACACGAAATGCGACCTGCGTGATGAAATGGTTTATACCTACAACCAGGGCGTGCTTCTCACCGGCCAACGCGCCCTTTGGGATGCTACCGGGGGTGTTGCCTTCCTCCGAGACGGTCATCATCTTATCCAATCCGTCATTAAAGCCACCGGCTGGGACCTTAAGAAGAGCAGGCCCTCTGACAAGACCAACCCCGGAAAACTCCCACCGTGGCGTGGCCTGGGAAGGGGAGGTATTCTCGAAGAGGCATGCGATACGACCGCGCGATGTTCACAAAACGGCCAGACCTTCAAGGGCATTTACTTCCACCACCTCACTTATTTTTGTGCGCCTCTTACCGAGAGTCTTGAGGAGGTCGATGCCCACGCCTTTGAGCTCCTTGAGAAAGCCCACGCCGAAGCTTGCAAGAACTACGTTCCCTGGGTTGCGTACAACGCCGAGGCGGCGCTGAGCACTCGCGACGAAAAGGGCGTCATGGGCATGTGGTGGGGTGCCGAGAAATGGGGCCAGGACCCAGAGGTGTGGGGTTCAGAAGGGGGCAACACCTATGATCCCAACAATAACAGCGTGATTGATTACAGGAATTTTGGTGTTCCGAAGGATAACGTATGGACCAAGCCTGGCGCTGGTTCGGAAGTTATTCCCGGCGTCGAGCTCGACGATAGAGAGGGAGAGGAAGACGTCGCCACCTTCAAACTAAGAGAGGCGAACTCCCAGCATCACATGGCCAGCAGTAGCAGCATATCTACGAAACCCCATCTGAAGGACCCGAATACTCGAGGCAGAGGCAGAACCGTAGAGACGCACAACTCAGGATTAGAGGTGGTACGGGCATGGTATGAGCTTTCCCAGGCATATGGCGATAAGAGAGGCACGACGGGCTGGCGTTTCGGCATCCAATGGATCTTCTCGAGGCTTTGGAGGATTAGGGCATTGGGCCCATTCCTTTTCTTTTAAGGGCATTATTATGAATGTTAACGGTATGATTTGACGGTTTTCATGAAGGCTGGGAATAGAGTTATTCGGCATTATTAGGTTAAGCGCATCATGGTCCAATGGAGGCTCTTGGACTTGCTAGCATTGATCGCTTCTGATACCTCGGTACTTTAACTTGAGATCTGTGTGTGTGGCTGTCGATGGGAGGATGCAGAAACCCTCCCCGGTCGTCCTGTGATTAGAATTACCAAGTAATGTGGAACAGGCACCTATGTCTAACGGGCCTGTTCATCGACCCTGTCAGGTATCTAACCCACCAACGCCTTCCACTTGGGTGGTGGTACGCAATCAGTAGTCCAACTTCATAAGGTACGAAATAATAATATCAATGACCCGTTGAGCTGGGACTGGATCGACCGGGGGGTCGCCGGTTGAGTTTGGGGTATTAAGATTTTAAGACTTGATCAATAATTAAACTGTTGCTTGATCTTCCAGCGCTGCGGAAGATGCCAGCTAGGCTATTATTGGATGCGGCTGCAGAATGGTTTTGCGCAGCCAAAAGTTAGAACCCACTGAAGGTAACGTTGAACCGCAGCTCTAACTCGTTCCTCCCGGTTTTCAGGGGCGCCGCGTGTCAAGTATCAAGATCGCGTGGGGACACATTGAAATTGTCCTATGCCTCGTAAAGAGTCGTACGCATCAAATCGATCCAACTACCCATTTCTCTCCCCACAACTCCAATTCCCCATGGTCGACCGCGCACTCCTTCGCCGACGCTGACGAATTTCATCACGAGCCATTCCGATCCGTCGATTCCCTTCGTTTTAAAGAGCTCCTATCATGTGGTGAAGAGCTCGTCGATCTGCGCCGAACAATATCCCCCCTCCCCTTTCGCTTTTACCACCCCTCTCTCGCTGGTCCACCGCCATGGGGCTTTTTTCCTTCCTCCGATCCGTCTACGATGTGTCGACTTTAGATACGAGGTTTACCACGCCGTCATCCGTTCCTTACAAGACGGTACTCGAGTCGAGACATGATCCCCTTGCGAAGGACTACACTGCTGGCGTCAAGGCCAAGGCCCAGCCGTCGAAATGGAGGACTCCCGAGTTCTTGCTCTATGGCCTCATCTTCATAGTGGTAGTGCCGATGATGATATGGATTCCGTTCAGTGTCTCGAGACGTACGTAGCAGGTGCCCTTTGTGATTCCTTTGCTCCTCCGGCGTTTCCGTCGCATCGTGGGGAGCTTTAGCGAGCACGAGCCTTGGCGTTGATACTAATTACTTCATCTAGCATCGCACCCGCAATGGTACAAGTTCCGAACGGTACTAGAGACAGGATGGGTTCCTGGTCGTCAGATTGTAAGCTTGCCTTCGAAACCTCCTTCGCCCCCGGCGCCGGCGCCCTGGCTTGCCAATACCTAACGATCGGTCCGCTAACTCGACATAGGACAACTCCGACATGCAATACCGTACCTTCCGAAAGAATCTCCCGTTCATGGCCCTCCTCCTCATCTTCCATCCCCTTTGTCGCAAGGTCTGGAACCTCGTCTTCCCACTCCGAACGGACAGGTACGAAGGGAACCACATTGCCGCGCAAGGCACCACTCGTCTGAACCAGCGCGCCTCGTTCGATTTCGTCTTCGCCATAGTGTTCTTGATTGTCTTACACGGGTTCTCTGCGGTCAAAGTCCTCGCCATCCTCATTACCAACTACCAATTAACAACGAAACTTCCACGAAAGTATGTTCCGTGGGCGACATGGATTTTCAACATTGGCATTCTGTTTGCCAATGAGCTTTGTGGAGGGTACCCTTTCAAGAAGATTGCCGCCATGATCACCCCGCCATCCGGCGATATTGACCTTGGCGCTGTCGACCCTTTGTTGGTTCAATTGGGTGCTTGGTTGGATAGGCGCAGCGGTCTTCTGACACGTTGGGAGGTGCTCTTCAACATTACCATTCTGCGCCTCATTAGCTTCAACCTCGACAGGTATTGGAGTCTCGACGCTGGGCAGTCGAGCGCTCTAGAAGTATGTAGCCGGTCCCTTACGGAGACTCCTTTGAAACACCTGGTGGGCTCAAGCTAATACACAAAAGAAGAAGCAGTTGGACCCGTCCAATCTCTCAGAGAGGGATCGAGTCTCCATCTCCGCCGATCCTCAAGATTACTCGTTCCGAAATTACTTGGCTTACGCCGTCTATGCCCCTCTATACCTAGCTGGACCGATCCTTACCTTTAATGAATACATTTCCCAGTCTAAATACCGCTCCGCGACGATAGATACGGCTCGAACCATTCGTTACGGCTTCAGATTTCTCGTCGTGCTCCTCACTATGGAGCTCATCCTCCACTTCATTTACGTCGGAGCCATCAGCCTCGCATACCCCGTATGGAGCGACTACACCGCCGCCGAGCTATCACTCCTCTCCTACTTCAGCCTGATGATCATCTGGCTCAAACTACTGCTCCCCTGGCGCCTCTTCCGGCTATGGTCGCTCATCGATGGCATCGATCCGCCGGAGAACATGGTGCGCTGCGTCAGCAACAACTTCAGCACTCTGCACTTCTGGCGAGCTTGGCACCGCTCCTACAACCGCTGGCTCATCCGCTACATCTACATACCCCTCGGCGGCGCCAAGTTTACGAGCCTAAAACGCTCCGTGCGCTCCGTCGTCACGTACATCCTCGTCTTCACCTTCGTCGCGCTGTGGCACGACATCCAGCTGCGGCTTCTCATCTGGGGCTGGCTCATCGTGCTCTTCCTCATCCCCGAGATTATCGCCACGAAACTATTCCCGGCGAGTAAGTGGGAGGGCCGCGAGACGGCGTACAGGATGCTGTGCTGCGTTGGCGGCGTGGTGAATGTGCTTATGATGATGTCGGCGAATCTTGTTGGGTTTGCGGTAGGTCTGGATGGGTTGAAGAGTATCCTTTCTGGCATTTTGCAGGATCGGCATGGTAAGTCTCTCTTTTCTTTTTTGCATCTCCAGCCGGACTTTGCCGTCTTCGTCCCTCGAACTTGGAAACGTTCTTTTGTGTGCTAATGATGATTGTTTAGGCGTTATGTTTTTGGTTACGGCTTGTACGGCGCTTTTTGTTGGCATTCAAGTCATGTTTGAGGTTCGCGAGTCAGAGAAGCGAAAGGGAATCAACCTCCGGTGTTAGACGCTTCTTTTTTCTTTGGTTTGTTGAACTCTCCTGAAGAGATGTATTTTTATAGGTCTTTTGTTCCCTTTCCTCGTTTTTTTCTGAGTTATTTCCTTTTTCTTTTTTCTCTTACATGATGGTATTAGTAGGTTCCTTGTTCCTTGTCTGCATATAGAAACATCAACGAGTTTGGATTGTAATTATTATTATTACTATGGCAAAGGTTCTTGAGGCTCTGGGGGAAAGCATGCTCCGTAAAAGGGGGGTATATTCAAAACAATTCGAACAAGGAAAACATTGATGCTGACCCAGGAAAAATCAATCAAGAGCCACTGCTTGAACCATGCACCAACACCTTGATGCCAATGGTAAATCAAGCAGAGTACCGAGGTATCAGTCCATCGTTAAATCCAAAAAGAGCAGATATAGGCCGACATGATCTCCCAGCTGCAAAAGATTCCCCTCCACAAGATGTTGAAAATATTCCCGTCTACTTCTGCCCAACGTCGATTTCGGGATCGTGCTCGGTCCGGCGCTGGTGCGCAAACTTGCCGTCCATGTGCATCTTCCTTTCGGTAACCCAGACCCTAAACCAGATGATGGCCTTGACGACGACGAAGATGACAATCACGGCAACGAGGATGCAAATGATGTACACGGCGACCCAGCCAGGACCGCCGGGCCCATCCGGGCCGGAATCGAGGAAGTCATAGGGATAGAAGCCTTTAGTAGCATGGGTGATGTAAGCGAGCGCCAGGTACAGCGCAAGGATGATGATAAGCCAGAGGATATGGATCCAAGGCGGCGGCGCCGTACGGGGAAACGCGACCTCGAAGAGCGCAAACGCCGAGTTGAGGCCGTGCTGGGAGATTTCCTTCCAGCCGTTATAAGTGACGGTGTACCAGGGACCGTCGTAGAGGATGGCCCAGTAGACGATGGTGACGAGGAACGGGTAGGTGACGACGGTGGTGTAGAAGAGGCTGTGGAGAGCCTGGAGCGGGCGCGGGAAGCGGTCGAGGAGGGGTCGGGTCGTCAGCGCGTAGGTGAGGGTGTGGAGGGAGGCGACGATGAAGTAGAAGGTGAGGCCCCAGTAGGTGAGAACGGTGAAGTAGGAGAATTCGTTGCGGACGGGGGCGCAGCCGGTGTCGCTTGCGCAGGTCTTGCCGATGATGAGGAGGCGGGTGATGAGGATGTAGAGGCCCTGCGATTGTTAGAAATATGGTGGAAAATTAAAATAAAAAGAAAAACAAGAAGAAAAAAACCCGGATTGGTGTTGCGACAGTTGGCATCTTCGATGTCTCTTGAGCGACGTTCAACTTACAATTATGGTGCGGAACGCGAAGAGGACGAGTGGTGGGAAGAGCCAAGAGGTTTCGAACCTCGAGGACGGATCCCAGAGGTCTGTTCCGAAGGAGAACGCATTTCGCACCGCCTTTATCATTTTCGACTTCGGCTTCTGCTTCTTCTTCTTTCTCTTCTGCGACCGTCTTGAACTCCCTCTCTTCCCAGGTTAAAAGATGTTAACACGAAACGGAAGGGGGGAAGGCAGAAGGAGAGAAAGGAAGCGACGAAGATCGTGCAGTAAAGTAATAATAAAATGCAGACGGAACAGCTTTCATGTAGGAAGTAATACGAAGTAAAAACACCAAGACCAGTCGCGCAAAAGACCCTTCGCCCTCCGTCTTGGTAGGTTCGCGCTGCTGACGATGTCACTCTGCACGGTCAAAAGACCATGCCAGGGTTCGAGGGTTGGCCAATGAACGGCGTGGGCAGACAAGCTGGACCGGAACGGGCGCCCTGTGGCCTGCTGGATCGGGGATAAAGGGATCATTGGTGCCTTGGCCGAATCTGGAGAAGCTCTTTGTGGACACCGGCCAGCACTTTTGACCTACTTGGAATGTATGGAGTTGTCCACCATGTCTCAGGTGTCCTCGGCCGTATTCCCTATTGTATGGGGGTTTGCCCGATGCGGCTCGGGAGAGCTGTCCAGCTTATTATATCATTTTTATTATTATTTCTTTATTTTTCGAAAGTGATCTGTGGGATGTGAGCTGGAGGTACACAGCATGAGATTTTGATGAAATCCATTTAATTATTTCTGCCCGTGTCCTCGAACGTGCTTGATGTTAGCAAACAGCACAGCTTAGAGTTTCTAAGTCAGGTTCCTAAGTTGTTGGGTGAAGTGTCAAGCTTGTGGAGCTGTGAACCGTCTATACAAGGTACGGCTAGTGTCTCGCCTTCTCCTAACGCCGATAACTTTGAAGACTCCGATCACCGTCCACCATCCTTGCGTGTTATAGTGTCCTTTGCTATCCTGATATATTCTTGAGTTTGCTTCCGAGTTGGCTGGTGATGACATGTATCTTAAATCTGTGCTTGCTCGTTCAATGTCGGCCATGCACCGCCAAAGGTGCATGGCAGACCTCTTCTCTAGTTCTCAACGGAGCTCTTGGAGATTCCGGGAACCGGATGAAAATCCAATCATAGAATATAGACCTCTGTAGCTCTCGGTATTAATTCGCAACGTGTGACCAAACTAGTGATAGAAGTCAACATTGAACCCGCGCTTTTGCACATTTCACAGTGGGTTAGCGTATCAAAAGCATCGACAACGTTGAATAGGATCTACACGATTGCTGCCTTCGATCATCTCTCTTCTACAAGTTTTTAATTTAAAGTCGTTTACTGGTCATATTCTTCAACAACGTCATTGCATCATTTTGTCTACACCTACGACTTGAACATGTACGTGTAGTGTAGCCAACCATGTTTACTAAGAATCACTAACCAGCATGGCACTCAGGTCCAACGCTACTCCCGTGCTCTACCAGCCAGGGAAGGGCCTGCAGCTAGAAGTCCTCGAGAGCTACTACGATCCGCCCTTACCCGAAACAGTTGGGGTACTCATCCTCAAACTGTTTAGCATCACCATGTCCCCCGTGATGGACGTTGTCATCAGAACCATACCTGGCAGCAATATCCGCGCAGTGCTCAAGCTTTATGATCGCCGGTTCGGCACAGATCTCCGGGACATCTTAGATGAGTACGTGCCGCATACGGCGGCGGACGAAACTTTATTCCAATCATTCGTACGACGGGGAGAGATTGGCCCTTTTCTTCGCGAGCTAGAGGAGAAAAAGAAGGCCGAGCTACTCCCCCCGCGTGCTGGCGACCTCCTTGATGGCACCCCGGAGGGTAGAGCGAAGTATGAGGCGGCCCTATGGCAGGATTGCGATGAGTACTTCGACTGTGAGACTGAGGCGTACGCGCGTCTGAAAGACCTCCAGGGCATCTCGATACCGCGGATGTACGCCCATGTGCGGCTCGTGCTACAGAACTCTGACGTACCTCCGGACTTGATACAATCAGAGACGGCGCCTTACTTTGAGATCAAGGGCGTTCTTCTGGAATGGGTCCCCGGATATAATCTACGGAACATAGCCACCTCGCCGCTAGCCCCTCCAGATCCGGAGAAGTGGCAAGGTATAGTGCAATCTGCCGTCGATATTGTGCACGATATCAATAGACGCGGCGTTATTATGAGTGATTGTCAACCACGCAACGTAATAGTAGACAGACGCTCACAGACGCCGTTCATCATCGACCTAGCCCAGTGTTACTTTAAGGACAAGTTGATTGAACTATGGGAGGAATGGGGGTGGCACGAGGATGAGGACTGGGATCCGGATGCCGAGTATTGGCGCCTTGCGGGGACCCATGATAACCCCGGGGCGATTGGAGCAGTAATGGCGAACCGACTGCTACGGGCTAAGGCTATGAAGTTGAATATCAACTATCCGGATCTCAGCAAGTAAATTGACGGTACAATACTGGCCCGGCTAGAGTTCCATAATGTAATCGAATAAAACCGGGTCGATATCAAGTGGGATTTATTCAAGAGTGCAAGCTATCACCGCTAGCGAAGAGGGTTCAAAATAACTAGATGGTCAGACTTGCGTGGGCCTCGTCTTGTGGGATAGGCGATTCGCTTGCCATCTATCAACATCGTAGCTGTTAGTTTCTCACCACCAAGTATTTAACGAGACGTTTCTTGCCCAACAATCGCCTACAAGTAGCTTCGAAGGACGGTCCCCTCTTCTTACGGGACGCCAATAGCAAAACTCATCACACCAGCATGGTCCTTGTGAGTTTCCGGTTCACATCTTTTAAGGTTCTTTATCGACTGAAGATCACTGCTCTCGCTCAGATGGAAGTCGGGAGCACGGCTCTTGTCTCAGCAGGCTGCCACTAGGCGCGGGCGGCTGAGGTGAACGAGACGTCTAACTTGTCCGCAGACTTTTTTCTACAGTCATGAAATAATGTACCGTGGCAGAGTCTTACAACTGTCCACGGACGGTACCTTTCACCATGTGGCTTAATTCTCTTGATCTTGATCCGTCAAAAGCCAAGTCTTACATCGAATCGTTTCGATTTCCCGATTCCAAGGCTGCGGGCTCAACAACTGTTTCAAGGCAGGCTCGACTGCTCAGAACCGATATAATATGATGAGCGACTTGCACTACTCATGAAAACAAGGAGCGAAATATCTCCCCGGCCGATCGGAGATTTAGATTTTAGTTCAGCAAGCGTCTAGAGTCCGTCGCCCTCTCGAGGGCTGACGATGTAGCAATCCACGAGAGATGCGGGCAAGCCAGCTTACCAGCGGCGAGAATGACAATCTCCGGATAAAAAGATGTGAAGGGACCTGCCTTAACATCGCCTCAGAGATCCCTGGTTCCCAACCCCGGAAGGCTAGACGGAGAACTACTAGAAACTTTTCCTGGTCTGGTTCGTACCAGGCTCGCAGCACATGGCAACGAGATTTAGACGAGGGATGGGAATACTGGATGTTGGAGCTTGGACCATAGTGCTTTATGTAGAGTCGAATGGTGCGGAAATATGTTGCTCCAAATGGATGCAGTGAGATTGATTTTTCCTCTTTTCTTTACTTTGTATCCTTTCGATTCCCAAGCAGTTCAATTTGGTTAGTATTGTATCATTCAACTTTCAGAAGTTCGTGTCGTTCGAGTTCGCTGTCTGAAATTGCATCAATTGATTGATCGTCCTGGTTCGGGCGCTCAGAGCTTCGTACTTCGTACTTCGGACCTTCTTCAACTGTCTCGCACTGCTCAACCCTATGGATTCAGCTCCGCTCAGCCCATGTGATGCGTTGATGGGGTGGGATGAATCCCAACAGGACGGCATAAGCCGCAAAGGTAAAGGTGTAATCAATTTGGACGAGCTTCCCTCAGAGAACATTCTGATGGTGTCAAGTTCGTGGAAGGAATAAGGAACCAATAAAATGTTCAATGATGAACACACACCACGTTGTCGCCTTTCTTGCCTCACTGGAGAAATCGCCTGGAACCCGATGGTGGCTCGGCAATTGGGCTCCACCTTCTCCCACTCCAAGTGCCTCCTTCCACCGCCCCTGTTCCCCGAAGGGTTCCAGGGCAGGGGCAATACAGGGAAATAGTCAAGTGGGGAAGTCACTGGTGAGGCTGGGCTAAGCCTGCTGGGTCAATCAATCAATACGAGCAATTAAGAGTGCCTGTAATGCAGCCAGCCAAGACCCCTGTTTGGCTCCATTGGGCAATTGTGCCCCTCAATGACTTCAGGGATTCAAGCTTCCAGCCCCGGGCGGGTGTAGCGTCGGAAGCTGAGCTGACGCCGTCTCACCCGTTTCTCTGGACATAGTTTATCTGGCCTGAGGTCCCCTTTCTCCTTTGTAGATTTTATTCCCATCGTCTTTCTTCTTGTTTCTCCAGGTTTCGTTTCGTTGACGCTTCTCGTTCTTCTACAGAGTTTGTTGTGTTACCGTCGAGATACCCCTTTCCGTGAAGCGACCCCACTAGCTCCTCCCCTCTATTTGAAGACGTCAATCTCAACGAATTTCCTGCCCAGTATGGCTGCCCCATCTGCTGAACGAGTCGCCGACCTGAAGGCAAAGTACACCAAGGCTGGTCAGGGCCAGGTCTTCACATTCTACGATAGCCTCGATGCCTCTGAACAGGCGACGCTCTTCGAACAGCTCGAGAAGTTTAAGCCTGAGTACATCAACGAAATCACCAACCGGGCACTCAACCCCCCCAAGGTCGAAGATGAAAGCGCGAAAACTGGCCTCGAGCCCCTTCCCGAGTCCGCCAGGGCGAGTATCCTCGACTCGGCCAAGGATGATATCGATCGGTGGTACGATCTAGGTCTTGACCTTATTTCACAGAACAAGGTGGCGGTCGTCCTCATGGCCGGTGGTCAGGGCACTAGGTTGGGCAGCTCCGCCCCCAAGGGCTGCTTCGACATTGGCCTCCCCTCCCACAAGAGCTTGTTCCAGATCCAGGCCGAGCGTATCCGGAAGATCGAGGAACTTGCCTCCAAGAAATCGGGTGGTGCTGCCGCCGTCGTGCCTTGGTACGTCATGACTAGCGGTCCTACCCGCGGTCCCACCGAAGCCTTCTTCAAGGAGAACAACTACTTTGGCCTAAAGGAGTCCAACGTCGTCATTTTCGAGCAGGGTGTTTTGCCTTGCATCTCCAACGATGGCAAGATCCTCCTCGAGTCCAAGTCCAAGGTTGCCGTAGCTCCCGATGGCAATGGTGGTATCTACCAGGCCCTCGTCGTCCAGGGCGTCCTCGATGATTTGCGCAAGCGGGGAATCGAACACATCCACGCGTACTGTGTCGATAACTGCCTCGTCAAGGTTGCGGATCCCGTCTTCATTGGCTTCTCCGCCTCCAAGAATGTCGATATTGCTACCAAGGTCGTCCGCAAGCGAAACGCCACTGAGTCCGTCGGTCTCATTCTCCTGAAGAACGGTCGACCCGACGTCGTCGAGTACTCCGAGATCGATGAAGCCACCGCCTCAGCCGAGGACCCTCAGCAGCCCGGTGTTCTCAAGTTCCGCGCCGCCAACATTGTCAACCACTACTATTCGTTCAGCTTCCTCGAGAGTATTCCTCAGTGGGCTGACAAGCTCCCCCACCACATCGCACGCAAGAAGATTCCCTATGTTGATCTAGCCACTGGGGAGAGCGTTAAGCCCACTAAGCCCAACGGCATCAAGCTCGAGCAGTTTGTCTTTGACGTGTTCCCCATGTTGGAGCTTAGCAAGTTTGCTTCTCTGGAAGTGAAGCGCGAGGATGAGTTCTCGCCACTCAAGAATGCGAGGGGCACTGGTGAGGACGATCCCGATACTAGCAAGCGCGATATCATGGCGCAGGGTAGGCGCTGGGTCGAGGCTGCTGGTGCCGTCGTGGAGGCAGAGACTGCCGACACTGGCGTCGAGGTGTCCCCTCTCTTCAGTTATGTAAGTTGTGCCCGCACCCGCAACACATTATGATTCTCTCGGGTCCACCCACAATGTCTACGGAATGTCTACGGAATCAATTTCGCTAACATGGATATAGGGCGGCGAGGGCTTGGAGAAGCTCAAGGGGCAGACCATCCGCGCTCCGACGGTTCTGGACTCGTAAATTTCTCTATCCACGGAAAATGTTGAAGGATTAAGATGACTGAAAGGAAAATGGAAGGGTTCAGTGGTATGCACGGGTACAAAAAGCTGTGGCTCTTGCATGGGTACATTGATGTATGTAGCTGGCAGGGAGTTCCCAAAATAGGAACGACCTCGACAGCTTAGAAAAAAGCTAGTTTAGCATATACGACTTGACGTTCATGAAGATAGCCTTATAAAAGACGACATCGATAGACAGACACTACTATGAAGGTGCCACGGAAGCCGCCGCAGTCCTCATGGATCTGTCATACTCGAGTTGTTTTCAAGCATTGGCAAAGCTCAATGCGTACAGTTGTACAATGGTCCTTTCCTATGGAAGTCCTGATTAGGCTCTAATCAATGTCAATCCTGCCCTTCGAATTGAGTCGAATCGTTCGTTGCAAGCCCTCGATTTAACAAGTTTAACAAGCCGCCCTTGAGATGACAAGACAAAGTGAATGCACTAGACCAATTGAGCAAAATGAGGGGTCAAGTGGGAGGTACTTAGGTACCTGAATGAGGTGCGTGACCCCGCGTCGCAGCCGGAATTTTGCGTCAAATGCCAATCGAAATCTTGAGCATCTCCAAGAAGACGTCAGGATGCGCATTTCGATTGCAGATGTAAGTTTTTGCAGTCAAGTGTAGCCAAATTGATACCCAAGATTCTTTCCAAGGAGCCGTAGGCTTGATGCATTGTATTCTTCGTAAAATACAGCGAACCCCAATGTTTAGTCGCCACATCGGACATTGATGCAGATGTTTGCTGTTTGTCTTCTCTTGCGCGGCTCAAGTGCTCTTTCCTCTTCCCCCTGGTGGCGTTTTAGATGGTCTGAATGATGTGAGTCACTTGATTTCAAAGTCCAGCTTTGCGCCCGCCCTCAAAATTTGACTCTTGCTGGTCTCCCTTTAACATCAATCGGTCCTCTCCCTGCTCGTTTCTCAACTTAGAAAGCGTGTGGATTCCTTATTGAACCGTAAACATTGAACATTGAGATTCGCTTGCAACATCGAAGTCTCTCGGAGTGCCCCACTCTATAATACACTACCTTGTACCTCGTTCTATCCGCCCCTCCATCGAGCGTCGAGAAAACCTACTTTTCACATCCTCCTCTCTTAGCCCCGTTCCTCCCGTCACATCTCCAATCTTCATCTGCCCCGCACTACGAACTTGCCATGGCTGAAGGAGCGCAGACTGCCAAAAGCCCAATCTTGCCCGAACCGGGCAGGAGGAACGTGCTCATTACGAGTGCGCTTCCCTACGTCAACAATGTTCCTCATCTTGGCAACATTATCGGATCCGTCTTGTCTGCCGACGTGTTTGCGCGGTACAGCAGAGGCCGAGGCCACAACACTCTCTATGTTTGCGGTATGCTCCTATAGACACTCTCCCCGACCCCTTCTTCCCTATCCTGCAGAATTGATATTTTCCTAACTTAAAACGAATCTCTGGTAGGCACGGATGAGTACGGAACGACGACGGAGGCGAGAGCTCTAGTTGAGGGTGTCACTCCACGAGAGCTATGCGACAAGTACCACAAGATCCACGCCGACATTTACAAGTGGTTCAAAATCAGCTTCGATATATTTGGACGAACGACTACCGAACCACAGACTGTCATCACTCAAGAAATCTTCCTCAAGCTCAAGGAGAACGGCTTCCTCGAGGAGCGCAATACCACCCAGCTCTACTGTGAGCACCACCATGCTTTCCTCGCCGATCGATTCGTTGAGGGCGAATGTCCCAAGTGCGGATATGGTGATGCCCGCGGTGACCAATGTGACGGATGTGGACAGCTCTTGGACCCTCTCGACCTGAAGAAGCCTCGCTGCAAGGTCGAGGGCTCTACTCCCGTCACCAAGGATACGAACCACATTTTCTTCAAGCTTGATAAGCTCCAGCCTGAGATCGAGGCTTTCTTCCAAGAGTCCTCTGTCAAGGGAGCTTGGTCCCCCAACGCCAAGCAGATCACGGCGGCTTGGTTGAAGCAGGGTCTGGATGGTCGAAGCATTACGAGAGACATGAAGTGGGGAACCCCAGTCCCGCTCCCTGGCTACGAAAAGAAGGTTATCTACCCCTGGTTCGACGCTTGCATTGGCTACGTCTCCATTACTGCCTGCTACACTGACGAGTGGAAGAAGTGGTGGTACAACCCCGACGTCCAGCTCTACCAGTTCCTCGGCAAGGATAACGTTGTCTTCCACTCCGTCATCTTCCCCGGAAGTCAGATTGGCACCCGAGACAACTGGACCAAGCTTCACCACCTTGCGGCGACCGAATACCTCACGTACGAAGGCGGCAAGTTCTCCAAGTCCCGTGGCATCGGTGTGTTTGGTGACTCTGCCCAGAAGACCGGCGTGGGTCCGGATGTGTTCCGTTACTACCTTCTCTCCCACCGACCTGAGGCGGGAGACAGTGAATTCAATTGGGATGACTTTATCAGCTGCAACAACAACTTGCTTCTGAAGAACCTTGGCAACTTTGTCAGCCGCGTTGTGAAATTCGTCAACGGAAAGAACTACAGCAACGTCGTGCCCAACTACACCGAGTACCAGGATGCCACCATTGACGAGTTCAAGGCCGAGATCAACAAGCTCCTCGCGCAATACCTCGAAGAGATGGATGCTGTAAAGATCAAGGCCGGCTTGGCCACCGTTCTCTTCATCTCTCAGGCCGGCAACGCCTTCCTCCAATCCCACAAGCTCGACAACAAACTCGCCGAGAACGAACCGGCCAAGTGCGGTGCCGTCGTCGGCCTCGCCCTCAACCTGATCCACCTCCTTGCCGCGGTCCTCACCCCCTTCATGCCCGACACCGCCGCCTCGATCCTCGACCAGCTCAAGGCCGAACCCATCCTCATCCCCGACACCTGGACCGCGGACTCCATCAAGCCCGGCCACGAGATCGGGAAGGCCGCCTACCTCTTCGGCAACATCAAGCCCGAGAAGGGACTCGAGTGGCGCGAGAGCTTCGGCGGTGACGAGGTGAAGAAGGCCAAGGAGGAGGCCGCTGCCAAGAAGGCGAAGAAGAAGGCGGCTATGAAGAAGCCTAAGGGGCAGAAGCCGAAGGTGGATAAGAGTGCTGAGGAGGCGGAGGCTGCAGCTTTGGCTGATGCGACTGATGAGGAGTTGGCGAAGAAGGCTGCTGAGGTGACGCTGAAGGCGGCGCCAGGGGCTTAGAGGGGCGGAGAAGAAGAAGAAGAAGAAAGAGAAGAAGGATATGGGTCTTGGGGGAGGAGTAAAGGAAATGTGTATGGTTGCGGGTTTGGTTTAGGTGCTGTGGGCTGCTTCTGAGCGCAAGCGCACGCTCGGTTGGGCATGAGATGTTCCTGTAGAGTAAACGGTCGTATAGAGGGTTGAATTTGATGAGTTTTATGAAGAATCGATCTTCCAAAGCCTCTGGCATGGCTCGAATAGAAACGTGAACATTGTGGAGCCTTCCGTTTACTCTGAACTCAAATAAGGCCGAAGAATACTTGGGCAGGGACACGACGATATAATCATGGAGGAGAAGGATGGTTTAAGGCTGTGCGGGAGATGGCCAAGAGCCAACCGAACGAGTTCCATTCAACATTTGTCTACGAGCTATAGTGTACCCCCGCCAAAGACGATCTCTTTCTGTTCCAAACCTAGTTTGAAACGCACTATCTCGTCATAAGCTCTCGATATGGCGAGTGGAGATGAGAGGGAAGATCAACCTTTGTGAGCGACAGCAATAGCGTAGAAAGCAAAATCATGTTCCTTCGAGCTCCCTCGCAGAAGGAGGAATTTGAAGTCGAGTTGAGACCGATGTTTCATCTTTCTATTAAGACATTACCGATGACCGATGTATTATGTGAAGGATGCTGATCCTGAACTTCGTATCCAACTGGTCACCGGCATTGACCCCGTCTTATTGGACACGCCTTGTGGACAGTAAGTCGATGTAAAAGTGTACATCCCCTCCCTGAAGAGGATCTCAGCCCAAGCTAACCCCAACTCATGCCGATGAAGATCTTTGGGCATCAGATCTCGTTCTCTTCGTGGAAGAATCAATCAACACCGTTGCTGGAGACGCAGGCACTGTCCCTCTTGACGCCCTAACTGGGGATTTGCTTGTTCCCTTTGCATAAGAAGTCTCCCGCCAGAATATTGAAAAGTGAAGAGGATGGGTTTTCCGGTGCCTGCCAAAAGACCATCGCATCCTTGACCTTACTATGAGAGATCGTCGTCTGGGCCAATAATACATCCTGGGTTTACCTTCATTTGGGCAGATCCCAGCAAGGTAATCTAGAAGAGCGTGCCGACGCCCCAGCTTCTCAAGGTCTTGGCATCTCTCTGCGCAGATCTCGCCCAGTCATCTGGGAAGAAAACCGTCTTACACCCTTGATCGGAAAGCCACGGGCTTGGCTAGTGCAGGCCTCTCTCCTCTCGTACGAAGAACTCCGTAGAGATAGCCCTACGAACCAATATTGGAGCAAAAGGAGAAGGTCATCATCTAGGGTTCTGGAAGAGGCCGTTTTCGATCAATTTCCATCATATTTCACCTCACGAGTGGCGCTATAATAACCGGGCGTGCTTTAAGCCGTCTTGGGACTGGAATCCAATCGGAGACCGGATGGGGGAAGCGGTCAAGCTTGATTCCCCAAAGCAGAAGATATTGGACAGCCCCGGCGAATTGCGTGCAGACATGGAGGGAGATGCAAGAGCTCTGATTTGCCTGGCATCCGGGAAATGCATGAATGGCACATGCCCTATTGAACGGGGACCGAAGATGAGGGCACATATTATCATTTTTTCTGTTCTCGAAGACGACCAACCAATTTTGATCCTTCGCCCCCTCCTTTGATGCTGGATATTGGCACATTGGATGAAGGGACATTTTTGCGATATGATTGCTCCGTATTAGCGTATAAGTGTATAATAATAGTACGGGTCATAGTGGGATGTTGGTCAGACCCCGAAATATGAACGAGAGTGACGAGAACGACGGGCTTTTCTTGTCATTAATCGAATCTCACAAGCGCTACAAGTATTAGTTGGCTTTTAGTGATATTAGTAGGGATAAGAAAGACGTCCGAACTCAGGAACCCTCCGGTCTTGGTACGGCGTGGCGTTGGTTTTTCGCTCCCTAAAAGGCACAGGCGCATTCGCCGGTGCGGGGCGAGGCCTGGGATGGGATGGCTTGGGGCTGGCTGCTCTTGTCCGCGCTTGACGATCGAGAGCATTCGGATTTTGATCCAAACTAGGCCAGGGACAGATGGAGTGGGAAGTTGGTTGATGCCAGACCGCGTCAGTCCCTGCGTAGCGCCAGACTAAGAAGAAAGAGCGCCATCAATCACTTGATCTTTCTTGGGCTTCCAGCGCTAATAGTCCAGTACACCACAACTGCGTTAAGACGCCCCTCCTGACCTGCGAAAAGAGAGAAATGACGAGGAATTGAAAAGCCAAGGCTCGACTAGTCTTGACGATGATGTATTAATCTCCGGTTTTAAGATTTCGATCTCAATCCACGTCCGAATTCTCCTGTGCCGCCCGTTTAGACTCCATTTGACCGGCTTCTTCACCAATCTAAGTCGTCGCCTGGCTGTTGAACTCTCCATGGCGGCGAAGTACGCAAGTATTCGTCGAAGTATTGCTCATCGTCCTGCGTTACATCGTCGCCACTTACCTGCGCTCTTCTCTTGCTCCTTGCCCCCTCAAGCTGCATACTAACACCTCGTAGCGACCATCGAACGATAGAGTGGAAGGTTCAAGGGTAGAAAAGGTGGAGGGATGATGAGGGAGGTGACAAGGATGGTAGGGAACTCCAAGTACACTGACTGCGAATAACACACAGCTGGGCACCTTGGCCAGTGAACTGCAACGCAGGACCGCAGGCACTGGGATCGGACGGCGGCGCAGGTCGTGTGCGTCTACCACTTCGTACTTCACAGGAGAGCATATAATTTTCAGCATCGAAATAAGAATTGTTGTTCAATGTTCCCTTATTACCTCGCAGCACGCAGCAGCAGGCAGCATAATGCATGCAGATGCAGCAAGTATTGGACCCATTGATCCACGCAATATCGGATTTTTCAGATTTTTTTTTTTCCTTCTTCTAATGTGATGTTGGTTGATTTTGCGTTTACTGGTACCGAATATTAAGACAACGGGCTTCGAGAAGGTCCCTGGGAGCCAAGCAGTTTATTTTTAATAATTATCCGTGAGGACGGACGGATTATTTGGATTTCGAGGTCACTACGAAGTAGGTCATCCAGACTCGTCCAATTCTCTATCTGTAAGTACGAACTGCGAAGTACTCGAGTAAACTGCAGGAGGAAGGACAGACAGAGGCTGAAGCTTTGGTGTACATCCTCGGGTGATAAGCACTAAAAACAGTACACGATGCATGGCAATTGGTACCCCCCGAACTGCAAAACGACACATCAATTGATGACATATATATACCTAGGTCCACATGTCCGTGCTCTACCTGTTCCTGGCCCTGGTCGTGCTTTCTCGGTTCCCCTTGACTGGACAGGTCCTGCCGTCTTGGACACCCTTTCTTATCAATCCTTGCTCTCAAGGTAGCTGCAGAGCTGCGTACAAGTATTAGTACTACACTCTGGTGCTACATCGCAGGGAGACTGCCCCCGAAATCGATCTGTCCCCCAAATTCATACTTCTTCATATGATGACGATACACAGCTTCGTGCACATGCGAAGTGCTACGAAGTTCGGTATTGCCCACCTCATACTTCGTGTTTATAGTGGTGTACATACTTGTACTTCGTACATCAGCACTCCTCGATGCTTTGCCGTCCTTCGTCTTACATTGATGTCCAACCAAGAACAATATTTCAATGTTCTCAAAGGACGAGGAGCCCGAAGTGGCCTGGGCAGGGTCGTATTATTACTGGGTAGCCCACTCGATTTTAAGAATCGCTCTGCTGACCCACCAACAGGACAGCGATAAACCGGGTCAGACGTGCCAAGCCTGAACCAATCGCTGCGTCCTAACGTATTTGTGCAGACGACAAGGAGTTTATACCCGCATACGCGTCCAGCTTGCTCCTTTTAACCACACTAGTGATGTGCTGCCAGATCAATTGATCAATAGGCGGATGTGACGCCTTGGAGCTGGAAGTCATTGGATAATCGCTCGACACTGAGAAGAACAGAGAAGGACAGGCGCATAATTCCTGCGTCTCTGTCGCCGGGAGCGAAGACTTCGATGCTTGAGGGTGGGAGAGTGTACCTCAAAGTACTTTGACCACCCTCCCACCTCCTCCTTCTTCGCTCCTTCGTCCAAGTAGGATTGATACATTACGACATCGTTGATGAGGCTTCTGATGGTAGGATAGGCATAGGCCCCCAAGAGCACAGCCCATCTCCAAGTCTGGAGTAGTGTACACTACATCAATACGTGCACTATCGACACCCTTGCCGAGATTCCTGCGGTCTGGGTTCCGGTCGCTCTCCTGACGGACATTACTACCACTTTGTCCTCCCCATATTACGACCCTAGATTGAATATGTACTAGCCGCCCTTTCCCTATTTTCCTTGATGATAATAGTGTTGTCGATGGCAGAGACAAGACCGCTCAAGTTTCTCGCCGCAACTGTCAATGCCTTCACCGGTCAATCCGGTCCATGATAAATGATCTTCTCAGCGCCTCTTTTAATCATTGCGGCCGCCCAGCATCAAGACGCCTCCGGATTACACGTTAATTTGGCCTAGGCCTGAAACGGCAAACAGGGCTGTAAAGTATACAGAACAAACACTTCGTACATAGGGAGGCGCAACGACTCTGTGTTCACGAAGCCTGTCCCCATACTTCACCTCGGAGAGAGGCTTGTCCCTGGTTCCTGGTATATCATACGAACACCAAGACCCTTGACTTCTTTCCCCCTGTCCCTGAGCTTGGTAGCACAAGCCATCGTCTGGCCCCCTTTATTTGTGCACTACCTTGAAGCCGGGGTCTTTTCTCCTGCTCAGAGCCACGACTGGGATTTACCATTCACCATCTCACACCTTTTTCTTCCCTCTTCCCCCACTTCGTCTGTTCCTGCTTGACAGACCTGAAACCTCTCCTCAGGATACGAACTGGAGTTGACGACCCCAAACCTCCATCTGACGCCTGCATCTGCATCTTCAATTCGCATGTTCATGACCGTTACGGAGCGACGACTTTCTGCTTGGGTTTCACCTTGACGACGTCTAATGTAAACACCCGATTTGGACAATTCCGCTGAGAACCGCTCTCTTCCATCATCTGTGCGCCAAGGATTTGATGGCCTAACAACGCGTTGGACCTCGAGCTGCAAGACGCCTCTTGACTTGTTTGTGTGAATCGCGCTTTTCTCTCTGCTAAGCTCTGGAGGCCTATCGAACCAACTCGCGTCAACGTCGTCAACATTCCCTTGGAAACGTCGATATTAACTGCTATTTTTGTCGCCTGGCGAAATCAAAAGTTGTCCATCAACGAGACCAAGTCAGGACATGCTTCGCAAAGTCGTGCCTAGCTGACAAGAGCGTCTTGCCGAACTCCCGAGTTGTTTATCTTGTCGATAGCTGGGCGAAACGACAAACATTGTCCGATCTCAAGGAAACGGTCATCCCACGCATAAACCGGAAGCGTTTCTCCGGCCCGAACCCTTTTCCTGTGTTTTGAGAAACGGCTCAAGCTCAACCTCATCGACTATAGATGTTTGTGTAGTTGGTCCCTGCCCACGAACCAAAAAACCCGTTCACTTGGAGCTTCGAAACATTCGAGTTTGACTGCTTTGGAAACATTCCATGGGCAGCGCCCTGCAGTCTCCTAGAAGGATAACCTTCTGATTTTGCCTCCAATTTTCCGAATGCGGCACGCCATCTCTTCCTAACTGCACAATCCAATCTTTCTGGGATCCGAGGGCACACAGCAAAGGCGGACTGAGACTTGCCAACGACGTGGTGGCGGTGCGCTGTTGCTTGATTGACGTGGAGAGAATAGAGAAGGTATCACTTATAAGCCGCCCGTCTCTGATTGTATTCCCACGATGACCACTACACACCTTCCCGTCCTAACGCTGGACTCCTACGATAATCCCCCACCGATAGTATTAATGCCTCCCTCCGACGGTTCTTCTGTCACCACCGGCGCTAGCGCCGCCGTTAGCATCGCCAACCCCAAAACCTCCTCGCCCCTGACCCTCCACCCCCCCTCGGAAGCCGAGATTAGACTATTACGGCTGAAGAACCGCTCACCCAAGGCGCCAGCCCATGCTCACCCGATCCCGTCAATGCAAAATGCCTTCAACGAATCCTTGGTCGAGGCGACGAGAGGTCCAGCTGATAAGCCCAAGCTTCGCCAGTACGATGCAAAAACTCGCCGAGAGCGCCTCATTGCCCAAGAGAAGAACGAAGAGCCGCATTGTTTGCGGTGGCGGTACCGACCCGGTCAGACACAGCATGAGCTACGTAAGCTCATGTCTCAGATATCATTCGGCATGAACTTGCTTTTGAACGGAAAGGCGAATAGCGATGACCAGGTTGTGTCCATTATTCAAGGACACATCGACGAGATTGACGAGTTCCTCGAAGTCGCGCTCGAGGATTTCCAACAAGCTGCCACCGACCTCTCTGGACGCATAAAATACCTACGGTTGCCCCTTGACCATCTCGAGGTTTTCGAGAAGCTACTCGAGGATCGTAATTATCGCGCCGAACTAATCCAAAACAACGAGGTCATTGAACATATTCTCAATCGGACCGCGTCCATGGCCGACCAGTATGAGAACGACTTTGCCGAAGGTCTCCGCTCTACCCAGGATTTCATCGCGTATCTCTCCGAACAACGTAATAGCCCGAGGCGAAGCCAATACCCCGACATTGACGACATTTACAACGCGATGAACGGTAACACGGACGGGTGGCAGAGGGCCTTTAAAGATCTGCAGCACCGAGCAAGCAAACTGGACGAGTTGTCCACTGAACTTTCAACCATGGTTGCTGAGATGCAGAAAAAGGCTGGTGAGGTTAGCCGCAGGACATGGGTAAGTTGTACAATGCTTTCATTCCCTTGCCGGCATCCCGCACGGGTTAAAGAGGAAAGTGCTGATTGATCATTTGCTGGTATAGATCAACATCGAGCCATTTAGCCTCCCTCAAGTTAGCAGCGTTCGATTGAGCCAGCAGACATCGCCTGCGTCTAGCCCCCCCCCCTCCGTTATGTCTAACAGAAGTCCAGCATCTTCGAACAGCGTGGGCGAATCGATCACGGCCGCTCACGCGCCCATGAACTCGATCCAGTTTAATAGGCTGACCATCACGGCTCAGCTCGGCCCAGCGTTGGAAAATCCATTCGATGATTTGAAGTATAATACTCGACGCCAAGATGACGCAATCTCTGAAGAGTCATCGACTCATGAAGAGGTTGTCACGACTGCCGCCGACGACTACGTATATCACGAAGTTAATGACGACGCAAAGGATCAGACCATTGGTGATACGGATGGGGGCGAAGGCCAGGACAGAGAAGAGCCTAATGACGGTCCTAGGGAAGGCGATAACGAGGATGATACCTATGGCTCCCTGTACATCCTGCAGCCTCGCACTTATACGCCGAGACTTCCCGCGCCGCTTCCTTCTCCTGCAGTCAAGGAGTACACGCCAGCAGAAACCGTGGAGCCTTTATCTCCCAACTCCCCCAATTTGCGAGACTCATTCTCACCCAGGACGACCATCAGGGGGTCCGTCGAACAGCAGCCTGCCTCCACTCCAGGTCTGCCTAAGCGATCGTCCTTACGTCAGAGAGTTTCGCTCAAGGCAAATCCACCCGAGTCAATCAAGATCCCTCCGCCCCACGTTATGAGGTCAACGCCACAACTCCGAGAATCAATTCGAGACCAACCAACCCAGCCACCCCTCCCACCACCAGACTCTGCGTATGGATCGGACATCGACCTGCGGAACCGAGCAAGCGCCGCGATTCCCGAGCCCTCTCCCCCCATTTTCACCCACACCATGCCATCACCGTTATCTGACCGGCAGATCTATCACCCAGTTCAGGCCAGTCCCCACTCGCCGTTGCAGCAACGGCCGCATACGTCATACAATGCCTTTCCCGCGAGGCAGGGCACCAATTCCGGATACTATCCTAGCCACACGCGGAACGTGCCTTCACGGGCTGGCGGTGCTAGCATGTTGAGTAAAGTTACGACACTTACATATGACTCGAGCACTACCCAGGGCGGCAAGGGCGAGAAGCGTCTCAAGAAGAAGAAGAGCGCCTTTGGCTGGCTAAAGAAGGCTTTCTCGCTCAGCGAGGAGGAAAAAGCGGCGTTCGAAGCTCGAAGGGCGGCACAGGATCGCAACCTCTACTACGAAAATCGCAGCAACAAGTTCCTCGACGGCCGGAGGGTCCGCCAACCAGGTCAGCCTGATCACCGAAGCCCGTCGAACTCGACATATCAAGCCTCGACCTACCAGGCATCGGTGTACCCGCAGTCGCAATACCAGAATTCTAATTACCCAAATTCCGCGTACCAACATTCAATGTATCACGAGTCGACGGGATACCCGAGCCCGACCGGCTATCACTGATTTTTCCAGGTGGAGCGCGAAAATGCGTGTCGAATTCCCCTGGTACGAACGGCATCTGATGCGGCACAATATTATACCCACCCTATATGAGGGATTGTGGTTCTTAAAACGAACTGGGCTCGCGGGTCTATGCATATTCTGCCAGCCCAGTTTGGTGCCGATCACCTCCTGCAGCAGGCAATCCCGACCCGGCTGAAGCCATAACCAGGTTTCAACGAAGCTCGGGTCTGAGGCCGCTTGCCTCACGAATCTTTAATTTCCACTGGCCTAGACATACTTAGCCGCCAGGCTTACACTCATTTAGCGACGGAGTTTCGATTTTTTTCCCCCTTGTTTCTGTCTTTTTATACCTTGGCTGCCAATAAGCCGTTTCCTCCCACATATTTCCATACGATCGTCGCATGGTGTCACTACCCTACCCGTGGCGTCGCCCGCATCACCACTACCTTGTGCTTAACGGCGCGCCCGATGCACAGCTTCGCCCAGAAGACCACATCGAGACACAACGCCTCTCAAGCTTATTATCACTCATTTATCCTAATGCTGGCATGCCATTCACACGTCGACTTCACCCTGCATTCGTGCCGAGCATACCACATCACTTCCAAAGCAGATCCCCATTCACGATATATACTCGACCCGGTCCCCTCTTGGGGCGGTTACTATAATGGGGTCACGCCTAGCCCACGAACAGGCTACGAAACAGCTTCGCTGCTTAGCGTCCCGTATATGATTTCTTTTGTCGTTCACTTGCTTTTCATTTTCATTGGGCGAACAGTCTTTTTGCCTACTTAGAAGCATGTCTGTCATATTTATCATGTCTTATGAAGGTGGATATTTCCCCTATCTAATTACTATTTCTTTACTTTTTCTTCTCTTAGTGGTAATGTGTATCGGAGCATTCTGTGCAGGAGGAGCGGATATCTGGAATAGAAGTCTCTTTGGTGAGGAGGGTAGCTGCCGGGGGCAGGCGCAGAGACCCAGGCGTCGTGTCTTTTTTGTGTCTTTCCTGACACGCCATTGTCTTAAACAGCGTCTGGCAAGTCTCTCTTTATTTCGGCGAGGAGCCTTGAGATCTTTGTAACAATCGGTCGGTCGGTGGAGAAGGGTCTTTCTATAGCCTTGTGCCTTTTTGTGTTTTGTCTTAGACAAGTCTAGTGAGCGAGGAGCATGGGGCATTAGCATAGGGTTGGATGGGCTTGGTAAATGAACGATATCTTTTAAAACAATATTGAGCTATGGCGAGACTCTTTTCTCGTGCGTTGCATCTCATCGGATTATGAGGGTCAGCCGTCTGTAGGCGATGGAAACTGATGATATGGATGAATACCTGCGGGGCATATGTGTATTCATGTATATTCATTAGCAAGAGTAAAAGAAACAGACATCTGATGAAGCAAGCGTTATCTATTCATCGCATTCCAATATCTAACCCTAACCACTCCTCTAAACACATTCCAACGACATGTCATCAACTCCCCATCCTTCTCATTCCCCCAACCCATAGCTCCTCACCCGACTAAAGAAGAAAGCTTTATCATTCTTCAACTCAAACTCCGCCCAATCATCCGTCAGCTTATTATAGCTATAAAACCCCCTCCAAACAACCTTATTATTCCTCGCCGCCTTCCCGGCGCTCCGTAGCGAAAGATCCATCCTATAAATATAATCCGAAACCCCTTCCGTCTCCACGACCAAATCGCCCTCCGGATTCTCGTCTCCGCCTCGACCCGAGACGAGCCTCCACCGTCCACGGAGGGCATTCCGCATCACAGAGGAAGGTAAATGTAGCGCCGCGCCGCCGCGGTGCGTCTCGACGAACTCCTTCGTTAGGTAGGGGACCACGTCGACGGGTTCGCTGGTGTGCAGCATGCTGATGGTGGTGCCGTCGCGGAAGAAGCGGAGGTAGCGGTAGTAGGTCACGATGTGGACAGGGCTGTTCCAGGTGATGTGGTTGGCGTTGGAGATGCCGGAGCGGATGTAGTTGACGGTGGAGATGTAGCAGCCGTTGAAGCGGATTCGGGGCCGGTTGCGCCACATTTGCTTCCAGGAGGAGGAGTAGAAGGTTGGTAGGAGGGAGAGGGTGATGGATTCTTTGCGGTGGGCGATTCGCTCGGCTTGTTCTTCAGGGGAGAGCCATAGCGCAGGAGGGGACGACTCCTCTACAGAGGTTATAACGGCTTCTGTCTTTTCTCCCTTTTCTTCACTTCCCTCGTCTTCCTCTTCCTCGTCGAATGTAGGCGGTAAGGCATTCCAATGAACATCGGTCTGGAAACGATAATGCATGCCAGCAAAACCAAACTCGGATCCAAGACAAACACGGCGCCAAATGCGTTCCTCCGTAGCTACAACGTAAGCGAAACGTTTGCATACCCGGGACAGGCGGGCAAAGTCTGCCACGTCCAGGATGGCGACATCGCGGAAGATGTGGCATAGGATTTCCTCGGGGAGATCGCTGATGGGACACGGGGGTGCCGGGGTTCCCAGGATTATGGGCGGGGCCGGGACGATGACGAGGCCTTGGAAGCTGGAGATGAGGTCGCCGATGGATTGGGAGGTAGGCGGTTTGACTCGGGCGGCGGGCCTTGCTAGTGAGGCTTGCGTGGTTGTGGGTGATGTGGTGGGTTGGGGAGGGCGAGATGCTGGGGCGCCGAAGTGTTTCTTGCGGTACGTTTGGTCTACTCGGCTGTCCATCTAGATGAGGCCATTAGCATACGAGGGATGTATGAAAGAAGATAAAACGTGGGACACTGCATACCCTGAACGCCTTCCGGTACAGATTCAAACTATCCCCAAGATTTCCCTGAGCCTCTCTCATCACAGCGGCCTCAAAGTGATCAAGAGCCGACACGAGACCCTCGTCGCCGGTATCTTCCGGCGTCCCCTCCGGTTCCTTTCCCTTCCTGGCAGCAGCATCGCCGAACAGTTCATCAAAGACCGGCGGCTGCGCATGGTCATCATCGTCATGTCCAGCCTGGGCCGCCGGAGCCGGGGCCGGAGCTAAAACCTTGGATCCCGATTCCCTCCGAGCCCGGATCACGCTCGAGATCGGCACCGTTGCATGAGCGGAAGAGCCGGTGTGGGGCGGCCCTTGCTGAATCGCGGAGGTGGCGGGAGCAGTGGCCCGCTTGGATTGTACTTCAGAGAGCCACTGTTTGCGGAAGGCGTCGAGCTCGGATGTGAGCTCATTGGACGAAGGATCCATTGTGGTGAATTCTAGGTTGGGTTGCGATGTAGAGGAAAGTAAAGCTATGAGAATGGGGATGAGTGGTGGTTGCGGGGTTGGATACGGAGGCGAGTCGAGCTGCTTTGCCGGGGGGACATTGGCGGGGGTTTACGGTTCAGCGGGGATTTGGATAGGGGTTTCTAGGGCGGGATTATGTCCGGTGGCCTGGGCTGGGATCAATTGATGGTCTACGGGTTGTTTTCTTGAGAGGTGGATGAGAGATGATATCTAAGTGAAGTGAGGGCGGGTGAGATGGAGGTCAAGATCATCGTCATCTTGCGAGATTCGGAGATATACTAGTTACGGGGTACGTACACTAGACAAAGTAGCGAAGATAATCTTGATTACTCATGCGGAGACAAACACAATAAGTTTTATTCGCCATATGTGCAAGAGAGAAACAGAACTCTACTTTATTCAATTGTATCTTGTCTTGTAGTTTATGAGAAAAGGTACCGCAGTTTGAATCTGACCTGGTCATCGTACACCTCACCCGAGGATGAGGTACGATTCCTAAGAAGGGGTGTGAGGAGTGATTCTCAGATTTCTGTCCCACCAGTTGATGACTCCGAGCGGGCTGGAACGAATGCACCCTCCGAAGTAGAACCTGACATCAAATTACAACGCTGCAATGGCCGGCCACAAGCCCAGCCATCTGCACCCTTCATCCTCTCGCACTACCGCCTGTGAGTCAATCGGGGGGATTCCATGTTGCCTTCCCGTTCCGTCTCTGTCGTCCTCGTGCTGTGCAAGGACCGCCCTGTCTCTACGAAGTACAAATGCGTTGGTCGTTTGGAAGGTGGGGAAACCCGCCGGCGTGAACGGAAGCCAAGCCAAAGTGCGATTAATACCAAAGTACAGTACGACTTGATGACTCGGTAGCGAAGAGTGAAGAGTTCATGGTCTGCGTGGTTTACAAAATGATTGAGGTTTCTGTAAAAGGATTGATGATGACTCAATTGCCAAGATTGAACTCGTATGTACCATGGCAACTATGTGAGTTTCTATGACTGTCGCCAAACTAATATCAACCAATATTCATGAAAGACCACCAGATTTCCCTCCACTCACACGACCATCTAATTTACACTGATCCCCTCCAATCGACGTTCCAATCCCCAAGCTCGCAAGCCGCAAGGTAGATGGCGTGCCAGCTCCCCTGCCCGGCCCAAGAAAAATTCACCTCCCGCGTCGAGAAACCCACCCGCACAGCACCACTTCGAACGGATAATCGGATCCGATTGTGTGGTGGCCCCCATCCTCACCCTTGTCAAGGGCGTCTAAGACAGCGACGACTCTCTCTGCATGGAATTTGCTTCGACAGCCCTATATAGAACATTCGCTTCCCCTTCCTCCGTGATTTTCCTTGACTCGGAAGAAAGGGCTTTCGATTATAGGCCCTGGTAAATCGACGCTACGCCGTGTCGTCATTCCGGAGTGCAGTTGAGAGTAACACCGACCAATTAGCGTTTTTACTCAGACCCGAACGAACACACAAGAAGACATCGGGGATAAGATCCCGTTGGCATCTCCATTGTTGTCTTCGAAACCTAATAACCGCACCCTCCCTTAGGCCTTGTGCCACGTGGGAAAATCATGGCAATACGCGGGTCGCAATGGGATCGACTGAATCCCATGAGGCTTGTGCGACAGCTCGGCAATACCGCCCGTCAATGTTGGCACATGGGCGCAACCTCGTTTGGAGGGCCGCCTGTTCACTTTAAGATTGTGAGTCTTTCGTTCCTCCCGTTCACTCTAGCTCTTCATATTAATAACGCATCTCCGCCTAGTTTCACGACAAATTTGTTGACAAGATTGGCTGGATCGATGAAGAAGTTGTAAGTCAAGTTCCGAAGCCCTAGCTCAATGGTATGAATGAACCCTCCATCAATATCATATCTAACCCCCCAAATGCAGTACCAAGAGCTCTTCAGCGTCACGCAAGCATGTTCCGGCCCCGCAAGCACCAAGATGCTCTACTGCATCAACCTCATCCATGACGGATTCCTCGCGGCATGCTTTGGTTTCTTGCTGTGGAGCCTTCCCGGCGCCGCGGTAATGTACGGCCTCTCCATCGGCGTCTCCGGCATCGGTGAAGGTCTCCCCCGCCCAGTCTACGCCCTTCTCTCGGGCCTCAACTCCGCCACAGTCGGCATCATCGCCCTCGCCGGCGTCCAGCTAAGTGAAAAGGCCATCACCGACACCCCGACACGTCTCCTAGTCTTCTTCGGAGCCGCCGCTGGCATGCTCCACAATGCCCTCTGGTACTTCCCCGTGCTCATGGCCGTATCAGGCCTCGCTACCATCGTGTACGATTTCAGATGGTTGCACCGTCCCGTCAAGGCAGTCGCCCGCGTCGTCAAGGCCCCGATCCGGTACGCTCGTCGCAAAAAGGAAAAGGGGAGGAAGAACGAAGACGGCTCATCAGGCGACGAAAACGCCGCCCCGGCGCCCGTAGAGCTCGACGACGTAACCGGTCACAGTTCCGCTGTCGTCGGCCCCTCCTCCTCCGGCGCCATCTCCTCCAACCGCGGCAAAAACCGCGAAGACGACGACGACCCGCTCACCCTCCCCACGACCGAGCAGGAAGCCCATGAACTATCGTCATCGCGACCGCCTAGCCCCGAGCCGCGCATCGTCCCCTCCGAGCGCCGGCTCAACTTCACTTGGAAATTCGGCCTCGCCGTCATCGTGGGCTTCTTCCTCTCGTTCACCGTCATCATGGTTATTCGCGGCGTGGTTAAGGAAAAGCCGCCGTTGTACGACGTGTTTGCAAATTTCTTCCTCGCTGGTACCATTATTTTCGGCGGTGGTCCTGTGGTTGTTCCGCTTTTGAGGGAGTATGTCGTTGCCGAGGGTTGGGTTAAGCCGAGGGACTTTCTTATCGGCGTGGCTATCATTCAGAGTTTGCCGGGACCCAACTTCAACTTCGCTGTGTATTTGGGCAGTCTCGCAGCGATCACGCTGGGTTATCCCTCCATTGTCGGTGCAATCCTGGGCCATATTGGCCTCTTCGTCCCAGGACTCATCATCGTCCACGGTACCATGGGCGTGTGGGGTGCCATCCGTGGCCTGAGAGCCGTCAAGTCAGCGATTAGGGGTGTCAACGCCGCTGCTGTGGGGTTGATCTACACGGCTGTGTATAGGCTTTGGCAAATCGGGTATATCGACGAGGGCTTTGGGCAGGGCACTAGTTTGGCGAATGAGCCCTGGTGGGTTGTCGTGACGGCGACGAGCTATGTTGGAGGGTACTGGTTTAACCTGAGCCCTCCGGTGGCGATTCTTATCGGAGCCGTTATGGGGATGATTCGGTACGGGGTTGTCTCTGCATAGATGTTGCAGGATTGGCTAAAAAAGAGAATCGCTCAGAGAGGTGATGCAGAGGATTTTGGAATTTTCCCCCTTTTCGCGAATAAATAATTTCTAAACGAAGTAGATATATACCAATATACCACAGACGACTTGGAGTTGATGAATACATGTAAGCCCCTTCGACCCTTCAATATTATACAATGCCACATACATTTTGGCATCAACCGAATCTGTTCACCCATCCCATCTTTGTTCCTCCTCAAACCTTGGCTCCTCCACTATTCACCTTATCCCTCACAGCATCCCAAATCCACCCTTCCTTGACCCCGCGATTGCTCCCCTGCACATTGAACCCGCCCACGGCCCTATACATCCACCACCTCCTCTGAAGGTTCTCCCTCAGCGTGTCCCGCCGGAAGTTCACGATCCCCATCCTCTTCCTCGCGGGCGCCAAGTCTCCCAGGGTGAAGTAGCTCACGCGCGGCTTAGCAATGACGCTAAGCGTCGTGAACTCCAGACGCGTCTGGGCGGGAAGAGAAGCGACGAAGCGCTGGAGGGAAGGGCGGGAGTGGCGGGCTGGAGGGGGGAGGTGGATGGCGATGTGGCTGACGAAGGGGGCGGTGGTGTAGGCTACGAAGGCGAGGGGGATGACGCCGCAGAGGACGACTGGAGGGGAGGTGGAAGGGGAATTGTTAGTTTATAAGGGGGAAACAAATTTGGGGTTAAAATGGGAAACTTACGGCCTGCGGTTTGCCAGGTGGGTTTCCCGTCAGCGAGGTAGGAGGGCACGAGGATGCCGCAGAAGAGGACGGCAAGGAAGATTGTTGTGAGCTTGAGGACGGCTAGATACATGACTCGGCCGCTTCCTGCGTGGTAAATAATGACCCTTTCGGGGAAGACTAGCAAAAGCGGACTCTGGTCAGTGATATCGGTGGTGTTGGAGGGGAAGATAGGGTCAACGCTGTACCATATTTCCTGTTTGGTTCAGGCCGCGTATAGATGCTCTGCGCGGCGGGTTTCTGGTCCCGTGGAGCACTGGTGGTAGACTGGGTCTGTTTTATAGGGCGACCTGTCGTCTGAGAGTAGGCGTGGAGGAGGACGACTTTGTGAGTGAGGGTGAGGTTGAGGTTGGCGGTGCGGAAGGGTGTTCGGTAGAGGGATGGGATGGGCCTTATCGCCGAATGAGGCGCCCTCTGTAGGAAGACCCTAGAGCAAGACATTCCGGCGATTGGGGGTGAGATAATTGGGCAGAAGGGGGTTGAACTGATGAGATTCAATCCGCGACGATGAAGTTTGAGGGTGAAAGCGAATTACTTGATTGAAATCTGAAGTTATCGATTCAGAGTCGATGGAGCTTGTGCACGGACCACTCTAGTTTCTTGAATTGAACATCATAACTCACAAGTTTTCGGAACGAGCGAAATATACAGTTAGATCCCTCGACAGGCGCGACGGCCAGTTTGAGCGAGATAGGAGCCTCGTCTTTGAGGTTCCCGAAGCAAGTAAAGTCATACGGGAATAGCTAGGATAGCCATGGCCATCGTATAGCTCGACTGCGGAAGCTAGCTGATTGCCTCAGCTTCTTTCACGGACATAGACTTCGCACGTTCTCGCCTGACAATACGGAGTACGGTTTTCACGGTTTGCCCAGACAGCCATGCGAAAAGGGCGAAAACTAAATTTCTGTCTATTGATAAACGTATAACGCATTCCAGACTCCATACGTCAACCTCTGGTACCGATAGGGGTTGGCCCGGCAAGGAGGAAGATGTGGAAGCCATCAATTGTTGACATTTTTCAAATTAAGGGTTGTGGTTCAACGGTATATTTGGGAGATGTGCTGTCGAGGGGAGAAGATACCCTCTCGGGTTGCAGCGGTGGTCGTCGTAGCGAATTTAAGTGCGATGCGAGAATTCAGCGTCTTTTGCTCGAGTTGAATTGACGGCTGCACTACCCGCTTTCACGGCTGGCCACCGCGGAAAGCATATTTGGCTACGACGACCATCGTCCTGGATGAAGATGGAGCTTTCGTCGTCCGAGGAGACCAACTGAATGGCGCTCTAACCAATTTGCGCAGAAGACCCATGGTATTAGTAGAAAATATCCTAACTCTTCTCCACCCAGCAAAAGCATCGCCTTACACAATAGTAACAATAGTGTCGGGCGAGGCTTCGATTTCCCAGACGTCATCAAACCACCGCCTCCGGTCGGCACCTCCATGCCCCGTGAACAGCGCCATCCCAGCCCTCTCGAATCCACCCGACCCTCGTACACGCCGCTCCTCCGCAAGCACGATAAAGGCATCCACACACCTGCCCTGGCTCTCCTTGTGGGCTGCGTGCATCAGCCATGCCCTCGCGAGTGCGCAGCCCTTGCATTGCGTGAGGCTTTCGAAATTGAAAATGTCACCTGGCGGCTCGTCGTTGAGAAACTCCATCGCGCCCCCCCGGAGGTCAAGTCGGGACTCCGTCGCTAACGCATCCGCCTCGCAGCACGTATCTTCAAGGCCGGGAGCCCGGCGACCTAGCGAAGACGACGGCACGTGGAGCCGGTACCTGGCCGAACTATCCCTGCCGGAAATGTGTCCCATCATATCGTGACAGTAACGCCGGATGAAGCATGGTAATATCCGTGCGCTTATCTCGAGACGTCCCGACTTCACAGCTCCGAGATCATTACGGCTGTCAGACTCGATCTTGACGGAGCGCATCGAACTCTGAAGGAAATTGACATATGAAGACGGATTTGTCGAGCCGAAATCAAGGAAGTGGAGTTTTTGTCCAAGCGGAATCGACGCCCATGACCACGAAGGTGCGGTCCAGCACTCTGTCCTGCCCACTGCATTCTTGGACTGGATACACCAAAGGAGTTCGTAATGGAGCGTGCGCTTCCACATGCCGGCACAATAATCGTCGCCCGTCCAGCCTTGCACAATTCGCGCGCAGCCCGAGATGGCCGGGAGGATGTCGGTGTTCTTAGTTAGACTCAGCGTCATGTATCGCACGACCATCTGGCGCCACTGGTACGAGGCATCCGTGCTGTTAGGCGGACCGTTCTGGCTACCGGATGCTCTCGCCATTAACTGGTGATGCGTCGGTTTAAGAGCCATGACGAGCTGAGCCATGAGCTTTGGGGGCGGATGCGGAGGAAGCGAGCGGCCCTCACATTCGCACGTCGAGCCCTCGAGACACTCGAATGCGAGCTCTCCATACATACAGTGGAGCACTCTTCTAGAGAGGAGTCGCTCTTGGAAAACCCATCCGCGCTCCAGGAGCGGTAGACGCTCCTTGACGGCCGTCCTATTCCAGGAGAGACGAGCCACTTTGTCGCACATGCGTGCACCTACAACGTACGATGAGCCGTCGCCTCTGTCGATTGAAAAACATAGATCTGGCGTCGTGGAAGAAAAGCACCCGCCGGTAGAGTCCGCCGACGAGGTTGCGGCGATAGTTAAGTACGCGTTGCGATATATCCCTGCCATCTTGGCGGACTCCACCTCCCAGTCGGCACCGTCGTCCTGGATAATACACAAGGAATCGATCCAGATCAGCCGGAGACCAATTCCCCTAGCTAAGGCAATGGCGTCGCGGAAATTCCTGGGAAGAAAGTCGAACTCGATGAAATCAAGCCTGTCTTGCAGCGTAGCCCTTGTCGTGCAGCACATGATGGGCGTCAGGCCCCAGCAATGACTTAGGCAGGCATATGTGCCTTTTTCGCCCGGGACCGTCTCGACGAGTCTTACGCCAGGAATGCCGTTTTTGTAAACCTCGTTGACGTCCACAAGCCGCGAAGGAACGCCAACATTGATACTCGCACATGCTGGGTGGGTGGACGTACATACATCGAGCCAGCTCCGCAGGCGATTTAAGGACATGTCGGAGCTGGTATCGCCCGATAAAAATCTCGCCCTAGGCATTTCTTGGAAAAGTATGGGGAGGCCTGCAGCTTGACAGTGTTAGTAAAGCTCGCTTTTTGCAGAAAGGTGGTCGTACTCGCCTGGAGGCTGGAACAGCGGGACCGGCTGAGCCGTGGCTTCTGGGTCCGAAGCGCGACCAACACTGCACACAAACTTATCCGAGATGGAGTAAACTACTCGTCCCGAGCTACCCTCTTCGCCTGCAAAGACGACGTTCAGGATCTGGCCGAGTACAGCGCATGAACCGCATCCATTTTCTGCCGACGCAGTAAGTTCAGTGCTTGAGAACCAGCGTCCAGATCGTGACTCGACAAGTGAGGCCCTAGTCTCCCGAAGCTTGCGGTTCCGCGCGGCCCGCGACAGCCCCGCTCCGTGAGGGATCGTTTCTTCCAGGAGCTGGAGCTGGGCGAGCTCCTGGCATCGCAGAAGACATCCATCGGTACCGAACATGCGGTACCAATTCCGGACCCGCGCTTCTTCATTCTTTGCTAGCACGGCCAGGTCGCGGGGTGGGCTAATTAGTGTTACTGGGGCCGTCATTGTTTGCTGAGTGCAAATACAAAGACCTAGGGATCAAGCGGGGTACGTATCAATTGATGTCGCTCTGTAAGGAACCGTTATGATATGGATCACGGCGTCGGCGTAATCCGAACCAGGCCCCTGGGTATCGACGACCAGCCTCGAAGGACTTATCTTGTCCCTTCCTCGGCGTCTATCACGTCCAGAATACAGAGTAGTAGCTGCCAATTCATATATTTATGGACTCACCCAGTCGGATTGTTTAATCGTTTGTTCCAAGTGAAAGTTACAACACATTATCAACCAAACTCTTCCACTAGACAACATTCTTAGCCAGCCACTCCTTCCACTGCTCCTCTCCCCATCCCGAACTAACATCATTCTGCACAACCCCATCATAAATCACCGTCGGACTAACATGCACACCCGTCAACCTCGCCATCTTCACCAAAACCTTCAAATCCCCCGTAGCCTTATTCCCCGAATTGAGCTGCCCCTCCACCGGCTCCGACGGAATCCTCAGCGCCTCGAGCACGCTGTTCTCGTCCAGCCCCACGCCGGCGGCGATCTTGGCCAAGCGGCCGTAGGTCTGGTTGCGCGTCTCGTTGACGACGTTGACGTCGTAGAATTCCGTGGCGCGGGAGAAGAGAGCTTCGCTGAAGACCCAGAACTTGTCGGGGGACTGCTGGTTGACGACGACGGCGGCTTCGTGCAGGAGGGTACTTGAGGGGTGCCAGGGCTGGACTTGCTGTCGGAAGATGACTTCGAGGTTGGAGGAGTAGGTGGGGTTGGAGTGGATTAGGGGGAAGACCGTGCCGGTGAGGGTTTTGAAGAATTTGGCTGAGAAGGGGCACTAGAGGTGAAGGTTAGTGACTTTTTCTTTCTTCTCCCATTTTGGAATTGGTAGTGTAGATTGTAGGTTCGCTGGATGGCTTACGGTATAGTCGAGAAAGACTTCGAGGACGTGGGCGGCGGGAGGTACGGAAGCGTAGGGTGAGGTGGGCTTGCCGAAGACGATCCTATGGGCGGCGAATTTGGGCGGGAGAGCCATTGTGGTGATAATTTGATCGGCGCCTTGTTGGAGCTTTATCGGGGTAGAATCGATTAGAATTCTGGAGCTTGAATCTGTCGAGATGATTCTTGGGATTCTTGGTTGTGTTTGCCAGTCTCGTCGCGATGGTCGGAGGACGCAATCAGCGTGGTCGATGAGGGGTAGCTTAAGTAGCTCCAGCGATTGAGTGCTCGGCGATGAGCTCCAAGTCGTCTCGATGATGCAATTGGATTTCAAATCGGCGAATTGAACAAAACGCTTATGCAAGCACAGCGGAGCATGCGAAATCCGTTGTCCATGATCAATTGCGACGGTTGATGTTGGACCAAGAAACAATTAACAATTAAGGGAAATCTCGTCCAAGCTCTACTAGAGTTGGCTCCCGAAGCGAGAGCTGGACTTGAAGAATGTAGAACACCCCCCCAATCGACTAATACACCAACACGCCAACAGTTCAAAATAAAAGGCTAGTGCAGACACAAAACGCCCACAAGATCAATCAGTGCTTCCGATCTTGTCCCTTACGAAACAGTATTCTTCGCAACAATCCCCCGCGCAAACTCCCCAAATGTTATATGCTGCTCAATATCCACCTCCTCCCCCAGGTTCGGCTGCGTAAACACCGCCAGCGTATTCCGCGCAATGCTCCCTCCGCTCGCCGACGCCGCCGCTCCTCTCACAAAGTGAGGCACCGCCTTGAACCGCCCTGCCGTGATCCTCTCCAGCGTTTCTCCCGTCTGGAACGCGAGACAGTCGCGGGGGATTTTGACCTGCACCGTCTCGCCCGTCCTGGACTTGATGTAAAGCCCTGCCTCTGGGTCGGGTGATGCCGCTAGCTCCTGAAGTGGAGGAAGCTTGCTGTCCAACGGACTCTTCCCTCCCGAAACGAATGGTGGGCTCGCCTCCTCGTCGATAAACATGGCTGATGTGAGGCCCGTAAGACACCCGTGATCAAGGTGCGTAGCGCACCAGTCGTCCCCGTCCCCGTCTTTATCTTTTCCAGGCTCTGCTGTCTGTGGGTAGTAATGCAATAGTCGAGCCTTGGTCGTGGTAGACGTGCTCACGACATGCTCGAGGTATCCCTTCGGATACCCCTGAATCTCCTTTTCAGCAAACTGATCGCACGCCCGCGCCACTAACACGGCCACATCAATCACTAGCCTGCACAGATCCTCAAGGCTAGACTTGAATCCTGGAAGAACCTGCTCGCCTGGCCATATGTTGGGAGAGAGATACTCTGGGAACGTCTCTTCGGAGAACTCCGTCGTCGGCTTGGCGCAGTCGAGAGAAGCATCGACGTAAAAGGCGCAGTTGGCATAGTACGAGCCCTTGAACGTGTCCACTTGACCGTTTTTGAGCGTTTCCTTGCCGAGGGACCAGCCAGTGAGGTACTTGGCCTTTGCGTTCTCGAGCTTTTCTGCGGTTGTTGTAAGGGTTTGGTTAGAAACAGCTTGTCCGATTTCACGTATAAGTCGAACATGTGAGAAACGGGAGGCGGTACCTAGTGCTTCCTTGGGTAGATTTCCCAAGTACGATGAATATGAAAGCGTCTGGAGTCTCAACTGGGCAAAGTTTTCTGGCAGGCCTTTGACGACGAGGATGCCGAGGGACTGTGGCCCGAAGGCCTCTTGAAGTGTGTGGAATGAGACTTGGCCTGTAGACCGCGTGTTAGTGGAGGTTGCGTGAGGCAGGAGTGCTGAATGTTTATCTTGGGGGCAGACCATTTTGGAGATCCTCAAGGGATACCGTAACCGCCTGAGCAATAGGAGCCATTTTACTAAATTCTAGGTAAATTTGATACGATCGTGAAATGAGGAGATCACAAACTGGGGAACACCGAGAAGCTCGCGACAATCGACCTGCCTCAATCGGTCCACAATGAACTTGGACAGCGGGGGAGGGGTTCTAATCGGCTGACTAAGTCGGTGAAAAAAGTGGGTTTTATCGGCTTTGAAGCTCCGCCACTCGACAACGCGATAACCTGGATGTTCCATTCCCAATTGCAAAGCTGCAGAAGCTCGAATCCAGCTGGTGCTCTGTTTCTGCAGCCCCAACCTAACCACACGATACCCACCGCCCCCTCAAAATGGTGAAGCCCTTAGTATTCAAAGGCGAAAAGAGGCCTAAAAAGCGCAAGCGCAACCACGACTCCAACGCCGACACAGTAGCCTCCTCAACCGCCGGTCCCCATCACACCGATGACGTCGAAAATGACGATAGCTGGGTCTCGGCGGAGGCGGCGACCGACGTGTCTGGCCCCGTGATGATAGTGCTACCTACGAACCCCCCTTCGGCGCTGTCGTGCGACGCCAACGGTAAGGTGTTTGCCGTCGATATTGAGAATATCGTCGAGGGGAACCCGGCGAGCGCGGAGCCGCATGATGTTAGGCAGGTGTGGGTTGCGAATAAGATTGTGGGGACGGAGCATTTTAGGTTTAAGGGACATCATGGGAGGTTGGTTTTAATCATTTTCTTTTTTAACCTTTCCTTTCTGTCTCTAGACCTTGCAGTGGTGATAAGGGAGGTGACACTGACTTGTTTTTGATCGTTGGTAGGTACTTGAGTTGTGATAAGCATGGCATGTTGTCAGCTACAACGGAGGCCGTATCGCCTCTCGAATCCTTCATCCTCACTGTGACAGAAGACGCCAAATTTCAGATCCAAACCCTAGGAAACACGTTCCTCTCCGCCAACCCGCCCACATCCTCGAAGCCCAACGCCCAGCCCGAACTACGCGGCGACGCCGACGCAGACGCCCCCAACACCGTGGTCTGCATACGGATGCAAGCGCGGTTCAAGCCGCGCATCAAAGAGTCCAAGGCCGAAAAGGCCAGGGAGAAGATATCCAGGAAGGAGCTGGAGACCGCCGTGGGGAGGCGGTTGGAGGAAGACGAGGTGAAGAGGCTGAAGAGGGCGAGGAGGGAGGGTGATTATCATGAGCAGTTGCTGAAGCTCAAGGTCAAAGGCAAGCACGACAAGTACAGCTAAATTCGGAGGATTTACCATTTAAAGGGCTTTGGAGGGGTATTATTGTTCCATTCCTTTTTTCTAGCCGACCGGTTCTTTCCTTTTTGTTTCAGCTGCCTGGGTGCCAGGCGTTTACCTTTCCGTCCTCGCCGCAGGTGTATACCACTTGCTCCTCGTCGAAGAAGCAGAACCCGCGGACGATCTCCTCGCCGTGAGACTCGGGTAGGTTTACACGGGCGTTGGAGTTGAGCTCCCACGACTCCCCGTTCTTGGAGAGGTGGATTAGACTGAATAGGTGTTGGCTAAAACGCGTGAGAGTCAGCATTTTGGTACGGGAAAAATGTTTAAAAAAAGGGAAGGAAAACGAGGGCGCGGGGACCCATACTCTTGAGCTCCTGCGCCTAATATCGCACCGCTTCCATCCAACTTGGGCGTCACATTCGCCACGTACTGGCATCCCAGCTTCTCCCTCACATCCCCAAAGTCGGCGATCGCAACGCCCTTCTCCTGCTCCTCGGCCATGGAGTAAATGGCGAACCGCTCATCATGGGAAAGGGCAAAGACGTCGGTGTCGTTTAAGAAGCCCGCATGGTGGATCGACGCATCGTGGTTGAAGGTCTGGATGACGACCTCATCCTCGTCGCTGATGCGCGTGTCGCAGACGTTCACTAGACCGTCCGTTGAGCCGGAGAGGAGAATATTTGGGTTTTTGGGGTGGAAGTTGAGCTAGTTCCTCCGTTAGACACAAATACGTGCATGAGGGCTTATGCTTTGCCTAGAGGCTAGGAGAGAGGGAGCGTCTTACTTCTGTGATATCGTCACTGTGAACCTCGGTGTATAGCCTCTTTTGGGAAGGGCTTGCTCTTACGTCCCTGGCCACGGCTCGGTTAGAACTGTCATTCGCTCATCTTGCGGACTACGGGCCATATACAAAGGATTGAATAGATGAAACACACCAGAGTACGATAGACGCATTATGGTCTTGTAATTCCGTGCCAACAGCAATCGAATGAGATCCGGCATCACACGCTAGCGATGTAACAGGTGCCTGAGAAGCTAGATATCCGCACCGCCACAAAGAAGAGAAGAAGAGTAAGTAACACGAACCATTCCATCCACCTCTCTAACCATTCAACACCCCATCCTACGATCTCAGTCGCCCCAAACATCCCAGAAACTTTCCTACGTTGGAGATATATAGAAAAAAAAAAAAGGAGAATTTACCCACCTTGAAACCTCGCAACATGCGCATCCCCCCGCCTCAAATCCCAAACTGAAACGCTCCCATCCTCCCCCGCCGTACACACCGTCGCCGCACCGCTATCCACCACCCTCAAAGCCGTAACGTTCCCGTGCGCTGTGGTCAGCGCGGGGCGCGCCTCGCCGCTCAAATCGGGCCGAAGGAGCGCGAGGTGCTGGGAGGACGTGATGCAGGCTACGCCGGCGCCGGGGAGGTGCGCTACGTCGAGGACGTAGGTATCCGGCGGGAAGGAGAATGAGGAGGCTAGGCGGAGGGTATACATTCTTGACAAGTGATTGAGAAATCGAACTCGAGACGGATGGGGAGGCCCAAAATCTCTTATATTCTCTTGCAGAAGAGAGAATCCTTTTCCGACCACGATGAGGGATTCTTGTTGACTTTTTCGTTCTGGACTTTACGATGCGATGATGGAGGGCAGGAAATTTCAGTTTGCTTGTGAAAGGTGGGATGGGCGATGACTAATCTTCACCACTTACACCAAGTCCACAGTTTGCAGTCTCATCCCTGAAGGAATCTAGGTCTTGAAAATTGTACGAAGCTCTACCTCCTTCACGTCCCATCTTTGAAAACCCCCCAATCTTCCCTTACCCTATTCGGGGAAAGGGGGAGAAATGAAAAACAAGGCCAAAGTCCAAGACGCCGCCGCTGATGCTACTCAAAACATACAAGAAAACGAAGAAACGAGACCCCATCTAGCCAGCGGGGTGGGGCTAACACCATCCCCCCATGACAAAACCAATATGGTATGTACAATTATGTGCATCTGTTATCAACGGATTCAATGTCCGATCCCGCCGGCAACCCAATTCGCAAACTCCGGATCGTTCGCTCGCGGAAACACCCCTTCATCTAGCTCTCCTTGGTCTCCCGCAGCGCCGTTGTTCTGACGCCGTCGCTCCTCGTCCTGCTGTCGGCGGTTCTGCTGCTGTCTAAATTGTCGGTAGTACAGCAACCCGACGAGGGCCATGGAAATTCCAAAGATGAATAGGAGCTCGAGGCCGCTGTCTTCGTCAAGACCATGTTGGCGATCACCGATAGTGTCGTCGAAGATGTCATCGTAGAGGCTGTCTTCATAATAGTTCGTATCGTCCTGGATGAAATTGGTGATCCACTCAGCAAGTGACCAATCCTTTTTGGGTTCTGAATCTAGAGTTAGCTGCCGTTTTCTTTTTGCTTGCTTCCGGCGGGACCGGGGGAAGGAGGAATACATACTAGGATCGTCTTGAATAGAGTGGATGGGCCCATGGGTAAAGGTGTTCCATGCGCTCCTCAAGCGCAGTTTCAAGAGGCTGAGTGTCACAGGAAGGTAAGCCTCCTGGTTGACTTCCAATGCCTGATCATAGTATCGCTTTGCAAGGTGATAATCCTGCGTCAAGCCCACACCATTCTCATGCATCCACCCAAGGTTATAGAGCGCTTGGGCACTCTGCGAATAATCGGCCGCACCTGTGTAGCACTGCACCGCTTTGTTGAAATCAGGCTCGGTGCCGATGCCGTAGAAGTAATAATCGCCCATCTTAACGAGCGAGTCGACATTGCCCTGTCGCGACGACCGTGTCCAATAAATCAGCGCCGTGGACGGGTCCTGCATGAGCGGAGAGGACGACGAAGGACGGCCTGCAAGTAAGGGAAGGTGCAACGACTTGGCCACCCTCTGGTCGAGGGCTAGGCGTGACTGATCCGGATCTAGCAGATGTGCAACATTGTTTTGCGCTCTTTCGTAGCCCTGCTCCGCCATTATGAGGTAGTGCAAAAGCGCAGTCTCATAATCGCCTTCCTCGTAGGCCAGGTTCGCGGCTCCCCAGGACGACACCAACGGTTCAGCCTTCTCGACTACGCCCTTGTAATACTGGAGGGCCATCCCGCAGCTCTTATCTCGCCCTACGCCGTGGAAGATCAGCTCGGCAAGGTAGTAGTGAGCTTCGATGAGGCCATAGCGGGCCGCCAGCTCGAAGTAGTTGTTGGCGACCCGGACATCCTCAGGACCACCCTGGTCGAGATACAACACTGCGAGTTCCACCTGCGCCGGGGCGTAGTCCTCCGCCGCCGCCTTGAAGAGCTCGGTAGCTAGGGCAATGTTTTTCTGAACGCCGTGACCGTGCAAGAGCATGAGCCCGAGGCCGTGCATGGATGACGCATCCCCAAGACTTCGACCGCGCTCAAACCACATCTTTGCCTTTTCGTAGCTCTGCTCTAGACCCTCGCCACGTAGGTACATGCGACCGATGTAGCCGGCGGCCCTGGCTACGATCCTCTCACTCCCTGCCTTGTAATTCTCAAGGACACGGCCGTCCTTCTTCCAATAACGCTTAGCGACTATGAAGAAGTACTTCTTCGCCAGTTCCATATTTCGCTCTTGCCGCCTCTGACCCTCGTAGTAAATCCTTCCCAAGTCGAGTGACGACTGCGAATCGCCCTTCTGCGAAAGAAGATCGAGATACTCGATAACATCGTCAATGGCGGCATTCGAATGAGAATGAAGGTTGATCTTAATAGCGTTGAGTCCGGAGCTTGCGGCGCTAGCACCTCGACCATACGCACCACCATTGTCATCCGCGATCCGCCACGATTCCTGAACCCAGGACATGCCGCCGGGCGGGCCGGACCGGAACCAGCCCACGGCCTTATCGGCGACCCTCTTGTAATACTTGGCGGCGAGTTCGCAGTTCTTTGGCGTGCCGATGGCAGCATGATGGCGGAAGCCGAGAGCCATCTCGGCTCTCGTGTCACCCCGCGCCGCGGCGAAGGTGTAGTAGAGCATCGCCTTGGCCTGGTTTCTGGGGACGACGTTGCCGATACCAGTGGAATAATAGAACCCGAGCATGAATTGGGCTGTGGTATTTCCGTGAACGGTCGCGAGCTTGTCGTAATAGGAAAAGGCGGTGCTGAGATCGCGTGGGTGGGAGTAGTTTCGATAGAAGTTCATCTCGGCGAGGATATAGAGGGCGTCGGAATTGTTTTGCTGACTGGCTTGTTGGAGGAGCTCGACAGCATCGTGGAGAGGGCCGCGCGTGACGATCGGTGAGGCTTGGGGTGCGGCGGGGACATTCCAAGTAAATAGGGACTTGATGGTGAAGTCAAATAGCTGGCCTACTAGGCCGGAGGATCGGCGTCGTCGGCGGTGCTGGGTATCCGGGATTTTCCTAAGATGGGCTAAAGCTTCATCAACGAGGTCGGCACCTGTGAGGAAACGGGGGTTAGTGAGCGGATACATTGGTGTTGAAGCGTAAGCTTCGGGGCGACCGTTTGTAGTCCCCGTACCTGGCTGCCGGATCGGCGGAGTAGCCTCTTCGACATCCCATTCGAATTGCGCGTGCCGATTATGGCGGTCGTTACTCGTCGGGTCAACCGGTTCAGGGCTCCTCTCCTCAGATAAAACTTGCTGGTCGTGAGATCCGAGCACTGCAACTGCCTGCAAAAGCACTATCCAGGGAACAAGTCAGTAAAGGTATTGACGGGTAGTCGTCGCGTGAGCTCTGTGGTAGGCGTCGAAAGCGACAGAAGAGAGGATCGTGAGCTTACGGAGCAAGACGAGCGAACGCCTCATGGCTGGCAGAAACTGTGGTTGTTTAGTTGAAATGTTAGAATCATCCTCGGTTCGATAATGCTATTTGAGGAAAGGTTGGCTGGCGAAGGTGGGTGATAATACGACGACAATGGACCTTGGTCAATGCAATGCAAGGTGTCATATTGTGAAGATGACAGAGCTAGAGCTCGATGACGATTAGTCATCAACATTTCTTCCAGCTTCAACAAGAAGTCACCCACGTCTTGATTTCAATGGAGCTTGGTTTGACTTACTCCGAGTTAGAGCAGTGGAACACGACTCTATTAATACTCTCTTGCCCAAGCTCTCATCGGAACTCATGTGCACTCTAAGTTGGAGGTACGAATTCAAAGAGGGCATCTACGCTCGCTGATAACCTGAGAGTCATTCTCGAGCCCCACTGCGAGCGTTGGTCTTGGCACACACTTGGACAATGGACCGGATCAGGTGCGCACATTCGGCATACGCCAATCGAGAAGCAAGTGCCAATGGCAGCAATCAATAATTCGTCGGTGTTGTTTCCTCTCTCCTACAGAGAATCCGCACCCATGGGGTTCTTGAAGGCGTTTTGCTCTCCACTGTCAATGGTTGTGTTCCATCAGGCCTTCCCGGAAGTGCGTCCTGGTGAGAGCAGAGTAGACGCAATGAAATGATAAATACAACAAATCCGGAGGCGGAACAGTAGCAGACCAAGCTAATTTCGTAGGGGCGGATGTATAATAGCCTATTAGGTCTAGACCTTGCTGTTGTGGATGATAATGGCAACAACTGGGTTCCTCGTGTGAACTGACTGATCAAAGCCGGGGCAGAATTAAACTTCTCGTTGAAGGATAACGGTAGGGACCCGACCATTTCCCCCTAGAAATCGATAGTCAACGTAACGCATTCAGCTTATTATAACCAGGGCCATATTTAACACTAGAATGCCAACCTGAAATATGCTAATCTGCGCCCTAGTGAACGCCAAGATAAAGGCAAAGATGCGCGCTTCCGGCGAGGATGTGGGCAGTTCCATGACCGGTCGCAACCTCATCTGGAGTGCAGTCGCCAGGAGTGCAATCGCCGGGGATGCTGGTCCGGGCTTCGTCCACGACCCGCTTGGAGCATCAGCATGAAATCTTGGAGCGGATTGCCTGACTCTAGTGCATCCGAGTAGAGCCTGTACGTGGGTGAGTGATGAAGGACTCAATAATTAGTTCATGGACTGGATCTCGGGCGGGATTACTTCGTATACATATATATTCTCGGCTACAATATCTAGTATTGTTCTGCTCTATGTTCAGCCATCCTCACGTTTCCACTTGGAGAGAAACTTGGACATGACCTTGAGGAGTCGAGTGCCAAGTATCGGCAGTTTATATCCCCATTGTGTGGCAATGCGAGCAATTCAAATGTTTGGAGGGTCTCTGGGATCCACCTGCCTGGTAAACTACTGGTCGTAGCACAGTGCCTAGCGCCTTCTGAGCTGAACGACAGGAGTTCAATTGTTGAACTCTCGTGCGCAAAAAGTCGCCAACGAATTGAAATCATTGGACCCTTGCAGAGTCTATGTAGAGTCCAGACCCTGCGAATCGCAACACCAGCTCCAGGAGCCCAAAATTTGTTCCCAACCAAGACTGTTCCAGTTCTAGTCACACGACCCATTCTTCCATCGTGATCGCCTCCGGATATAACCTATCTAATTTACGTTATTCTCCCTCTGTCTCTCCGAGCGAACGATCCCTTCAATCTCCAGTTCTTCGTGCGCGAACCATCAAATCTTCCTCCCTCAGTTGCGACTAGGTTAAAGTGGCGACGAAGAAGAGACATTGCGATTGATCTTATTCGCCTCAAGCGGCGGTTCTGCTCAATTAACCCAGACAACTCCGGCCTCCCATGGCCGAATGGCTTCCGCGATAGAGCAGCGGCAAACGGCGGGCGTTGAATCCAGCGAGGAGAGCAATTCAAGACGAGCGAAACATACGTCACCAAGAAGCACAGACTTCGTTGTCGATCACAACCAAAGTTTGGGCGGTAGGACATACGCAAACGGAAGTCCGAGGCGGAATGAAGATGATGGTGTGGACCAACAAGGCGTCGCGTCGCCGGTAGCCTCGCCGCCTTACTGGCTCATCCATCACCCGCACCATTCCATGAGCGCTTCCGTCGAGTCGCTGTTCGAGAATGGTGGTCACATAACAATGAGGGATAACGAGTCGGAGGATTGGGGCGGCCGCAACAGCGCTTGCTGGGCGCGGAGTGTTGAGATACCCAACTATGTGGTTGTCAACGGCAGCGCGACAAATATTGGCGCCTTTGTGGTTTTCAATATCAGAGTGGAAACCCAGAATGTTAGTTCAAACACCAATGCCGATCTATCCGAGTCTGCTGCGAAGGGGACACACCGGACAGACAGCAAGAGGGTCTTGGCGACGTGCTTTGATGGGCTAATCGTCAGTTTTGCATACAGGGGAGCCACATGAATATCCGCAAGCGGTATTCTGAATTCGACGATTTACGGCGAAAATTGATCCAGACATTCCCCGGCTTTGACGCGGCAGTTCCACCCCTGCCGCCGAAGAGCGTTATTTCAAAGTTTCGGAGGCCGTTCCTCGAGAAAAGGAGGTCAGCCCTTCAATATTTCCTCAAGTAAGTGGCCCCTTTCGAGCGCTTGGCGCTAGTGGACATTGGGGGTGTTCCGCTCCAAAAGTTCTTGTTACTATCATGACATGAAATTTCCTTCTCGGCGATATTGGCTCCCTCCCTAGAGCTGACACAAAACCACAGTTGCATATTGTTGAACCCAGAGTTCTCTGCGTCGCCAGTCCTCAAGGAGTTTCTATTTGCATAGCTTCAACCGTACATGCATCTTCGCTTCTGTACATATCGGTCTTACCCTATATTATCTTGGGTTCTTGAGAGAACTTTTGAGCGTTCGATCAGCCTGACACGACGCTGGTGACGATTAATGATACTAATATATAGATGGGAGCACTTATATTCACGCTCCAGATCATTTTACTGGTGTCATCCGCATTAGAAGTGACCTGTAAGACGTAGATCTCACTCCACCAGTCCACGGGCATCAGAATACCCTCCGCCGCATGGTCTTTTAAAATGTTACGTCTCGGGGGAGACATGGTCACGGCGCGCATTGCTAGTGGCGGCTCGACCTGCGGTGAACCCAGCCGCACGACCATACTTGCCCGGATCGTTCGATTGCGACAACACAATGCATTTCCCTGTGAATCCGGCCAACGTACGCATTCCCCGAGCCTCTTCCATTACGCTCTCAGGCGGTGTCGATGCCGTGATGTTGATGAGGCTGGTTTGTAGACAAGTATGCTTCTTGTACAAAAATAAATTGTTGTGTGAAAGGATTAACATGCGTGGATCTGATCGACCCCGAGCGGATATTCTTAGGTGAGTGCTTGAACCGTTAGTGGGCCTTTTTGGTGGTAAGGCTTGGTTCTTCTGCAAGGAGCCGGGTCTTCGGCATCCAAGCAACGCGAAGCCCAACGAACGGGGATGAGCTGGCTTCCGTCCTTGCGTTTTCGTTGGCGGGGGCAGATCTAGGCGCAGAGCATACTGGATTGCGCAGCGTGTGGCTCATCGCCTGTGACCCTGACCACCCCTCCATGTTGCCGCGGCTGGAACCCCCCGGTCTCGAAGAGTGCTTGAATAGCACTGGATGATGGATTGATTCGTTGCGGCTCTTTCGGGCGGGCTATAAGAAATCTTAGATTCCCGTTGCCATGTCCCTTATTTTTGTGCTTAATCAGAAATGTGAGACCGAATAATCTGATGATATTTGTTTCAAGATTTATTGTTCCTGTTCCTCATTACCGCAAGAAGCAATGTCCGCGATGTCTAGCATCAGCCCTACAGCAAACCCGGAAGAAGCGGCAACCCAGTGTCAGCGCCGCATTCAACCATCGACGCACACACTGTCCAATAAGTCCATCGGCGCCGCCGACTCTGGAAGCATTGACGTCACCCCGCTCGCCCAAGTCGACGTCGACCACGACAATAAATCACGCCCGGGCTACTTGGAGTCCTTAATTCCTCCAACCGCCTCCGAGTTCGAAAAGATTTCTCACATTCAAGAAGAGCGCGAGCTCGAACATCGCCGCCAGAGGAAAGAATTACACAGGTGGAGCCTGGGACGCGCGTCGACGCAGGGTTCATCTCTTTGGTCTATGCCCACTCTGGTGGATCACGTTAGCACGGCGACCAGCGCACAGGACGATAGAATGACGGAGGAAGTTGTGGGAAATTCCCAGTCGCGGGAGGAGGAGGAGGCCGCTGCTAAGCTTATCCAGAGAACCTATCGAGGTTATCGCACAAGGAGAGAACTGGAGGGGATTAATTTGAACGCTTCAGCGAGGTGGGTTTCCGCCGTTCAAGATGCGCGGTGGAGGGAAGCGACGAGACCGCGGTCAAGAATTGGTCCGACGTCTGAAGATGGTCGGCCTATGTCTTCCGCGAGCCTGGATGGCGTTCCAGACTCTGCGAAGGGGCACTGGAAGAAGGCGGCGGCCGTGATGCGACGAGCGGGTCAGGACATTGACCCCGAATCGGACAGCGATTCATCTTCTTCCTCGTCCTCGTCCTCTTCATCCTCTTCATCCTCGTCTGGTGCATCCAAACGTCGGAAGAAGAACAAGGAAAAAATCAAGGAGGGGAAATATACACGCATGATGGCGCTCCAGTACTTCTTGGAAATGGTCGACCAAAAGCATCGCTACGGAACCAATCTGAAAGTCTATCACGAATACTGGCTCCAGGCCGATACCCACGAAAACTTCTTCCACTGGCTGGACCACGGCGACGGCAAAAACCTCGATCTTGCCGCCTGCCCGCGCGACCGTCTCGAGCGCGAGCGCGTGCGCTACTTGTCGCGAGAGGAGCGACAGTATTACCTCGTTGAGATTGACAAGGACGGGCGGCTCTGCTGGGCCAAGAACGGGAAGCGGATCGATACGACGACCGAGTACAGAGACAGCATTTACGGCATCGTGCCCCTCGATGACCCCACACCGAGCTTCAACCCCGACTCCGTAGAACCGCCCGTCGCCCTGGACTCGTCCGAAGAATCGGCCGAAGAAGCAGACCGAGCGGCCAAGTACGCCACTCCGGAGTTTGACAAGGCCAAAGGACATAAGAAATTCGCCCATCTGTCCACCACGACCATCACGAACAAGCTCTTGCGTAAGACGGTTCGCAAGAACACGTGGATCTTCGTCGCCGACGGCCATTTCCGACTCTACGTCGGGATCAAGGACTCCGGCAGTTTCCAACACTCCTCCTTCCTGCAAGGCAGCCGTATCCGCGCAGCCGGTCTTATTAAGATTAAAGATGGCAGGCTGAGCGCACTGAGTCCCCTCAGCGGACATTATCGCCCGCCCGCGTCCAATTTCCGCACTTTTCTCAAGAATCTCAAGGAGTCGGGTGTTGACATGAGTCACGTATCGATTTCCAAGTCATATATGATTCTTTCCGGTCTGGAGATGTACACCAAGACGAGCGCCAAGGGCAAGAAGATGATGCGAAAGTTACTGCACCGCAAGGACCAAATCGTCGACCCCGCCGGGACGGCTGAAAAGGACGAGGCTCAGAAGGACCATAGCAAGAGCGCGCGGAGAGAGCACGAAGTGCTGGAAGAAGAGAAGCGGGAGAAGGAGAAGGAGAAGGAGAAGGAGCATGAGGTCGAGAATGCAGAGTCGGCAGGGAGGCGATCTAGTTTAATCTCGTTGACAAGGAAGCTGCATCTTTCACATGGGAAGAGCGAAGTTGAGGGACACAAGGAGATTGAGGAGGTCAAGCACGAAACTACGAAGCCAGTTACTAAAGTCTAATTTTGCATTTCATGTACTTACACGCCATACGAAATAATGGGTCCGAGTTTGGTAGCGAACACGCGCAGCTACAGGCAAGGTGTCGGAGGGATTTTAATAAGGCATTCTGAATTTGACTTATACGCTTGGGCGCTCGGTCGGCCATTGCGCATTGCGGGCGAAGTAGCATCTATGTAGAACCATGAGCAATACGCTCTCAGCGTCGTATCACACATGTTATCAGAGACGCGGATCCCCAGCGGCCAAGAGAGAAGGTTGAATCCGTAACCTGCAATCTCGCAAATTGATCTATCAGTAGTTGATTTGTACAAATGAGCAACCCCCCTTCCCAAACGCAATGCCATTCCAGGTTTTTGTGTCCTGAGCCGCCCCCTCCAAACTCAGCCTACATCAGCCCCAATTGGTTCTACATGGCCCCTAACACATGGTGTATGATTTCCCAAGCAGAAACCCACAATTAAAAAGCCCCATCATCTTTTCTCCTTCTCCCCATCTCCCAAGTTTTTTCTTTTCAGTCCAACAGCTTACGCCTTCCACACCCTCTTAATGGCCTCGGTAACACCGACATCGTTCGTCTCAAACTCGTAGAGACCGACACCGGCGAGGAGGGTGGCGGCACCGAGGGTGTAGTTGACGGCCTTGCGGGACTTAGGGAACTGCCTCGAGGGGACGTAGTCGGCAATGATGTTCTGGAAACCGAGGTGGCTGTGAACGAGGATGGTGGCGCAGAGGAGGGCATCGAGGCCGGGGTTGAGAGAGCCGCTGGCGAAGGGGGTGACGCAGAGGGGGACGAGGCCGAGGGCGAGGAGGCGGTCGAAGGTCCAGTGGTAGGAGCCGTGGGCCGGGTCACCGTCACGGAACGAGGTGGGATCGTTTACTGTGATGATTTAGTGTTAGATGAGCTTGAGTTCGCATCATAGGTCCGATTGCAATCGGCGTCTGTTTCATTTCTTATTCTTCGCATTCGTACCTGTCTTCTTGACGACCTCTGTAAATCACATCATATGTTAGCCAACCTGCGCGAATTCAGTCCATTGAGTCCATTGGGGTCGGAACTAGACCCCGGACAATAGGGAAGAACATACGAGGGCCGGGAGGAAGGAGATCCCTCCTGCTAGTAGTGTGGAAAGAAGCAACCCTGAGAGCGGCATTCTGCTGAAGAGCCGACTGGCGGAGGGTGGAAGCAAGTGGCCGGTAGGCGCGGGTCGCGAGAGAAGCCATGACGACGGTATTATCTGCGAAAAAAGGTGGGATTCAATTCAATTGATTGACTCGGCCTTAGCTGTCTTTTTGCAGAGGGCTCACTACACGGGCTGCTGTTGGGAAGGAGCTCGAATTGGGAGGGAGACAAAGGAAAGCAACAGTGGTTCTCGAGAGGAAGTTGGAATGACTGACGAACTTGGTGCTTCTCGGAATCTTTGAATGGACGGATTGCCGAGGATGTGGAGTGTGGGTGTAATTGGAAGGTTCGTTATTGGCTGGGAGAGACGGGTTCGCTGACTTAGCCTTGAATACAAGGCGCCAAGACGGGAAAGTCTGGAATCTCAAAAGTCACAAAACGCACGTGATTGCGTGAGAATGTCGTGTGAGGTGACTTTTTGCTTGCCAGCTGTTAACACTAGCCAGAAATTGTTAAAAATTTCGAGTCACCTTCCTCACAGGAATTGAAGCTTCCAAAGAAGCTCCAAGACGACCTCAGCGCGATCCTGCCGAAGGAAGCCAGACATAGATCTGGTGACAATGTCAAGTCGGCACATATAATTTAACAATCCGATTACATGCGACGCTTCGAATTGGTCTAATTCCGTTGCACATTCTCCCAGCCAACAATGGCGCCAAGACCGCTTCCTTCGCTAGCTCTCTCAAGGGGACTTAGATCCCTTCGAGGAGTCTCCCACAACGGAGGCCGAGTATACACGCCAGCCTACCTACAGATACGCGGAATCTCCGAGTCATGGAAGGAAAAGGTGGCAGCAGCTGAGGAGGAGTGGGCTCTGCGGGCGGACGACATCCGCGCGGGACGGCGCCAACATGTGTGGGATCTCTTTAACGAGCGAGGTTTCATCAAGGACGTCGCGGGGTATGTTTTCTTCTTCCGCGGGCCCATTGTCCGCCATGCCTTGTTTCAAACCCTTTTAATACCTAACACTCGATATATAGGCGACCGGAGCTCATCAAGGAGCTGATCCTCAAGAAGCGCATCGGCACCTACGTCGGCATCGACCCTACCGCCGAGTCCCTCCACATCGGCCACCTCCTCCCCCTAATGCCCCTCTTCTGGCTCTACTTCAACGGCATGCCCACAACGACACTCATCGGCGGCGCGACGGCGAGGGTGGGTGACCCGAGCGGGCGGCTGCAGAGCCGTGAGATTATGTCCAATGCCGACGTCGCCAAGAACATCACCAAGATCCATTACCAGCTCAAGAGGATCTGGGCCAATGTTGAGTCGATTGGCAGGAAATACGGTCACAACGGCGAATGGGCGGGGCGTCCTCACTTGAGGAATAATAACATGTGGCTGAACGCTCTTCCTCTGTACGAGTTTTTAAAGAGGCTTGGAAACCATATCAGGATAGGGCCCATGTTGGGCCGAGAAACGTGAGTTGCCTGGAGGGTTGGGATTTGCCATCTCGCCTCCCTGGATATTAGTATATTAGTTGCTAACGCCGGAGCAGTGTCAAGAGGAAGATGACGGAAGGAGACGGCATGTCCTTTGCCGAATTTACCTATCCTTTGCTGCAAGGGTGGGATTTCTGGCACATGTACTCCAAGAACGGTGTTCAGATGCAAGTTGGCGGCTCCGACCAGTATGGAAACATCGTCTCCGGTATCGAGATTGTGAAGACTGTTCGCGATACAGAGCCCGCGGAGCACTTTAAGATCAGCAACGACTGGACTAGCGACCCCATCGGCTTCACCGTTCCCCTCCTCACCGACTCGTCCGGCGCCAAGTTTGGCAAGAGTGCTGGCAACGCCGTCTGGCTCGACCATTCTTTGACGTCTCCCTTCGATTTGTACGGATACTTCGTCCGCCGCCCCGACGAGGACGTCGAGAATCTCCTGAAACTCTTCACTTTCCTTCCCCTCGCCGATATTCAGAGGTTGATGACGCTCCATGCCGAGGACGTGCCGCGCCGGATAGCTCAGCACGTCTTGGCTTTCGAAGTCACCTCCCTCGTGCACGGCCCCGAAGTTGCGCTACGAGAGCAGATGCAGCACCAGCTCATGTTCGGCAAGGCTCCTATTGAACTACCCGAGGGCATGGTCACGGCCGCCAAGGGCGTCAAGCCAGCGTCGTTCGCCCCCGCGGACGGCCTACGCACGACCAGCAACGAGGCTACCCAGGAAACTATTAAGCTTCCCGAATCCCTCATCACCGGAAAGTCGATCGCTCGCATCCTATACGCGTGCGGTCTGGCCAGCTCCGCTAGTGACGGTACCCGCCTCGTCCAAGGAGGCGGCGCCTACGTAGCCGCTTCTCCCGGCCCCGACAAGAAGAAGCTCATCCCCGGTAGCCTTGACTGGACTCCCGTAAAGACTTGGTTCCCCTCGGATACGGCCCGCTTCCTCATCGACGACCGCCTACTGATCCTCCGAAAGGGAAAATACAACGTGCGCATCATCGAGGTGATAAGCGACGAGGAGTGGAAGGAGTCGGGTATGACGTACCCCGGCGAGCCGTACACCGGTAAGCTGAGGCAGGTTCTCAAGGCAATGAAGGAGGAGAAGGCATCTGGAAAGAATGCCGTGGAGGAAGAGGTGGATGCTCTCGAGGGGGAGACGGATGCGACGCGGCCCCCGCTTCGGACGGTCCCCAATAATCCGGATATCCACTTCCCTTCGGGTCCGCGGAAAGGCGGCAAGTCCGGCTGATCGACCGAAGATGTGACCGATATACCTTTTTGTGTACCAAGTCTGTATATTCTCCGTTTGTATCATAGAATCTCTCACTCAAGTTCTTGCGGGAAACATTTGTGTAAGATAGCAGCGCATAGAGACTGGCTAGCGGGATAGCATGTAGAATAAAAAAAGAATATTATCATTCCCAGTGACTTATTTATACCTTTGACCTTACTTTCTCTTCGCATTATGCCTTCACCCCTTTCACCTGTAAAACACCGTCAGATCCCCCACAGGCAGAGGGAGCGACTTCAACTTCTCCGTAATCTCCTCATCCGTCAAGTTCAACTCGGTAATAATCTGATCAAAGCAATGATTCCCATCCGTATACTTCTGCAGCGCATCGCCACCGGGCCTAGGCGCTGATTGCCCCGTGGCCAAAGCGGCGATATACTGCTTAGAGACGACGTACTTGTGCACCCTGTACAAACAGCCCTTGATGACGCCGAACTGAACGAAGCGCCTCACATCAAGATAGCGCAGCACATCCAAACCGGCATCCCGATGGCTTTTCAGCCACTCTATGACGGACTTCCCAACACAAAAGGACGTCATGAGCCTGATGAGGTGGAAATTACTCAGCCGCTGCCTCGAATGGATACAAGCATAAGCAGCGCACTCTTCAACCATGCCGTCAAGGTTCGCGACGAAGTCCGCGATGCCAGGCCGTGGCGCGTAGCACGACGAGAAGAAGAACATGTCGAGGAGAAGAATAGTGTCGTAGTAGAGGAGGTGGCGGAGGGCGGTTTTGGCGAGGTCGAGGGAGACGTCGGCTAGGTAGGCGATGCGGCGGACGTCGGAGGCGCCGTCGATGTGGGTGATTACTTTTTGCATGGTGAGGTCCCAGGTCGGGTCGACGATGTCGGAGAGTTTCATTTTGGCGACGGGGACGTGCCAGCCTTTTACTTCGGCGGGTTGTTTGTAGTGAGGGAAGAGCTTCATGTTGATGGTGTTGGCGTCATCTAGATGGTCATTAGAACCGACCAGTCAAGGGAGAACAAAGATTTCCCATCGCCCACCGTTTTCAGAAAGAAAACTAAATGAAGAAATAAAAGCGGAAAAAAAGAGACGAAAAGAAAGAGCCAGTCTTGATACTCACCCACGGGAATCATGCACTCCCCATAATTATTCAAATCCTCCCTCACAATCTCCAACAACCCCTCCACGCTCCTCCTCTTCTCCGTCTCAATAACCGCCCATCCATTCTCCCCCTCGACCTCCTGTCCGCTCAAATACCCATCCTGCACCTCCATCTCGGCAAAGGTCACAGCCAACCTCCTCACGACCCTCTCGTATGGCACGCGGTCCACATCGGCCTCGAGCACGACGCCGAAGTTGAAGATGAACTCGTTGCGCACGTACTTGTCGTGCGCGATCAGGACCGGGTAGCCCAGGATGGTGTATTTGCCGTCCGGGTCGGTGGCAGTTACGAGGCGGTTGACGAAGGACTTGCGCGGGATGATGTAGGCTTGCAGGATGTCGAAGTCGAGAAGGGAGGTTTTGGCTGTGCCGATGAGGCCGGCGGGGGATTGGGCGACGATGCGGGGGCCTTTGGGGGGATGTGGAGTTAGTCATGTGAAATGAATCTAGATGAATCTAGAGATGGGAGGGAGGTATGAGAGGGATTGATGAGGATTAAAAGGCTTGTGAGAATGAGCGACGGTCTTGGTGATGCTGAGGATGGATATGATGAATTAAGGTGATGTGAAGATGTGAAATGTGAGACGTACCCTCCTTGGGGAAGAACCTTGCGTAAAATATCCCTTGGATCATGACGGCTACGTGTCCATCAATTCAGACTCGAGCCTTGGGTTTGTTGCCAGTCGGGCGAGTCAATGGCCGAATTAAAGATGAAGTAGAATGCGCAAGATGAGTTCGACAAGGCTCAGTCGAGTAAAGTGTTAAGCGAAACTGAAGGTAAAGGAACAAACACCAGAGCTTCCCACGCAAACTCAACTCATATAGATCTACCACCACTCACTAAGAGCGAGCTTATCACAAAGTCCCAATAAATCTAATAAAATCAATCATAGTAACAATCAATTAATAAAAGTTCGAGTAAAATTATTGAAAAAAGTACTTCATATATTTTTGATATCCCAAGTACTTCGTAAAATCAAACTTACTTCGACTAACCCAAAAAGAGACCACATTCTCACCTCTCTTGAAAGGGCTGGGTTTCCTGGATAGCCGACTTTATGGATGGGAATCCCACCTCATTGCATCAACCGAACCAGGCTACATTTCATTACCTAACACGTCAAGCTTCCGCTTACCTATTGGGAGCCATGGTGCTATTGCCTCTTAAATAATAAGTACGAGCGCGTATTGGACGCGGAAGAGTTGCTCCTGCCGTTGCCGCACTTCCCTAGAGATGATGAAGGGTGGTGCGTGGTGTGTGGCGGGTGCGTGATGATGGGCCATCACCAGGTGGAAGGGAAAAGGCTCTCGACAACTTCTCCTGAGTCTGAGTCTAGGACTGGTAGACACACAGAGACCGATTCCAACACTGAAACGACCGACGAGTATCCAAGGCCATACGTCTCCTCTCGTCATGCTATGTATGCCCTCTTAACCTTCCACCATCCCTGCATCCCCTCACTCCCGATCCCTCACCCTGGGAGATGGGAGATGTCTCGCATACCTTAGCCGGGGGACATGATCGAGCAAGAGATAAGAAAGTAGGAGATATGATACATGATAGACGGCACGCGACACGCGACAAACAACACACGTAGCCTTGAAAGTGAATCGGGTTTATTTTCACGGCATCCTATGAGAAACAATCGCAGTGGGCGTTATGTTTTCAACGAACCCACGGCCCGCTCCGCGGCGTTCATCCATCCCTCGCCCGCATTTGAGAACTGACTTATGTGTGCGTGTGAATAATAGGGAACCCTTCCCTCGTTCCTCGCTCATCCCTTCGTAATCGCTTATTAGTTCCTCTGGATGGAAAGAAAAAAAAATGAGAAGGAGAAGAAATGAATCGTGCTAAAATCCTCCCCGCCAATCTGTATCTGCGAATCCTCAACTACCGCCCAGTAGATGCTCGATAGCACCCTGCACACTTCCACCGCTACGGCGCAAAGCAGCCACATTTCGATCGAAATCGTAGAAGCCCATGTCGTTTAGCTGGCGAAGCTGCTCGGCATATCGCTCCTCGGGAGGACGAGTATCGGCGGGGGCAGAGGGGGGTGGCGTTCCAAGACTTCGAAGAAAGTCCTGGAGGAGAGATCGTTCAACAGGGTTCATGGTGGTAGCTGCGCTACCAGGGGCGAAATCGGGTCCGAGGAATTGAAGGAAAGGGTTCGCCGCCGCTTGACCGGCGCCGGCTCCAGCACCAGCACCAGCACCAGCGCCAGCACCAGCGCCAGCGGGGGTGCCTTGGTTGGCGTTCTGCGCTCCGGTCGCTGGGGCGCCTGGGGCACCAGGGAAGGGCATGAACATGAAAGGCGAGAAAGGGTTCGGGGCGTTGTTGGCACCAGGGGCGGCACCTCCTGGCTGAGCTCCAGAGGCGGGCGCACCAGCAGGGGTATTGTCGGTAGCGCCGGGAGCGGGGAAAGAAGGAAGGCCACCTCCTCCTTGCATCTGACTCGCCATTCTTATCATATCAGGGTTCGTCATCATCTGTCGCATGAAGGGAGACTGAAGCATCTCGCGCGCATTGGGAAGGTTTCGTAGGGTGGGGTTAGACTGAATGAGCATGTTGATGAAGTCGGGGTTGTCGAGGGCGGCGTTCATGGATTGCTGGACGGCAGGGTCGGCCATCATCCGCGCAATCTCGTCGGTGCTGGGGGGAGCGCCCATCTGTGAGGGGAAGTAAAGTTAGCGCGCAACGAGAGAACCGGAACCGAGAACTAGCGCAGGGCTCGGGATTTCATTTTACTTACTCCTCCATCGGCACCAAACATCGACCTGTTAGGCAGAGGAACGTGGCCAGCGAAACGGGCGCCAGTCAAGCCGGCGAGAGGGTTGTTCGCAGTTCCAGCAGCCATGTTTGTGGGCACGCTGGGAACGGCTGGGGCTGTGGAGGAGGACGCGGAAGGGGGAGTGGGATTGCTGGCGGCGCTTTTGACGAGGTGGATGGTGTTGTTCGGCTTGATCTTGTAGGTGCTCAACGCATCGTCGTTCTTCAGGACGCGGCCGGAGTAGATGAGGCGTTGGCGCTCGGCAGGGATGTTCTCGTACTCTTCAGTGGAGAGCTTCGTCTTGAGCTCGAGGACGGTGGCTGTCTCAGGCATGGTGATGGTGTGAACCTTGTCGTTGGAGGACTTCACCTTGAAGGTGACTTCCTGGGGGCTGTCGCCAGCTTCTGCGTTGTCTGCCATTGTTTATTCTCTTTTTAGTCCTTGCAGGTGCAGGATTCCTGGAGAGAAGACAAAAATGAGATATCAATAGCCCTAGCTGGGGAAGAATGTAAGGTCGTGATAAGGATCACGTAGTGATGTTAACAATGAGAGTTGGGGGAGGGTCGAGGGAAAAAGAGATGGTGGCGGCTGTGATGGTGAAGTGGATTGCGATGGTGGCGGGGTGTCTCTTTAGGGGATAGATTGGAAAGGGAAAGTTCAAGTTCCAACGCCTGCAACGTCCGCCCACGTCAAGGGTGCGCGAGGGGTAGTTCGGCACGCCTGAGGCTGAGGCTTTGGGGGGCCGGGCGGGGCTTTCCTCAATGGAAGAAAATGCTAAGACTGGTGGCGAGATGTAATGTAGATTACAGAGAGTTGAGGGAGGGTATGTTGTGTTGGCCTGGGGGAGAAGTCAAGGCAGCCGAGCAGGTGAGGAGAAATTAACTTGGGTGGATGAGCAGAGCACTCGAGCTTCCCGAGATGGAGATGGATCAATGTTGGATGTTGGGTTGGGGCCAGATGGCACCGAGTAAAGTATTACGAAGCAGCAGGCTCTGGATGATTCCACAGCCGATGGTGATGGAGCGATTGATTGCACGGAGCACAACACTAGCGCTTCCTTGTTCTGGGATCAATCTGTATTATGTTCTACACTACACCCTGTAGTGTGGTGTGCTTCGCAGCTTGTGCAGTGAAGGGTGTAGCGTGGTCTTAGCGTGCTGGGGACCAGGTTGGGGTTCCGATTTGATCGCACGGCGCCCCTCGCGTCCAGTTGTCCAGTTTGGACAGATTCACTGCCACAGTAATAGCTACTGCCTAATTCTCTGGCCAGGCTGTTGATGATGATGTACTTGGTACACACTGAGCTACTGTACCTTCTCAAGGCGGGAGGGTCGTGGCTTCGACCTTGGCTGCACCTTCCAGTGGATGTAAGGGCCCGCGAATGCAGCGTAAGAATTGGTAATGGCTTGGATTGGCAACGTACGAAGTGCACAATCTGCATCAATTTGATTGATTTCTTCGTGGAGTGTGGCATTAAACCAAATCCCATGAGATGATCAATCTTGGTAACGACAGTGGGACTTGCGAAATCGCTTTGGATTAAACTAGTTGACGAGTTTATGTTCGATACCCTCAAATCAAATGATGGTCAATATGGCCCCCATCGGCTTCTAGAAAGATCAAGCATGGAAAGGACAATTGGATCAATACCAACCGAATCCATCTGCCGGCAGGCGTAGCTCTGTACTGTTAGTTGTTAGTGAAGGTATCTCGGCACTCTGACAGTCGTGGCTTTTACATCAGAGCTCAGAGCTCAAGCAGTCGACTCTCTTTCCCTACAATGATGTTCGTCTACAGGTCGCGATCCCCCCGTCTACCGATTTTACCTGCAAAGTAAGAGGATTGAACATCTCGTTATATTGTTTGTTATATTGTCTACGTACCACCAGTCTGTGCTATCTTCGTGATGAACGGAAGACATTCAGGATGCCCAGAATATCCACGAGTTGGCCAACCTTCTCATATCCTCAATTCACGGCTCTCATCGTAGCCAGCTTCATCTACATCCATCTCGCAAAGTGTTAAACCGTTTCGCTCACGTGGATCCATTTCAGAAGGACTCCCAACTTACGGAACAGCTCTCCAACGCTTTGCCACTTGTCAATCTCGCGTCTTATTCGTCCTCCTCCGTGGTAAATGCATATATCTCTAGATCTATACCGCGTTATCTCTCGATCTATATCAGGCCGCAGAGTATGGACGCGCATGTCTGACGTGTCACCAAGTTTACACCATTTCGAGTCTGCACAGGAAGTTGAGGTGGAGAATGACACCACAAAGAGGTACAATTCATCAGTAGTCATCTATCTCATAATTATCTTCATAAGTACTTTAACATCAGGCCAAGTCCCCTTCGAATATCTCTGCTTTCTTCCGTGTTCGTTTTCCCCTCCTATGTCCCATCTCAGGATAGTACGAGTTTCCCCCCTTGAAAATTCCTTGAACTCATCCGTCGACCCCATCATCGACTTCATTTCCCTTGGCTGGCCATAAGCTGCGTAAGTTGCTGAAACTTATCCAGAACATCCTTATCCACGTTGACGGCCCATTCCTCCTGGAACTTCTGCTCCCCACCAACCCGCTGCACCAGATCCCCGATCCTGGCCTTGACGAACTCGAACGCGTGCACGCTATACACGGGATCCTTCAGCATCAGCTCGTTCTCCCTCGTGTTCTTGGGACAATGCCACTCCTCCGGCGGCAGCTCCGTGCAAATCAGAGTATCCGTGACATCGCCATCTTGGATATCCGAGATGATGTTGGTCCACATTGTCAGGTAGTCTTGGAGCTTGTTGAGCACAAGGGTTTGCACCGGCTCTCCGAGTTCAAGGAATCGTGTGAGCCCCAAAAGGTAGAGCTTTTGTCGAGCTGCAAAATCCATGGCGGCTAGGTGGGAGAACCATTCACCGATGAGCCAGTTCCACACTGCTTCGAAAGGCCCAAACGACCCAAGCATTTGAGCAAAAGCGTTGGGCTCCGCCAGCGCTAGACGGGATAAAATCGCGAAATAGTCTCCCTCGGTAACCGTGTTGAGCTTGCTGACCCTCCTGTTAGGACCAGTCGTCTGGTGTGCCTCCCATGCATCGTGTAGGCTCTCCAGGATTGATCGAAGAAGTCCAATCTCGATCAAGTCCTGTAGCACCACCGTTACTCCGCTTACGCCTCCGAATTCTGTCGCCGAGCGGATAATGTACTCGATACATTCTGTAGCCTGGCGAACCCTGTCCCGGCTGTGAGACTTTAATAGCTCTCCTAGACCCGCTAACGTAGGTCGTCGGAAGCGGTCTTCTAGAATAGCCTGAGGTGCCATGAGAATATATGACTCGATGAGGTTAAGGGATGCCGATGCAGTTTCCGTCTCGTACTCGAGCAGAGGTATCGCCAACTCGTAAATATTGACCAGCTCTGCCGACAAAGGAGGGTTACTTTGCATGACAACGGAATTCCAGAGGTCGAGCGACTCGTCGATGAGATGTCCGTGGAGACCGGATCCTGGACTCGCTGACTCGGCAATCAGAGGGAGCATGTGGTGTTGATATCTTTGCGATCCCGGCCCCATGGACATAACTAGAGCACTGAAGATGGCAATGACGGCCTGCTTGATCATGAATTCCTCGGTTCCAGACGCCTCCCAGATCTGCGGTAACGCGGACATGAGGAAGTCCCCGAAGTGCGCCGCATGGCTTTCCATTCTCGTCACGAGAAGCCTCATCGTCTCTAGGATTGCCAACTTCGACTCGTCAACGTCAATGGTCGTCACTAATTCAGCCAGCTGCGTCATGACGTCCGTTGCAAACGGTAGGAACTTCTCCACGTCGAAGTCCATTTCATCAACCACCCAGCGAAGTTGTCTAGCCGCCGTGATCCGCACAACCATGTCGTTACACTCATCGTTGGGGTTCATGAAATGTGTAAACAGTTGATAAATGATGGGCCGATTTCTCTCCGTGCTCTCCACCGTGATCCATTGGCTGAGTAGAATGGCAATACGACGACGAAGAACTTTGGCTAGCGGACCCTGCTCTTGCGCATCCCTGACCAATGTTGTCTCAAGAAAACTGTCAAAGTCGATATTCTGTACTCCCTGTCCGCCCGACTCAGACAGCTTGCTCTGGAAATAGGTAGCGAGGTGGGCGGCAGCCAAGCCCATGGCTGTATAGACCGCTTCCTTCGTTGTCAAATCAGCACCGGTATCAGTCGAGGCGTTGAAGTAACCCAGGAGAGGAGGAATTAGGAGATCCTTATAACTTGTTAGGAAGTCGAGGAATAGCTTTTCCGCGCATGGCCGAACCTCGAATTCATAAGCATTTCCCTCGCCCTGTTCACGTTGCTCCCATTCCTCTGGATCTTGTTCCCAGGCATCCAGGTCGGATTTTCGGAACAAAAACAGCCGGGTTATCAGGACGTTGGTGATTTGGGTCACAAATTCATTCGTTAGCCACTGAGTCTTGATCAACTGCACTGCCTTCTCCCGATCCTTTTTCTCCTCATCAGTCCTGTACTTAAACGACTGGAAGGGACGGTGAGCAATCCTGGCGCATGTCCTTAGAAGCGTAAGCGCCATAAGAGTTAGCCGTTCTAGGAGGGGACCTTCCTCTTCGTATTTCGTCTGACCGCCTTGAGTAGTAGTTTGCGAAATACCGGCTGATTTGTCAAACACTTCCGCAAACTTGGTTACAAGGTTCCAATAGGCGTGGATGAGAGGTAGAGAATTGGGAAGAGCTGTGAAGCTTGCGGGGTGTGTCTCGGCCATTTTGACGTGCAGCTTCGAGAACTGCAGCAAGTGCTTGCCAATGAGGTTCCGATACGTCGCTGGGATCGTCTCCTGGCCAATGTAGCCGAAGAAATGGCTGAAGTGAGTCTGGGTTATCGACCAGAAATTCGAAACAGTTTCGTCCTTATAGGGACTTTCGTAGCCGGAAGTAAACAAGCGTCGAAGGATGCGTACGCAAAACAAGCTGTTATGCATCGCAAGCTCAGTAGCCTCCGCATCCACGACGCCCTTTGACAAAGAATCAACCCAGGCAGCCGCCCTTTCCGTGTACATTTCCCCAAGGATATGTGCAAGCTCAGGTGTAATTCCTTGAAGAGCAGTCTGAGAGGTGCGTAACCGGGCGGTGGCCATCTCCTTGACAACCCGCAGAACGAGCTGGAGGGATCCGTGAACCTTGTGTTGGTCTCCGTGCTTGTGAGTCCGTAGAAGGGCGATCAAGCTTGGGAGGGCTTCGGGCCACTGTTTCTGATAGTCGATCCTAACAACCTTGGCTACCGCGAGGGCGTTATGGAGCCCCAGGGCCTTGTTTTCCTCGTCGACAGTACCTTGGAACAATCTCGAGCGAATGACTGCCTTTTCGTCGTCGGTTAACCCTCCTTTCACATGGCTGAACAGCCTCCAGTAGCGGTCTATGCCATTTTTAAGCTGAATGATGGCAAGCAACCGGACTTCGATCGGTAAACTCTTGTTGAGGAATACGGACTGTAGTGTTACAGGTGTTAGTATGCGGTGGGTTCGAAAACATCCAGGGTTGGTTCTATATACTTGCCTGAAGTGAGGAGTAGTAGCCCTGGTGCGACTCCCATGCGGCTAACTGCTGCCCTACCGCCTGCCTTCGGGGAGCCGGTGTGGAGGACGAGGCTGCATCTCGGAGGGCAACATAGAGCTCGTCCGGCGTGAGCGGTTGTGCTTCACCCGGAGCTTCGATAGCAAAGCTCATGGCTGAATTATGGGCAGGAATAGACACCGAAGGACATCGGACAGGCCTTGCAAGGGGTGCGTCTTATGTACAAACCCGCGGAGGATGTGCGGAAGGGACTGGCTTGTTTTAAACCCTGAAAGCTAAACCTCGTATTCAGTCAAGGTACCTTGTCCAGGCAGTGGCAGGCAATCCAGACTTGGCTTGGAGGTCGGCAGAATGTTTGGAGGGGTCATTGGCTTTAGGAAGCGGGGTAGTTTATGCACTTACGATACGTTATTCTTTTATCGGGTTGTAAGATATTACCAGCTGTCAACAGGTGGCAAACTGTGGCGTAGATTTCCTCCTGCAAGCAGGTGGAAGGGAAGTTCGGTGGTTGCCGAGCCTCGGCTCCGCTCACTGACCTCATCGGTTTGCAGGAAACTCAGTCGATGTCCTTATTAGCTTGCCGTCTCCGGCGCTAACTCACAGTTAATTGACCATGATACGAGCAGTCTCAGGCATATTGTTTTCATCCCCAGTTTCTGCATCGTCGCCAGCATGACATCGAACTCGAACAGTTTTGCGGAAGCGCTCAATCGCTTATCCGACCGACAGCGCGAACGAGAACGAACCGCAGCCATCGCACGTCGCGCCAATGCCGAAACCTCGCGATCACGCACTCGCGCCCGCTTCAGCAAACTCCCATATCCTCTCAACCATCTCCCCGTGGCTTGGGACTCATTATCAGACCCGACCGGATCACAACCATCTTTTCGAGTCGGCCAGCTAGATGCTGAGCTTCTTGACGAAGAACTCCTGGATCTTCTTAAGGGGCAGGTCGGGGATGCTCTGAAATACTTCGCCGGTGGGCATCTAAAGGATGACTGGTCGGACGAGATACAATTGGTTCTTCGAGCGATCCTTTTCAAGCTCACGATATGGGACCACGATGCCAGCTACGGAGCGGCGCTACAGAACCTCAAATATACCGATGCAAGGAAGGCAGGCCCCGTCCTCTCCCCGCCGACTAGATGGCAGAAGAGCCTGTACGGGCTGTTTACGGTGACGGGGAGATATGCTTGGTCCAAGTGGGAAGACTGGCTGGTGAACCAGGACGATGGTTATAACGAACCCGATCCTAGGGTACAACGGCTTTCCAAGGTCACGTCTGCGCTGTCAACCACATACTCGATGGCGGCGTTAACTTCCTTCCTCGTATTCTTGGTCCAAGGCCGATATAGGACTCTCTTGGACCGAATCTTGAGGATGCGCCTCGAACCACCGACGAGCCAGGTGAGCAGAGAGCTCTCGTTCGAATACCAGAATCGCCAGCTCGTGTGGCATGCATTCACCGAGTTCTTGCTCTTTATCCTCCCTCTTATTGGTATCAACCGCTGGAGGCGGTGGCTTACCAGGACCTGGCGAAAGACGAGGGCAATTATCCGCTCTGGAGGCGATGTCGAGACTACCATGGCCAGCGGGGAGCTTTCATTCTTGCCTGAGCGGACGTGCGCTATCTGCTATCAAGATCAGAACGCTGCGGCGACCTCTGAAGCGGAAGTTTTAGCTGCCGCGACGTCGAGCGGAGTGATCGGGTCTGCGCAAACAGATATCACTAATCCATACGAAACTATTCCTTGTGGCTGCATCTATTGCTTCGTTTGCATAGCTACGAGATTGGAGAGGGAGGAGGGCGAGGGCTGGACCTGCCTCCGTTGCGGTGAGACTGTTAAGGCCTGTAAGCCATGGAACGGGGATGTCCTCGAACCGGCTAAGCCCGCGGCGAAGACGGTGGCATTCTCAGATGATCTGCAAGATGTCAGACTGCTGGAGTCGGTTGATGAAATACTCCCATTGCCTTCTTCTATATCTTCTCTGTCGTCACCGTCCTTGTCTGGAGAAGAATATGAGGAGGATGAAGGAGAGGTTGACGAGGCGGAGGAGGAGGACGCCGCAGAAGAAGCGTTGGATTTGTCCGATTTTGATGATGAATAGCGACCGGAAGATCGGACTCGAAACACTGTCTCGCGGAGTTAGAAATTAGCAGCACCGATAAAGTTTAGACAGGAACTGGGCGTTTGGGAGATCGAGGGATAATGGGTGTGCCATTGAGTTTGGTAGTGTATTATACAGTTCGATATAGAAGCGAAGGGTGCCTGGGCTTATTACAAGCATTCAATCAAAAGTTATCATCGCATCCACTAGACCCTATTCCTTGGTGGAATGCCTGCTCAAACTTGATAACCATTGAACATCTCATTCTAACCCTCGTGGCTCTGACAACTTATGCCCAAGAGACCAGCTGTGGAACATCATCGATCAGCCGACCCTGTTCAGGTGCCTCGATTCAAATTTTTTGATCGATTGACGTTCCCCGCCATTAACTCCATCTTGCGTGATCTTGCCATGGGTCAGCTCCCCTGGTTGGCCTTGATTGATTGACATGGGTCAGAATTAGGCAGTTTGGGGTTCTGTAAACGGAAATTTTAGTGGGGACTGGTTCCCCTCCAGGGTCCCTTCCGCGCTAAATCGGGAACAATCTCATCACGACCAAGATTGCAGGAAACGAAACGCGATAACGGAGCTGAAGACTGTCCCGATTTAACGTCAACAATCCTCATGGTCAACCCGCGTAAATCGACCACCCCGAAGCCACCACGTCTCCTTCCCCTTCAATAGCACCTCCGCTCATACAACCCGCATTCGACAAGATATTGACGGGTCCGCGAGTCGACGGAGATACGATCCAGCCAGCCAGGCCACGCTCGACGGCACAACCCCGCCGGTCCCCATGACGTCGTGGTCGCCGACCGTAGCAGCCGCAGCAGCCGCGAGTGGGAAATGCCCAGCTTCTTCCAGTTCACACAGGGCACCGAATCCCGCGCTCGCTTCAATCCCGACAGCTCGCCTCTACTAGGGCGGTTCCGCGCCGTCCCTCCGCGCCCCGGTCTCGGCAGGAACAGATCCACGGGAAACCAGCCGGGACCGTTCTCCTCCCTCCGAGGGAGCGTGCACGTCGGATATGGGTCGATATTGGCGGCGGCTGGACTTGGGGTTGGGGATGACTCGGATTCGGACTCGGACTTTGAGGATGAGCTCGCCGCCTTGGAGGGCGTAGGCCCAGTGAGGCGATTGTGGAGGAGGAATGTGAGGAAGGTGTTTGATCTCTGGGTCGAGCCGAAGCAGACGGCTGTGAAGAGGGTTGTGGATCATTGGTGGGGCCGATACGGAGCCTTGGTCGTGATGCCCGCGATTTTGGTGAGTTACTTTGTGTCTCTCTCGTTTTTTCAAGCTTTTTGTGTTCTGAATGTGCCTGTGCTAACATGGAACTTGCGGCGCTCTCCTTCATAGGCCGTGACTTGGTGTGCCATGCCCTTTCCGCAATACAACCTGGACGATGATAACGGTCGGCCTACTGATCCCGGGTCGGGAAGTAAGATCCCTGGTCACGGTGCTGCTCGGGTCCGAGTGAACTTCTGGTTCTTCCTTTTCTTCTTTTATGGCTTCTACAATCTTACGGCGTTGATGTGGATTACCAAGGTTTTCAACCTCTATAGCTTGAACTGGTGAAGATCTACCTTCCTCCCGCCGTCTTTGATGTCGAACTTGTACTGACGTGCCTCCTTCTTTAGGTGGCCTCAATCGTTGGGATTCCCTCTGACAGTATGCCTCATTGCCATCGTCTCCATAGCCGTCCCCATACCTATATACCTCAGCCCAGAGACGAGATTCCTGACTATCCACAATACTGCTTGGATATCATGGACGTTCATTATTATGGCGATGCCCGTGGCTATCGCCTGCATTATTCTCCTCATCAACGAACGACATCTGCGCCTGCGCTACACCCTTTCTGAAACACAGCGTATCTTCACTACATCATGGTGGACGGGTGAGGAAGACACCATATCCAGAAGGGACAGGAGGAGGCCTCAACTGCAACCAGACTCCTTCGACCCAGACTTGCTCCATGTCACAGAGCAGCCGACCCATCGCCGCAGGGTGCCGACGATAGATCGCCGATGGTTACCAGCAAGTTTCGTGCGCTTCGTCTGGTTCTGCCTCGCTCTGTTCGTTGGTCTCATGGCGTATGTAATTGGAGAGGCGTATGCCGAGATCTACCTCCGGACGCTGCCGCATGACAACTGGGAGACCGTTGTATATGTCTACAGTTGGGTTGCGACAATCCATATCCTAGATGGGTTAACTGGGTGGATTTTAGGTGTGCGTGAGGGCGAGCGAGTTGGAAGTTATCCCTTGAGCTGGGCGTTTAAACTGTAAGTCAAGTCTATCCCCCCCGAGGGGGAGATCTGAGTGATTAACCTGTTGGCTTCTCCTAGATACTTCATGTTGACGTACCAAACATACGTCCGAGCTCTGTATGCCCGCCTCCGCTCACCAGCCCAGTTCATAACTCTCCAAGCCCTCTCAAGCGCCGGTCTTATCATTTTCTACCCCACCCTCATGTCCCCCATCTTCCACCGCATCCTCACCATCCTCGGCGTCAGCACACTTTCCTACTCCTCCTACCAGAAGCTCTGCGTCCGCAACATCTTCATCCGCTTCATTGCCGAGAACGTCTCCATGGCCACCTTCCTCGGCTCCGTCCTCGTCCTCCACTTCGGCGTGAACAAAGACGTCTACCCTTACTTCGCCTTCGACGACCCCAACGAGCCCTACGACTTCAACCTCACCTTTTACGCCTCGTCGGTGACGTGGGCGTGCGAGCTCGCCGCGGCGCTCTGCGTGAGGATCGTCATCCGGTGGTTCTTCAAACTTGACGTCGATCTGGAAGGAAAGCTGGATTTGGCCGTGTGGCCGGAGTTGTTGCCGACGAGCGCGGCTGTTATTTTGCATGTGTTGCAGAATATGCTCTTTTCTATCATTCGTCTGCAGTTCCGCTGATACAAGGCTCTGGGAGAATGAGCCGCAGTCCTAACGCATAGAGAAGGTGTTAATGGCACTCATCACTCGCTTTGCTTCGGGAATGTCAGCCTCATTTTTTATCTTCCTCCAACTTGGATATAAACTTCTTGAGCCGATTCTGGCCTATCTTATCAGACTTTCTTGGCTTAGGTGTGGTTTGCTTTTGCAATCTTCATTGGCGTCCCCGTGGTTCTTCAGAGATACAGATATCGTCGGACAAGGTGTTAGAACGGAGATGGGATGGTCTGGGGGAAATGTGTGATGAGGTCACTCATCATAGAGGGGAACGGAATAGGAGGTCTGGATGTCATTTTCACGATGGCGATGGCGATGGCGAGGCAATATCTGGATTTTTTGCTTTATTTCCCCTCACTGTTATCCCTGGGCATTTTCAGGAACTGGAATGTCTTGTCTCTTCCTCTTTTCTACTTCCCTGTTTTCTTCCTTTTTTTTTTCCTTTTCTTTTTCCAGTATTTATTTGTTTATTTTTCTCTTTGTTCCTTTGTCAATGTTTTTCTTGCCCAAGCATATTTGCATAGAACTAGGCTGATACCCTTCCTTCCCATTCCTCATTTCCAACTATACCATTTTGTTTCTCTATTCTAGCTATAGAATGTACAGTTATAGTTTTGTACATGGATAATCATAATCTATCATGTTCTCCCCAGACCGACCGTGACCTATCCGAGCGACCATCCTGAGCCTTATCGAAAAGACGAACCGGTGAGACCACTTATACAATCGAGTGGATAGATGAGGACATAGGAGCCCAACGCTGCCCATCTCTGACCAAACTTGGCGTGGGACCCACGACTTGTGTCCCTCCCTTATCGCGAATTTTACTCGCAACCTTCCTCATTCCATAGCAAACATGCATCCCTTTCCTGGCCCAAAGATCATAGATTTAATAGTTTGCAAGGGGCGCGGCCCGCCAAGACAAAGTAAATGTTCCTAACAGCCCTTCTTTGCATGGAAACACAACCCGATACGGCCACCCGCAGCATTCATGCCCACCAGCCGCCACTTTTCTGACGATTAATGGCCTCTCCACCTACACGGTGACCGCGGGAGGGACATGGAGAAGTTTTGGGGGGGCGTGTAAACATGAAAAGAAAATGGAGACTAAATAATACGCAAGATAATACGCAAGAAAAAGAGGACGAAGGTATCACAGGCCGGTTCGTAGCTGCAGCGGCATGTTTTTGCGTGCATGTTGTATGCTCTTTTAGGAGATGCAACCGCCCACACACACCTCCGACTGCTCTCGCGAAACCCCTCTCCTTGGAGGGGCAGGCGGGGCGGAACAGATGTAATGCTAGGGGTGCTGGTTGCGTCTCACTCCCGGGGACCTGATCCTGTTAATGCTAGGTTTGGGGGGGGGGGGGGAGAGAGAGAGAGAAATGAGGAAATGTAAAGAAGAAGTTGATCACCCCATCGAGTGAAGAGGTGGAAGTGCTCCCTCGTCTTGTCTACGGATGAGAGCAAACTGGTGTCAAAAGGTGTCGAGCTTGGAACGTCTTGAGAAAGTAGGCTAGGTTACCTAGGGTGTAAAGGGAACAGACAACAAGAATGCTCTGCATAGCTAGTTTCGTTCGCCATGCCGTTTGCTTTTTGGTGAGAAGTATTAGTCTACCATCTGGGTGGACAAATCCATCCCGTCAATGGTGTTGCGAACAAGTTCTTCTCAGTGATACAACATTGCCAGGCGGCTGGGGTTGGCAGCAGGGATTTTTGTAGCACCTGAGGTGCCAGTCTACGCAGTAGCCGGGGTAAATAATGGCCCCTTGTCAGGTTAAAGTCGCCACTGAACAAGGCCCCTGGAGAATATCATAAGACTCAAAATACCCCGTAAGCGCGCCCTGAGCAGTGATTGTAGTCTTAGCGATGTCGTTCCTCAACATCACGTTGTAGGCTGTAGGGACCGGTAAGTGGGTGGTACATGACAAGGGGCCAGAATTACAGGGGGCGGACCAAGTACACAAATCATGAATGATCTCCCTGCAAAATGGAGGGAGAGACGGCTTCATAGAGGCAGGCGAGCCACTCCTGTGGACATCAATTTGGATCTAGGCTGTCAAGAATCCCTGAAACTGTGCAGCTGTGGGAGGTGACTGTAGCACTGCCTATAGGGCTAGGTGTCGCTAATGCACCGGGTTACAACATCTCGCTGCCGCCCCGTCCCCTCTCAGCTCCGAAATTAGATTCATAAGAGATGAATGGTCAAATACTATGTGATATTACATGATCTAATGGAAAGGCGCATTCGGTAACAAACTTGGTGGTGTCGACTCAAATACGAGGTGGCCAACTTGAAAAGGCTCGTCACCGCTCGTTCATCTGGTGTCGATGTTTTAGGCAGAACTTTTGGTGTGTCACTCTGTAAAAGGCGGTTGAGGATTACCGGGGCAGGCAACTTCGCCGATACAGGTCTCATATGGTCTCCCAACATAGGAATCTGTGACAGGTCGGCTTTCAAATAGCTAACAATCTGCCCCACGGGTCAATCAGGTACCCTATCCCGTAGGGCCGGTAAGGGCTCCAAATGCCGTGATACCACATTCCTTTACACCGACCTTGGATTGCTATTCAAGAGGGCTGCAGCAGGGCGTCATTCCCTTATTCTCGGCAATGCTAGGCAACTTTCGCTTGAGAGGTGTCCGGTATGCCGAGGTACAGATATTGGAAAATATTTTGAAAATCAGACCTTAAAATAGACTTGGCACCTCGTTCGATATTTGTTAGTGTTGGCGTTAAAGTCGCTAGCTGGGGCAAGAGAGCATGAGAGAACGACCATATATATACATTAGCTCTCGAGGATAATCGACGGCATTACAACTTCGGCAATACTAGTAAAGAGGAATGGAAAAAAGATATGGTGAAGGATGGTAAAGACGGGTATGTGCAGCTTAGTCTTACTTAGAGAACGAAGACCAGCATCGCCAGGCGACCAGGAATTTCTGAATTGCCCTCGGGCAAAAGTCGTGTAATCCGCCCTCATGATGTTGCTGCTTAGCTGTCTCGTTCGTCGGACTGAGGCCACTTAGGTCCGGAGCTTGTCTGTGCGATAGGATGATGGGTGCATCTAGCACACCGCTGGCCCACGTTGTGATATTTGTGGTTAATTAAGTTAGGGAGCACCAAATACAGCGTAGCGCAGACCTGCAGAGAAGCCACTTTGGGCTGAATGGTGGTCGAAAGAACGGATGCTATTGGGCGAATTGGGAAAGATTCAAGCCACCTTGATTGCTGGCCGGATGCACCTGGAAACCTAGGTCGGCTCCAAAGAAATAGTGGACATGGACAGACAACTCAGTTCCTTGCTCTTTAGATTGGAGGGAGCATGAATGCAAGGCATGGGCCCCCGCGGTGTAGGGGTCGTATCATCGACATACGTGCGAGTCTCTGGCTCGGGAGGAAGTGGATGCAGTGCAAGGGAGATTTGGACGGACACCAATAGACCAACTGTACGAAGGAACTTCATAATAGTACACAGGGATGTCCGTTCAGTTCAGGCCACAGGGATGGACCAGGCCGTCTCGGCGCCGGGAGGTCCAAGAGGGGTCGATTTCTGGGGGGTTGATGGAGGGGTGAGCAGCCAAGACATGGATGCCGATCGCCAGGTCAAGCTAAATCCGAAATGTTGCTGACAGCCCTACCAAGACTGAAGAACGATCCTTCTTGAATCAATTGATGCCGAGCCGACGAGGTTCACTTAAATGTGGGACCTGAACCCACAATGTCAAGAGCTCCCAAGCCTGTTGCATCCTCACCTCATCTCTCATGGTCCCGGCCGGGGTTGTTCAATGGCACTCATGTAAGAACTTCTGAACTTCAGCATCCCTGGCCGATAATAGGCGGAGTGATCATATTCGATCGAGTGCAGAGATGGAGGTGTATCGGAAGGTATTTATGGTCTGGATGTCGTCGTCTTTCTGCAAGCAAGAGGAGACACAGGCATCGGAGGGCACCGAGGCCGACTGATATCAGTATACTTGAGACAGGCCTCCCGATCCGAGATGGTTTCCAATGGAATTTGGCTCCACTCTGGAGAAAGAGAGTGGCATCAACTATGCTCAATTTTCGTTGCAGGAGGAGTGTATCTGGGATCTACTCGTTCCAGTTTGATGTCAAGTCTCATTTGAGAGTGGAGTGCATAGCTGGTGAAGTACGAATAGCATTAATAGTTTGGGAAGGGACGAATTTGCTTCGGAGAATGGAAATGTGAGATTGCAGTGCGGAAGGTGCCAGGAACAAGCCGGAACCAAGGCCCGGAGCATTCACATGGTTGTACTTCGTACTTCGTACGTGTCCCCGCCATGAGAAAGATCAGATTGAGCAGTTGCGGGCCAAGCTCATCAATGTCCAAGCGACCCCGATAAACCGAGAAGTTGGTTGTCACCACTTCGTACACGCTTGTGAGCAGATCGAGCCTTCTTCGTACTGTTTGAATTACAAGACGCCGGAGAGAAGGCTAAGAAAACCTGGAAGCATCAACCCGCATCCCTCAGGTGAAAGGAAGGAAGGACTGTTTTGAGGTCTCGTCCTATTGTGCCTGCAAGGTATTATCATCAAGCAGCCTATGTTGGTGGACACTCTGACTCCACTTCGGGTGATAAAATAATTAGTTTACCTTCGGCGTATGCTGTTCGGCGCGCCGCTTACACGGCTGAGGTCAATTTTGCTTTGAGTGTTCTGAAGGAGAGGCCTATTGGGTGGGTGGTCTTTGACCTCTCATCCAATCAACTTGGAATTCGGGGCTTGAAGCTCCCATATTAATACGAGCCTCGACAGCAAACCCTCCACTTAACATCGACGTTGATTCAAGTAGACATCATGGACATTATGTGGTATGACAGGAATATTGTACGATGTAAATGGGTACAGGTCTTTCAGAGACCTGTCAGAATGCGACAATGAAAGTTGATGTATCTTCTGTCAAGGCATCTGGGGCAAGTACTTCAAAGGAACAAAATAGCGCTCGGTGGGGATGTAGACGAGTACTTGTGTAGTACGCAATACTCCAATGCTCCAATCCGTCTTGGTTGATCCAGACCTTTTCAATAAGACCTGTTTGCGCCTGCCTAAACAGAAGATTCTTCGAAGCAGAGCTCACACCACCCGGATGATTCACTTCAAGTCCCTTCCCTGCGCGTTTGAAGTACAAGGCCGAAGACGAAGAGACGAAGCAGTTGCTGCCGAGGTGATCAAGCTCTGCCCCGGCTCGGGCGACTGGCTCTATTCACTGCTTGCCCTACCAGTTCTTCTTGCATGGGATTCGAGCAGGCTGAGCATTTGATGATTTGATTTATTGTTATTGATCTCGACTCTTAATGCCACCTTCCAACTTACAGCAATATGACGCAGTTTTGTCACAGTTTCCTTAAAATGCACTTTCAGAGCTCCCAGCCCAAGCCTCGTTTAAGTTTCTTGAAGCTCCCCGACGAGTGTACTTGGTACAGTGCTGGTTCTCTCGACTTCGAACGACTTTGGGCTAACCAGGCCTGGTAGGTCAGCCCCGAAGCCCAAGCACCGGGAACGATGCGCTGCTTCAGAAGTCGCCTCTACTTCGCCTCGTAACAAAGCAGATATCAAGGATCCCCATCAATATCTGCCTCAACGAATCTACACTATAATTCGCGCAAAGGTTTAGCGGCTTCTTAGTCTTAGCTGATGCGGTTTGAACCGACTCCGCCTGTCCATATCGCATATCCACTTTCATTTTTCTTTTTCTCCCCTGTCCGTTTCCTACCTCTCTCAAGTACGTTGATCGACTCAAGGATCCTGTGAAAGGCTACCTCGAGATACCGCTTCAGTCAGTACAAGTAAAAGGCCAGAACAACGTCGAAAAGACTGCCCGGGACCGTCGCCAGCTACATTTCGATACCTCCTCGTTTGTTTCGTTTGTGCAGCCCCAAGCTCCGTGTTCGCTGGCACCACACCGCCAGGCCAGGTCAGGTCGCCTTTTTGAGTCAGTTTTGCCCCTCCTCCACCTCCTCCACCTCCTCCACGTTGCTGTCGCCGCCTAGCCTCTCGCTGTGGTCGTAGCTCGCCATCCCCCAAGTCCATTATCCCATCCCTTTGAACTCGCCCACGCCCAAATACCCTGTTTGACACCATCGTTCGTCTTACCCTGTTGGCTTATCATCTCCCTCCCTCACTTCCTCCTTGTGCTGCCTGCCGTCCAATCCGGCAACATCCTTCGGCTGACAACAGACCGACTTCGTAGTTTCCCAGCTCCGTTTTGCGTGGTACCAAATTCACCACTCCAAACTGGTCCTTTTCTCTTCCCGTTCCGTTACGCTTCGCGTTCCCCTCTAAATTGTGCCCACCCCTCCAACGGCTGGCTGATACACACCCCTCCCCCTCACTCCCCAGTATCACCCGTGGGAAAATACAACCAGGAAGGATTAAAAAAAAATTCTTTGGTTCGGATACAAACAAATTCATCTTTCCTCTCAGCCCTTTCGTATTTCTCTCCTACGCTTCTCTCGTCTTTTTCTTTCTTTCCTTTCTTCTTCCTCTCACCATGCCGTCTCCGGAGGACGTTCAGGTTCCCTCTAATCAATCCACTCAACCTACCTCAACTGCCCAGTCAGTGCTGAACCCTCTCGCTGCTCATCCTGTCTATCCCGATTCTGCCGCCACATCGGAACAGGCACAAGATCAAGATGCCTCGCGAGGACAGCCCGCCGCCGCCGCCCCCCCCTCCACCGAACTCGCCAGTGCAAAGATGACTCTCAAGTCGGCCCTGCGCCATTTCATGGACTTCCCGATCAAGGGAATCGACTTCGTCGACATCATGCCGCTCTTCCACGACGTCGCCGTCCACCACACCCTGCATACCGCCCTCCACCTACAATCTCAGGAGAGTTTCGCCTCCAAGCCCGACATTATCGTCGGCTTGGATGCGCGTGGCTTCCTCTTCGGTCCGGGACTTGCCCTCCGACTCGGAGTCAGCTTTGCCCCGGTCCGAAAGAAGGGCAAGCTCCCCGGCCCGTGCGTCACGGCGTCCTATGAGAAGGAGTATGGCACAGACTTCTTCCAGATGCAGTCGGATGCCATCAAGCCTGGTCAGAAGGTCTTGATTGTGGATGACATCATCGCGACAGGTGAGTAGCTCATACCCACCGACCATCTTTCAAATTTGGACCCCAATTTCGACCCGTACTAACGTAGGCCGTATATAGGTGGTTCTGCGGCCGCTGCTGCCGACCTCGTCAGCCAAATGCAGGGCGATGTTATCGGCTACCTCTTCCTCCTTCAGATCGAAGGTCTCAACGGCAGGGAGAAGCTCGGCGAGATTCCTTCTGTCATCATGCTCGAGGACGTATAATCAGTCAAACAGACCGCAGAAAGCGTTGCATGTGCGCACACGAAATCTTGGTTGTGGGTAGTCACAGCACTTGGCGACTCTGAGGCTCGACCGCGAGTCATATATATCGAATCTTCGTCATCTTCTTTCTCAACAAGTCGTCTCAGTGTCGGTTTCGATATCTGGGATATTAATGGCACCTCACTCGCACAAACACACACATACTCGCCCAATACTTTTTTGTCAAAGCATACATCGTACCACGCTTTGGAATCGGTTTTAATCAAGGATAGTTGGAGACAACGGATGGCGGGCGGCTTTATTCATCAAAAAAAAACAAAAACCATTGCATTGGCGTAGAGGACTGGTTCGGTTTACCTATTTCAGCTTCGTCCCCTTCTTACCTTTCTTTTCTTCTTCTGCTTTTATCTCGAGTCGTTGTATTTGACGCGATTCGATATTTTTCTTGCAAAATACCGTGATAGATTACTTTTTTATTCTGGATTTTTAAAGAGAGAGCTTCTAATAGGGGGTTACGCAAGACCATGGGCGTGCAGATGTAGCTAGTTAATCATAAATCTTGGGCTACATATCTTCGAATAATTAGGATTTCATCAGTTCCACGTTTTCCTTTAATAATGCGGGCAACATTACATCCTTTTCTCTATTTTGCTTGGTTTCATTTTCGTGCGAATTGTTCCTCCTCAATATACAATGAAGCGGATGGAAGAATAGACATGCGCCATATATGTGTTGTTCCCAGCATAGTTAACAGAAATAAAAAGGTTTCATGTCGCTACTATCTCATAAGCATCATCAAAGCTTTTCCAAAACAAATAAAAAAAAAAAAAAAAAAAAAAAAAAAAAAAAAGGAAGAAGAAGAAGAAGAAAAAGAAAAGCAAATGCCGATATTTCCTCCCCCTCTCCCCTCATATCATCTAACCCTCAAATTGGATATCCGTATACCTCTCGACTGTACATGATACAACCTCCGTATCCCTAAACTCGTCGCAGCCCTAAACTTCTCGTAGCCCCCAGGCGGCGTCCGCACAAGGACGAGCGGGATGGGGTTATACCGGGGCAGACCCGAAGGGGCGAACTGCGTCTCCTCGAGGTTCGGGCTAACGAGGCCCTCCTCGGTGCCGGACTCGTCGAGGACAATCACCAGGGCGAGGGAGGTGGGAGAAGGGTAAAAGTTGGGAATGCTAGCGAGCTTCTGGCTGAAGGTGCAGGAGCCGCGACGAATGACGATGACCTGGTGGTTTCGGGGAGCCTCGGTGGGTAGAGGTTCGCAGGCCTCGTCGGTGAGGTAGACGGACGTCCAGGGGAGGTGGATTTCGGAATCGGGGTCGGCGGCGGAGACGTATTTGGCCGTCGGGGAGTCTGGGACGAGCTGGGCGCCCTTGCCGACGGGGGTGGAGGCGACGAATGAATCGATGGTCTCGAGGGCTAGGTCGAGGTCCGCGTCTAGGTCGAGATCGAGCCCGAGGTCATATACGAGGGCGCTGTCTTCGTCGACGACGATGTCGTTGCCGTCTTCGGCGACGGGGAGGGAGGTTTTGGCGGTTTGGAAGCGGGGGAAGACGAGGCTTACGCGGTCCTTGACGGTGCGCATGGCGGCTTTGTATGCGGAGACGAGCGAGTTGTCAGGGTTGCCGGCCCTGCTTCTCCTGTGTCGTAGATCGAACGGGTCGTGGGAGAGGATAACTTCGACAGCTGTGTGTTCGCGGACGCGCTTGAAAAGGGGGTCCGTCATGTCCGATATCAGGTCGGCATCGACGACGGCGTTCTCCTCCCGGCCAAGAGGGACGTTGTTCACTGAGACTATTCGCCACACAGAAGGAAGACCGCCTATTTCTGTATCGAGAACCATCTGTAGCTTCAGGTCGTCCAGAGACGCAATGAACAGGCCTTCATCCGGTAACTTGACCACAGACTGCCAGAACGAAGAGTCAGAGCGTCCCGAAGCTCGGTGTGGGAATTGCAGGGTGAGTTGGCGGCCTTCAGGTAGTCTGTGGCATGTTCCATTGGCAGGGATGTACGTGGAGGGTAGCGTCCATGGAAAGTACGTGTGGTTTGACTTGGGCCGAATCAGCGGCACTGGGCCGTATTCGGTCTCTTTGATGCCGACCTGCTCAACTTCGCCGTGGATGTTCGGCGTTGTGTAGAGGCCTGTAACACCCGCTGCGTGGTACAGGTCCGACCGCGCTGCTATTGTGGACCCCGTGAGGGGCACGGCTGCTGGGCCAACAGGGCATTCATTCGTAAATTCGGGATCGAAATACGCGTCCGGTTCCGTCGCCGCATTGGTTTGGTGACTCCGAGTCGCTCCCTTGCGTTTCCGATCTCGCGGTATGATCAAGGGATGACCCTCAGTCGAAAAGACAAAAGGTGCGTCCAATTTGTTCAGAGGATGGTCTGGGTCAAAGAGCAGATACATATATTTGGTTGTTTCTCCAAGGAAGAAGCTCTCCATCCGATCCGACTTCTCACCCGTCCGAACGTCCTGGAGACCTGCCCAACCACATTCGGTATAGCAGCGGTCGATGACATCCTTCATGACCATTTCTCCAACATACAAGTACCAGGGGTCCTTCGTCGCCCGATATAGGTGGTACGTTGATTCGATGAACTCTGGTCGTCCAGGCCACCAGCCTAGGTTCGACTCGACCTGCCCATCACGAAGGGACCATCTTTCGGGTAACGCTTGAAACCGGGTCCATAAGGCTGCGTAAAGCAGATGTGCCTCCACAGCCTCCTCAAGCTCGCCCGCAAGAGTGAGAAGGCCTGGATAGAATGCGCTTAAACTATCTACCCACAAGGCAGAAACCGCACCGGTCTGATAGTTTCCATTCATGTAGCTCGGGTGGTGGAAATCCTCGTTCGGGTTTTGCCAGCTGTTATAGAGATGGCGCTTGATAGCCGCGTGAGCTTGATGCCACGTTTTAAGGAACGAATCTGGAGAGTGCTCCTCCGGAGTTAGGGGCCGCTGAATAAGATTTGGATCAAGCCACAACGGCTTATAATCGCGGCGAGAAGAGTAAGCAATAGCAGTCTCATTCGGAAGATCAAGGCCAGAGAGCAAAATATGGGCCTTCATGGCGTACTCGAAGAAACTGTCGATGCCCGCCCCGACTCCGGACGCCGTGCTAATCCAAGTAGCGCGTTCGGCGTCGATGCCACCGCCGATCAAGTCAAGGGGGCTTCTTTGCTCCCAGATAGACCAGAAAGCACGCTTGGCCGCCTCTTCAAACCGCGGATCTCCCGATAAGCGACTAAGAACAGAGAATTCCAGAACAAGAGTTCCTGCACCGGCGCTGCATGTTTCTGTAATATCTCTTCCATACATACCGCGACCAGCTGCTGATTGGTGATTAAGCGGCGAGTTTGGGTAGAAGGGAATACCGTAACGCAGATTTACACGAGGGTATGGAATCCCGGTATTCGTGTAGAATGCTGGGAGGAGGCGCTGACCGAGGTCGAAGGCAAGCCGTAAGAGTTGGCCGTCGTAGACAAATCCATTCGGCCACTCGATGGGAGCAGTTTCAAGAGGGTCGTTGCTGGTCCAATGCACTGGGGGCGTCGGATCGTACCCGGGTATCGGAAGCTCACCAGTGGCGAATAAGTGAGCACTCAACAGTCCGCCAACACCTCGAATAACCGTCTCGAAAACTTGCACCTTGCTATCCAGGTCGAACCCTTTCGATCGAAGCCCCCGCAGGCCGGCAAGTCCAGGTCGACCGTCGCCATAGTACTTCACGAGATCCGATACTCCGTTTTGGAAATCTAGAAGCGCAAGCCTTCCCGTATATCCATGATCATCTTGACGACCGCCGGCTAGAATAGCAAGAGTTGACAAACTGTCGATAAGGGTTAAAGAGTAGTTGCCGAGGACGTCGTTGAGGCCGATGTTCGCAGGATTCTCTCGATCGCGTGTAAGAGGCGCGCAAGTCACAGGACGAAGCTATATGGAAGAAATTACGTTAGGCATACTTGGCAGATGGGAGCGGACTTCCGAAGCAAACGATCAACTTACCTCATCCTCAGGGAAAGCATGTTCCATATAGTTATTGAAGCCATGGAGGAACATTCGGACACTGTCTTGACGCAGTTTTTCCATATGACTAGGGCCCATGGCTAACGAAAGCCATGAGCCCAGGAAAAGCAATATCAGATAGAGGGCGAGGGGCTGGGAAGCCATGGTGCAGGCTTGGAGCGATTGCTGCGGAGGAGCTCAGGGCAACAGGTCGTTCCAAGGTCAGTCGAGAGCAGACGCCCGAGGTTGAGGAGGTAAGGAGGCGTCGCCCAGCATATGGGAGCTATAAATATGGGGGCATTGGAATTTGCATCTCGATTGCTAACCAAAATGCGACGGAGGCTCAGAGATCAATAATACATGACGATGGTGCTCTGTCCTGTCGCGTGTGAGAGCACCTGGATTTGCCAGAGGTGGCCAGAATAAATTTGACAGGATCATGCATTCGGTTGTGGAAAGGTACATCTGTTGTCATCTGTACTGATATGCACTGGAGAAGCCACTTGTCATGCAGATTGTGCAGACAAGCATTGACGTAAGAGGCTGTCATCCTAAGCCAGTTGTCAACCAGCTGTCAACCTCGCTCTCTCGCCACCCTCCACTTACACGCTTTGGAGGGCGGCGCTGAAGACGAAGCCTCGATCCAACAACACAACACACAAGGTCATTCTCCCGTGGGAGCGAACCCGTTTCCCTTCCCTTAACCTTGTCTTGAGTGAATTTCAAACGGAGACATAGAAAGCGTGGCAATGACAATATCACTCTCCAAGTCTGTGAACCTAGTCTCATCAATCACCATTGATGCTGGCTAGGTCATAAAAGAAAATTGTCCTTGGCGATCGAGGGTATTTTAATCAAATAATATTCAAGGTATCAATATATAAAATGGAGGTCGCTAGAACATTCCACGTATTATTGAAATGATGTTGCCCCAAAACAACCGGGAAATGGCTCCCCGTGTGTAAGCCGCCCCTTCGACCTACCAACAGCATGGCAACGACTCCATTGAAAATATCATCACGGCGGTTCTGGTGAGCTAATAGCTCATCCTATACATGTGCCAACCGACCGACCTTCGACCCCTGGAGAGGTAAACAACAACAGTCTGCCGGGTATGTTCCCGATCATGGCCCAGGGCTCGGCACTGAGAATTTAGTATGATGATGCATAAACTCCGCGGACCTAGGGGAACCGGTTCGAAAGAGCATCTATGGCACCAAGTGCAAGTGGACACGAACTTATCTACACCAGCCGTTGTAGTCGCCATCTGTGCTGTTCCCCAAGAAGTTGAAGTCTCGAGAAGCAAAGGTCAAGGCCCGCCGCCATATACCCGGAATTTAAATATATTAACACAAGACTTGAAGTTCGCCCAAGAGCTCCATTTCCAACTACGATCCATGACGGTATTGGTTCTCTAGCTTGCTTGAAGGGCTATATCATGTCACATAACGCCCAAAAGCTGCTGTCTTCTCACGAATATGTCTCCCAAGACGGAATATCTCGCCGGCAATTTTGATGTTGCGGCGGATTCCCTCAGCCAGGCTATTCAGATGCCCAGAGAAGCCGAGCGAAATGTTGTTTATGAAATATCTGAGAGTCTTGTTGAAGGTTAATATGATGTGATGAGGCAGTATAAAGGCTGGCATCCCGGACCTGAGCGCCTCCCAGATTTTGGGCCTGTCCTCTTTCGCTTCTGATGTGAGAGGTGCACAAAGTACGCTGGTTAATCATTCCCAAACTCTGACTGCCCTTTGTTTGCATTCGCTTAAAATGCGACTCGTTCTTACTGCCGCCGGCCTTTTCGGCTTTGCTCAATATGCCGACGCCCAGGCCATGATGCGCTTCGGGTGCTCCCAGCTCGTCGTCGAGCGCGTTGACCCCCTAGTCAACCCGGGCCAAGTCTATACTCCCCATGTCCACCAGATAGTTGGAGGAAATTCCTTCAACGTCTCTATGGACCCGGAGGTGCATGATCCTGCCGCCCTCTCCACCTGCACGACTTGTACGTATTCCGAAGACATGTCCAACTACTGGACCGCCGTACTCTACTATAAGGCCCGCAATGGAACCTTTAAGCGTGTTGCCCAAGAAGCCAACATGGGCTTGGTTCAGAATGGCGGCATCACCGTGTACTATATTCCTCCCTACGATGGCCGCACCAAGGTTACCGCTTTCCCCAAGGTAACGCTTCACTCTCTAGTCCCGAATACGTCAGGCTATGTAAGATGCGAATACTGACAGTGAATCAAACGGTTAGGGCTTCCGCATGCTCGCCGGTGATCCTAACCAATCCAGCCCCGAAGGCATGCAACCCGGAATCTGCCACCGCTGCTTCGGCCGAAACCAGCAGCCGTTCGGTGGTGCCCCCTGTACAGGCGCCGACACTGCAACCCTCCCAGCCGGCATGTGCCTTGGCGGAATTCGAACCACCGTGACTTTCCCTACCTGCTGGGACGGCAAAAACATCGACAGTCCCGATCACAAGTCTCACATCGCCTACCCTACTCCAGCCTTCGAGATGAATGGGAACTGCCCCGAGTCTCATCCCGTGAAACTGCCTCAGGTTATGTATGAGATCATGTGGGATACCAAGCCTTATAATGATCCTGAGTTGTGGCCGGAGGATGGGTCGCAGCCTTTCGTTTATAGTTTTGGTGACAAGTAAGTAGAGGTCTACCAGGTGAAGGAAGAAAGGAGCTGTTTTGCTAATTGAACGGACGTTTCTTAGACTCGGGTATGGCCAGCACGGTGACTACGTCTTTGGCTGGAAGGACGATTCTCTCCAGAAGGCGCTGGATGCTAGATGCAATCTGGACAGGTGCTCGACTCTCAAGTACCAGACCCCCCAGGAGGCCATGAAGTGCACTATCCCGCAGACTGCGGCCGAGGAGGTTGATGGTTGGCTTTCCTCGCTTCCCGGAAACTACCCCGATATTTGATTGACAGGTAATGGCTTCGTATTTCGCCCTAGTTATCCATAAAAGAATACAAAGAAATTACGAGACTCCGTGTTCTTCGCCATCAACTCTTGAGATCCTCTGGCAGTTTCCACTGCTGCTACTCTTCCCAAATCCCTGTGGCCAAGAACAATATCCTAAGACCAGGACACCGTCCGTCCCTGTTCATGAGACTCCCTCGCCAACTCAATAATCCTCAGTCCATCCCTCGCCACCTCCGGCTTGATCTTTACCTCACCGTTACCCCAAATCGCATCCACAACGTTTTCATAGTATCCCCTGCACCAACCATCCAAACTAGGATACCTCCCAATATACAGCTTGCTCTGCTCATCGTACTTTTGTGAGTTGGGATCAATCTCTCGTGTCGTGGAGAGCTCGCCCCAGATGCTAGGGTCTTCCTTGCCAAAGTCAGGGTCGGTGGCGGGTTGACCGGGAGCGGCTATGGCCCTTGCCTCTTGGGGACAGTAACCGAACTGCAAAAGTTTGCCCGTGTATTAGTGGGGTGAACATTTTTTAAGGGGGCTGTGATGGAGAGTTTCTTCTTCTTCACCTTCAAGTAAGTACCCTCGGTGCCCCGGATGAAAAACTTGAGCTGGTTCTTCATATGTGTGACGATGGCTGTCTTGACAGTAACTGTCAAGTCCCTTTGATCACCGTCGTACTGGAGGATTATAGTGAAAGTGTCGTCTACGTCACTGACTATACCTCTGTTGGAGCGGAGGAATCCGGTGACGGAGGCTGGGCGGCCAAACAAGGCGAGCGCTTGATCGAGGGTATGCGTTCCTACAAGACGTCAATATTTATGGCCCAACTGTAACGGGGAGTAAAGAGTGAGTATATACCTAGGCCGAAGGCCATTCCCTGCCCAGGAGAGTATTCCTTCGTGTTCCATGAAGTAACCCAGCCCGGAGAGCGAAAGTCGAAGTGAATTTCGGCATCCTTTATGTCGCCGAGGGCCTTCAGGCCGATGAGCTTTTCCAAGGTACGGAAATCACTATCGAATCTTCGATCTAGAAGTGACGAGGGCAGTATCAGCTTTCCCAGGCCATTGCGCCGGCTAACTCAATTCGTGTCCACTCACTGTGGAAGACGGTCAATATCTTGTTCTTTTCCTTTGCGAGCTGTATAAGCTCATCTGCCTTGGCGCTGCTAGTAACGAACGGTTTTTCAACAACCACTAGAAAGCCTATTAGCTCAAACATCCTCCCACATCAAAAAAAAAAAAAAAAAAAAAAAAAAAAAAAAGAAACAAGAACCTCATACCATGCTTTCCAGCCTTCAAGCCTCTCTCCACAAACTCTTCATGCGTCGAAGTACACACGACAACAAGCTCAATCTCTGGATCGGCAAAAAAATCATCGGCTGTCCGATAGTGCTTGATCTCGGGAAAATCGACAGTACAATGGCCCATCCTGAGCTTCCTCGTAGGGTCCTCGGAGGGCGGCGCCGCCCGCTGTAAGAAGGCGTAGACTTCGAGATCTGGGTTGGGTAGGATATAAGGGAGGTGGAAGCATTTGGTGGAGAAGCCGTAGCCTACGATGCCAACCTTGATTGGCGCCATGGTCTTATAATTCTAGTAATCTCGCGAATCTGGCCTTGCGTTAGATGCGTGTGACTCGGGATGATGGAGAGGGGAAGAATGGGAACTTATAAGAGGGGGATTTTGATAGACCTCAGGTTGTGCTGTGATCTGCGTCGGCCCGCTTTAGCCGGAGTGCATGAATTAGTCAAGCTGATGCAGGAAGACGAGAGCTTTATTGTCATAGATGTTTTGGGGATCAGGCGCGGGGGTATGCAGAGCGTCTATAACGGCTATTGTAACTATTGTAACCCCAGTGCGGGGAGACGGATTCACAGACAAAGGACAAGTTAGATATCTGCTGGATTGGATTCGGGGCTGTTAGTGCTTGGCTACACCGTCCTCGAGACCCCGGATATCCATCCGTCAATGCCAAGACGGCAGCGGCTCTTAAACACTCGAAGATAGTCACATCAACCTCAAATTCACTTAACAAACACTCTATCCAACCAGAGTGTTCCTCCGACTCCTGTCTGCCCTGATATCCTTTCTTCCAAGGATCGCCTCCAACGCTTGGGTAAGAGCCTTCGCATCATATCTTCCACCTTTACCTGAAGCGCCAGCTACCTTGCTAGGCCCGTACAACCTCACGGTCTCAATCCCTAGCTTCTCAAAATACTTCTTATCAACAACAGGTGAAACAGGACCCTCAAGATAAATAACGTGTGTCACGTAAAGACAGTATTCGTCCTCTGTAGGTGGCTCTTTGCCTCGGGAGTATGAACATGCCCTCGCGATCGCCGCCACAAAATCAAGGGCTGAAAAAGGGTTAGTGGAGGGTCCGGTCTCTCGATCAAGGGTGCCGTTAAGTATAAGCACTTTGTTCCTGATGGCGGGATTGGAAGCGATAACATCGCCCACGCCCTTCAGGACGAGGTTGGGAATGAGAGAGGTGAATAAGGAGCCGATGCTATAAACAACACTGTCACACTTCTCTAACGCCTCAATCACACGCGGATTGGCGGCGATGCGAATTTCCTGGCCATACGGATTGATATACCACACTCTCTCGATACGCGCGGGGAGCTCTTCCTCGTCCTCTTTCGAGAACGAGATGGCAGGTTTCCGCAGGGCCGGCAGCGTGCCCGGCAAGTTTGCGTCCTCGACTTTATCGTGCTCTTCGGTGTCTCTCTGCCTTTTCAGAGAGGCCTCGGAACTCGGTACTGCAGCCGTCGGTACGCTGGGGTGGGAGATATCATTCTGGCCGGTGATAACATCTCCGTTTGCCAAGCCCGCGGCGATATGGTGGGCAAAGTTGCTGTTTAGTGCCGGCAGGACAGCGACCTTTTCGGGAACACTGCAAATGGAGCTGAAGAGGTAGATGGCGGCCTCGAAGCTCCCAGTGAACAGGCGACCTCCCGTCAGGAAAAGATTGCCTACGCTCGCGGAAGAGTAGTCGAAGCGGCTACTTGGCCTCATGCGTTTGACAGCTTCCTGATTGAAGCTGTTAAGGAAGGAGCGGATGAGCTCTCTTCTTGGTGAGGAGATGTTGTTCCAGAGGGGGTGTGTCCCTTCGACGATGTTCACCCACTCGGCCCTAGCCTCTTCATACGACTTGGCAAGACGGTGATTGAAGAATTGGCGGATAGCGGTGGTTTCCTTGTCCCCATTCTCAGGGATGAGCCTCACGAGACGGGACCTCACATCTCCAATGCCTGAGGAGAGACGCCATATCAGTGTTAATATTTTCTTCCACAAGCTGTTCGTGTTGAGAGATCAGTCACGCACCTGGTCCACCGAAGACTCGAATCACCTCACTGGTGCTCCCACCATTATCAGAGATGGGTATTACGTAGTGTAGCGTGCACTTCTTGGCCTCACGCACATGCTCGAACACATCGACAAGCGAGTTGGCAGCTGTGCCACCAGAAAAGACAACGATGCCATCTCCCAACGAGAAAGATTTCAATCCAGGGCTCCTAGATGCGTCACCATCTCGGGCCGGGGAAGACAATGCCAGCTGGGTCAAGTCGTGCGTCATAGACATTGGGAAATAAGTTAATGCTGTTCTCTCTCTAATGCTCGTCTCATCAATTGCTCAATCCTCCCTGCCGGCTTGAGGGCTTCGCAGGCTGGTATTTGTAGCCTTCAATACGAAGTCCGGAATCCCAAAGGCCGATACGTGGCCTGAAGGGAGATGACTCGAACACAGCTCCACGTTTCCCTTAGTATCTCGTCAGTTTCTTCAGGGGGCGACGATGTCCCCATTGCTTCCATCATTGCCAGGGGCGATTCCGAGAACACAGCCACCGATTAGTCAGCTGGGTTTAAGTTGACACCAACGCCATGGACTTGGACCATCCAATGTCCAGTCGCGAATTGTCTTCAACCCCCTCGTTGTGTCATCCAAGGATTTCACATCAATTGATCCATTTATTTGGCTTCGTGTTCATGGATAAGATTGAAGAAGCCGAGATTCCCCTGAACATTTGGGTCGGATTCATCCAAATCATTGTCGGGATCGTGTCATGAAGTCAGTTGTGGACAGCTGGCGTACCAACAGACGGACTGATTCTTGTCTACTCGGGTGCCTGAAGACCTCAATCCTCCTGAACAAACGAGAGCTTGGAGCGTCGTAGTATCTGACTCTATAGCTCCCTTCTCGGTAAGATTTTCGAAGAAAGTCGAGACAGACGTTTCTCAGTTAATCCTGTGGATATCGGAGCACAGCTCGGGCAATGCTCCCTCAACACATTGAGCATGGCGTGTCACTGGCTGGATCGAATTGCTGTTAGCGAACTTTTTCACAAATCTTATTATTTATCGAACTTCACATAGCTCTTATCAGCGCCAGAGTACGGCAGCCCATATGTACTCACGGCGTCATGTGTTGTAGGATATTTTTATGGAGGAAGGGCCAATTGAGCCTTCATTCGAACTTGAGGATATCGCCTGGGAAACCTGCGATCATTCAATATCAACGATGCCTTTGACATCGCTGCCTGCTGAGATTATCCAGAAAATAGCAGGTGAATGCTTGTTTGATGACATAGTTTCACTCTCACACGTTTGCCACAGACTACGAGAAATATGCCGCGACCCTACCATCTACATCCTCTCATTCGTCAACCATGTATGAGACGGCCTTCACCCAGTGACTTTCTCAAGGTTCCAGGGGACTAATCCGTGTTGAATCGGCAGGTCGGTATCCGGGGAGAAGGTGATATACAGCGGCTGAGAGTGGCGGTTGCGGCGCGAGGACCTGATCTTGGCCGTACTACCTGGCGATGTCTTGCTGCTGCTAGCTCGTATCTTCCACAACTCAAGAAGAAATTCTTGAAAATGACGGCCCCTTTCGCGTTGTCGTCTAATAGCTCCGATGTACCTCAGGCGTTGAGCTCCCGCCAGCTGTATAAAATCAAAGGCACACTTGGGATATACAGCATTCTCGCCGCGCTCGGCTGTAAGTCCGAAGGAATCAATGACAAAATCCTACGTCTCACAGAAACTAACCGCTTTATGCATCTTGTATTCATTTGTTGTCGAAAACAGATTTTTCTGTGATTGATTCTGAGCTCACAGAATCCATGTCTATTCTCGCCGCGGAAGCCACTATTCTACAGTACACCTTCCCACCATATACCCGACCCCTGGCGCACCTCTTCTCCACTCAAGTGGCCTTCTGTCTTGCAGTAGGTGCGCTGCTTAATGGTGTGCGTACAGACCAAGAGGAGCTAGCCGTCTACGCTGTACACGGACTCGACCTCCGATCCGGTTTCACTGAAAGGGGGAACCAGACTTGGCAAGCTTTCCAAGCCACAAGCTTGGTTGCCGTGTGCATCCTAACGTGGATCCGGGGGCCCCACGAGGAAGAATCACAACCTCAGCTCCCGTCGCCGCGGAGGATCCCGTTCCTCACTAACAACCATGAGCTGCCACTTGCGCTTCCTCGAGAGATGACCGGGGAGATTCCACGCCTCACTCCCTCGACAGTTAATACTGCGTTCTCTCTTTCTCCTTCGTGGCAGGCATGGTATAGGGCCTGCGTTGCCCAATTTGTTGAGGATATAGGGAATGGGACCTGGCAGGGATTCACTACGAACAGTAGCATTACCACGCATGCGATAGGACTTCAACTCACTGGCATTCGATTCACGAACCTGAAAAAGACGGAGACGAGCATTGAAGGGGAAGCAGACGGCTCTAGTGACGCGGAGGGACCTGTCAAGTTGACAGTGCAAATAGCGAGGGATACGGGTGCCTTCGAACTGACGAGGCGGCCGAGGGATGCGCCGTCGGGTTTTCACCGGATGTCCGGGACAATGACACCCCTCGGGCTTATTGGGATTTGGGGAGAGGAGGAGGAGGTATGTAACGGGCTGCTCTGGCTCTACAAGGAAGAGTGGGTGCCTCCGAGGGATGCAACGTGACGTTGATGACTTGGGCGTCGAGTGTTTTCTCCTAGATTGGCTGGTGGCATCAATATTGTGGCCTCGAGCGCCAATCTCTGGTGGCTTGGAGATCAGGCCCAGTAGCTCGTGGGCAGCAGAGCACCTTAATGCTTGGCAGATTTGGTCAGCCGAAACAACATCGACTTGGGAGCTGTGAGGGGCATGACTACACCGAAACAAACTATCCCCAGTGCCATTCCTATCATTCACCCAGCGGGAGGTATAGGATAGCATATAACGGGCCACGGAGGGAAAGACTTCTTAGACGGTGGATCGAAACCACTTCATCTGATCTAATCGCCGTGGCCACATTAGGATCTTGGATACCGTACCTTTCTTCAGCTCCATGCCATTGCCGAAGAATGGATATTGGTCGACTTCGTGTGATACCGGAACATAGTCATCCCATCGCTCGTACAGCTGCGACGTAGACTCGGACCTCATTACTATCCAATTCCTACTTACACCAGCGTGAAACGGCTTCATTGAAGTAACAGAATACGAGGTGGCGCCCTCACCCAACCTCGGTCCGCATTCCAATTGAAGTGACAATGACGCCGGTCAACTTGCGACAAGCTTCAAAAGCCAAGACGGCACAGGTTCTCCCAGATAGTCTTCCCCGCACTACCGGAATTCTGCAATCTTTATCGTTGAAGGCTTGCAGTGTTGCGTTGTCACTGCGCGTTTGGACATGTGGCTTTGACGTTTCCTGCCCCTTCATTGCCGCTTTGACGAGAGTGTGACCGCCTCGAGAAGTCCGTGGCCGGAAATATGAAAACGTCAGTCGACTTCCATCTCAACTAGTTTGCACTTTGTGCATTCTTTCATGCGCGAAATCGAAATTCTTGGGGAAGGAATTAAGGTTGAGGTTTTGGGGGATTTTGCGATCCAGCGGACGGCAGTTCCCAGTCTGCAAGCACTTTATGCATGAATTCGCCTACCTTGAAGCGAGTCGCTAAACTCTCGCTTCCAGGCGAAATCGATGATATTCAATGATTCCCTGGATCTCGGGAGAGAGTCCAGTAAACCGATCATAAAATGCCGATAGGATCAGGTAGTTGCTGCATCTCATCAGTGTCATTCGCTCCCTTTTCAATTCCTGTAATACTATTGATCGGCGTTGTGAATCTGGTTCGCCCTCTGATCCGCTTCAGACCTGGATGTGCACAGCCTGGCTGTAAAGTCTTGGTACGGCTCTGTGCTACTTTTCACTATAGGAGTTGTGTCTTTCTATGGATTCGAGGGCTAAGATCCAGGGTAGAAGTAAGATGCAATGATCGACGACACAATGCCATTGATGAAGAATAGTCAGACGCTCTCAGACCTAGGGTCGCTCGTATCGTGAGATATCTCCCCTGGTAATAGTAACATACGCAATGAGATTCTTCGCCTTCCTAGTATTTAACAAATTGTGTCGCAGACCATGAGGCTAGATGGCGATACCTTGGTGTAAGTGCAATCACCACGGCTCATCCGCTCGTTAAATCCTCTTCGTCCAAGTCTCTCGTTAAGCGCAACAATGAAGCCTCTATTTTGGCTCCTCCCTTCACTCGTTCTCTCATCCCCTTCCCACACACGCTCCAACCAATGGAAAGCACCCCTCCTGCCAACCATAAAAAACATCACCGCCTCCGGTTCAGGCTGCCCCCCAAACACCATCGCAACAATCCAATCCGCAGACCTCACAACTCTCAGTCTCGGTTTCGACGCCTACCAGGCCTTCGCCGGTCCCGAGGTTGACCCTACCCTCGCGCAGAGAGACTGCCTCATCCGCGTAGAGATAGAAAACGCCCCGTCTCGTCGGAGAGGTAACGATGTCATCGCCGAAGTGACTATGCATGGTTTTGCGCAGCTAGATGTTGGTTCTGGAAGCATTCTTACAACACAATATCAACTTCCACAGATGTGTCGACAGAAACCTATCCGGGGTGTGTCTACTCAAACTGATGTTGACGCTGAAACCGACTTGTCAACTGGTGTCGTGTATACCAAGACAGACACGGTTCCACTTAGGGTAGGGAAAGGACGGAAGAGAAAGACGGATATTTTGTTCATTCGCACGACCGTTGATGTCTTTGTTGGACGTGCGGGTGGGAGCGGTACCATGACCATCGATGATTTAACCATTGCGCTTAAGCCGCGCAGTAATGTGGGAGTCACAACGTCTGGTGAAGGGCCAGATGCAAAATCGGGGGAGATTCGACTCGAGCTTGGTGAACCAAACTAAACTGAGTGGTCTTGGAATACCCTTCTCCCTTGCAGTAAGTAGTACGTCTCGTGCTATTTGAGTTAACTACACTACTCTGCCTGATTTCCTCTAGAAACTTATCTAATATTGATCCTTCACCAGCCATATTCGGCTCTACGAAGCCGTCTACACCGAACGGCGCAGATGCGTTCGAACTAGTTCAGGGGAACTTCTCCTAGCGGCTCCACGCACACAAGTTCCGAGAAGGCTATTGTACATCCCCCCGTGTATAAAAATACGTGTACACTATTTAATAGTAGGATTACTAGGCCGGAACCCAGCCATGGAGTAAGGAGTTGGGTGGCCGAAGAGTCTCGAAACCGAATTGTTTGTATTATACTGCGACATAACGCAAGGAATATATATAAGAAAACTAATCGCGAAGGCGCTGTTCTGGTAGGTATCTACCCAAAATATGTATAGGAAATGTATGTGGTGCAAGTCCGTACATCCTGCGTACAGCCCACAAGTAGTTAAAGAGTGTATTCTCATAAAGTCATCAGATCGCCGCTCTGACACCCCCGACCTTATTCCAGAAACCAAACCCAGGGTAATAACAGTACGCCCAACCGATCCCAACACAAATCACGCCAAACCCCTTAACCTGCGTAGCCATCCACAGTTTGCTTCCACATGGGCAGGAACAGGAAGACCAGCGTCGAGAGCGTAGCGAAAATGGCACCGCCAATCATGCTCTGGATGACAATCTTGTGTTGTAGCTGCCTAAGACTCGCATCCTTGACTCTGAACTTGCGGTCAAAGATCATTAGGCGGGAGAGTCTCTTGACAATGGCAGACCGCTGGGAGATCATAGAAGCGCTGTCGTCGAAGCGTTCCCAAGGAAGAGGTTGACGGCGGGTGAAGAGCAGGAGAAAGAAGCAGCTGCCTCGGAGGCCAGAGAGGATCAGAGTCATACCGAGCCACCACATAGGCCAGGCGCCGAATGCGTCCCATTGGCTGTGCTTTCCGATGTGAGGAGCAAGACCCCGTACGAGCATGTATAGGAAGCCGGCACAGGTGAGCACGATGCCGAGTCCGGTAGCCACACAAACAGTCTCGTACGTTCCGTTGGAGACGCCAAGGCGGACGAAATTGCGATGAGAACAGTTCCTTAGAAGAAGGTAAACGTGGTCTGCGACGGGGCGGAGGTGCTCGGGGTCCGTGGAGTGTAGGAGCTGGTTGAGGGCCAGCTCTCTCATGGCGGGCGGGATGTTCAACTCCTTCTCTGCGCCGGGGACGAGGAAGAGGCCGACGATGGCGGTGATTTCGGCACGGTGGTCGGCCTCGGCGAGGTTGGTCGAACTCGAGTTGCCGGAGCTGGTGCCGGCGTTGCCCGTGACGTTGGCGGCGAAGGCTTTGACGCGGTCGGTGATGGTGGGCTTGTTGTTGCATCCGTTCATTGTGCACATGGCAGCGCTACCAATGAGAAGTTCGATTTGGCCGAGGGTTTCCTTGGCTGTCGGAATATGTTAAATTTTGGGACACGTTTATGAGGTAGGCAAAAGAAAACAAGAATCATACCCAGCTCCGGATCATAGGACAAATCAGCGCCATTTTCAGAGGACACACGCTCGACTTCGGTTTCGGTTACGGTCGTGGCGAGGAGCGACTGAGTATCCTTCTCCTTGAGGCTTCCCGTTCCAGCCTGCTTTGGCTTGACGAATCTCGACTCATAGTTCTTGAACCTAGTGGTGAGTGTGTTAGGTTTCTATCGTCGAGCCACATGAATGAAAGATCTCGAAAACTAACCAGACGTAAAACTCGAGGTTCTCGGGTGAGTATTCGATGTGCTTAAGATACATGTAAAAGTCGTAGAGGGACATCGGGCTACATGTCTCATTGGCGAGGACCTTTTCGAGGCTGAGACGACTCGGGATGGCGGTTTTGCCACGGCCATCAGGACTGATTGGGCGCCTTCCTGTGCCGACTGCGGTCGAGTATTCCCTGATATCCCGATACTCGGGTTTCTTATACCATACTAGCCACGACGGGAGGCGCATTGTGGCGGTCGAGAAGAGCGAGGATTTCTTATACGTCGATGAAGGAGCTAAGGTAAGAACAGGAAGAAGAGTGTCGACCAAGGTAGGCTCACTGACTCAAGTATATCTCCGAACAAGGACGGTAGTTGAGCAGAGGATCTAGCCAAAGACGGAGGAGGCGGCAGCGGCAGCGCGGATGAATGAATATAAATCAAGCCAAAAAGAACAGAGACAAGGGGGGGATCTAGTCGGAAGGGAGAAGGAAGATGGCTAACATTAAATCATCATTTTGGCGTTCAATCCCTTGCCTCGTCAACTGCCAGAAGCGGAGCGCCACCGACCTCTCTTGACCCCACCACCTGCGATCCTGGCGGTGGATGAAGGTGGGAGGTCCCAGAGACGGTGACTTACACATCTCGTGGACACAGCGCTATGAACATCTATCGGATTGTGAACCACAGAAAAAGATCATGGATACGCAATACGCACGAAGTAAGCCGGTAAATAAGAAGAAGCTAGTTCGTTTTTAGTCTGCTAATATGCATCCATACCCGCACCGGAGGGGTCTGTGAGAAGCGGAGGTTGGAGATGGGAGTCGAGTGTATTACACGGCTCCGCGATATTCCACCCGAGCTACTCGCCTGCTACCACCCGGAATAGGCCAAGCGGGCGTCGATCTGCGGTTCATTCCACTTTGCTTTTCGCATCTCAGCCTATGGAAATTTCCCGCCCATAAGCCAAGCACGACCGCGAACCCTGATGCCGGCGGCGGGACCAATGATTCATGTCTATTTAGTCTATTTTGGTTATATTGTTGATGTACTTCGTACTTGAGCACATCTTATTTGGGGATGACCTGTCGGAACAACGATCAACCGTGATCTAGCCATACACTTGGTGATGAAAAGTTTGCCGACGGGAGCAATCAGCGTATGAGATATTAGATTGCAGATGTCGAAAAGCTTCCCAGCATCTATTACATATTAAGTGATGAGGCGCATCAAGACGCATCTCCAATAGTCCCTTGCTTCGTACTACCAGGAACACGAGCGCAAGGGACCTTTGAGTTTTCTAGCCTTACGAAGTAAGAAGCCATCTCTGAACGGCGGCTTCAACCGGGTCTCAAGTGCCAGACGGGCTGGTAACGAGAGGAGGGGGGACTCGGCTCTGGAGTTTTGGCCGGAGGCTCCGAGAATACCGCTTCTTTCCACGATGGACTTAGCGATGAGGGCCTGCGCAGGGGCCGCTTCGCAGTTTAGAAAAGATTGACAAGAGCCTAAAAGAGGCTTGGTGGTGTGGATGAAGCGATTGTGACGGGCTGCCAGTTCAAGGCAAGTGTGTACAGAAAAGGTCCGGTCGTACAGTAGCGCCGCTGGTTCCAGCTCAGAAAGGCTGGTTCAAGAGTGGCTTGCAGGGATGGTCAGGTAAAGTATTGGCATCAAGAGAGGCGGAGCGGTTCGTGAAAATGGGAAATGTGCCTGAAATGGGTAGCAGGAGCGACAGGAACAGAAACATTGAGATTGAAAACTCCGAAGTAATTCGTACAAAGTAAGACACGGTCGACCTGAATGGCTCCTCCGAGCGGGGAAACACCACGAACGAGAGGGTTGGGAATGGCTCGGCCGTCATCACATGGCTTATTCTCAAGTCTACCCCACGGTCCGAGAGCTCAATACCGCCAGGCGGCTGTGCTCCAAATGCGACCGACCCTTATTTTCTATCTTCGCGGCCTGGGACTCCTCGGGACGTTGAGAACCCGTGGGAGAGCTCTGACCTCGTTTACAGGAGGCAAGTCTTACTTGCGTTGAAGATCGTCACTTTTTACCTGGGGCTGGGGGATGAGCAATGATTTGCGTTGTGCTTCGTGCTTCATACTTCGTGCTTGGTGCACCGCACGCCTCAACATTGCGATTGTCCTGCAGGGTAGCTTATTATGCATGCGACCTACTTGGCAGAGCAGAGAGGGAACGAGCAAACAAAGCGCCGAGGAAGAAGTACGAAGTGGGAAGTTGACGCGTCGGTCTCGGCAGGCGAGGGGACAGGACATAGGGCATGAGATCGCCTCGCCAAGGACTTGTCCACCCAGTTGGGCTGCAGCAATACCTCTTTTGGGTCCAACACGATGTTTTTGGTGACTTGCTGTCAAAATGAGCCTCGGGAGTGGATGCAGAATCATGGCAGAGAAGTGAGCTCGAGCCTCCAGTTCAAGAACGCTGTTTAGCCGTTTATGGAATTGGGGCGATTGAAAGAATTTGCAGTCAAATCTTTTGTTAGTGTACCAAAATATCCTTTGATGAACTACGAAAAATATTGGCCGCGGTCCCAACTAAACTGAAGCAGACATTGACGTATCCGGCCGCCGCCTTTCCCGCGTTGCTTGGAAACTCATGAATGGAGTGTTTCGCTATGAGCGCGCTGGGCCAAGTCTCCATGAGCCTGAGGTTGGCTTCCTTGTACGGGCGGCGTGGTAGGAGGTGTTGGAGAAAGGAGAGAAAGAGAGGGACCCGGGTTGCGGTTGAATGGAGAAAGATAGAGTCTCGGGACGGCACCGATGCCTTGGCTGGGGTTCCCCAGAAACGACCAAGAAAGCCATTAACTCTGCGGTTTGATATTACGACTCCACTCTGTCGATCACTTTTATTTAAAAAGCAGCGCTTGAGCTGAAATGCCTTCGCACCAAGACCAAAAAACCAGCACTAGCGCAGTTCGTGCCGCTCCGAAGAAAAAAACAGGTTTTCATACTGTCTTTCGGCAACATCCTCCCAGCGCGACTTGTCCATGACTTTCCCTCGGAGTTCGTGATGTTCTCGGAAACTTTTACAACATGGGTCATATTCCCCAGATTAGAAAGTGCAGTATGTTAAGGGGCACCTTTGTTAGTCTCGATATACTCTAAATAAGCTTAGAGGGAGTTGTACACTATTCAGACTTCGTCTTCTAAATATGAGCTCTTAGCTAATACACTACAATAAACCATCATTATAGCTAAGCTTTTTATTGTTCGATTCGAAGCGAGGAACAAAAAGGGACGGAGAAAAAGAAAACGGGAGAAAAAAAAAAGATGAAGAGAAAAGAAAGAGAAAAAAAAAAAAAATAAAAATAAAAATAAAGAAAGAAATACAAGAAAAACAAACAAAAAAAAATAAAATTAAAAAAATAAAAAAGAGATCGGATGTGCCTTCTTAGAAGGCGCATTGGGATTTGAGCCCAATGCGGGGGTCGAACCCGCAGCCTTGAGATTAAGAGTCTCACGCTCTACCGATTGAGCTAACCGGGCAGGTTATGTGATTATTGAAAATATTCGTCCGAAAAGTCTCTTATCTGTCTAAACCGAAAATCCCAAAAAAAAGAGAGGGCGCAAAAAACCGAAAAAGCAAGCGCCTAATTAACCACCGACGTCAATGTCTGAAAATCCAAGACAAGAAGATCCAAACTGGGAACCTAGGATAGATCAGGTTTGATGCGGATTTGATTGACAAGAGGACGACATTTGATACCGATACACCCCTCTGGAAGTTCATAGATGGCTCCTACATCCGTATGCGGGTGTATGGCGAACACTTGATTCCGGGGAAGAACATTAGCCTTCAAGCCTGCTCAGTTCTTCTTGTCGCAAAGGAAAGAGACATTTGGGAACCCTCGATACGCATTGGTTAGGAAAGCTCGAGTAAAGTATCGGAAATTTGTATACCAGTCAAGACACAAGGCGAAGGAAAGACATTCTGACGGGGAAACGTTGAAGACCGGAAATTGAGATCGCGTTTAGTGCTCAGTCGTGTAGGCAACACGCACAACACGCAGATTCTCCTAGTTTCCGTTTCTACCTACCTGCCCTCTCACATAGCTAGGAACTTCTATCAATGTACCGGAGGTCGGCGCGAAGAAGCGCATGTCGACGTGTTTGAGAGCGTGGCAGCCTTAGAGATGGAAAGCTGAAGTGTGCCCAGGCATCTATGAATATGTCCCCAAAGATGAAGTCAAGTTGTGGCTAAGCGGAAGTCCGTTGATTGGATCGTAACTGTCTTCCCAGCGATGCAAGATCTCAGATCGTCATGACGCAGGTACCCTGGGCCATGCTTCGTGAAGCGCTCCTTCGGCGACCCCAATTTACTCGGAGCAGCTGAACATATAAATGATCAACCGGCTCGGGTCCTGTTACTAGGAATAGATCTACTAAGGATTTCCCAAATCTGGACACACAAGATAATATCGAGTAGTCCTATGCCTTCTCCAGGAGCGAATCCAGATCCTGAAGATGGGAGGAATATAAACCGACATCGATGACAGCCTTGGGTGCGGATAGCCAATGGTGCGGGTCCCTGTCGACTTTGGCAGACCGTGGTGAACCACTCCATGGTCAACCGATCGTCCTGGGTCCTTCCGTCATGCCAGCCTGTGTTGTTAGTGGGGCACCAGGCATTGAAATTGAGACAATACAATTGTAACACTTCATGTTGTGCCTACCGAGTACAGGTGGCGCAAATGCAATGTGTAATATGCAGTGAACAGTGGTTGGCGACATCGCTTGGAGGATGCAAATCCTGGTTCTAGAAGTCTTATGGGAAACCGGGGCAATGGAACTGTAGCCGCGCGTCGATATGATGGCAACGAGTGCGGTGATTCTGGGACTTGGGCCGGACTACATAACAATACGGCCTATGCCAATTGCGGCACACCGCAACTCTTCGAGTGATGGGTTCAGTCTTGAGAGTCGAGTTGTGTTCGATGAGTACGTGAGTACGAAGCAGACATCTGGTGGATAATCATCGATCGACCCATTCGTCAATTCGTCAGAAACACTTAGCCTCAAGCTGCCATCTGTCAATGCTACCTTCGTACACAATGCTACCTACCGTAACACCGAAGCCCTCCACCTCATCCCAATCCCAGATGCATTAATGGTTCGTTCCATCTGCTCGCTCCACCAATCTAAGGCAAATACTTGAATCACTTTGCTCAGCCAAGCCGCTCTTCCACCAAATTCCTCTCATGTCGTTCTCGCCTCTCCACTCACACGATTTTCGGTCCAAGCCGACCTGAAGATTCAATGGTGTCTCTCCCGGAATGTTTCGGTAATGCTGAGACTCCTTCGCGGCGCAGATATTGATGTTAATATTGCACGATTTTAGCGGGCCAAGGCTTCCAGATATCCTCACCATGTTCCCTTGACCGACAATCCCATAAGTTGTTTGGTTCCTTCTAGGCTGGCACTAGAAGATCACGATAGCAACAAAGATGTCTTTTCTGGGTGCCCTCAAGCTCTCGGATAGCTGGGATTCCCGTATGCTCCTTCTGGCTTTTCCTGTAATCCCGGCTTTGACATATCTCATCACCTCACTCCAAGCACGACATGATTTGGTACGCTCAAAATCCAATGTCAAAGATGTTGCCAAAAATCCCCCAACCGTGCCATTTTCTATACCTGGCCTCGCCCATACGATACCCTTTGCCTTTAGGACAGTCCCCTATCTCAACAGTCTCCTGTAAGTTGCACAAGTCTCTGCCGCTACTGCTAAGGGTTGTACAACGATGCCGGTTTAGACGCGTAACCTATTGTGGCCGTCACCGGAACCAATGGCTAGTCTGGCTAATTAATGGGGTAGGACGAGTTTTGGAAACATCCCTCTGCTCCTCCGAGTTGCTGGAATGCCCATGTACTTCATCCCTCAAGGGGAAACCATCAGGGATCTCTTCAGGAACTCGCGAGTCTTGTCCAAGTACAGCGTGGGAATCATGCTAAAGCGCCAGTTCGGCATGAAGGAAGAAGACATCGCCGTTTGGGCAGCAGACAAGTCTGGTATCTCCCCTCACCCTGCCCCTGGGTACGAGAGCATCGCCCCGGAAAAGCGCCTTTGGTATATTATCCATCGAGACCTACACAATCAACTCTCTGGATCAGCTATCAATGTAATGACGGCAAAGTTTACCGAGATTCTCACCGAGAGCATGGAAAACAACACTAATATCAAGCATGACTATTGGATGGTAATGCCGGACTTGTACAAGTTTCTTCGAGAAGAGATATTCAAGGCAGCCGTTCAATCCTTGTGTGGTACGGGGCTGCTTGAGCTTTGTCCGACGTTTGTCGATGATTTCTGGGCCTACGACGATGCATTCCCTACAATATTTAGAAAGGTACCGAGATTCTTCGCGCCGAGGGCATACGCGGCACGCGAGAAAATGCTTCAAAACCTGAAACGGTGGCATGAGTGGGCAGCGGCCAAGTTTGACTGGACCTCACGAGACGCTCTTGAAGCCGATTGGGAGCCTATATACGGTTCGAAAATCTCGAGAGCCCGAGCGTTAATGCTGAGGAATTCGGGGATGAGTATCGATGGATGGGCAGCTCTTGACGTTGGATTTGTCTGGACGTGAGTGATCTCAATTATCTAGATGTATTGATTCTCCCACGGTTGCCATCATGAAGTAAAACGCTGACTTATCAATAGGGTGAACGCCAACTCTATCCCGGCCGCAATCTGGGCTGTTCTGGACATTATCCGGACTGAGGGGCTTAGGGAGCGAGTCATGGCCGAGACGGAGCCTTGCTTCACCGCGGATAGCTTTGATTTCGATGTTTTGAGACTCTGTTCACAGCCGTTGCTTAACTCCATCTACATGGAGGAGCTACGTCTACGAGCCGCTGCAACAGTGACCCGGCAGATTGTCACTGATGACTTTCGCCTCGGACGGTGGAAATTCCACAAAGGTGCGAATATTTTCGCGATACCATGGTTCGGCGGAAGGGACGAGACCTTCTGGAACACGGGCAGGATCGATGACCCTCGCGCCGTATCACGATTTTGGGCTGAACGGTTCCTGGAATATCCTGATGATCCAGCCAGCGGACCGATACGAAAGCACGATCAACCTGAAATCTACCAGAGTCCGGGACCGGAGAAGGCCACGAAGTCGATGACGGCGGAAGATGACAGGGACGCGAAACTCGTGTCAACAGGCCTTGAGAGTCACTACTTCCCGTTCGGAGGCGGGCCTAAGATCTGCCCGGGGAGATTCTTTGCGAAACAGGAGATTATGGCAACGGTTGCGGTGTTGCTGAGGGCCTACGAAATGGAGCTCATCGATCCGGTCGCTGCGGAGAATGTTGGTGAGGACATGGCGAGGTTCCCCCTTGGAACCCTGCCGCCTAAGGGAAGCATTCCGTTTAGAATTCGACGGAGACGGTTGTAACGGTGATGGCCAGACTGTTCCTGGCCGAGGACTGTTTGGATTACATTGTAAAATAATTTGATGATTATTATATTAGAGGAAGCCAAGATCTGTCTTATGGACGAAGATGGGCCGGCTTTCAGGGATGGGACGCGAATACCCATTCGCAACATACGAAGTAATCCTGTGGGAATGGAATTATCCAAACGCCTTGACTCGGATACTTGGATCCGAAAGACGAATATTTTCTGCCACCACCCCCCGTGAAAGAAGAGGCTTCTTTTGAGGCCGGCAAGCTGCGAGACCTTTAATGCCCCACGTGGGCAGCCAAGGCCCAAGGGGCAGGGGTCCCGATGATGGCTTGGGCAGTGCCATGGACACAGAGTGGATCCTCTCCAGGCCTTCGAGAATTCAATATTGATGATGATGACGAAGTAGAAGAAGAAGGAGGAGAAGAAGGATCCTAGCACTACTTGTGCCTTGCTGCGATGATCGAGTTCGCGAGAGCCAAGGAGAGCCAATTTGACTCCCAGGATCCCGGTCAAAGAGCCACTGATTCAACCTCACAATTTATATTACAAGTATAACCTCCTCAGCTGCTGTGCGATCATCCATGAAGGACCAGGTAAATGATAATTATGGCATGTGGAGATTTAATTCCGCGGTGTGGAGGTGGGTAGGATTCGCCCAAAGCCTTCTCTGTACCGGGTACAGGCGAGAGAGCCAAGCCAGGCGGTGTTCCGACAGAACAAGGAGAGGATAACCAAGTACCAAGACGAATTGACGGATTTCAGAGCCCTGCCAGGCTCGAAGCGAAGCAATCACAATCGCTAGTGCAGTTTATTGACGGATCAATGTCCAATAAACTGTTCTTCTCTCCTGACCCGCACGAACCCTAATTTCCATTGCTATCTTGTCTCCAAAAGTAGCCGGCAATAGATCGATCCGCCAGTCCACCACCTTGGAAACTTCCAGCTTCTCGCCCAAGAAAAGAAACGATGTCCGGGCCTTGGATGCAACGTTGTCGATGGGAGACTCAGCCCTTCAATAAACTGTCGTCATGGTGTGTTGAAAACTCCCGCAAGGTGGGTTATTCGTGGCGCGAGCTTCCCAGACACCGCCCCATCCCCATCTGCACGAAGTAAGGGCTGCTGGCCTTCCCTGTTCCCTCTTCTCTGGCCTTTTTTGTCCTGCAGGCTGGTTAGTTTGCTTTTGGTAGGACGCTGGACAGTCGGACGGTCGCGACACGAGTGGTGTTGTCTGGCGGATATGCAGCATGACGACCCTAACGCTCTTGGCATTGTGGCGCTGCCATAAGATTAGCGACCTATCGAGGATCTGCAAACTCCCACACATCTCTAGCGCACCGTTTTCGACGAGCGAAGGAACAATCAAAGCAAGGGCCCCTTTTTTCGCGGCTTGTCCAAGTCGCTCAACAGCCCAGTCGTTTTCGGTTCGCCTCCGAGATGTCAAAATTCTAGATGAGTTGAATAGCACTCTCTTCTCGGGCACTATTACACTACATTTCCTTTCGTCTTTCTCTCGTGCGGCACATTATACCAAGGTATACGAAGTATATCACAGTCGAACACCAACAAGGTGGTGGAGGGAACCCTACCAGCCTTGCCGAGAGCTGAACCATCTTCTTCTGTCACACGACTGGTACCTCGCACTCGTACCAAAGAGATCGAACTTCCCAGCTCGTGTTTTGTGGAGCTCCTCTTTCAGCCCCCAAACGGAGTCTTGGTTGCGCCCGAAGATGCTGGGTGACCGAGTGTTTGAAGTATCCAGGATTTAGACTAGCTCAATCCCGCACTGCCCTTTTGGGGGGACCAGCCCGAGGTACCTGTACTGAGTATGTAGGATTTCTTGTTGACAACCAGGCCCAGCCCTTGCCCGTGTCGGGATGGTCCTGCGCCAACATTCGATGCACCTCCCCAGTCCTGCAGTCAAGATGCATTCCGCTGTACTACATATGGCAAGGCAACTCGCCAGCCCGTCCCTTTGGGCGAGCTTTGTTGTCCTTCTTCCCCCCTCCCTCTCGACTCGTGAACAAGGACGACTGTAAATCTCGTTGCGTGCGAATACGCCCAGTTGTCGACGACCCGAAGTATTTCGCTTACACGCAGCAAAGATGATCGGATTGAGGACGGCAATTGTTCCCCTCGCCCTTTCTTTGGGCACCGCCGAGGCCTTCCAGCCTGGGTTTGCTTGGCACCCAGCTCGAGAGACCGATGGCAATCTGGCGAAGATAGACGCGGTCGTGCCGCTCGCGACGGCGGCTCCCGAGCCGAAACATCTCTTCAAGAGAGGAACGGCGACTTGCGGCTACATTGAAGGAGATCCGCGTTAGTTTTCTTTCCCACCATCCCCCCATCCCCCCGAGCCAGACTTGAAAAAAAAAGGAGCTCTGAAAAAAAGGCAAAAAAAAAAAAAGAGCCCGAGATCATGAGCGCAAAGGTCTAATCTTCTCCCATATGTAGTCCAAGCTGTTACTTGTCGAGCTGATCTCGGCGCCGAATGTCTCTATGACTCGACGGCATCCGCCATTGGATGCTGCGCGACGACGAATTGCGACATCTGGACTGCCTGTATCCCAAGGACTGATTCCTCTCGAACTTCGACCGCGGATATGGATAGGACGCGATACTGGTTTGTGGAAATTACAAAGTGCTAATTTGGTTGAGATTGATCTTTTGAGACTAACCCCGGCTCGCGATTCAGCTCCAATGCCGCGTCGCCGCACTGCGCCGTTTATCTCTGGAAGGATCCCAGGTGGACTGGCTACACCATGGCCATCTGTGACTCCGTCTCGACGACTTACTCGTTCTATCCCTCGCCGCTTGCTGCAGTCGACGATACAACGACGACACCTCCCCGAAGGAGCAGTAGCTCAACAACCAGTTCTTCGTCAACGTCCACCAGTCCATTCAGAACGACCTCGACGACTCCTTCCGACAACGGTGGTGGTACGCCCGTTGGTGCCATTGTCGGCGGTGTAATTGGTGGTATTGGTAAGTGAAGAAGCATGCATGTAGTCCGTCATCTGAAGCTCAACACTCCCTAACTCCCCTCTCCTAGCCGTGCTGGTCCTTCTTGGTGTCGGTCTCTTCTTCATCTTGCGAAGACTGAGGCAGAACAACAATGTCCCGCCTGCAGCCCCCCAACCAATGGTCGCCGCTCCTCCCGGCCCGGGACAAGCCCCGCCATACTACTCGCCGGATCCCAACATGAACAACCAAATGTACGCCGGTGCCCCATCGAATGTTCCCTCGATGTACGGTCCTCCCCCAGGCCAGATGCAGCCCATGGGCCCCGACGGCACGACCCCTCCCGGAGGCTTCTACTACGCACCGCCTCCCCAGGACAACCGCGTCAGCATGGCGACCACGACCCCCATCTCTCCCACCTCCTACAGCCCCTCTATTGCCGTCACTTCCCTCGCCAATCAACCCGGCGGCCATCCGGGACAAAGCCCCATCCCCGCCGCCCGCGAGTTCAACAGCCCCGACCAAGCGCTGGCTGCGCAGAACGCGCAGTTCCAACCGCCCCAGCAACAACCCTCTCCCGTCCCTTACAACCCGCAGACGCCGCCCGTTGTGCAGGCGTATGTTCCCCCTACGGCCCAGGGCGGATATCCTAAGCAGGGTGGGATGGCGCCTGTCGAATTGCCTACGACGAGGCCTGACGGTGAGCTCCGCGAGCTTCCTTGATTGAAAGTAGCTGTTGAGAGTGACGGATGACCTTTCTTTTTTTTTTTCTTCTCCCACAATACCCGAGGAAAGGCATGTGCATGCGTGAGTGTGTGTGATAGACTGCATGGCTGAGAGATGAGAGGGTCTTTGGATATAGATGAGTTATGTTGGTTTTCTGAGCTATCCTTTCGACGATTGGAGCGAAACTTTGGTTGTGGATGGATCAATGCATTTAGTTTCTAATGATTAATATTTCAATCTCCGCTTGGATTTCTGTACCTCCCCTCTTGTATTGGTGCTCGCAATGTTTATTGCTCCTGGAAATCCCGGTCACGAGCCCATTCAAGAGATGAGGTTGACCTGCTAACCAGGAAACCCAAATCCCGAATCTGCCTTGGGCGGAATGACCGGGGTAGGAATCGGAGATGCGGTCCAGATCTGGTCACGAGTGCCTGCGAGACCAGCAAGCGATCATGTCCGGCAGAGGCGTCTAATTTACCCAAAAGGCAGCTCGCTTGAAATATCTCGAGAAGCCAAGCGTGGATCCCAATTTCTATCGGTGTTGCGCCGCGCGCTTGCTTGAATCGACCGTCGACGGTTACACTAAGATCTAGAACCCCGCCTTCTTCTAGAAATGATCAATATAGTTACGGAGATTGCCTCCGGAATGGTTCGGTGGGAGAAGGGCATTTACCCATCGGCTCATTCAACCTCTTGTGTGGCACGGAGAGAGCGCTCCCTCGACGCATAAGGCGTTTTCGCACCCTTCGAATCGAATAAACATAAAAACTTGGAAGAGGCCAGCAAAAGTTAGGAGATGAGCTTCTCTTTCATCTAGCACTCGCGCCGATGCGACTAGGCCCTCTCTTCGTCGTCGTTTTGCCTCTTACATTCGTTCTCACAGAAGTTTGAAGTTTATCCGCCATGCGCCTCAAGTCTCTGTCCTTCGCTCTTGCGGTGGGCCATGTCGTGTGCTCCCGTGTTCCAGCTCTGGACGCCCGTCAGTCAAATCCCTGTTTAGAGATTGCCGACGAGATCGAAAAGAACCCCGATTTGAGATATATCCGTCCGTCTTTGGCACTGGGGTGTTTACGGGTCTTCACCTTTGATGTCGAAGAATCCGTCGCCGTGATCGATTAGTGAGTGTTTAGGTTGCTGCGTCGAGTGAGGGACAGACTGCTAACACACATCCTCTAATGGTCCAGTCTTATCCCGATGGTATCGTTTCAAAGTAGCTTGGCATTTTTGAAAGATCCGCCAGAGGAATACAAGAGGACGAGCGGAAATAATGGAATAGACCTCCTCGGAGAGCTCAACAAGATTCGAGAGAAGGCTATCACGAAAGGGTATCCTTCACAATATGACTTCTCGGTAGCTGTCAAATCCCTTGTGAGTTTAAACTTGTTTGGCAGGCTTAATCCCCGTCCGGTCGCCAGCTTCTTTTTCTTTTCTTTCCTCTTCTACCCCCCCTTCCTCTTTGAAAATCTGTTCGTTAACATGATATGTATAGGCCCTGAGAGTAAAAGATGGTCATTTCTCTATCAACCCATGGCGTACTGGACTCTTCAGTCTCATCCAGGATATGTACCTCATAGCGGTTTCCATCGATGGGGTCAACCTGCCCGAGATATACGAGCTAGGTATGTCTCAAGTCTATATTCTTCTCGGACTTTCCTCTAACAAAGATCCTAGATTACTTCCAAGATGAACTCAGCCACGGAAGAGAACCGTCTCCCGTTGCCAAGTTCAATGGAGTTCCCATAGAAGAATATTTAGACAGCCTTCAAGACCGGATATTCTACCAGGATAAGGATGCCACGTATAACAGTCTCTTGGTTGATATCTCGGCATTCGGGGCTGGCGAAAATACTGACGTGGGCCCCTTCCTCTCATCGGGTCTCCATTTCGATATACCAGACGAAACGACGGTAGAACTGGCCGATGGCACGGTCATCACCCGCGCCAACGCCGCGCTCATGACGACGGCTTTTAAAAATCAGTTAATGAAGGAGATCCAGGAGCGGCGAGGCGTCACCAAGGCTGAAGCGATTGCGCCCCGGCAGCAGGATGACCAGCCCTCATGCCTTCCCTCAGAGGGGGTGTCCCCAAGGCCATCATTCTGGCCTCACCCCGTTGAGGAGCATGCGGAACATTATACGGGGCTGTATTTTCTGACTGGAAAATACGAAGACACTGCCGTCCTTGAGATACGAAGCTTCCAGTCCCCATACTCGGGGTACTGGGACGGAGACCAATGTCAAGACGAAGATCTCCACGAGTTCTACCGCTTCGTACATGATTCCGTCAGAACATTCCAGTCTTCTGGAAGACGTCGCCTCATTATCGACGTGATGGGGAACGACGGGGGGTTCGACGCGAACGCGTTCCACATTCTTATGGCATTCTTCAACATTGACGCCGACTACGGCTTCAATATCCGAATGCGCAGCACGCCGGCCGTGAGATGGCTCGCCAACGCAGCCCAGAGCCAGCAAACGAACGTGAGCACCAACTTTCGTGACCTATTCTACAAATTCCCGGAAAATCTGGGACCGGAGAGGATCCACGGAGACGACTTCAGCAAGCTGATATTTCGGAATATTACCGACCGAAACCGGCTCTACGGCTTTTCCAACCCCGGCTTGGGCGAGCCGCTACTGCCCCCCGGAGATATCGTCGTGCTCACAAACGGAATGTGTTCGTCGGCTTGCGCGCTATTCGTAGACCTGGCCACGAACGACTTGGGTGTGAGGTCCGTCGTCATGGGCGGGCGTCCCCTCGAAGGGACGATGCAGGCTGTCGGAGGTACCAAAGGCGCGCTCCTCGTTACTCTAAAAGACACGCAGGATTTCATCGATCTTGCCGTGAAGGCCGCCGGTCTTACTTCGCCTCCGCCGGAACTCGGAATTCCACCACCGGATTATCAGCCGGGGGAGTTGAGGCGGATGGCCACCAACGGCCGAGATGTGTGGAGGGATGGAGCGGAGGTTCCGACGCAGTTTACGGTCCAGGCGGCGAATTGCCGGTTGTTTTATACGCCTGATACCGTGCTGAATGTGGTGGGGATTTGGGAAAGGGTCGCTGATGTCGCGTGGCGCGGTGCGAAATGTGTGCCGGGGTCGACGGCGAATTCGGACGATACAATTAGTGATAGGCGTCCTCCGTTTAGGCAAGGTGGGCTCAGGCTTAACGCGGCAGGGGAGAAGAAGACGAGGGCGTGGGTGCACTATTTCGATGGTGAGAAGAGGAACGCTACCTTGGAGAAGTCTGGTCGCGTCATGGAGGAGTTGAAGGCTTGGGAGTATGCAGCGGATGTCTTTCACGAGAACGGGGATGAAAACTGGTCAGGCACCATAGTATTTTAGGCAAGGCAGTCTTTGGAAACCGAAATGTGATGACGGTTTTGTAGTTCTGAGTAGCATATGGACAGATGAATTCCTGTGATATCACCAACAGGCGAAGGGCTTCTGGTAGGACATCTGCGAGTTATTCTAGGCTCGGGATCCTTCAATTTATACGCCTAGGCCAGTCTGCCACTCAGATGGGCACGAGTACTCTGATCGAACTGAAATGGTGTGGATATGACTCGGCCTGTTGGACCGAACCCTGATCTCGGATGTGGGCCCGCCCCGTCAGGCCTGACCGGGAGGCAGTGGGAGAGAGGTAATCCATAAGGTTTCCTTGAATATAACGCATAAAACTCGAGAGGTACGCACCTTTGAAGCTGGAATTTCCCCGGGTGAGGGGTGTTTCCATGTTGGCCCACCGCGAGCTTGTTCAGCCCAGTTCGATTTCTTGGTCATTTCGGACCTGGCTTTGCTTGGTCTCTAGAAATGGACGAGGAAGTTACCACAAAAGGACAAAAACCACTTATCAAAACACTCCGAGGCGCGAACCTTCGACGTGCCCCATCAGACTTCGCCCGTCTGCCTAGTTCCCCTATAGAGGTCGGCAAGTGGGGGATTACAGTGTTGAGTCCTCCGGTCTCCTCGGGACCGCAGACACGCAGTACAACTGGAGTTTATTTGCGGCTAAGGTCGCATTGATCTGGCCGGCCTCGTGGGGCCGAGGAATGCGTTGGGTGAATGTTAGTTGTAGTTTAAGTTAAAAGTGCACTGATCAACTAATCGCCCCGAAATTCGTCCATTTGCCCTGATACAGCGAGAACACAGAAGCCCAGAAACAAGTGAGATGCTTAACCAGGAGAAGTTAGCAGATGCATAATGTCCCTGCATTTATTGGTCTACCGGATTCTAGTTTAAATCTCCGTGAGCAGTTACAGATCCGATTTTCCCATTCCAAAGGGGTTTCCCACTGGTTTCCCCGCACCAAATGCTCTTCCGTTCCTTTTCCGAAGAAGTCCTCATTCCCTCACGGAGAGCTCATTGCCGCTTTCGCCAGTCTATTGTTCTATCAATTACCGGGTAATCGCAAAGGTGGGGGTTTCTATGACAGAAAGTAGCGTAGACTTTTTTTTCTTTCCCGGTTTTCCTTTCTCTACGTCGAGGCAGCCTCGCGACGAAGTACTCGGTTTTACTCGTAATACACCTTGTTGATGAGAGTGCCGATCTGCTCAATCTCGACGCGCATGTCGTCCTCGGGCTTAAGGTCGATCTTAGGGTTGCGCATGGCGCCGATTCCGGGGCCTGTGCCGGTCATGATGATGGTTCCGCGCTCGAGGGTGGTACCCTGGGAAAGGAAGGAGATGGTGGTGGCGATGTCAAAGATCATCTCCCTGTGAGATGTATGTTAGTCATTGAGCTTGGGGGATGAAAATAGGGGCAGAAGATCCCTACTTGGTGTTGGAATCCTGGACGGTTTGGCCATTGAGTATCGCACGAATGTGAAGGTTGAGTGGGTCAGAGATGGCGGATGGGGCAACCAGCACGGGTCCGATGGGGCAAGATCCGTCAAGACCTGAAGCCGGGAAAATAAGTATCACCAGAAAATAAGCAGCAATTAAACCCTGTAGCATAGATTTTCGAAAACATACCCTTGGAGAAGCACCACTGGCTGTTCTTGAATTGCTGAGCGCGGGCGCTCACATCGTTGCTGGCCGTGTAACCAAGCACGTAATCGAGGGCCTGGTCCTTGGGGATATCCCGTCCAGTCTTGGAGATGACGAATGAAAGCTCGGCCTCGTAATCGCTCGTGCCGTCCTGAGCAATCTTGGGGATATTGATCCTGGCCGGGTGAGGGCCGTTAAGGGCGGTTCGGGGCTTGATGAAGAGGACGGGCTCGTTGGGGATGGGCATGCTCGCCTCCTTGGCGTGATCCCTGTAGTTGAGTCCCAAGCATCGAATAATGGGGACCTCGTCGGAGGACAGAGGCGAGAGGAGCTATAACTTCACTTAGCTTCACAGCTCCATTGGTGTCTTTCTCGATCCTCAATTGAAGTGCCGAGGCGGGGTCATCCGAAATGCGGCCCAGCTTTCTTCGGGGGTTCGGCAAGCTTCCCCCGCATTCTTCTCAAAATGGAAAATGGGAAAATACTCACGGTGGAAATGGTCAGCGCCTTGTCGGTCACAACGCCGTCGAAAGCGTTGCCCGTGACGAGCTTCGCGGTGACGGTCTCGCCCTTCTCGAGAGCAAGACCAAGGTCGGGGACTTGCTTCGCGTCGATCTGGCCAAGGTGGATTTGGCCGTCCTCCTTGGCGAGGAAGCGCACGAGATGGGTCCAGTTGCGAGTCATTGTGTGAAGGGCTCTTCGGGCAGCGAGCATTCGAGGGCGCGAGGGCAAGATAGGATACAATCGGGGAGGACTAAAATTACAGAATAAAGATAGAAGAAGAGTAAGAAGAGTAAGAAGAGTGAGACTCAACGGAGGAGCTGTAGCGACTTACTCTTCTTATATATGGAGGGGTTCTCTGCCGCGTTTAGCTCTGAGGCACATCCCCGCTATAATTAAAGGGCGCGGGCAACACATACAAACGCACTATGGATCTTGATAATTGATCTGCCGACCGGATCAATACTAAACCCCCGAAAACAGAAACGGTCAAGGCGGCTCACTTCGGGAGACCAATGCTGTTCCGACAACAGATTGACTGATGGCATAATCCATTATAAATTCGACGTTAAGACCTCACTTGACACGGACAACCAGGGGCTTGCAGCAGTGGATTATCCTGTCAATCCCGTCAATCCTGTACCTCAACCTGTCTTTGTCATCATCTCGGAGCGTATTTGAAAGGCCTTATAAGTTATGGAGGCGCTCTTTCCTTCTTTTCGGTGGGTAACTTATCACGTTCGGTCTGGTCAAAGTCTACCTGCCGCACCCATCTAGCTGCGGGGGGACTTTCACCTCTTCGGCAGAGCATCGGACAGCAGCCTGGCGCTTCCAGCATGCACCATGGTCCGCCAGGCTTTCCCCGCGTACCCGTAGAGCCCTAGTGCAAAGCCGTGGGGGTCCGGTGCTTCTCTGTTCCCGTTCCCAGCATTGCCCCGAGATCGAACATCAAACTGCATCACTCAAATATTATGAGGCTCTATGCCACGTACTACGAGTCGAGGAATACATACTAGATGAACTTTCGTGATGAAACCAAATTCTGCCAGGCGTGATTTATAATTGATCAGCATTGGGGTCTATTCAGTGCTCCGAGTCTCTCATTACACGAGAACTCAGCTGGCGACCAGCTGGATGCAGGATGCTTGGAGATAGTCCGAAGATACAGCGCTAACTGACCATGCCATGCTCAATCCGTCGAGACAGAACTGCTGCTGAGTACCTTTGTACTTGATAGAAAGTAACGGAATACAAACTATTTCAAGAAGAATGCGCTCGAGACAAAAACTGGCAGAACGATGGGGCACCAGCAACTAACAGAACCTACATCCCAGTAAGACGGGAGACAGGGAGAGGCCCGGAAGACGACTCGGTCCAACACCCGGGACTTCGGTGGTCTCGGCATTCCCAGACCCCGGCCCGGGACAAGAACCGATAAGAACCGCAGATCCCTGAACGCGGAATTTGCCCTTCCTTTACACAGGTACATTCCTCATTTAACAACGATTTATTCTACCCTATCGCAATCTTGCCGAAGTTCCTTGAGCATAGTTCTCCTGTTTTCTCTCGGACTGGCCATGAACTCGAGGTAGTTGTGTTCAGCCAGGTTCTTTGCAATAGATTCCCCTTGTACAAGAATATCCTCCCTCACTATTTCCTTTGAGAATTAAAGAATCAATTGATACTCTTAAACTCGAACCTTTCGGCCAATTCTGCACGAAGCCACACACCAACCAGCTCGTTCTTCTCAGTTAGCCCGGCGACAACCTCACAAGTAGACATTACCTTAATTCTCATTCCCTCTCCCGCACCTGCGCTCCTGTGATAGTTTCCTATTTCCTGACCCTACTAATCTGCCGATATTAATTATATCAAGCCCTAAGGAAATATCAGGTCAGCTAGCCAGCCGATCAGGGCGGAGATGAAATGGGGTGGTTTCCTCCCATTTTGCCGGGGCCAGGAACTGTTCTCAACGCGGGGTCCTCCAATGATCTGCTCTGCGCTCATCTGAGTTGCATCGTAGATGATCTTTCGAATAGAGTACCTGCAGATGTAATATAGAGTAAGAAGAAGAAAAATCGTAGAAAATCATCTTCCTTCGAGTAATTCATCCGGCAGCAGATGCGGAGATTTTGGTTATGTTAGTCTACGATCCCCGCTCTCGCGTCCCTGGTATATATCTTGAGGGAGCTTCCGGTGCTGAAACCATGCCCCGTTTACAGTCCCAAGGGACCGCTTCTCCGCCCAATTTTTCGCAATGACGAGCCTCAAAATTCTGTCTTTCGGTTATGCCCTGTTTGCTCTCGCTGTGGCATACCCTACTTCCATCGAGCGTGCTAGGGTTCTTGGAAGGCAGGAAGATGTTCTCGATGAATACGACTATGTCATTGTCGGCGGGGGAACTGCAGGCTTGACTGTTGGCGATAGACTAAGTGAAGATGGAAAATGTTAGTTGAAAGGAAGAAAGGAACCCAAATCTTGAAACGACTCTGCTAACTAGGTTGCAGACAGCGTCCTCGCAATCGAATACGGCTATCTGGGTAAGTTTCCAGTCTCGTCATAGAGACTCTGTAAGGCTGCTAGTGGCATCCTACTTACACCAAGTGTAGAGAGAGACGGATATCGACCTGGCCGAACGACCTATAACATCACTTCTCAGCCAAGCCCCCAGCTCAACAACCGCACGTTTAACGTCGGCATTGGGTGCATCGTCGGCGGTAGCTCCGCCGTGAATGGTCAGGTCTTCCAGAGAGGAACCGCTGGCGACTATGACATTTGGGGCGAACTTGGAGGCGCCGAAGATACCACATGGACCTGGGAGAATATTCTTGGATACTTCAAGAAGGTAAAGACAGGACCAGATTAAGAGGAGGGATGGTTAAGCTAATTATCAGTGGTAGGGCATCCACTTCAACCCGCCTGAAGAGGAGTTCGCGGAGGCCTTCAACATCACATACGACCTCGACGGATGGGGCCAGGATCCCGACACCCACATCTACGCCACCTATGCGAGGGGCATCACCCCCGGAGTCAGTAAGTTATATATCACCAACTGCCTGCCGTTTTCTCCTGGGGTTTTCTTCGTGAAAAAGTTAACACAACCCGTTAGTCCCTCTATATAATGCCATGACAAATTTCCCGGGCGTGGACGTGCCAGTCGACGGCGCCAACGGCCAGAACGGCCTCTACTGGTTCACAACCTCCATGGATCCCGTCAACTTCAACCGCTCCTATGCCCGCACCGGACACTGGGATGGTCTCGACCGCGAAAACTACCAGCTTCTCCCGGCGACCAAGGTTAACAAGATAGTTTTTGACGGCGATCGCGCAGTCGGTGTTCAGATTCATCCTCGTGATCATCGTGATGACACCCAAGTGATCAAGGCGCGCAAGGAGGTCATCCTAGCCGCTGGTGCTATCCACACTCCTCAGGTTCTGCAACTTAGTGGCATTGGACCTAGGAAGTTGCTTAAGGCGGCGGACATTGAAGTCAAAGTTGACCTTCCGGGCGTTGGGGCGAATTTCCAGGATCACCACTACATCCCCGGCGTACGATTCTCGTGTAAGTGTTGTCCAGTTCGCTTTCTCACTCTTCACCGTTCTTGCTTGTTGCTAATGATTCTTGAAGGGGGTAATGCGCCTGAGGTTCCTGAGCTGAATCTCAGTTCGAACCGAACCGGAAACGGCATCGCTCTCGGTGCATTCCTCGGCCTCAAGGCCTTCTCCCCCGATTTGTTCGAGGATATCGCTACGCGATATGAAAGTCAGGATGCCGCCGAGTTCCTACCAAAGGGCACCGACTGCACCATCGTCGCAGGCTACAAGCAACAAAAGAAGATTTACGCCCGCGCCATGCGCGATAACACCATCAGCTTCCTCGAGTGCATGCTCGGCGGCTCTCCCTCTTGCAGCCCGCAAAACGTCCACCCCGTTAGCCGCGGTACGGTGACGCTCAACACCACTGATCCCGAATCCGAGGTCATCGTGGACTACAGGGCAGCATCTAACCCGATCGATATCGACATCATGGTCGAGGCGATCAAGTTCTTCCGGCGGTTTATTACTACGGGCGATCTAGCTGAGTATGAAGCCCTGGAGGAGGTTCCTGGGGCAGAGTACCAGACCGACGAGGAATTGGCTGAGTGGGCCCGTGAGACTATTATCCCGAGCGTCTACCATCCAGTTGGTACTGCAGCGAAGATGCCGAGGAAGTGGGGTGGTGTTGTCGACGAAGACCTGCTGGTGTATGGTGTCGAGGGATTGAGTGTTGTTGATGCCAGTATCATGCCTACGCTTGTGGGTAGCACAACGAGCATGACGGTTTATGCTATTGCTGAAAAGGTAAGCGTAACACGCGGAACTTTTCTTCTTGTATGTCTGGGCTGCTCGATACTAACCGATTCTGTAGGCTGCGGATCTGATCAAGTCCCGCGCTTAATGTCCCGGCTGGCGAGAGAAGATGTTAACTTTTCTTCGTGTATATGTGGTTCGTTTGTGAGGATTAAGCTATGTAGCGAAGCCCATAGTGTATATAAAGCTTAATTCTTCGAATAAACGTTGACTCGGCACATGTCTATGAGACCACAATCTACCTTTTATCTTTAAGGTTTCTGGCCAAGAGCATGGATGAGTCCGTCCCCTCGGCTGTTAGGGTAAGGCCCGATCCTCATGGAAATTCGCCGCGCGAGATTTTCTTTTCTCTTTGCTTTCAACGATGAGGTATGCATTATGCCCTTCTTGAGAATAGCCATCGATCGCAGGCTCGTGATGCCAGGTGCCTCCGTCAACGTCCCGAGTCTGTGCAACCGGAGGAGGTCCGAAGGGTCCGAGACCCCGCTCCCTCAACGGCGAATCGTTTCGAGGGAGTGCAACCACTGACGAAATATGAGCAGAGAGCAAGGAAATAGCTTAAATGTTATATGTCATATATAACTGACGATCCTAAGGGCCAATAGATATCAGTCAATTGTGGATTGCTTAAGAAGCGAGAGCCCTGCTCATAAGCTGTCCAACGTCAACATCTCGCAAAATCCACAGACTGCCAACCACACCACAGAGCATCAATCACTTCGAACAGCGCACAACTCAGCAAAGATGTCGGATCAAACCCCAGTTCGGGTCGTCCTGCCATCCGCTCAGATCATCCAACTGGCGCCAAATGCTAGCCTCCAGCCTCCGCTTTCGCGCCGTGGTCATGGTCCCGGTTTTGTGATCATCGATCCAGGATATGAGCTGCCGGAGAAGCCATCCACCGAGCCTCCTTCGGAGACTCTAGATCCGGCTCCTCAGTACAAGTGGGCTGAGGAAGGCTACGCCGTTGTCCGTCTGGTTATCCAAGACGCATGTAAGGAGGGCAGCTGGACTGTAGATGAGGGAGCACTTCAGAAGGGTTGAAGTGCTCAGGGGTCTGGAAGAGTGTGACGTAAAGGACAAATTTGCCTTGTTAGGTATGTCTATGCGGGGGGTTATCTTCCCTCTCAGTGTGCAGGGTCATAGGTATTGATTCAATTCCTCTGTAGTATACGGCACCGCAGAGGAATACCCAGCTGCATTTGCGGAGCAGTTGTCAACTTCTCTGGCTGCTTCCAAATCTATCGTATCGTGTATCCTCTTCTCTGCTTCATGGAGTCTCTCATCACCATCAAAGCCGGTACTTATCCATCAAGTAGGAACGGATCCAGCGCCGACCGAAATGCCAGGAGTGAAAGTAGTCATTTATCCCAACGTCTCCTCCGCAGACTTCGTTATTCCGGGAAGCAAAGATTTCTCATATTCTGCGGCTTCGGTCTCGCATAGCCGAAGCTTAAAGTTCATCAAGGATCACATAGGAGGGCCCTTTTTCGACCTGGAGAAAATCTGGGATGAACACACCTATTATGAGTTTGAGGACAGATCTGTTGAGAAGACGATGGGCACCATGGTTTGGAGCCTTACGTTAATGACATCCCGACCGCAAGTCATTTCACTTTTTTCCTGAAACCTTCTCTCTCTCTCTCTCTCTCTCTTTTTTTTTTTTTTTTTTTTTTTTTTTTTTTTTCCTAGAGGCCCACTGTGTTTGTTGCTAATCTCAAGAATTGGTTTGTTTAGATGACCGGTGGCATTGGACGTGCGCGGTTGACCAACTTCTATCAACACCATTTCATCTTCAACAACCCCGATGACTCCAAGCTCGAGCTTGTTAGTCGAACAGTTGGGGTGGACCGCGTAGTGGATGAGTTTGTTTTCGTGTTCACTCATAACAAGGTGGTAGACTGGCTGTAAGTTGAGAAACCCCTTTGAATCCTTCCATTGAAAAAAAGCTCTTGCTGCTCCAGTTCTGTACCAGGGTAGGTGTCAAACTAATTACCACTGGCAGCATCCCCGGCATTCCCCCCACAGGGATTACACTCCACATCCCTTTCGTGGCCATTGTCAACATCCGAGGCGACCGTCTCTACCACGAACACATCACTTGGGATCAAGCCACTGTCTTGAGGCAACTCGGGCTACTACCCGAGTATCTCCCTTTCCCATACGAGGTCCAGGGCTATGAGGGCAAGAAGCTGGAGGTCAAGGTTCCTGTCGCCGGGATGGAAACGGCTAGAAAGTTACAAGACCAGAGGAGTGTGGAGAGCAACACTTTGATTATACCGCCTCAGGCTAGTTTGAGAGAGGTGAAAAGTTCGAGAGACATTTGAAAGATGGATGCGGTGACGATAATTTCACACTTTCACTCCTTTCTGTTGATAGGAAAAGCGAGAGCCTGACTGGTGAGAGTCTCAGGCCAACGGAACCAGGAACATGCGGCACCAGCTACTACCGCTGGCGGGCTCGCGCATCGTACAATGGCAAATGACTGTGTCTCTTATCCAATACCGTGGATGCGGGTAGAAGAGGGGATCAAGGGTGCCCAGTCTGTAAGAACTGCAAGGTAGATTATTGAAGAGAGACGAATTTAAGACACAGCTGTAAAAGTACCAGACTAGTGTCAGCTCAAGGCTCTGAGGTTCAATTGTCTTGGTCCCTTTTGTACGAACACCCCCCGCCAGAAAAAGGAAATAGAACTACGAATAGTTAGAATGTTTCTGAACCGACGCACACTTCGCACACTGACACAACAAGCAGCTTCATTGACGTCTCATTCACTATACCCAACACATCTTCGGATACCGAGTCAGCGGCGTGACGATAGGTCCCTGCCGTCTTCGCTGCGGATAGATCCGATCGGAGACAGGATCGAGAATCACATCGGGTAAAACCGCCTTGCCAAGACGGGAGGTACTTTTGACGACAGTCCATGGATAAAAGACAAGAGAAGAGTGGAGAAGGTATCCTAGACTGCCATGAGAGATGATGATCTACATGTCTCTTCAACAGAAGCTGATGTGGTTTTGACGCAGCGAGTCTGGACGACAAGGCGCACTGGTCACCGTGCGGAAGTTCAGAACCTAGTACGCATCGGGGACTTTTACCTGAGGGGACTGAGCTATGATAGACACAAAAGGAAGATGTATTAAGGCAAATTTATCTAAAGAAGGGTAAGTGCAGTAGGCGTAACAAAAGCGGTCAAAGTGAGATCATGTCTCGCCGGCCATGTACATTAAGGAAAGTCCGTAAGCTTCCCACATTAAGCGAGGCCGAGATTCTGAGTGATACAATCCAAGGCATCCTGGCCGTTGCCGAAGCTAGAACTGAAGCAGACAGCGGCAGTACCCGTAGCCCAGGGACCGAGCGTAACAGCGCAAGCAGCCAGGTTGACGGTAAAGTCGACGAGGCCAGGGTCTGCGAGGCTAGTACACTCCTCGGGAAGCTCCGTAAGACAGAAGCTCTGGAACAGATCGTCCAAACAGGTGAAGACATCGGAAGGCAGAAGCTCAGCCACACAAACAGCAGCCTGCCCGGTGCCGAACACGCCGAGCGCCGTAGTACAGGCCGCAATCGCGGTTACGTATTCTAAGGGATTGGTCAACGTCTCAAGGGCGCTGCAGGGTGCGGGCATTTCAGGACAGCCAGGTCCAGCGATAACAGGAGGAGTGAACGTGGCGGTAGGAGTCACGACGGGCTCGGAGAGGGTAGGCGTCTCAGTCGCAACCGGCGAAGTCGGCGAAGATCCGGAATCAAACCCAAGAGCAGTGTTGATACAATCCAGAGCTTCTTGACCGTTACTCCAAGAAGAGCTGAAACATGTGGCGGCTGTGCCAATAGCCCAAGGACCGAGCTTAGTAGCGCAAGTGGCCAGATTAATAGTGAAGTCGACAAGACCGGGGTCGCCAAGCTCTGTACACTCTACGGGAAGCTCCGTAATGCAGTAGTTGTCGTAGAGATCGGTCAAGCAGTTAAACACGTCGATGGGATTGAGTTCAGTCAAACAGATGGCGGCTTCACCCGCACCGAAGACGCCAAGAGCTGTCGTGCAAAGACCAATTCTGGCCACATACTCCAGAGGATTCGTGACTGTTTCGAGCGTGCTGCAAGGTTCGGGCATTGAGGGACACAGGAGTGGCGCGGTGGGAGTGCTGGTGGGAGTATCGGAAGTCTCCGTAGGCGTCTCGGTCGGCTCTGTAGAGCTGGGCTCCTCAGTAGAGCTGGGGGTTTCTGTAGGTTCTCCCGTAGAGCTAGGCGTCTCGGTTGGTTCCTCTGTAGAGCTAGGAGTTTCCGTAGGCTCTTCAGTCGAGCTAGGAGTCTCGGTGGGCTCTTCAGTCGAGCTGGGCGTCTCAGTCGGCTCCTCAGTGGAGCTGGGAGTCTCAGTGGGTTCTTCTGAAGATGTAGGAGTTTCGGTAGGCTCCTCAGTAGAAGTAGGGGTTTCGGTTGGTTCCTCAGTAGAGCTAGGAGCCTCCGAGGGTCCTTCAGAAGATGTGGGAATTTCCGTAGGCTCTTCAGTCGAGCTAGGAGTCTCGGTGGGCTCCTCAGTAGAGCTGGGAGTCTCCGTTGTTTCGTCAGAAGATGTGGGAGTTTCTGTGGGCTCCTCGGTAGTGCTGGGGATCTCGGTGGGCTCCTCAGATGAAGAAGGATTCTCAGTTGGCTGCTCGGAGGAAGAGGGAGTCTCAGTAGGAGTCTCTGATGGTTGCTCGGACGAAGAGGGATTCTCAGTAGGTGTCTCGGTGGGCTGCTCAGAAGACGAAGGATTCTCGGTCGGCTGGTCGGAAGAGGAAGGAGTCTCCGTCGCGGATGTTTCCTCAGGTCCTCCGGTAGTCGAGGTAGCCTCGGGACCCTCAGTAGAACTCTGAGTGTCCGTGGGTAGAACATCGGTAGTCGGTTCAGTCTCGGAGCCGGTAGGAGCGGTTTCCGAACTAGAAGGCTCGACTGTAGTGTCCGAGGCGGACTCGCTAGGGGAGGTGCCAGTAGAGAGAGTCTCGGTCTCGGAAGGCTGAGAGCTGCCAGTGGTCACAGACGAGAGGTCACCGGTGGAAATATCAGTGGTGGGGGACTCGGTGTCAGAGGGCGCAGAGCTGGCAGTGCTCAAATCGCTGACGTCCTCGGTGGAAAGATCCGTGGTGCTAGGAGTACTGTCGGTCTCGGAGGGCTCGACGGTCGAACCCCCAGTGGTAGGTTCATCGGTAGGAGCGGCAGTGGGCGTTAAGACAATAACCGTACCCGTGCCCGAACCGTCAGTAGGCGTGAAGGTGAGGGTGGTGGGTTCGGGGCCAGGATAACCTCCGCCAGTAATAGTGGTGAAGGGACCAGTGAAGGCAGGCTCAGAGGTCGGCTCAGGAACAAGGACGATGGCAGTACCAGTCTCATCACCGGGGCCAGGAGGCAGGGAGACGGTGGTGGTTTCGCTTCCAGTATGCTGACCCGTGATGGTTGTGAAAGGACCGGTGAAACTGGGCGCCGCCGTCTGAGGTGCGAGGACAACAACAGTGCCAGTCTCATCGCCAGGGCCAGGGGGGATTGTGATCACGCCGGTTTCAGTGCCAGTTTGGGGAGCAGTGACAGTTGTGAAGGGTCCAGTGAAGGTCGACTGAGGGCCAACAACGATAACAGTACCAGTCTCGTCACCATCAGCAGGGGGCACGGTAAAGGTTCCGACTTCAGTGCCCGTTTGAGGAGCGGTGATCGTCGTGAATGGGCCAGTGAACGTCGACTGGGGGCCTACGACAATAACAGTGCCAGTCTCGTCACCGGGGCCAGGGGGCAACGTGAAAGTGCCGGCCTCGGTTCCGGTTTGAGGAGCAGTAATAGTAGTGAGAGGGCCAGTGAAGGAAGAGGTAGGGCCAACGACGACAACAGTTCCAGTCTCATCGCCCTCGCCCGGAGGAAGCGTGAAAGTTCCAACTTCAGTGCCAGTCTGGGGCGCAGTGAGCGTGGTAAACGGACCAGTGAAGGTACTCTGAGGACCAACAACGATGACTGTTCCGGTCTCATCACCAGGGCCAGGGGGCAAGGTGAAAGTCCCAACTTCCGTCCCGGTCTGGGGAGCAGTAAGAGTGGTGAGAGGACCAGTAAAGGTGCTCTGAGGACCAACAACAATGACTGTTCCAGTCTCATCACCGGGACCGGGGGGGACAGTGAAAGTTCCAACTTCAGTACCGGTCTGAGGGGCCGTAAGAGTGGTAAGAGGACCAGTAAAGGACGAGCGAGGGGTCACAACAACGACTGTGCCAGTCTCATCACCAGGGCCGGGGGGCAAGGTAAACGTGCCAGCTTCAGTGCCGGTCTGTTCCGCGGCAATAGTAGTGAAGGGACCAGTGAACTCAGGAGCGGCAGTTTGGGGAGAAAGAACAATAACCGTTCCAGTCTCATCGCCAGGGCCAGGAGGAAGGCTGACAGTCGTGGTATCCGTACCAGTATGCACGCCGGAAACTGTAGTAAAAGGTCCGGTAAACTCAGGAGTGGGCGCAGCTGGGCCAACAACCACGACGGTGCCGGTTTCAGCTCCAGGACCAGGCGGCAGAGTGAACGTGCCAGCCTCAGTTCCAGTCTGCTCGGCAGAAATCGTCACGAACGGACCGGTAAACTCAGGGGCGGGCGTCTCAGGGGATAGAACAACCACAGTCCCAGTCGAGTCACCAGGTCCGGGGGGCAGACTGAGCGTAGTAGTATCCGTTCCAGTATGAACGCCAGCGACGGTCGTGTAGGGGCCAGTGAACTCGGGAGCAGGGGTCTCGGGGGCCAAGATCACGATGGTGCCGGTTTCGTCACCGGGTCCCGGGGGCAGGCTGAGCGTGCTCGTGCCGGTGCCTGTGTGAGCCCCAGTGAGGGTAGTGAATGGACCAGTGAACTCAGGTGCGGGCGTTTCAGGAGAGAGAACAACCACGGTACCAGTCGAATCCCCAGGGCCGGGCGGAAGGCTCAAGGTCGTGGTATCAGTGCCGGTGTGGACACCGGCAACAGTTGTATAAGGGCCCGTAAATTCAGGAGCAGGAGTTTCGGGGGCCAGGATGACGATAGTGCCGGTTGACTCGCCAGGGCCAGGTGGAAGGCTGAGGGTGCTGGTGGCAGTGCCAGTATGGGCAGCCGTCAGGGTTGTGAAGGGACCAGTGAAATCAGCCTCGGAAACCGCAGGATCGAAAACAATAGCAGTTCCAGTAGAGTCGCCAGGACCAGGAGGAAGGTTGACAGTCGTGGGCGCCGTTCCGGTGTAAGGAGCAGTCAGGGTAACATAGGGACCGTCAAAGGGCTCAGTCGTGGCGGCAGGGATAACAATGACGGTTCCCGGTCCACCTGGACGCGAAGGAGGCAGGGTAATGCTAATTGCCTGGGGGCCGCCGCAGTTGTCACATTGGAGAGTCGTAGTAGAGAATGGACCGTTGAAGCTGGGTTGAGCACCGTTGGTCGGCTGAATCCAGACGGTTCCACGACCTCCTCCATACAGAGGGGGAATGGGGAAGCCTCCGTTAGGACAGTGGTTACAGCCAATGGCGGTAGCGGTGGCCCAGGGACCCTCCCAAGTTCCATGACCAGGTCGAATCCTGTGAAGGGTATTAGCTTCTCGTATGATGGGAGGATGCAATGGACAATGACAAGACAGGTTTGCTCATACTTAGTGTAAGTCGTATAGATCTTCTCAATGCAAGTTACGCGGGTAACGATTGAGGTCGGAGCATCACGGACGGTGAGGGTCAGATCATCGTCGATGGGAATCTCCGTGGGACGAGGGCAGTAAGTGTTGATGTCGATGGGACGCTTGACAATATGCTCAGCAGGCTGGAGCTCGACAACAAACTGGCCATTGGGACACTGGTGCGGAGGAGGCGACCAGGGTGCACCTAGACCCGGTCTCCCGAGGGAGAGTGCGGCCCCTGCGATTAGGGAGAGACGCGCGACGAGGGACATCGGTGAAGACGGCGCCCCGAGCAAACGAAACAAAGGAGTGTATGTGGTAGGACAGAAGAAAGAGCGGATACAACTTTGGAAAAGAGTGTGGTGGTTGCCGTTGCTGCTAGCTGCTGATGAGAGGGTTGACAAAAGGACATTAATCCCCGAGAGACTGTCGCCCTTATATAGACGTTTGGATCGCGGAAACCTTCCCAGAACCCCTATCTTACGCCCGTCCTGAGAGAGGCATTCTCGTGGTCGGGACGCATCGTTAAGCGTAAGCTCTGCATGTCTTACACTGGTAGAAATCTGTCGAGGCTGTCTAGATCTTCATCCTCACAATCATGTCATGGTAGATGAGATGTATTGGACACGAGAGATGAAGTTATTGAATCGTCTCAGAGGCATTTGCTGAGACTGCCCAGAGGCGGCTCAGGGTTTCCCTGAAACTACCTCACTAAGTGGCTTGCTAGGTCGAAATCCTGCAAGCCATTACTTCCTGGGCTGTTCTGCTCCTGACCGGTGTGTCATAGATACATGATGGCAGAGGGTACAGAGGTTCATGGATCAGTAGGCGTGCCCCCAACACCACGAAATGAAGTGGTGTCTGTTCATGTGTCTGTCCGGCTCATCCAATAATGGAGCCGGCCTCATCCAGGTGGTCCAAGAGCGATAGTCGAGGCAGGCTATCCCGGGGGGCTCATGCTCAGCTCCAACACTGTCCAGGCCGTTCCTGCAGATGTGCCTAGTGCTGGCGTCTTGCTTGTGTCCTCGCGAGGAACCTAAGCGGCGAGTCAGTCGTGCATCTAGCCGATATCCGCGGAGGGCATAGTTCGGGCTCCATTTAAAACAACTCACGTATGGTTTACCAATCCTGAGAGAAGAGTGTCCACATCTCAATCTCCGAACAGCTCACCATCCATACGCTTGCGGCCGCAACTCGACCTTCTTTCTCCCTTTTCAACTTATTCTATCACAACAGAGGCGTGAGGAACGGCTTTGAGACTGCCACCGTCTCTTCCTCGCTTGCCACTGTCTATCCTCGCGACACAAGGGAAGACTTAGACTTCAGACCGAAGGTACAGCAGCTGAGCCCATGCCTTCTGCCACAACCTTCGTCGACTTGTTGACGTTTCTGCCGCCAATGGACATTGGCATTATCGAAAATGAGTTTCACCACTGGCGTGGCCTAGACTGTACGTGTACGTAGTTGGCAATGAGAAATGAAACCCTCACCTGAGCTACAACGTTTTTGTCATTTTTGTCATTGCTGATTGATTGACCGAGTGACCGAGTGACCGACAGTCTTGTCAATAAGGTTCTGCGGCTCTCAGTCTCTCTCCATTTCACTCCTTCACTCTCTCTCGCCATCCCTCTTGCCGAGAGCCGGGCCGGCCCATTCAGCTCTCACCCCTGCTAACCTTATCACCATCAATCCATATTAGGAAAATTCTACCCGCAGCCGTCGTCTCGACTCGGCCCCGCTAAGCGGGAAAAAGCTCCGAGTCGAAATCTCTGCCGCGGGCTTGGCGCCACCCCCTCCAACATCCGAAAGCGTCCCTTCGAGTGAGACATTCCCACGAAACAGGCTATGCCCACTCAAAATTGATGTCTCTGTCTGCAGGTCTCACAAAGTCCTTTGCAACCCCTGATCCCTGAACACTAGTCTCTCATCGCGAGTCCTTGGGAGCTGGGTTTTTCAGATCTAGTCTCCAGGGGCAACATCACTCCCCTGTCTCCAACACCTTGCCGAGCGCTCCAGGTTTCACCGTCACGTACTCAAGATGTGTTTCCCGCTGTTTTCGGTACTTGCTCATTCATAATACACGCCATTGCCAAGAAGGTCCTCTTCTTCTGAAATCCCAATTAGACAGGTTCGAGGTAGTTGTCTGATTTGCTTCCCACCCTTCTGAACACGCGCCTCTCAACGCCAACATGTCAGACCATATTCTCTTCCGCTTTTCAGTCTATATAAGGCATCTTTTTTTCAGCTTGGCAAGGGTCATGTTTTCTTTTCGTCCCCAGACTTTTGTCATAACTTTCTTTCTCCCCATTCGGTTTTTTAAATCTTGAGGTCTTCTTGCCTTGTTCCATTCCTTTAGCCCTCAGGCCAAGCGAACAAACCAACCTTCCACTCGTTTAATTACTTCGCCAGAAAACCAAAATACCACACCTACACCCCAATAAAACAATACTTTAATCATAATGTCCCTCTCCAAGCTCTCTCTCCTAGCCCTTCCGGCTGTCGTCCTCGCGGGCGTCGCCGCCCCTCCCCCGGCTGACCCTGACTGCACCACCACCCAGGTTCAGCCCCCAATCGTTGTCCCCACGGTCTATCCTCCTGTCAAGGTCGCTCCCGGCCCCAAGGGGGGCTCGTGGGTCAACGTCCACGAGGTTGTCTACGAGAAGTGGGGGCCCAGTGGTGTTGAACCCTGCACCTGGGAGGTCACCAAGACCTGTGACAAGCCCTTCTGCGGTGGTATCCCCACTGATGCTCCCGCTCCTGGCTTCACCAAGAAGGTCGAGGTCTGCGGACATTGTGGCCCCACCCCCATCACGGCCACTTTGACCGTTCCCATTGAGACTGCTGGCCCCAATGCTCCCCGCCCCAAGGGAGGCAACGGCGGCAATGGTGGTAACGGTGGTAATGGAGGCAACGGTGGCAACGGCTCCGGCGCTGGCAATGGCGGCAACGGAGGAAATGGCGGTAATGGAGGAAACGGTGGAAATGGCTCCGGCTCTGGTTCCGGCGGCAATGGTGGAAACGGCGGTAATGGAGGCAATGGCGGAAACGGTGGCAGCGGCTCTGGTTCTGGCTCCGGTGGTAACGGCGGAAGCGGCGGCAACGGAGGCAATGGAGGCAATGGAGGAAGCGGCTCCGGCGCCGGTAGCGGTGGTAATGGAGGCAGCGGAGGAAGCGGTGGCAACGGTGGCAACGGTGGCAGCGGATCTGGATCTGGCTCCGGCGGTAACGGCGGAAATGGTGGGAACGGAGGTAACGGAGGTAACGGCGGTAACGGCTCCGGTGCTGGTAGTGGTGGCAATGGTGGAAACGGAGGAAATGGCGGCAACGGCGGCAATGGTGGAAGCGGCTCTGGCGCCGGTAACGGTGGCAGTGGCGGCAACGGCGGCAATGGTGGAAATGGAGGCAACGGCGGCAGCGGTTCCGGTGGTGGCTCCGGTGGTAATGGTGGGAACGGAGGTAACGGAGGCAATGGCGGCTCTGGCGGTGGTCAGCCCGGCCAACCTGGTCAGCCGGGACAACCTGGTCAACCCGGTGCAGGCGGTCAGCCGGGACAGCCTGGTCAGCCCGGACAACCCGGTCAGTCTGGTAGCGGCAGCTCCGGCAGCTCCGGCAGCTCCGGCTCGGAAGGTGGCAGCAGCGGCAGCCAGGGTGGCGGTAGCCAGGGCGGCTCAAGCGGTGGCCAGAGCGGAGGCAGCCAAGGAGGCCAAGGTGGCGGCGAGCATGTCCAGGTTGCCGGCTCCCCCAAGCTCTTCACCGTCGGTGCCAGCATCTTCGTCGTTGCCCTTTCTACTCTCGTGGCTCTGCCCTTGATGTAAAGACTCTCCTGTCTACATAGCCTCCCCACCCCGCGCTGGCGATAGGCGCGCGTAAGAATTCTATCTCTCTTATTTCATGGATATCTTTATCAAGGCACCGTCCCCTTTCGTAAACACACCTTCTGTACACTACCGAGCACTTCAGGAAAGATGACTTATTCTCACAGCCCTGTAGGGGCTTTTCGTAGGACCTGCAAGTTTCTCGTGTAATGCCAAATTGCCAAGCCTGAGAGAATGATGGCCCGCTCCTGATTTTAACGAAAATCATGTATGTCCTGTTATTTTGCTTTTTCCAAATGTGCTGCCGAAAATTGCAACCACCGACATTAGCCAACTTGGATCATGACAACACCCCTGAACCAACATGCTCGACAAAGCAAAGATTGGTTAAAAAATAGTCAAGATTTACCCATTCTTCCCATTTGGAAAAGCGAGGCTCGGTCAATTCTACCCTGTGAAGTAGAAACCAGCTTCATACTTAGAATACTCAAAGGTAACTTACGCGGCCATCATTAACTCGTTACCTTTTTTCGTGAGATCCTCGCTACCCTTAGCTCTTTATTCCAACCCTGATCGAGTCATGAGTTCTCTGGACCTCTGGCCAAAGCAGCCCTCACGGCCTGGACCCCCTATGTTTGCCTCACACTGCTTTCTTCCAACTTTATGTCTCGCTCCAGCATTAGCTTGCCTCACGTCCTGAGCAGGTAAAGTAGAGAAGCAAGCCGCCCATAAACAAGCAACAAGAGTGAGACATCGTAATATAGCAGCATAAATGCCTACACACCATCGACGTGGTGCTCAAGTAAATACAAATGATGCTTTACTAACCTTTCGAGCCTCACTTAGGCTTAATCTCGTCTAAGACACTGAGTAGGATCGCAATCTTAGACGAGGTGTGCCTGTCCTCCCTGGCGATTCCAACACCCCACAGCAGCCCGCTTGTACAGATCAAGTCTGCATACAGTCTAGGGCCTGACACCTTCCCGCCTTCAAGTATTCACCAACTTCATAGTTCTAACTATCCAGCTCCCTCAGGGAACGCACCCCTGTCCCCGATGGCGCTCTTGCCGCTGTCATTGCACCCCCTTGTCGTTAAAGTCCTGGCCAAGTCCAAACCAAGTACACCCAAAGGATCTCAGCATACAAAGATGGACGGCCGAGGCGGATTCCTAACGCGGGCCGCCAAAGGATCATGTCTGAAGCATTTCTTCACAGCTGTCATACCTCAGGGGTAAAAGAACGTCAACCAAGACGCGCCCAAACTCGCATTTCTACCTGTGTATAGGCAACATTAAGTATCTTAGGTGCCGGGCGAATTTCAACATGGGAATAAGTCGATCGTCATAATGCATGCAAAATTCTGGCTACATGGGTCACCAGAAAAGCAAGTTGGTTCCCACGAGGGCCATGGAGATTACAGAACGCGGGAGGGAGGTCCGGGCCGGACCCTGCAGGAGGCTCAATTTATCGTACCCTGGGAGATCATGAAGATAATGTCGGTAATGAAGAGCTGAATTCCATATTATGGATCTTCTATTTGGGGATCTACCATGAACAGGACTTCGTGAGTGAGCATGAACGTGCACTGCAACATCTAAGCTGGCCCGGGAGTAGCCAGAGCCATCCATGGATCAACGTCGAACCCTCCACTTTCAGTTCTGCCCAAGCGTATCTGGTATATCATCGATTGGCACTCCTCATAACCTAAATTCCACCATACAACGATGTAAACTGGGATCATGGTCCCCTCTCTGAATGCCATCCGGCTGGGTCAATATCTGCAGGGCCCATGAAGTGTGGGCACGTTATATTGCAGAACCCCTGCGGTGAGAGAGCAGGTTGCAGGAAGTGGAGATACGGGATAAGTCCACCTGAAGAGTTTGGCGGCTCCGATCCGGAGGACGATCTCTTGGTCCAGGCACTCCAGCTCTGGCATACTTCATAAGTCCCTGGAGAGCGGATCGGCGCAGAAGTGCTTTTACTCTGCGGCGTCAAATTGTGGAAATCATCACGAGGGGCTATTTGGCCAGCAAACCAACGGGCCTCACATATTCGGCGCGTATCTTCATCTCGGCTGGGGAAGGGGCTGCAGAATTGGGCGTCATCAATCCCCTTCTGGCAATCTCACGAGACGAGATTTGGCATCTTTCATCATCGATGAGCTGGCGAGACTGAGTAATGTGAAGACGGGAGAGGTGAAGATTCTTGGGGAAATGGAGAAGAAGTAGGAAATATCTGGGCAGCGTTTTAACATAAAAAGGCAAGATGCTATGCCTCGTCTTGTCTAGTTGAAGGTGTTCATGCTCATCATCTAGCCAACTCTAGCAGTAACTTACCGTTCGTCTTCTTCCCTCCTGGTTTGGCAACTTGCCGCCGTACACTCTTTTCCCCTATTGATTTCGAACTTTGTATTACGTTCCTTGATCTTTCCATCATTCATTCATCTTCAACATGCGAGCCTCTGCTATCGGAGTTGCCGCCTTGGCTCTTGGACTGACCCAGGCCCTGAGCTTTCCTTTCTGTGTAAGCTTTCCCGAATAAAATGACAAAAACAACTCATTGCTACATTCCTGAACGGAGATTGACACTAAAACACTAAATCCAGGACCCTGACAACTGTTATCGCAACCTCATAGACGAGAGATTTGTCCAGGGTGCCGAGCCTGCTTGCAAGGAGTGGCTATCTGGCACCACAACCGCCGCAATCGCCATCCCTAGCAATTTCGGAAACTGTGAAGATGTCCAGGCTTTCAGCTCAGCTTGCTCTTGCATAACGTACGCGGCAACTGCCACGGATCTCTCATCCAGCTCCAGTTCCACTGGTAGTCCCACGAGGACCAGGACCAGACGACCTCCTTTTACGTGGAGGCCCACGGGTATCCCCACTGGCGGGCCTTCGTGGATTCCTACCTGGAGGCCTACTCGGAGCTATAGCTCTGAGACCACGTCCGCCGAGGAGTCATTTTCTACCGGAGACCCTGCTACGAGTGACATTTCTGATTACTCCGCCGCTTCTTCGAGTTCTGAGGAGCCGGTTGTGACGGGGTCTAGTACGAGCAAGGAATTCACCACTAGCGGCTATGAAACGACCTCTTCCGAGGATATTGAGTCCTCTATCACTGAGGAGCCCACGACAGCTACCGAGTCTGAGGAACCTTCATCCTCTGAAGAAGCTACAACTACTACGGAATCGGTGGAGCCTACTACTACTGAGGAGCCCACCGCTATCGAGGAATCTTCAATTGTGACCGAGTCTGAGGACCCCACTTCCACCGAAGAGCCGGCGACAACTACCGAATCTCAAGAGGCTACTTCTACAGAAGAGTCCTCAGCCGTGACTCTGTCAGACGAACCCGTCTCTACAGAGGACGCCTCAACCAGTACTCAGTCACTGGAGCCCACTCTCACCAAGGAATCCTCGGCCGTGACTCAGTCAGAAGAACCTAGCACCACGGAGGAGCCCTCAATCACGACTGAGTCCGAGAAACCTAGCTCCATCGAAGAAACCTCTACTGCCACCACTGAGGAGGTTACAATTGCCACCGAATCCGAGGAATATTCGACTGCCGCTGCCACAGAGACTTATACCAGCCCTGAGGTAATCACATCTGACGAAGCTGCCACTACTGAGGAGCCCTCGACCACCTACAGCTCGGGTGGGCCCTCTACCACTGACGACGAAGATCCCATCACCAGTGCAATTGAAGATCCTTCCACGACTGCAAGCGAAGAAAATCCTTCTACTACTGAACTACCCACGACCTCTGACACCGATGAGGAAGGATCTACCAGCTATAGCGAGGAGATCATTTCTACTACTACAACCGAGGACGTTTCTGTGACCGATGAGCCCTCCTCCACAGACAGTGCCGTCGATGCCACTTCCAGTCCTTCCTGGTCCCACACTTGGACCGCTCCTACTGGCATCTACCACAACTCCACCACCTACGCCCACACTCGATCCCACACACACACCCGACGCCCTTCTTGGACCACCTCTACCATCTACGCCACTACAGTCCGCACAATCATCGCGTGCCCTCCTGAGAAGCCCAACTGCCCTGCTCGCCCTCACGTAGTCACGGAGGTGATTGCTATTTCGACCACTGTTTGCCCCGTCGCTGAGACTGATAGGGTGTCCGGTCCCGAACCCACTTGGTACGTCGTTCCTAAGCCACAGGGCGGTAACGGAGTCCAGGTGATTGGGAACCATTCGGGTGAGGAGTCCAATACTCCTCATGTCTCCGCGGGCGGCAAGGGCGGCGGCGTCCAAGACACGCCTAACGAGACGGTCAACGATAATTCAGCCGATCTCTCTACTGTCGAGGGACACGGGAATACCGAGAACGATAAGGTTGTTGGCCTATCAGAGGTCGATGCCTTGAATGGCTCGGACTCCTCGACTGGCCCAGATGAGTCAGACGACGCAGGATTTGGTGACATCCCCTCCGGCGACAACCCCGAGATTGGTGAAAACTCCGGAGCTGGCTCCGGATCCGGATTCGGCCCCGACTCCGAGCACCCCGGTACCGCCGCCTCCAATGGCGTCAACTTCTCTCCCAAGCCCACGAGCGCTTTCGCTCCCACTTCTGGTGCTGGCCACCCCATCGCCAGCATTTTCGGCGCTATTCTTGCCGTTGTCGTTGCTCTTTTGTAAAGCTACCCTGGTGAAGTTTGAAGCATAATTTTCAGAATATGGCGAGTTTGTATTAATTTATTCCGTACACACTGGCATTGAAAAAAGGAGTTTTCCCTTTCTTTGTATGATACTAGTAGATTTCTTAAACTTCTACTCATAACCAAACGAATAAAAATGGACCTTTTATTTCTCACGCCTTGAAGATTCGAGTCAATTGACTCTGCTCAAGATAGATCCTCATTCTGAATTGGCTGCCATACTGACAGGTCCAGCTGACGACTTTTTAATCCTCTTGAGCTCTAGTTTATAAGACGTTGGCATCCATGCGACAGAGTATCGCACTTGCTTTTGCTCCCCTCTTTCCTTTTTCCTTCTCCTTTTCTCCCATCATTAGTAGGAGTAGACACTTCCCTGGGCAGGGGCTGATGCATAAGACAGGTCAAGACCCTACCACTTAGACGGCACCCGAGTCAGATGAAGGGTGCCCTTGTGCGGCTTGTACATCACCTTGCAAGATCCTCCGTCCCGTCTTGGCAGGAAAATTCTCCATATCTCAGTAGACGACAGTCACCCTGAATTTCCAACTCTGAATACTAATGTCTCATCTCGAGAACAACGCAAAACACCTCGTTGACGTCTTCATTATATTACAAGCTTGGCTCCCGAGTAACCCCTTCACCCAGAATCCGCAAGCAAGCTATTGACTCGATAATCACAGTCCTAGAAGCCAAGGTTGAGACTGGGTTCCCGTTACCACTTCATATATTTCCACTATGGATAAATGCCTGCCATCCACAAACCACCCTAGAAGGACCAACCAAGTCGACAATCTCGCAATTACAGTGGGTTTCAGAAGTCATGAGTGCTTCGCCGAGGAGGAGCCATATCCCCCGTTCGTCGCAAGAAGCCAGATGATTTTCAAGAAAACTGACATTGAGCTAGGCGTGTGCCATGAACACAACATTATGTAGATTCACATATAATAATTACAGCACAATGAAACTCTGCGATGAGCGCACATCTCCGGACACCGCGCCATCCTATCAACCGGAAAAAGAAAGGGAAGAAAAAAAATGAAGGAGAAAAAATCTCACAAATTCTAGCATAGGTTCGCCATCGTCCATGGTCCTATAAACCTGCTCATGATTGAGCACATTATAACTCCTAAGCGGCATAATGCCTCTCATAGATGAAGGTGAGTCTTACATCCTTGATGGCGAGCAATCTGATTTGATATTGGGCCGGCCTGCCGTCACATCGGATGCGGCTTCTCTCCTCCAAACCCGGTTTGCCAAGTCCGGGTCCATGGAGTAGATAATGTCGACGTTAATGGTTAATGGGTAGGTCATCCCGCAATGCCGCGTGTTCCTTTTCCCCAACAGGGAGCTAGACTTCCAAGACCCGTGGAAGGGGGAACCTGGTGGCCAAGCATCTCCCCCACTATGATGATATTAAGAAGATATTAGGGACAGAGATGGAGGATGTTAGAGAATGGATCGGATGGCCGTCCAGAATATTAACGACTCTGATAGAAGCAGACAACACTCTATGGTTGCCCAAATATTCCGCATAAATACCTCCCTCGTCGCCGTCACCGAAATCCCAGCCTCGCGCCATCCTTCTCCCTCTGCGGCCCACAATCTGCTAAATCCTACCGAATCATCTTTGACGCCAGTGCTTAAACATCTTGTCCATACTTCACTATCCCAAAACTCGAAGAAGCCCTCCACTCGTAAATACAGAACCATGAGGCTGTTCAACATCCTTGCCGCGGCCAGCGTCGCCAACGCCCATACCATCTTCGTCTCCCTAGAAGTAGACGGCCAAAACCTCGGCGTCTCCAACGGCGTACGCACCCCAACCTACGACGGCCCAATCATGGACGTAACCTCCCAGTCCCTGGCCTGCAACGGCGACCCCAACCCGACCATGTCGACCAACACCGTCATCGACGTCAAAGCAGGCTCCACAGTCACCGCCATCTGGAGGCACACTCTGGATTCCGGCCCGGAAAATGTGATGGATCCCAGCCACGTTGGTCCCACCATTGCCTACCTCAAGAAGGTAGACGATGCCAAGACTGCTGCGGGTCCTGGGGATGGCTGGTTCAAGATCCAGGAGGACGGTTACCAGAACGGCGTTTGGGGAACTTCGAAAGTTATACAGAATGGCGGCAAGCATGAGATTAAGATCCCCGACTGTATCGAGGATGGACAGTACCTTCTTCGTGCCGAGATGATTGCTCTGCATGGCGCGGGCACTTATCCGGGTGCCCAGTTTTATATGGAGTGTGCTCAGCTTAATATTGTTGGCGGCTCGGGGTCTGCTTCTCCTCAGACTCATGCCATTCCCGGCATCTACTCAGTAAGGATACACCCACTCGAGATCAAGACTACCAAAAAAGTACAAAGCTAACTTGATTTTTGTGACAATAGGGATCCGATCCCGGTGTTCAAATCAGCGTCTACTATCCTCCCGTGACAAACTATATCGTTCCCGGCCCCAGCCTGTTCACTTGCTAAATGTGGGACGTGTGGGATGTCAAGAAGAAGATGGTATAGGCCCGTTGCACGATATATTGTTTTAGGAAAGCAGGATTTACGCAACTATATAGACTGTAGGAATGGAATGGATTTTCTATTTTGGATATTCTTGATCATAGAACCCCCAAGCCCCCGATCGCGAGAAACCTGAACGGTGAAACTCTCGAATTCGCTTATCTCGTAACCCCCTCCGATGTCTACTTGGGACATCAATGTTCGTGGCGCATAATCTATCTGCAGGCCGAAAACTTTGGATGTAGAAGCTTGGAAAGTTCGATCATCGCCAGTGTATCTCACTTCACATCATGCATTCATCGTCTCCCCGTGTGAGACAACCATTTCGTATTGGATGGTAGTATTTGGAAGGGTGGATGACTGGGGGTGGATGACTGCATGCTCCCATCCACTTGCTCCCGAGTTGACCGACGCTGGAACGTCAAGCCGGGTAATTGACTGACCGGTTGTGCAGATGCATCGCGACCTGGAGGAGGGGAAAGCATGGGTGGCAAGCACACCCCAGTTGACCTAGAGAATCCTTTAAATGCTATTGATATCCCGCCAACACTCGGTGTCAATGTCAAATGTTTTCTACCCAAGGAATGACCCTCCTCAATCCAGGACCAGCGACCTTTCCAACGCATAGTCTTTGAAAGTGGATGCACAAATACCGCCACCAATCCCAAATGCAATCGATCCTAGAAAGCCCTAGCCAAGATCTATATACGGCCACTCAGCTTCAGTTTCACTACCCCAGATACAATAAAATATTGGTATTTACAGCCATCAATGCTTAGCGCTCAGGCTTCACACTTTCTCCTCTTTTCCCCACCTCGCCGTCTCGTCACCCTCTTTCCACTCGTGCTCAATATACCCCAACTCTTTCTTGACCATTCGGACAGTCTCCTTGTCGCCGGTGTTCTTGCCAATATTATCACTAAACATACTGGTCAGCCTACATCTAAAAGGGGGCAGAAGCTCTAGGCAAGATGTCTTACCTGATCTTGATCGCCGGGTTTCCTGCGGCGGAACTGAGCTTGATAACAATGTTCAGAGGTACGGACTTCTTGCCGGTTGATAGGTGGACAAAGTCGTTGGTGAGGTACGTGCCCACACCAAAGGTCGGCAGGAATCCATCCTCCTCGGAAATTTTCTTGTATTCAAGGCACTTTTCCACATCAAGCGAGTCCGAAAAGACAATTACCTTCTTCTCCGTTATGCCTTCCTTGTCGTAGTAATCGCGCACCGTCTTAACGAAGGTAGCTGGGTTTCCTGAATCTTGCCGGACACCAGCAAAAATCTCCGCGTAGGTCTTTATTCTACCATCCTCGGTCTTGAAGCGGTCAATAGATGCTCCGTCTTTGGCTGGGGTCACGGGGAGACTGAAAGACTTGAGGAATTCTTCGGTTCCAAAGGTGTCGGTGAGCGCGATACCGAGTTTCCCGCCAAACGAGTCGACCCAAAGTCGCAGTGCTTGTTCTGTCGCATGCCTGTAATCACCCGAGATGGCAGCTATACCCATGAACCACTCATGCGCGACCGTACCGACAGGAGGGATTCCGAAGCGCATTGCCAAATGGACATTACTAGTTCCGGTCAATTTTCCGGAGAGACCCTGCTTTTCAGCCTCCTTGGAGGCCTTAACGAGACCTCGGAAAACAAGGGCTTGCGTATGGTAGTCGCGGCGCCGGCGTGTTCCGAATTCGGAGAAGGTGCAGCCAGCTTTCAGAAGATGCATTCCCTTCTCGAATGCCTTCTCCTCCTGGCCATCGTAGCTCCAATCCGTATCCATGTACCGGAAATACGCCTCAGATGTCAAGGCCAGCATGGGAATTTCGTAAAGAATGGTGCCGGCCCATGTTCCACTGATTTCCATGCTGACGTCGCCTTGGTCCGAGGGAGAACCGGTATCCTCGCCAGCAGGGGTGAAGGTCATCTTGACCTGTCGTCGAGGGTCGAGACGGAACTCTTTCAAGAATGCCAGGTAATCATCGTCCAGGTAATCGCAATGTGTTTTGAGAAAGCGATACTCCTCATCGGACAGGCTTATGTTGCCAAGCTCTAGTTTGCTCTACGTTAGCAACTCAACTTGGAGCTGACACGCGTCTCGCGACGAGCTTCTTGACTCATACTTTGAACCTGCTTCTCCAGCCATTGAAAAGCCTCTCGTGACAATTTCTTCTCGGGAGTCCTGTTGGTATATGCGTAGGTAACAGGAACATCTTTGAAATATTTCATGACCGCGCATTGCATCGTCAGCTTGTAGAGGTCAGTGTCGAGGAATGAGATGACCCCCTCCGGAAACGGCGAGGAGTTTGAGAAATCCATTATTCTGGTAATTAATACAGAGCAAGATATTCAAAACGGGAGTTTGCTTGTATTGAAGACAAGAACTCTCAATCTTTCTAGAAGCTCTGCAATTGCGAGGGAATAATGGTTCCGTCCAAGAGGGGTTGCGTATGCTGAGACACGAGAGCAGTGGGGCATGGAGTTGTTGGAGTTGAGGTTGTGCTGAAGCCGAAAAAAGGCAGATCACAAGTTTTCGTCGACGTGGTTGAGATCGGGAGAGTTTAGTAACACACCACAACCTGCTCAGGAAACAATGGGGATTTAAAACGGGGGAAAACGCTGACTATTTTAAGGAATAAAAAACATGCTTTCAAATTGTTCCGAGGAAGAATTATCTTATAATTGAAGGAGCCTCTTAAGATTAGGAAGGTCAATTGAGAGCTCTCTGTCATGGGGGCTTAGACACCTTAAACAATTGCAAACCTTAGTAACCTCTTTGGCTCTCTCCTTCGCTAACGTGATTGGTATCAGAGAATGAGCTCATTCAACTGATCATCAACAATTAGTGACATGGGAAATAGCAACCCAGAACACACATAGAACGTCGTGTTGTCTTGTCAGCTTTGGCAGTCGCATCGCTCTAGAGCTTGCGAGAACAGAGCACAGCAATTTGAGGGCGGGAAAGTGGGGTGGAGGGGTAAGCTAGTGCACGGACCAACTCTGAATTGGTCACCCAGACAAGGTACGTACCCCCACCACACCTCTCACAGCCTACAACTCACCGCTTTCGAAAAACCTGGGCAGAAAAAAAAAAAATATTCTTGTGAGGGAACACTAAAACTACTACTTCTATTGTTATGTTAAGCATCGACGTTAATCCCTGGACTCCCAAATTTGCCTTTCCCGCCGCAGCCAAGTCTAATCCCACCGCAACCCGAATCCTGCGGCAAACTAGACGGTGGGAATTTCGGCATCGACACCTCAGACAACTTGTTGAGCGTCTCATCGACAGCAGGATTCACCATGGATATCCACCGCTGTCGTTTCCTACCGTACCCTCCCTCCGCCATCAACGCCATCGCCTTCTCCCATCCCCGTGCCCAGAATGCGGAGCAGGCCAGTAGCGCGCGTCTGGCCATCGGCAGAGAGAATGGCGACATTGAAATCTGGAACCCTCTGAATGGCACGTGGTTGCAGGAGAAGACCATCCATGGAGGAAGTGACCGAAGCATCGATGGCTTGGTTTGGGTCACTGAACCCGATCGTAACCTAGCGGACGACAAGGTTGCCGCAGGGCGCATGCGCCTTTTCAGTATCGGATCGAGCTCAACAATTACCGAATGGGATCTCCTTGAGGGTGCCCCGAAGCGCCATGCCACCGGCAACCACGGCGAGATCTGGTGTCTTGCGGCCCAGCCAATCTCGTCTGGGAAGTCCAAGTCCGACTCCACTTCCCAGATTCCTAGGCTCATCGCGGGCACTATAAAGGGAGAGCTTATTAGCTATACCATCGAAGACGACACTTTGCGCTTTGACAAAGTCCTCGTCCGATTCCAGGCCAAGAAGCATCAGGCACTTAGCCTTGCTTTTGTGAATGCGCATACCGCGGTGGTTGGCTGTTCCGACAGCATTATTCGAGTATACGATATCAGGAAAGGCATGCTTGTCAACACCATGACTCTCGGATCTGATCTCGCCGGAGGAGCTAGGGATATCATAGTGTGGTCCGTCAAGTGCCTTCCGGATGGCGACATTGTATCCGCCGATTCGACTGGTCAGGTCTGTATCTGGGACAGCAAAACATATACTCAGACTCAGCGCCTGCAGAGCCACGATTCCGATGCGCTGAGCCTGGCTGTTAGCGCTGACGGATCTATCATCGCGAGCGGAGGAATGGATCGGCGAACTATCTTCTACAAAAAGGTTACTGGAAGTGATCGTTGGGGCAAAGTGTGGGGCCGCCGATATCACGACCACGACGTCAAGGCGATGGCGGCATTTGAAAGCGGAAATAAGAGCGTGATTGTCTCCGGAGGTATCTAACTTTACTCCTACCCTGCCTTTGCGATTCGTGTAATGGCGTTACTAACATATTTTCCGTTCTTTCCCAGGCCCTGACGCCGCGCCGGTTGTTCTACCTATGAGAGAGTTTGGTCTCGAAAATCACCGAAAACTAGCGCATCTTCCCCAGCAACCGCCACTTTTGAGTGCCACCAATGCTCGGTTCATCGTCAGTTGGTGGGGCCAAGAAGTTCACGTTTGGTCTCTGCGACGACCCTTCGGTCCCATGTACAAGAAATCGCCTGGGTCGGATGTGGACGGTAACCAGAAGTTGCTCAAGACCATCGTTCTTAGCACCGAATCGAACATTTCGTCAGCAGTAATCAGCCCGGATGGATCGTTCCTCGCCGTATCATCCGCAGCATCAGGCGTCAAAGCCTTCCACCTCCGTCATAAGAACCCGACAGTCGCCGCCGATGTCCAAGTCTCACCCGTAAAGCTTCCCGCCGACTTTGCGCAGGTTGGGCCGGCTAGCCTCTGCCTCTCCCCGGACTCGAAATGGCTATGCATAGTAAGGGAAGGCAGCGAAGTCTTGGCCTCGAGAATAGATCGTACAAATGCATCACAGAAGTCGTCTCCAGCCTTCTCGGTGTCAAAATGGCAGCGACTGAAGCGCCTACGGCGGGATGTCCCGCGGCACAAGCTTCTCGGCGGGCTTGGTTCATACGACAGGAGTATTACTCGAACTTGCTTTTCTCCTGATAGCAAGATGCTAGCTACTGCTGACCTAGCCGGATACATTGACACATGGGTATTACGCGGCCCTAAAGTATCCACGGCGGGCAAGGAAGGAGTGGATGATGATGGAAACTCCTCCTCATCTTCATCATCTGACTCGGACGCAGAGGTGAATGGTAACGGAGTGAGCAACGACTCTAAAGCCGGAAACACAAGATGGACACGAAACCCCGCGTCTCGGCAACTCCCCAAGTTGTCGTCGACGCCTGTGGTACTCTCTTTTTCCCCCGATGTTCCTCGTTCTGCGATGACGAATGGAACCTCGGAAGCAAACCCGGATACGAAGGTGTCTGACGACTATACTCTCTTGGCGGTCACAGCGCCATTTGATGTCCTCGCATTCCACCCCCTCCAGGGCTCCCTAACGCACTGGACGCGGCGAACGAGAGGTGCACGTCTGCCGCCAGAAATGCTCGACGTGCGTGACGCCGCAAAGGGAGTAGTGTGGCAAGGCTCACGTGCGTGGATATATGGACCGAGCTTTATCTTCATGCTGGACTTACACGTAGATCCCAAGATCTCAGCTCTGCAAAGCAAAAAGCGCAAGAGGATAGATCCCGATAGCGGAGCCGGTAACAGAATGCAGGTTGGCGCCCTCGGCCCTCACAAAGTGTTCAAGCTAGATGGGGCCTCGAAAGAAGCGCACACGTTCCAAAACGTTGCGCGGAAGGGAGATGACATGGATATCAGTGATGACGAAACCAACGAAGGTACGAATACGCATAGCGGCGAGCTCATTGCATTGAGGAAGAATGAGGGCGAAGAGGAGGAGAAAAATGGCAAGAGGAAGTGGTGGACGACGACCAAGTACAGGCCCATCCTAGGCATTGTGCCTTTGGGCTACTCGCTATCTACAGAGGAGCAGGTCGAAGTCGCCCTTGTTGAGCGGCCTCACTGGGCCATTGACCTACCAGAGCGCTACGTTGGAAACAAGGAACGGACGTACTACTAGATTTTCTTTCTTTTTCTCTCTTCCCCTTCGTAGTCTCCGGGGAGTCTTGGGACCCTGGTTGGCGTGGCCCGCTGTCATAACCGCCTTGGTCGTGAGGATACCCCGCTCGACTTGCGTGTTCATCCGGCCTTGTCGAGCGCGCAAGCCCTTCTTCTATACATTCATGTTATTTATCTGGTTTAGCTCCATAGCTAGAGTGGTGTCGGCATTTCAAGCGGTGAAGAGATTGATTCATCATGAGAGACTAAAAGTTGAACACCACAAAGAGGTCACCCCCGCCCAATGCCCAACGGACCCAACCGAGCGCCCCAATACTATGAAGAGAAAACTGTGAACGATCAAACAAGGACCTTATATGTCCATATGGAAGCTAGGGTGAGGTGACTCGCCCATTCGATGACGCTCTATATGATGCCGTTGTCTCAAACATCCAACCACCACTTACAAACGGTTAACGATATGCATTACGCAAGATGCTCTCCAAGAGGCCATCTACTCTCGCCTCATTCCCAACGAAGGGCTAAAGGTTGGCCCAGAAGCAATGCCGGCCCATTCTCGGTTGCGTGTCCCGTTCCGCACCACAAGCGTTGTGGACATGGAACTCTTTGAAATAGCCCAACTCGTAAACCGCTCTAGAGTGATACCGATTTTCTCTCAAGATTAATTTACATGGCACAGGAAAAGCCCAGTAGCAACCGCAATACGATCGATCTCGGGGACACCAAGAGATAGTACGGCATCCGCGATACCCATATTTTCCATTTTCCAGAAGATATTACATCAAGCCACTTAGAGAGTGAACAGAAGGACGACAGGCATTTCGAGGTGTGTGGTGGAATGATGACACGCCCTTCCTGGCGGACAAGCTACACGCGTGCACTGCCCTACTCCCACTCCCTCTCCGCGGCGGAAAACAGGAGCATATGGAATCACGGGGACATTTTTGGTCCGCTGACTTCCGGAAAGGCCTTGTTAGTGAGTTAGAGGACGAAGGATCGTTGCTGCATGTGTGGAGCTGCCTAGCGAGTTGAGAGATATGTCACCATGTAAGTGGACAAAACTAGGCATGCAAGAGATGTTTCTTGCGGGCAATAAGACCGTAAGGTGAATACCTGACCCATAGACAAATTCCCAACCTAGTCGCAATGAAAAGTTGCGGTAACCGGGATCCGATACCCGGGGGAAAGCAAAGCCTAGAGGTTTACACGCAAGCCAAGGCGAAGTTTTACGAGAGAAGATATAGACTGCCGCTCATTGATGTGAGACGGCGTTCTTGGCAGGGGAGACTTTGGAGAAGGGGGAATTACACCGAAAATAGGTTCTAGAACATCGATGGGAAAAGAAGAAGAAAAAAGAGGTCACGAGAAAGGGAAGTGTATTGTGGGCGATGTTAGTGGAGGGAAACACACAACATCCATGTTGCTACTCCGAGAGCCGTGCTCGGCCCACAGTCGTTTGTTTGTAAAAGGTCATAAAACTGGATTGCGAATGCGGCTCCTGTCTCATTTCTATGAACTTACTGAATTCCCGGAGAGGCGGGAGTAGAGGTCGAGGCAGAGGTAGAAAGAGAACAACGGGACGAGGGGATCCACCTCATAGACATTCGTTTCCGTCTCTACTCCAGTGAGTCTTTAAGCGAGGAAACCGACAGATTCGTTGCCCTGGTACTCATAATGGAAACGAGACAAGGATCAAGTTGAGATCAGATGCGGAGCCGGAACTGGAGAGGTCCTTGACATGGTCTCGAGCCGACCAAAGCTCCCATATCGACCATGCCCATCCGCCCCTCAAGAGCCGAAGAAAAGAAGAGGAACTTCAAACTTACCCCCAACATCAAATAAACGACCCATGGCGTCAAACGAGCGCAAGGAGGGAAATCGATCAAAAGAAAAAGAAATGTCCGACACGGAATGGTTTTAATAATCAAAATTGATATCAATAGACATCGTCGACCTACCCAAAGCATGTGTACACGCAAGCACCCTGACCCGACCGCCTAAGGTCTAACAAGTTCTATATATATTCTCTAAAGTCTTTCCCATTTCCAGATGTAGTTGAGGCCGATCAATTTAGAAGTGGCCCCCAATGAGAGCAACTAGGATTCGAAATAATATATGAGCTGTGGCCCAAAACCAAGAAAGAAAAAAGAAGAAAAGGAAATGAAAGAAAAAAAAAGAAAATGTAAGTGTGCATCTACTGCAGGAGATGCAAGATGTGGAAGGGTGCGACTCTAAAAAGGGGTACGATTTGAAAATTCCAGCAGAGTGGATGACGCGTCATTGTCCAACATCCCCAATTCCTACACTCTCTCCTCCCACATAACGCTCCCACACGAGTCTCACACCCCTTTCGTGCCGGTTTGTTCGTAAAAGTCTTGGCATTGATCGAAGGGGACAACTGATACGTTCGAGGCAACTATTAGTAGAAACTCTATGTTCCATACTTTGCAGACTGATGAATACGTATCACGGGAAACAAACGAGGCGATACATGGCGACGACACCTGCGAATAAACTTTTCCTTGCGGTTCGAGGAGTGAGTACGAGGCAGGATGCTCTATGGGATGGGTTCGCCAAGAGATTCTCAGAACCTTGAATACAACTTTATTGCTAGTATCCCAGTCGTTGACCGACAAGCTGATGGGATCGGAGCCTGGTTTGGCTGTGCTTACCAGCGCTGGACCCTACTCCGTGCTTCGATCCATATTCGAAAGTCTCGCCTGACGACGAAGCAGTACGAAAGTATGCGTAAAGGCTGGAAGAAGAAGGGTATTAGAGTACGTACCCTCCCCGACAATCTCTGTCAGGTCGTATAAATCTGTCGTAGCCGCGTCATTCCGGCCCCAAGCCGTTGTACCCTAAACGGCACATGGGATGGAAGATGGAGTTACCTTCATCCACTTCGTTCAAGTTGAGAGAGTATGTACAGGTACAACCTCTTCTTCTCGGGTTGGCTCCTGTTGTCTCTTGTCTCTGCCATAAGAAGACCTCTGCTATAGCAGTTCGCTTACCCTTGTTCTTGGAGACCTTCGCCATCGACAACGACTCTAAAAGCTAAAAGCGACTTGGGTTTCTTCATTGCTGTGTCTTGACTCTTCAGGAACCACTAGTCTGTTCTGGACCCCGGATGAGGCACGAAGTAGAGCTTGGATTAGTATCTGCATCTGGTATCGTGTCGTGGCTACGGGCGGAGCAAGCTTGGGGGATCTCCGATCAGTAGCACAGCCGTCTTGAGACGATGACATCGAAACACTCGTCACTACCGGGCATCTATCCTGCCCACATGGTAGGAACGAGTAACATCACCACCTCCTACCGCGGGATATATTGCAAAACTGGTAGGGCCCCTGCATCGCTTAGAGTGATGGAGGTCACATCTTTGGTAAACGGCATCTACTGGTATTGATGTCTTCATTTACAATGCGAAGCTGGAGAGAGCTAAAAACTCAACGTTACATGACAATAAAAGAAAATATACGTAAGCGAAGGATTTCAAGTGGAAGATTCCCAAAAGACACGTAATGTTATATCGAGGCCGAGTGTGGGTGTTCTCGGTGCCTCGTAGTCCAAAAAAAAAAAAAAAGGCTAACAGTCTTGAGCGGATGCCCTCTGTTCCACCGGCGATACTTGATTCAAAGCCCAAGTTCGCAGTTCTGAGGCAATTCTAAGCGGAAGTGCGAGCCACAATCATAAACCTGGGCCCATCTTCCGTCGTGCATGGGACAGGGTCCGAGCATTTTCCATTGACAGCAATGCTGGGACTGAGTCGTACCAGTGCGTTCGAGGTTGCAAAGCATTGATATCGTTCAATTGCGTCCGCTGTTTTTGCTGAGCAAGCTTATTCGGAACTTGGGATTCCGGGTGCCGACTTCCAGTTGATCTGAAACTCGCGTTCCTGGGAGAGCTGGTCCAAGCTGGAAACAAATTGATCCTCGTGGACATAATTCAAGTCCGGAGAGAGAGAGATAATTTGTCATTTGGGCCTTGTTAATTGTCAATGGGTCCGGGCATACGTGAGCAGAAGAAAAGACCTTTTTGGGGAGTATTGAAGCTGTGTTAATAGAGGTCGTCAAGATTGCGCAAGAAAGCTGCAGAGGTTCCGCAGGACAGCCTCACATCTTACGAAGTAGTCGTTCAGTAGATCAGAATACATCACTTGAGCCACAAGAAGAGATCTGTTGATGCGAGCGGTATTCGCATTTCTCCGCAGCGATCGCTCGTTTGACAGGTTATGACAGAGATTCCAGGGATGGGATTGAGACAACGACACTGACGCCGCCCTCGCGTCCCCGGCTGAACCGACCACGAGGCTCACGAATCCCGTGTGCCTGGAAAACGGAAGTATACGTACGGCTTCGCCATCGCCGATCAGGGAGGGCCACTCTAGAACACATCGAGGGCAACAAAACGCGTAGGCCAGGGGAGGGCCAGTGGCAAAGATGACGAGCCCTCCACTCCAGGCACCGTTGACCTTTGCCAAGATGCCAACGTCGTTTATAGAGATCGCAGTTGTAGGCACGACAGATGGGATTGTCCGGCCCTTACATATCAATCCTTGGTTCCGAGTAAAGTAGTAGTAAAGGGGCAGGGGCATCCATGGACCAACTTGGCGGGCGGATTCACACGACAGGACTTGCACCTACACATCCACATCACCTTTGCTTGGTTCTATCATTGGCCCAGACGAGGTGCGGCTATTTTTGGGAGACTTTGGTACGGCCTTGACATCAACGATGTTGTCGTCGCTCGCCGCCATGCAGGAGAAGTTTAAACCCAACTGCAGCAGCAAATCGTGAAACCACTGTTCTTCTTGCGAAGTTTTGTTCATTCGTCCTATCTTTGGAAACAAGAAGGTCTTACCGACCACTGGGCAGGGCAAAAGCAGCGCCACTAAGAAAAGTCGATCCTGGACCCAAAAACGGAAAGCAACGCCTCGTCATCGCCCCTTCGCACTTCAACCCTTCAAGCCTCAAGAGCCGAAACACTGGTTGGAGGAGAGGCTAAAGACGCAGCGAGGTACAGCGTACAGCGTGGCTGGCAGACCGGACTGAGGGACCGGAAGTCGCGAATACCGAGAAGAGTGGTGTGACTGGGGATTCGTAGACTTGTTCCGCGGACGGTATAGGTACTTGTCGCATCCGCCAATCCAATGCCCATTGTCCCCTCTGACTCTTGTACTAGTGCCGCGTAAGGTACCGTCTCAGCGAGCATCGACAGCGAGATGCCAAGACTTCTGTACGGTGCGACCGGCAACAGTTTGGAACTGTGCCGAGTGACCATGCTGACGCAAATCCGCATGTCATTTGGGGGCCTGTCCTGCTGTTCAAGTACATGTACCAGCACAGTTTTCTCGTGCCACCAGTGAATGCGTGTCCAATGGGATGTACCCACCCCGCTGGTCTTGAGTATACTTCGTCGTGTACACGAATACAGCAATATCTGATAGTGGAAATACCCGGCCTTAGCCACAACCCCCCCCCCTTCCCTCGCCAAGAAGATGGAGAAACCTTTCCGTATTGCTCGTTATCGCATTCCACGATTATTCATGAATAGATTACTGCGTACTTCGTAGATGTTGGCTATCGGGGGGGGGGGGGAGAAAAGTGCGGAATTAAAGGCCAGGCATGGGGTGAGAAGTGACGGGTGATGGGCGGCGACCAACGTGGAATCATGGGCCAATTGCCAAGAAGGAAGCTAGGCACTGACGAGAGAGGTATTCGTGCGCCGCTGGATCGTGAATGCGAATTGCGAGTTTTACGGGTTCTCGAGGGGGAAATAGAGTCCAGAAACTGAAACAGAGACTGGATGTGTGCAATTGACGGTGAGTACTCATCAGTCATACGAAATACGTCTGGAGTATGTTGGGACAAGGGATAAACGATGGCGCCTGCGAGGGAGGTAGGACCCTTCTTGGCTCGCTCATGACGACTGGGGAACTGACGACGTAAATTACGATCTTTACGACTGTAGGAGAATGGACCAGTGGTAGAGTACTTATTTAGGCAGTGGTGCTCCTCATCAACAGAGGCTCTAATACAAGTAGTCACCCTCACCCGTGATCTACTGTCAATCCATTACAACTGGAAAAAACTGTCTGCCTTGAGGCTATTTACAGAAGGGACCGGCGCTGAAGGCAGGCAGCAGAAGAACCACAGAGCCTGCCAGCAGCGACTTGATAGCGCAGGCAACAGAGCAGCGCCTGCGGAACTGGACAGGTCAGCGATCGAATTGATTGATCCTATCAATCCTCGATCCATCACATCCAGGCAATCCATTCTCAAAGTACTTGTACATGTACCTGTACGTACGTGGAGGCCTTCGTACTGCGCATCGGGTTCAAACAGCCAGTGTTAATGAGACACAGCCTCTGATTGGCCCCTCTCACGCAGCTTACGCGTATGCCTTCGACACCTTCGACCATTTCCCATTTTCCATGCGCTTTCCCCCCCCACAGTGTCCACACTAGGCCCACCACCCATCAGAGGCGTCACTCATCGTTGATGTCCCCTGCCGATTTCTCTTAATTCCCTTTGGTTGAACCTGCGGTCGTGCGTTGCCTCCGCCCCAACATATACCATATACCCGACCCTCATACGCACATCGACGAACCCAAGGCACTGCCCATCTACGAAACACTTTCGACGGGAAAATTCCCTCGACCGCTTCGACTTCGATCCCGAACGTCGGAAATCCTCGCCAGCTACACATCGTGGCCTATGATCAGCCAAGCACGCTACCATCGACGAACGACCTAACGACTTGAACGAATCACTCTTGAACTCCTCGACTACTTCATCGATTCTCTTACGGCGGAGAAGGGGGAAGTGCCGAGACGGAATACGGAATACGCTCATTGATATCAGCCGAGTACCCTAAGCGACGAAGAACGAACTTGGGACAACGACCAAAGGAAACGAGTGGGATCCGATCCTCTTTTGCGGCGAATCTTTTTGTCTACGAAAACCTTCTTCCAACACTCTCCTCCGAATCACTAATTTCCATCGACACTACCGTCTACGATTCGATCCGACATCTTTCGGTCGTACTAATCTACGTCCGCCATTCGTTTCCTCCCACACCATCATCGATACAGAATCCCCGCAAAGTTCCCCGCTTGAAACCACATCTTCTTCGAACGGCATCGCATATTCCCTTCAATTAGCGACCGGGTCCAATCCGTAACCTGGTCCTTCGGGGTCCTCAATTCCAACCACAACCATGGCTGACAAGGCACAGCCTAACAATGGGCCCCCAGAGGGGCAAAGCTTCGACGAAGAATGGGCACGAGATCTCAGGATACGGTTCGAGTCCCTACTGCGCGACAAGCGCATGAACGAACTCCGGTCATCACATACGCGGCGCTTCGGATCCCCAGGACCTCGAGAATGCTCCTCGAACGCCAACCTTCGGGCGGCGGCCTCTAGTTCTTCTGGGAGGCCGTCAACATCCCATGGCCATTCGACACCGCCCTCGTACTCGTCCATCCGACATATACCCAAAATCCCTACCCCTCCCAACCAGAATGATCGCGAATCTCAAAAGTTTAGGAGTTTGATGATTAGCCTTTCCCTCACCCCGACGAAATATGAGAACCCCGGCCTCCTGGACGAAGCTTTGCAAATAATTCCCCTCGACAGGATATACGCCGAGGCGGAGGAGGAAACTCAGGTTCTTCAAGCCCAAGCGGCGAGTTTGGGTCAGAGCAAACCCGAGTGGGGTTACCAAGATTGCGTAATTCGAGCACTTCTAAGGTACGTTACTGCTTATGATCGAGGATGAGTCTTCATTTTTTTTTCTATCCTCCTGCCCTCTTGTAAGTGAGTTCATTCCTCTGACTCGCAATCATAGGTGGTTTAAGCGCTCCTTCTTTACCTGGGTGAACAATCCACCTTGTCCCGTATGCCTCTCACCAACAATCGCCCATGGCATGGCGGCCCCGACACCAGATGAAAGTGCCTGCGGCGCACTACGAGTCGAGTTGTACCGTTGCTCAGCGGCCGACTGCGGCGCGTTCGAGCGATTTCCCCGATTCGGCGATGTGTGGAGGTTACTTCAAACAAGACGTGGCCGCGTAGGCGAATGGGCCAATTGCTTCAGCATGCTCTGCAGGGCAGTTGGCGGCCGCGTTCGTTGGGTCTGGAATGCGGAAGATCATGTTTGGACGGAGGTTTATTCCGAGCACCAGCAGCGATGGGTCCACGTTGACCCTGTCGAGGAAATCTGGGACAATCCGAGGCTCTACACCGAAGGCTGGGGCAAGAAGATGTCCTACTGTGTTGCGTTCTCCATCGACGGAGCGGCTGACGTCACCCGCCGATATGTACGAAAGACGGAGTACGCTCTCCCGCGCAACCGATGCCCCGAAGAGGTTATGCTTTTCATCATGCAAGAGATCCGCAACATTCGCCGCGCCAACATGAGCAAGGATGAGAAGTACCGACTCCAGAAGGAGGATGCAAAGGAGGACGCTGAGCTGAGGGGCTTTGTCGTTGCTTCCATCGCGATGGCCGTTACCAACTTGGTTCCTGGTGGTAGCTCCGACGGCGGCTCTGGCTCTAGCGACGATACGAAGAGACCAGCTGAGCAGCCTGCGCAAGCGTCTGGCGGAATGGCATGGTTGGCGTCTAGCGAAGACCCGAGGATGAATCACAATCAGTATCCCGGATATCCTCCTCAAGACCCCTCCCAGCGAAGAGATCTGCCATGAGTTGAGCGCTGGGACTGACGTCCCTTGCGATCCTCCTCCCCAACACTGCCGCATTACTCGCTGCCAGCCCTCCGATTCGAATCCCTTTGAGACCAGCTGCCACCCAGCTCGTTGGTAAACATGATCTCTTAATACCAAAAGGTGGGGAATCGATTGGGAACAGGCATCTTTGATTGCCGTTTGCAGGTCCTGCTCCACCGCCAAGGAACTTCACAGCTTCCGTCGACTGCGACAATTTGTCTTTGACACCCCCCACAACGATCTTCCAACTGGATCTGGCAGAGTATACTCGGCTACGCCCTACCTACTGCCCTCAACTTCCACCGCCGTGGACGCCGACGCATCCTTCAAACTAGACCTTACCGCCTAATTCCCCAGCGTCATCATTCGATCCTCGCGACGTCGTTGATCAAGGCCCCTCGCAATCGCCTTGGAGAACTTTTCCACAACTCTTCATACAAACCCAAGCGTCGGCAGTCCTCCACTCCTTCCGACTGCTTCCACATCTAATTCATTATGTTCTGTCGATCATGGAACCCACAGTTCGGCGATATATAAATGTATACACCTTAATCTCGCGCTCATCATCTACGGATCTATCCTGCACGCCCTATCAGGACTCGCGCCACTTTACAGCGATCTTTCTTGGCATCTAGCCTTCTTTTCTTTTGTCTCCTTTTTATTTTCTCCCGGGATATACGGTGGTGCGTGTATACGTCATGGCCAGATCCTGGCCTAGCGATTCGAAACTTATATATCTTTCCTTTGTCAAACTTGGGGGGTGGGGATGAACGAGAAAGAGGCGCGGACATAATGTTACGCGCATTTGGCATATCATTTTGCGGCCAGGCGGAAAAGAGGCCGGGAATCGGCGTTTCTGGATTATCTTTCTCTTTTTCTGTTTTTGATGTATTCTATCCATCCATTGCCACATTTGTTTTCTTCCTTTTCTTTTCAAGCTTTTATTGGCAAATTCAGGCATTTGACGATGGGATGCAAATGCAAAATAAGTTGCCTTAGAGAAAAGGCAACGTTGGTAACAGGTAAACGGGCGGTGCGCCCTCGAGAAGGACCTGGCGAAGGTTCCTTTTGGGAGCCCGAGTATGGGATATGGGGCCTACCTTTAGAGCTTGCAATACACTTTTGTTCTTTTGCAGATGAACCTGGCCTTGGAGCTTGTAGGGTGATCAGTTGGTTGTTAATCGTTGGCCTAAGGCTTCCTACAAGATCGACTCTGATACTCGGGCTATGGCTGTCTTTCATGGACTAAATCCACGGAGCCTACTGAGAATAGAGCGAAGTCCAGATGCTGTCATTGTCATCAAATCGCCCACGGCGCGCGCTATCAACAACCCGTGACAACTTCCACTTACCCTCTTCACCTCCAACCTAATTACACATTAACCGTTCCGCCTCGAACATCTTGACACTTGAATCTTCGCGCCCCGTGCTCTCAGGCCGCGCACTACACTACTTTTCAAGGAGAAAAGTCTAAGCGAAGAACAGCTATACTAACTGTTTATCAAAAGTGTTGCCAGTCGGGGAGAGAAGGGGGAGATAACTGTGGCCATATTAAATTTTACCGGCATTTATCGTGAGATGGGGGGGCGGTCGTGGAAGGTGGCCCTGCAAAGTCGGCAGTCGTTTTTCTTCGGAAGTAATGTAGGACCGGTGCAGGAACGATAAGGTTGTAACGTTTTTTTTTCATTGTATCATTGTCTATCGGGGGGTAAAGCGTTGGGGGATGGAACTGGAACTTGGGGGCGGTTAATATCATAGTTTTCGGGGCTTCTGAATGGAGATGACTGCGTATGCCATAGATTGATATGTTCTATTTATGGGCGGAGGCAGGGTGGGGGAAGATCTGGATAGTTGGAACCGGTTGGTTTGGATGGTGTTCTAGGTTTCTTCTTCCTATCGATTAGATTGTTGGAGGGATTGGGGAAATATATTGGCTGTTTTGAGATATCTCTGGGCGGGAGTTGATGTTGAGACAGCCAGGCCAATGTCAGGCAAGCAACTGCAACAGTCCACACCCTGTAAGATTCATTGATTGGCTTTGTCGCCATCGATTAGTCCTCGAAGGTTCCCCATCAACCTAGCAAGAAACAGCACGGGTTTGTTTATACAAGGGATGGGAATCTATATGTGAGGATAAGACCACCCGAATTGTGAAGAGAGGCTCTCGTCTTGAGCCAGATCAAGTGGTGAGACGGAGTTCGAATCCAGCAATACTTCGTGAAGGCCGGTCCGGTCGATTCGACCACGACTCGGTTCGTCAAGATGAACTAAATGGAGTCGGATTGCCAACCATTTCACACAATTTCCTGATTCCTTCCAAAATTCCAATTCCAGTGAACGAAGTGTCACGAGGCAGGAGGGAGTAGGTCGGGTGGGCTGTGAAAACTTGTGCCGTTGTGCTTGTGCTTGTGCCTGCGCAGACGCTGGACGCGACCACTTAAAGCGACCACTGCTTCTCGCGTCGAAACGCGCCGCGCTCGTGCCTCATTTCCAGCCCCCATCAAAGAATAAGAACACAGGAACCAACCTGAATAAAACCTCACTCACAAACTCATTTACCTTTTCAAATATCTGCTCCCGTCTACGAAGTATTTTAGTATCAAACAAACAACCAGCCGACTCTACTATAGATCTAATCCATCCCTCAACTCGACAATTCCTAATTCCTCGAAATATCAATCGTCCAGCCACCACGACTACTACTGCCCTCACCATCACCACCACCACAATGACTCTGAAGAGGAAGCGATCCATCTCCGAGCTCTCCAGCTCCCCCGTCCGTCCGTCCAGCTCCTGTTTTACCTCGCCCGCCTCCAGCATCAATTTCTCCTTTAACTCGTTCGCCGGACCCTCGTCTCCCACGCCCATGGCAAGGAACCCTGCCCACCTCAATAGCCGCACCCTCAAACGCTTCCGTGACAGCCGCCCATCAGAGGAAGAAGTGCATCGTAAGTTTCCGTTTCCATAGGTGGCCCCCTAATCGTTGTCAGCGTCGGCGTAAAAATACTCACCGTCTATTCCTCCCCGACAGAGCGCACCCTCGGACTATTATACTCAGCCCAACGACAACAGCAACGAAGTGCCCACCCCTTCGTGACCACATCGACTTCCTCCGTTCTGCCCAACGTTCCTGCACCTCGAGGAAATAACAGCACTTCGGACGCCAATAATAGCGTTAGTGCTCAAAGATCACTGCATAGTTTCTGGAGGTTACCGTCGGCTCCAACCTCAGTTGCGTCAACTCCCTCGGTGGCCATGGATCTGGTGGTTTCGACGACGTGTGACGACTGCGGTGTCGATTTACCGATGTCTAATGATGGATCTGGTGCAATGGATGTTGATGGTTGCAGTCTGACGGTGGCGGACTATACCTGTGCACCTTGCGGGAAGAAGGTCTGCTCGCATTGCTCGGTGACAAATCTAGAGGAGCAGCGGAGGTGTTTGCAGTGCGCGAGGAGAAATGCCTGGGCTGGCAGTGTTGGATGGGACACCGTCTGGTAGTGCGAGCAGGGAATTCTCATGTTTGACAGAATTTGGAAGGGATGCAATGGCGTTTCACGGAAAGGGTTAGGGTATGCATGCTAGGCGTTTTCGGTTACGGGCTGGCTCGCTTGAGAATACGGATGTTGTACTTTTCGCATTCGCATATATGGAATAGCTTCCGGAGGAAAATACTCATCTTGCTTGACCTCTGGTGTCGATGGTTGCGTCCAGAGGATGCCAAAACCGCCCATTGCTAGGCTCCAGGATAGGCATCTAACAAGGATCTAATACTTCTGTGAGAACCAATCAGTATCCGCAAGTGTTTTACACAGTTGAGTTAGCTCCAATTACATCAACCTATAAATCAGTCCAGCACCGAAGTGAGCCGATCAACACTACCCCTCCGTTTGTGACACATGCGGCTGCTCGTCATGCACTGATAACAATAAGTCGTGGATGCGGGGCAGCTCATCCGTGCTGCCTGCCCGTACCACCTTCCACTGAACAGCGGACCTTAGACCAGCTCCTCTCCTCCCTCCTCCTCAACTAATCCCTTCCTCTCCATTCTAAATTACTCGAGTAAGCTCCAATATCAATCTTCACATCCCCATAATCCCTCATAAAGGAGACATTTCGTGAGATCAGAACACCACAATGGCGCAACGAGCTCGACCAGCAAGTCACGCAGATAGCTGGTACAAAGGCAACCCCACCATCCTCTCCGAAGAGCTCGAGGGCAACCTCGAAGACGTCCCCAGCTCTATCAATGATAAGGATCTTCCCATTCCCGGCGCCAGGGTTATAATTGCACCGTATGTGCCTCCTTAAAAATTCTGCCATATCAATTTTTTTTTTTTTTTTTTTTTTTTTTTTTTTTACCAACCTCGACAACCCCCATCCCTCTCGCGAAGCTCTTTGATCCGACCCACACATAGCACCCAAGAGAGCTAACCTGAGCAAAACATCCTCGCCCCCCAGTCACGCTGGCTACGACTACTCCGGCAAGTGCGCCGCCTGGGCCTACAAATGTCTCGATCTCAGCAAAGCGAAACGGGTCTTCGTCCTCGGCCCCTCCCACACATACTACCTCGACGGCAGCGCCGTGACAACATGCGGCAAGTACGAGACGCCGTTTGGCGACCTTACCGTGGACAGGGAGACCTTGGCGCAGATCAAGAAAGATGGCGGCTTCAAGGACATACCCTTTAGGAACGACGTCTCGGAGCACTCGCTCGAGATGCATCTACCTTATATCTACAAACGGATGGAACAGACCTTCTCCTCCCCCGAGGAGTTTCCCGTCATTGTCCCGTTGCTCATTGGTGATAATAACAAGCAGGAGGAGAAGGAAGTGGGGGAAATCCTCGCGCCTTACCTCGCGGATCCGGAGAATGCCTTCGTCATCAGCTCGGACTTTTGCCACTGGGGCCGTCGGTTCGACTACGCCGTGTACTCTCCAACTGCCGAGATAGATCGCCTCGAGCATCTGTCAAGGTCGGACAGGAGGGTTCAGGGGCGGCCTATACACGAGACTATCAAAATGCTGGATCAACTTGCTATGGACGCTATCGAGACGGGCAAGCATGACAGCTTTTTTGATAATCTTAAACAGACGAAGAATACGGTATGCGGAAGGCATCCCATTGGCGTCGTCATGGCGGCGCTGGAGGAGGTTGGTAGGCAGAGGGGGGAGGAGGGCAAGTACAAGTTCAAGTTTGTGCAGTATCAGCGGAGTGGACTCGTTGAGGATGTTCATGACTCTAGTGTAAGCTATGGAGCTGCGTATGCGATCGTATGATGCATCGCCATAGCAAAACTACACGCAAGCCTTTTTTTTCCCCTCTCACATTCCTCGTGTTACCGTCGTATGTTGAAGGCTTGAGGGATTCGGCAACGAGACGCATCCAAGGGTAACTATGTGGATGGATAGAATAGAGATATCGTTTCACTAGATATCTGAAAGTCACGGGGTTGTGAGCCCAGCTCTCCCGTCTCTCTGCTTCTCATCTTATCTTTTTTCCAACTGCCAGTCTCCCGTCTCCACATTAAGGAGGATAATGGACGAAACCTCGAGCTTTAATATCCGGCGTGGGGAGCTTATGCTAGAACCCCCGCGGGCGGCTCGATCTCGGCATATAAGATGGGACAAGTATTATAATCCACGAATTTATACACGGATCCTTTCAGACGGGAGGACTACATTTCGCATTTTGCCTTACACATATGAGATCTAACGATGCCGAGAATGCACTATGAAGCAAGCAGAGAAGGAAAGATTCACCAGCCTTCAATAATGAGAACGAGGACTGCTCTAGGATAACATGCTCCGACCCTCCCCAGGAAAAAGAGGAAAAAAAAATCCATTAATTGTGAGAGCTCAATTATCTGTCCCGAGCCGGGGTCACAGCAGGTCGATCTCACGGGAAGGTGGAGACCAGGGAGTGCTGATAGTAAGATTTGCGCGGGCAAGCACTGGAAGACTACACAGGAACGGTCAGGGGGAATGAGAACGGCCGAGTGTTGGGCCATTCGAATGTTGTCTTGGGCCTGACGTTTCCGGGAGAAGGGGGGGGGGAGAAAGCTCGACATTTTCCCGTCCTTAGAATTCCAGCTTGTGGGTATCGCGATGGCTGTGAGGCGGAGTGATGCATCGCGATGTTCCGTCCACCATCTTAGCCTCTAAAGTGTGGCTGGGGTGCTCTGCGGCTGAGTGCGACCTTTGAACTAACGTGTGCAGTGTTGCGTTGTCTTTAAAGACCTATTTCGTCATGCTCACCCGCAGCTTGGGAAGGCTGTCTGCAACATCCCTAGAGATGACGAAGAGCTGGCGCATTGTTTAAACTCTCGTCAGTCAAGAGTACGAGGGTTACGAGAGGATGGCCTGCGGATTCGGGTAAGCGTTACTATATGCTGCAGAATATTGCTGATATTTATGAAGTAGTACGGGGAAAGCTGAATGCAAGTCAGCCCTTTTTTTCCTCCTATGGTTTCCTTTTTCGTCAGCGAACATCGCAAATATGGGCGAATTACGAGCACCGCTCTCGATGCTTTGCGAGGATGAAACAAGTACCGCTGTCCCGCACCCTGTTTCCCCCTTCAAAGTTTCTGACGCACGCCCGCAATGCATTGGGTCTCTCGTTGCTTGTAGTGTAACAGGAACAATGTGTGTGCATCACACTTTCCGAAGCTGGCGAGACAGAGAATTTACTGGGCAGGTCCCAGGACCGAACATGAGGCCGATTCAAACACGCCTGCGCCGGTACAACATAAACAAGATGTTCTTCAGTATCTCGAATCAGTTAATAGCCTAGTCCCCTCCAAATGCCAGGCAGCATGGGCTTAGCGAGATCAAATCTAGACTGTTAACCCCAAGTTGTATTTCGTCCTTTGAGCTTAATTCCAGGGTATGTAAGGCTGGTGTATTATTCTTGTGCATTGTGAAAGTCTCCAGTCTTGAGTCTTGATACCATTTAGACACCTCGATGTTTGCGGTACAAATGAGTATTTAATACTTCGAATCCACATCGAGTCTGCCAGAAACATGGTCGTGGACATCAAATGACCACGCACCAACTTTTAGTTTAATCCTGACCCATTCAGTTTACTTTCATTGAAGTCTATTTAAAGTGTAGAGCAAGCATTGATTCCGTTCTGTCCATTGTCATAAGAAGAGTCTCATTCGATTCTGTCTTAATACGGCTTTTCGGACAGTCCATCTCGGTCACAATTTTGGCGAAGGTCCTTCGCCCACTTTTTTGTCGCATCTCAGTCAAGCCGACCCCTGGAGACATTTCGATGGACGATCATTCCAGCAGGGGAAGCTGCACGGGTGTTTCTCGACTCTCCATTGACCGCATTGTGCGCCAGTCCACCGTAACTTTCGGGATCTCAAACCACAATTGACAACTCCAGATTCAGAGCCTGGCGCCAGCGAACAGACCGAAGAATCGAAGAATCGATCAATTGCCTTGGCGCCGTGCCATCGTGTAGCTCGATTGTACCCGTCAGTCTCGAACGGCACTCGCAGATTTAGTGCGGTCAAATCAAGTCTAATTTTGTCAGCCGCCACACCACAGCCTCCTTTTTTTCGTGTGTTTCGATGCAGTGGATGCAGTGTTCGTCCAACGAAAGTTCTCCGTTGTAAGATTACGAAGAAGTACACAATTAAGGAACAGTGTAGCCCGACGCCCCGTCAAGCGGAAAGGGTACCTCTGATGTACCTCAGTACTCTTTGTACCCTCCATCCTAATTACAGTAACATTTAGCGTATTTTCCTTCGCAGTCCTGCACCTTTCCTGGCCAAGGACTCCTGAAAACGGTCGCCGCCACCGCTGCGTCAAAATCTCACTTCCATCTTCAACATCGTATCCGAATAATTTTATCGTCTTCAGTCTCGAGTCTCGAAATTCCACCCATTCCTTTCTCCCCGCTCGCTCGACCTCATCGATCGTTAGCTCGACGACGATAACGATAACCCGCGACTTCCTGCGCGGCATCCTGCCTGTCTTTCAGGAAGGCGTCCCCTTAATCCAGCCTCGGAGCGCTGAGACGCAGAACTTCCATTAGCAAACATGAGCAATGTGAGTGTTTATTTATGTCTCACCTCGTCTTCAATTCGCCAATTTCTGGGCATCAAAAGGGGACGGGGTTGTGTCCAAGGCACGGCGTTTCTCTCGCCGGGCGATGGCTTAATTCGTGCCTGCCATACGTCTGAATTGTATTGCTAACAATGTCTATAGTACGGGTTAGTATCTAGTCGAGCCGCCGCACGATTTTTACGCCGATCGCAACTAGTCGTGGTCCTTCCCTCGATCCCCGATTGCTAACCGAGTGAATATCAACAGATACGGAAGGCCCAACCCCTTCGATGATAGGGAATCCCCCGCGCCAGGCGGCGGCTATGGTGGCCCTGTGAGGCCGCCTCAGGCGTCCTTTGGCCAGGGCCCCTCTCCTTACGGTGGTCAGAGGAATAACAACAACTACGGCGGTATGGATGAACATCATTATTGCTTCCCCCTAGACAGCCCGGGCTAACACAGAATACTAGGAGGCAACAACGTGGAGATGTCGAACCTCCCTAGCAACAACGGTTATGGCGGCAACGGCGGAGGCTATGGAGGAAGAAACGACGGAGGCTATGGCGGTGGAAACAATGGCGGTTATGGAGGAGGAAATGGTGGCGGCTCCACATCCATTCTTGACGAATGCAGCGAGATCGATCGTGGAATCGAGGAGGTCGAGAGAAACCTCAACCAACTCCGAAACCTCCACCGTGCGGCGCTCAACGATACTGATACCAGCGGCGGCAGCCGCGTCAACCGTGAACTCGACGGCCTATCATCCGACACCATGACTCTTTACCGCTCCCTCGTCGAGCGTGTGCGCAAGATCAAGTCGAACCCTGCCTCGCGTCAAGGCGTAAACTCGCGCCAGGTGGAGCGTATTGATGGCCGTTTGAAGAACGCCATCCGACAGTACCAGGAGATTGATGCCGATTTCCGAAGGGAGACCCAAGCCCAGATTGCCCGGCAATACCGAATCGTCAAGCCTAATGCGACTGAGGACGAGGTTGCTGCGGCCGTTGATGGTGCCGACGGCGGCCAGGTGTTTACCCAGGCACTTATGCAGAGTAACCGACAAGGCCAGGCCACGGCCACTCTCAACAACGTCAGGGACCGTCACGCTCAGATTCTCAAGATTGAGCGCCAGATGACCGAACTGGCCCAGCTCTTCCAGGACATGAATACTCTCGTTGTCCAACAGGAAGTTGCTGTTGCCCAGATTGAGCAGAAGGCCGAGGAGGTTGTTGAGAACCTTGACAAGGGTAATGAGGAGATCGTTACTGCCGTTAAGACTGCCAGGGCAACCCGCCGGAAGAAGTGGTGGTGCCTTGGTATCACTGGTAAGTTTGCTCTTTGCCCTCATCTAGGCGTCATCTTTGCTTCTCTGGATACCCATTCTAATACTTGTTTGTAGTCCTCATCATCATTATTATCGTTGTTGCCATCATCGCCTGGCTGGCGGGTATGTCTTAGACCCCTATCACTGCGCCCGACATGCGCTCTAACCCCTTCTTCTAGCTACCGGCCGACTCAACACCGGCGGCGGTAATAATAATAACAGCAACAACAACAACAACGCTAACACCAACGCCAACACCGACGCTAACAACGGCAACACTGGCAACACCGGCAACACAAACAACGCCAAGCGAGGCATTGCTGTCGCTAATGTTGAAGCCGTTAGCGAAGTGCTTGTTAAGACGATTCCTCATGTGACACGACAAATTTCCGAAACCGTTTCGAGAGCGAGATCCATCCAACCTGGAGCGAGGTTCAGGAACCTCCAGTAGGCTGGTATAATCCAGTGTATCTCTTAAATATGGGGCAGGGTGGGGTGGCATGGCATTGCGGAAACTAAGATAGGAACACGCACAGGGCTGTGTATGCTGTTGCCGCACGACTACAAGGGCGAGGAGCCGTCCCATACTGGCCGTATAAAAGAAGTATCAGGGGGCTGCTGTGCCTTGATATAGATGGGTTCGCATGTCCTTATGCGACTGTTTCCAACCTCCACCTTGTTTTCAGGAGTGGAAATTTTCACTGCTTGCATCTTCTTTGTTATTCTGTCGTGCGGGTGCTTTACATGTTCTCGTTCGGAGGAAAGGGGAAATTTGTCTCGTCTACCATCATTATTCGTTTCCTTGTGTTTTGTTTTCCTCCTCGTCGCTGCCTCATCTGTTCGTTTGTTTTTTCTAGCTCTTGTTCACCTTTTGCGTTGCTTTACGTTTCGTTTCGGGGCAGCTACGACTTTCTGGACCATAGGTATATTTTAGTCTTGTTTAACATCGGCAAAGGTGAACTTGTTTTTTTTGGTCTCTTTTAAGGGTTTAATCACTTTTCGTCTCCTTTTTGGTAGTTCAAAAATTTACATTATCTTTCTCCTATTATTGCGTATTCTACTCAGGGTGGTCCTTCTGCATGGGCAGGAGGGTTTTGAATCTGAAGAAATGTGTTTCATGAAGTGGGAGAGTGGGAAAGCCAGGCTTGGACGAGCAACAGATAGGATTGGGTACTGTGAAGGGAAGGTGTGTGTGGGTGGGGTTGAGCGGGAAGAAATGACGAATATGGCCTACTTGCTTCTTCCCATGCTTCTAGAAGAGCTTAGAGTTCTCTTGGATCTCTTGGAACGGGCCGGGGTTTCATTTCTTGGCTTGGCTTCCAGGGAATATTGTTCATATTTAAGAAAGATGGAATTGCAGCATTGTCCAAAAGTTCTACAGTGCTCGTTCTATAGATTATGGAAATAGAATTAAAAATACTATCGTACAAAGTGTTGCAAATTGCCAGAGATGGCCCCTAGATATGAGATGTTGAATGAGAAGAGGACGTAGCGAAATAGACGACTGGTTCATAATAAACACAGCAGATTCATTGTGACTCTGTCGTATGCCCTACCAGACGGGCTTAAGGTGTAGTAGAAAATCCGAATGTGTGTCGACGGGTGAGAAAGGTGTAGGCAATGGCGCTGCCTAATGCGACATGTCCGGAATGCAGTTCCGAACCTGCTATGAGAGAACCGCTCGGTGTCTTTCGATGCAACCCGAAACGGGTCTGGTCTCCGGGGATGCCCGCAACCTAGTATGTAATGGAATTGTGGCCTTGTCGACTTTGCAGCCCGTCCGATCTCATGGAGGGAAGCAGGGGAGGGAAGCAGGGAAGCAGGGAAGATCGAAATGTCGGTCGTTGAGTTTGAGTGTGGCGGCGAGAAAATTAAGCGCGTTCAATCCCCCACTTTGTTTCCCAACTGGGCTTTCTCATCCACTCCGCTCTCTTCGTAGACATCTCCTTCGGTATGCGTCATCTCCCTCCTCCTCGACTGCCCCGCTTCTACCACCCTTCTCATGACGACCATGTGCTTCTCGAACTGCTCGATGAGGGTATTATAGTCCTCCTTGCCCTCAGCCTTAGCCCCGCTGCTGCTCTCGCCCGATAGCTCAATATCCGCCTCTTCTCCTTCTACACCCTCGATCTTAAGCATTAGCGCACCGGGACCCTCGCCTTGTCCTTCACCGTCCTCCATCTTCCTAAGCCCCGCGTCAACGACGGCCCAGTCCGCGCTAAGACTTGCGGCGTGAGCTACCTTCCAAGAACCATCTTCTCCCGGAGCCAGGTCCAAGAGTATAGACCGTGAAGCCTCCTTATCAGCTGATAAGGGATCAGACGTCGAGAGTGCCTGTGTGAGGAGGTCGGGATCGTCGTCGGTAAATATGTAGTGTATGTGAGGATGGTGAGTCGTCTTGGATGTAGCGTTGTGTATTAACGTGAATAGTGGTGGTAGGTCCGGACCGCGCTCATCGGAGGCTAGGGAATGATCATCATGGGGGCGGTCTTCTCCGCGTTGGCCTTCGGCCTGAGCAGGCTGCTGCCTTGAGGCAGCAGGAGACGTTGGTCGCGGTTGGGAGTCCGCCGCGAGGGTCGGCTGTGGCGGATCGGGAGACGTCATGGCGAGATCCTCGCTTGGAAGAATGAGGATAGCTCGGCGGATCGGTCGGTGGTGGGGATTTGTGAAAGACGGTCCCGTGGAAGCATCGTTGCGAAGGTGTGAATGGCGAGATGATTGCTGAGGCATATGTCCGGATCCGGCATCTGGGACCCGGGGAGCTTGGGGTGCTTATCTTATCGGCACGTGAACTGCAGGGGTCTTTTGCGAGCATGATGCAAGCACTTCGAACTTTGGATTGATCGCGTCAGATTTCGCCTGCTCGCCTTTTATGAATCTACATGTGATATCATTGTTTCAAATTCTTCGGTAAATTACTTTTGTTTACTTCTTATTCGCTTAAATTTTGTGAAATCTCCCTGCGAAGCTGTTGACGTTGATGCCTGAGGTGAATATGTAATTTGTCCCGAACTAGTTCGTACTTCGGCGACCCCTCGGAGGTGTCAACTTCGGTAGCTTTAACAGTCGTGAATGTCATGGATTCGAGACCTGGTGCATCGGTAGTACCAAAAGTATAAATTAATCCCTTGTAAGACGATGAACTAGACCCTTCTTTTACACGCAACGCCCAAGAACACCTTCCGAGTACCCAGCGATCATAAACAAACAGCAGGCCATAACTCGTTAACATTTACTCCTCGATTTCAGAGGTGGTTTCGTTGGCCGGGTCGTGCCATTCGAATCCTGCGAGCCAGCTTGTCAGTGGACACGGGAGAAAACACTATCTCAAGCCTGAACATACTCTGGCGGCACATGGGACACTGTCCCTTGGCGGACTCTTGTTTGATCCATTCCAAAATACAGTGCTAAATTCGCGACGCGTCAGAAGTTAATCCCAGGTTCATTATCAACAATGAAGCGTCATACCATGTGGAAATTATGCCCGCATTTTCCGGATACTGTAGATCAATGACGCTATCTCGTCAGCTATACGTGTAGTGGGTTTCGGGGTGAGGACTCGAATGATCAAGACTGACATATGCTGCAATCATCGCCAGGATATTTGCAGGTTGGGCAGGTTCCATCGAAATGGACTTGGCAGATACCACAGACGTCGTCTTCGGGGAGGTCCCATCGCCAAGTGGCCACGGTATTCCACTGGGTAATCTTGACCTTCATCTTTGAATATGACCGTCAATAGACACTTATACAGATGAGAAATTGTATCTATGCCTGTGATGTTGGATAGTCGTCTTCCTTTAAGGGAGGGAGAGCATTAGGTGTGGCAACCAACCAAACAATGGATCTGAGGTCATCTCCAGTGAAAATGAGAGAAGATTGGTCAATTGAGATCTTCAGCCTGGCAGATGGCGGCAGGTGGTAATAGAATTGGAAGTGGCCCAAGCTCCACTCCACTTGCTCTCATGAGGAAGTCGAGCCCATTTTCCGAATTTCTCACGATCGACCTCTGACAGTGAAAAAAAAATACATAGAACTCTCTACTTGTGTACACTCTGATAACACCACACCCAGAATTATCAAGAGAGTCCAGCCCTTGCTTTGAGGAGGATCCTAGTGCAGCTCCCCTGGGATGCACTGGAATACCAGTCAATTGCATTGGCCTCATTTTCTCTGGTCCTCTATCAGAGGTGTCCAGGTGAATTTATCCTCACCAGAGATAACCACTGTCCCCTCTCTCTAGTGACCTGATGGTCCGATAACCCGATAATCCGAGAATCGTTCTCCTCACTTCATTTCAACAACCCCCTAATACCCTATATACCCTCTCACATAATGTCTGTCTCCGTCCTCTTTCGCTCTCATCGCACGGGGCTCCGACAATTAGGATGCCGAACGACTCGCGCCTTTCTCGCCGCTTCCACCCGACACTTTTCTAATTTCCTCGTCACCCCCCAAGAACTCGCCGACGCGTTGGAGAAGAACCCTCCCAAAGTCAGCCCCGAACCCAAGACCGTAGCCGTCTGCGCCGCTTGGTTCCTCCCCAACGATGAACGCACAGGAATCCAAGTCTTCCGAGAGACACGCATCCCCAAGGCGCGCTTCTTCGACCTCGACAAGGTGATCAATAAGCACTCGCCTTACCCCCATATGCTCCCCGATGCGAAGGAATTTGCGCTAGCGATGAGCGAGATCGGTGTTCGACGGGATGATACGGTTGTTGTCTACGATACCAAGGAGCTCGGCATCTTTAGCGCGCCGAGGGTCGCCTGGACTATGAAGCTCTTTGGTCATCCCAAGGTTCACCTACTCAACAACTTCAAGCTATGGGTTGATGGAGGATTCCCAATCGAGACCGGCGAACTGTACAGTGTTGACTGCTGTACCTATCCGATCCATCCTATGGATGAGTCCAAGGTCGCGTCGTTCGAGGAGGTCAAGGATATTGCGTTAGATTACGGCAAGGAGGGTGCTGAGGGTGTCCAAATTCTCGATGCCCGCCCCACTGGACGCTGGACTGGAAAGGACCCGGAACCCCGACCTACTATTTCTTCTGGGCATATTCCCGGATCTATCAGCCTTCCGTTCAGCGCCGTTCTGGATCCCGAGACCAAGGCTTTCTACGAGCCGGAGAGGTTGCGGAAGATCTTCCAAGAGAAGGGAGTCGATCCCGAGAAGCCAATTATTTCGAGTTGCGGCACCGGCGTAACCGCTTGTGTTCTCGAGACCGCACTTGAAGTTGCGAGCTATGGCTCCGCGGAGTCGAGGAGAGTGTACGATGGTAGTTGGACGTAAGTTTAAATCTTGGCCTTATATGTCCTCGCGACCCGCGGCCTTTGCTAACTGTTCTATGCAGAGAATGGGCGCAGAGGGTCACTCCCGCTGAGAACCTCATTATCAAGACCGAAGGCGAGGAGGATGCTGCTTAAGACGAGAATGGCATTGCGCAGACTACGTTGTGCTTTAGTCGTTCGCCCATTTCGCAAGAAGATTTCCCTTTTGTTTTACCCTAGTTTCATGGACCCATTACAGGATGCATCGATGTATGATACTTCTCATCTCTTATATGACTCGAGTTAGAAGGAGGACGTGGTAATAGAATGTCTCCCAACTGCAATCCATGCTTGGCTTAATGCTCTTGTCTCCTTCTCCTTCAATGAACCCATACACTTGTTTTCGTCCAGCCTGAGCGCCTGCAATTGTACGGAGTACAGTTCTAACGAGGTATCCTAGTTTATATTGACTTGGTGTACTACATTTTGCCAATCAAAAGGAACTAGTTTCTTGGAATTTCTTTTGCATAGCCTCTGCCTCTAGCAGTGACATTTTCAAGGTTGCGGTACTTTCAATTCTTCGGTGTAGTCACTAGCCACAGGAGACTGTCACACTCACCGAGATTCTAGCGCCGGTGAAACCCCATTTCTGCCTTAATGCCTTGAAAACAAGGTGTCACATCACTTTAGGGCTCGGGAACCGACCACACCAAAATTTACCATTGGCTGCCCCGCCAAATCCATCACAAAAAAAGTTGCATTGAACGGACCTTGAATCCATCAACCTCCCAACACCGACTTTTTTCCCCCCGACACCCAGCCAAAAACAACGAAAGTTTCCTTCGCCCCCTCCTTTCGAATTCCCCGAATTTTCGAATCGAACCCCAAATCGACAAAATGGCTGACCGTGGTGGTGCTCCCCGTGGCGGTGGTTTCGGATCCCGAGGCGGAGACCGTGGTCGCGGTCGTGGTCGTGGCCGTGGACGCCGTGGTGGTAAGAGCGAGGAGAAGGAGTGGCAGCCTGTGACGAAGCTCGGCCGTCTCGTCAAGGCCGGCAAGATCAACAGCATGGAGGAGATCTACCTCCACTCTCTCCCCATCAAGGAGTACCAGATTGTTGATACTTTCCTCCCCAAGCTCAAGGATGAGGTCATGAAGGTGCGATATTCCCGACACTCTATGTTCTTGTCAATCCAGACGGCCGGGGAGACTGGGCGATACCAGAAATTTTCGCGCCTGGATTGATGGGGTAAAACCTATGTCGAGGGTAACTCTCGTGTGACTGTGGCTGACCATGTTCCTTGTCCCCGAAAACAGATCAAGCCCGTCCAGAAGCAGACCCGTGCCGGTCAGCGAACCCGATTCAAGGCCATTGTCATCATTGGTGACTCCGAGGGCCACGTCGGTCTCGGCATCAAGACCTCCAAGGAAGTCGCTACTGCCATCCGTGCCGCCATCATTATCGCCAAGCTCAGCGTCATCCCCGTGCGACGAGGATACTGGGGTGCTAACCTCGGTCAACCCCACTCTCTTCCCTCCAAGCAGAGCGGCAAGTGCGGTTCCGTCACCGTTCGTGTATGTAAAAGTCCTTTCCCCGGATCCTGCAATGCGAACACACCCTAGGTCCTATTCCAAAAGTTGGACTCAGTTTGTTGCTAACACTACTCCAGCTCATTCCTGCCCCCCGTGGTACCGGCCTCGTTGCCTCCCCCGCCGTCAAGCGATTCCTCCAGCTCGCCGGTGTCGAGGATGCCTACACCTCGTCCGCTGGTTCGACCAAGACCCTCGAGAACACCCTCAAGGCCACCTTCAGCGCCGTCTCCAGCACCTACGGCTTCCTCACCCCCAACCTCTGGAAGGAGACCAAGCTCATCAGGAGTCCTCTGGAGGAGTACGCCGATACCCTTCGGGAAAAGCGTTACTAAGTTGTTACAAAGAGGGGGAAATTCGGCGTTTTTTTCGTCCTCTGTTGTTTGTTTCTCATCGCGGCGCACACTTCACACATAAACTCCTCCCATCCGTTTTATCTCAGTTCAGTGTTGCATGGGCGGCTGGTTAGGGCATCAGGTTGGGGCCAAGGCAGAATAGCTTCAATCTGAGAAAAATAACTTCTCGGGGAAAAAAAGAGATGTTAAAAAAATTACCTTTCGATACTGTGCCATGGCATTGCTTCCTTGTTAACTTCCGAGTGCATATTTGAGCTTAGATTTCTAACTACAGGATACTCACGTTTCGAAGAAATGCACGTCGAACATACGACCTCTATTAGTTTCGATCCCACGATGGCGAGCCTCTCCATCGCCACCTCTCCCCACTACATAGACCACCGAGACAATCACGAGCGCGTCTGAGGCTAAACATCCACCATGATTACATCCCCCTCTGTCCTCCCACGCCAGCATCTATTTTTCGGTGTGGCATCTGCCATTGTCACATCCGTATCGACCGGGAGACCCTCGCCCCTGATCTCAAGCTGGGTCTCAGGCGTCTGCAACTCTACGGGCCACCGATTGATGCTGAAATACTGTGGAACTTGCCCTCGGACCTCAGGCTTGGCCCATCCCCATATGGCCTCGCGTCTATGGATCGTCCGCCGACTGCCATCCTCCGTAGTAAAGGCCGTCTCGACAGTCAGCGGCCACAAGGGATTTTTGTACTCGTTGCACTCGGTTACCATGTTTTCGGCCACGGCCCGGTCGATACGCTCCTCGTCCCCAAGCTCCCTACTATCGTCGTCCCATTTGTCTAGGTAATTCTTGCGGTCCGCCAACTTGATGACATCCTTGGTTTGCATCGGACGGCCGGCCGGCAGCTGGACTCGCTTGGTTTGCCTGGAGGGCAATGTTTCTTCGGGGCTCGATTGTTCCCAGCCGAGATCGCATCGCCTTTCGACCATGCGCTCCAGGGTCCATGTAAGCTCGCGATGCCCTTTCTTGAACTCCTCCCTCTGTCCTTCAGTGTATTTGGGTAGGTTTGCGAGTCCTTGTTCCATCTTCTTAATAGTGTAGCCGAGACGCCACGCGGCGCCACGCACCGCCAATCTAGTGCGAATCATGTCTTGTCCCCTATCCTTGTCGTCGGTTTGCAATACATCCTCGTAAGTTCGAGGCTTAGGCATCGTCGCCAAAGCCGCGCTATTAAACTTGATTGTGTCCTCTGGGTGAAGGGTTGTCTCGGGTCGATGGTAGAATAAAGCACCCGTTGGTGTCTCCTCGATTCTATCACGGTACGCCGAGGCGCTGGAATCAGTTGATGTCTCAACCCCCCTCGCAGTCGCTCCCGGAACCGTCCTGAACTTACCGGATTCTCCCATATCTCTCCAAGTCCCCTAGATACTCCTCCGCCTGGCGCTGATTAGTGAAGCTAATCATGGACACGGGTCCACCCACGTCGCGGTTGAGCTGTTCCAAAAGTTCCTCAATGGTCACGCCGCCCTTATCAAAGCAGGCATGTCCGCTACTATCGTGAACCAGTGCCTGCACGCGGTCCATAAAGATGCGTTTTTCGACAGTCCAGTCCTCGGGGACGGGCTCCAACATGCCCTCGTTCGTCGAGCGATGGGAGAGCTTTTCCAGGAGTTGCAACTCCCAATCACGCGCATCTAGAACGGCCCTCTCCCTAAACTGCGCCTTGGCGGCCCGCTCAGACAATCTGTAAGTTCCCCTTTGCATCTGGATGTCTTCCCTACCCCATTGGACATGGGCTAGCGTGTCCGTCATGAAAAAGCGTGGATACAAGCGAGAGGCTGTCTTGAGGTCACGCTCAATACTCTTCAACCTTTTCAGGAACATCCAAGCAATGTATCGCACCGCGCCCACGTCGACTGCTATGAACGGCCCCTTGAAGTTTGTTGTTGGTAGGGGAGGGCGACCGGCCGCCAGCACTCCAAACCTCGTCTTTGAGTGTTGCTCGAGCTCCGGCATCAACTTCGTAGCCCACATCTCGTTGTTCTTGACGAGCATTGAATGCCAGAAAACGTACCCCTTGAAGGAATCAACGTCATCCTGAGGCTTGTCATGCTTCAGGGAATCCCAGATGAGACCGGCAGGGAGGCTTGCCGTACGCATCGCCTCCTTGTCCCTCGCCGTCGGTAAGACAAGCTTTCTATAGGGGCTATCAAGGGCACGAATCTCCCGAGTTTGTGACCCGAAAGCGCGCAGAACCATGGTCAATCCAGCACGGTTGGCGCCTCGAAACCGTGAGAAATGCCAAAGCTGCCTCGTAAGGTCTTGTTGACTTTTCAAATCCGTCTTGGCATCATAGGTAAAACTGCAAGTCGTCTTCAGGGCCCAGGACGTGCGCAGCGGGCCGAGCCTCATACACTGGATGAACGTGTCATCCTCGACCTGGTCCGCGTTGAAACCAAACGGGATTATCCCCTCAACGGCGTGGGTGTCCCATTCGTGTATTCGTCTGTTCCAGTGACAGCTGGAGCTGCCCTCATCCCAGTGGACTTTTTGGTTCTTGAGGAACCAGGCCAAGTACGCCTCGAGAGCTTTTGTCGGGAGGCGATACATGATGTCCACTACACCGAGAGGCAGCCTGTGCAAGAGCCTCCGTGGGGTCTTGCTATTCCGCAGCCGCGCCGTCGCGATCTCGAAAAGGCGGATAGCGGGCCCTTCTGTAGGTGGAAGCCTCGTACTCGCCTCTGGCTTAACGTCAAACGCGAGGTTAAGCACGCTGTTGGAGTAATGATAATTCTCGTAGAGGACGTGAATAAGTAACATATCCGTCACCTCTCTGAGGATGCCGCCAAAGGAGTGCTTCTCTGGATCATAGAGTACTGTCAAGTACGTGAGATACTGGGTGATCTCGGCCATCTTGCCCGTCCAGTCGGCCGTGCGGTCAATATCCTCGTCGGTGAGGAAGTTGGCGATGCGCAGCAGCTGGATGAGCGGGGAGGCAATAGCCCAGCCATTGTACTCGATCTGGCTGAAGTCGTGGGCGGTGCCAATAGCCGCGTCCTTGAGAAACGTCGCCAGGAAATTGCGTGTATTCGTCGGCTTGGCGTTGGCCGTCGGGTTCTTTTCATCCCCGGTGAAACTCCCTTCGAGAGTGGTAAGTTTCGTAACGGGGATCTCATCCTCTTTACCATCGCCCTCGCATTCCTCTTCTCTATCGTCTTCAGATCCCTCTTCGGCAATGTCTATTTCAACATCTCCTGTCGACCAATACCGCGTTTTGAAAGGCTCCAACCACGCATCTTCGTCTGGCAGGATCACGGCGCTTCTGTCGATATGCTCGAGAATCCCAAGGCTTTCCAATAGCTGAATCCTCGCCGCCCGCAACGCTAAGTCGCTCCCGAATAGATGGTAACCCCGCTGGACATCCTCCCAACTAAGGCCCTCCTTCTTCAGCTCCTCGGTGATCCAGTCCTCCTTGTAATCATTGGAAGCGTCTCCCTTCCACGCCCTTTCCTTCGCCTTCTCAACAGCGGCCTGGCGCGCTGACTCCTTAGAAGTATAGTCATCCGTTTCGAGGGTCCGATTGTCTAACCTCGGGAACCGCTCGCCATAAATAAGCCGAGCAGTAGCCCAGACGTCATCGTACATCCGCAGCAGATCATCGATGGCGCCATGTGCGATGAGGTCCTCTACGAAGCGGAAGAATTCATAGTTGTTGTCCTTCTCGATGTGCTCGATTATAGAGCTCCATAGTGCTTGTGGCGCGTCGTACTTGACTCGCTCAAGGAGATGTCTCAGATTGGCTGGAAGGGTTTGGGAGTCAGTAGCTGGGGGAAGCACTTTTATTTTGGGGGGGGGGGGGGGGGGGGGGGGCGGCTGTTGGTTAAAGGAACAAACTTACAGATCAGGGGGTCTAAACTGTTGCCGTCTACAGGGGTGAATTGAATCATGATGAGATATAGACACTTCTTATTGCACCCTCTTTACAATGATGCCTTCCAAGGTCGTAAGATGTCAGGGTCGGGCGGATTGGCGTGAAGGCTTCGCTCGTTTCCTTAGGCGCCATACAACAACTTCTCCAGCGTTCTCAACCCTATCCTCGATTTTCTTTTCCTTCTTTTTCGCCGTCGGAGGAGTTTCGGGTCAGGCCGAAATACTTTAATTTTTTTCTTGCTTGAAGATGATGATTCGCGATTCAAGAGGAGGATGGAAGAGTGTGGGATTCGAAGCAAAGGGGGAAAGTAGCATATCGACTTTGGCGGACAAGAACCAACGACATAAGTTAAAAACATTCCGACTAGAGTGCCTCCTTGAGAGTCTACATTTCAAGTAGCAGGCCAAACTATGCCCCGTAAAGAAAACATTCTCGTTGAGGAGCGGGGTTCCTTCGCTGTCGATATCTTTTGCATTCCAGCTGTGGCTTAGGATTGCTACTCTTCATAGACAAAAAAAAATGGCGATCAAAGGCGAGAAAACCCAAGACCCGGAATAGAAGCTCCGTTACATGCCAGTTGCTACCTGGCACAGCCTGAAAGCAGCATGCATGAAGTCCCAAGTCCGCAGACGCTACTTCGTAGATATGGACGCTCAACCGTTTTCAGAGAGTCTGGAAAAACATGTTCGCGGTCTATGAAACAAAGAATACTCCGAATCTCCTCCAGAAAGGATATACCGAGAGGCACACTATTTGGAATACTAGAACATTAATATTGAGGAATCATCATACAAACGTATAGCGAAATCCGAAAACCACGTCTCATGAAGCCAATACCCGTTACTAGACGACGATCAAGATGCCTGTAAACACTCGAGCTCAAGCCTGCCGAGCCAGTCCGGATGAGCAACGAAGACAGGGCTCTGCGCCCGGGCTACCGGAGGGAAATCAAAGGGAGCCCCCAAGGCGCTATCAGCGTAGGCGAAAACGATGGACAGGCGGGACGGCCCACGAGGCTCGCGAACGAATAATTCGGCTTGGTATTGGACGAAGGGGACCGCCTAGAAATTGGAAACAAATAGAGCGCCAGGAACGAAGGTCACAAGCGATACGGATGCAAAGCCCGGGCGAAGAAGACTCCAATGGAGAGGTAACGTCAGAACGAACGGCAAATTCCTCCTCCCCAGATGCCATGAGTAGCAAAGATGGGTTTCAAGCCGAACGAGAAGATATCGAAGATGATGAGGAGGAAGAAGAAGAAGAAGAAGGGGAAGAAGAGGATGCCGAGGAGGGCGACATATGGAGGGCTCCCCTGGCCATCGGGCGGTCTCTAGGCGAGAATCTGAGCAGACTACAACTTGCATATCGGCGTGTCGCACAATGGGAGGCCATCCTCGAACATAACAAAAACTGCGACCCGGAATCCCTCCAAGGAATCCAAGATTACCTCCGGCGAGCGCGGAAGGAGCTTTGGACACTGAAAGTCAATGAAGAGACTACAACTCCCATGTAAAGTCACCTTAGCTCCCCCCTTCGACCATAAGGACAACTACTAACGCAAAAACAAAAACCCCTAACTGCCAGGAATGAGCTCGAGTCAACGAAGAAACAGGCAATCTCGCAAAGAATCCAAACCCTCGAGCGAGCCCTCAAAACATCGCGCTTCTCCGAAGAAATCATCAACATCACCCGCGCACTCCAAGGCTACAAAACGGGAGAAATCCGATACTGGGATAAATGGACACTCATCTGGAACGACCACATCGTCGACTTCTGCCCCACGTATGCCTCCTTTTGCGTAGATCGCCTGGAGCGTCTTGACCGGTACGCAAAGAAGTACGGAGAGGGATGGCTGTGGTACGAAGCTCCGCTTGCGGGCGAAAGTGAGATGTCGACCTTGATGGGGGACGCGACAGCCATGAGGGCCACGTCCTCTGAATTGCAAAACCAGATGTATGGGATGGGCTGTTGGCCGGTTACGATGGGGTTTAAACGGGTGAGGTGCTACGTCACCAGCGGACCGGAAATAAGGAGGAAGAAAAAGGTAAGATGGGCCGACCAAGAGGAGGAGGAGGAGGAAGAGGAGAACCTGACGTCTAGCCCAAGTAAAGTCAACGCCCAAACCATGTCCAGCGTCGAGATAGAAGACGACCCACCCGCGCCGTCTCTTTATTTCGACCTCATCCTCGACTCGGGAGCAACGTTCCCGGTGCTCTACGAGCAGGACTTTCGCGCCATTGGCATCAACCCGGAGACGTACGCGGCCCAGACTACAACAAAAGTCAAGATGATCACCAACAAAGACGAGTTCCGCCTCTACGAACTCCGTGTTTCCGTTACAGACAAAGACTGTCTCTCCCTCGTCATGCCAACGCAGGCCGTCTGGCCGCTCGAATACCCGGAGCTAGGGGGTATCATACCCGTCCTGATGCTTCCCAAAGAGACCCGGACCAGTTCGAACCCATTGGCGCCAGCTGAGGGCGACTTGAGCAAACTGCGCAAGGGCAGAAATTGGGTTACCGGATGTAGCAGGGTGTCCGGAATCCTTCCTTTTCTTGCTTGCTACACCACTACGGTCCCGGGCAGCAAGGTGATCTGGATGGGGGAGGATAGGAGGGACGTATTGGGTCCCGGCAAGTTCCCCGGCCAGATGAGATACGGGGCGGAGATTGACGATGAAGAGCTGACCCAGCTTCGGGAGGAGGCCGAGACGGATCGGGCGCCAGGTGTTCGTTTTGAACAAGCTTGCAAGGATGGCGGGAGACTCGTTGACAAGGACGGACAATTTGGAGTTAGTATCCTTAGGAGATATAACGATGAGGGTGAAGAGATTGGAAAGTATACGGTTGACCCATGGACGTGGAGCAAGGACAGGCAAGGACAGCAGTCTAAGAAACAGAAGCGGTGAAAGGAAGGCACAGATATCGACCAAACGGACGGTTCAAGGCCTTGATTGGATCTCGATGCCATGCCGTGCTCCAGAAAGATCATTCGACCTGCCCGCGTCCCATCAATAATTTCAATATGTTAGAAAGCTAAGGATAGGATAGTCAGGGGTAGAGTGAGTCCGTCCCGGACGGTCACCATTTGCAATTAGACAAAGTTGATGAGAAGTCGAGACTTGTGCACAAAGGTACAAGTGCCCATTTCGGCTGACTCAGACGAATCTCCTCTCTGTCCTTTCCTGTGGAAAGAAGCACCCCCCTCCTGGACATCGAGAAATATTTCCCCTCAGTACAAAGCAAGGGGGCGCATCAAGCATCTAAACCTCCAGCCACTCAGTATTCAATAATTTTAGGAACACCAGATCCACTGCATCGATCCTCGAGACCAGGGAAAAAAAAGGGGCACCGACTCCCGATCCCAAGGATCCACGGACATAAAAGCCCAAGCATAATAATTGACGCTTCGTACCACAAAGTAGACTGCAAAGGGCAGCTCCCAGATGCCCTGGCCAACCCGCAGCAAAAGAGATGCAGAGACGGGGATGGGATGGATGCAGGTTGAAATTAACAAAAATCACGAACTAGCCGGATCACGTTTTTCTTTCTTTTTCTGCTGCAATCTTCGATGCGGTGTCTCAATAGTATCCCGGACTATGACCAGGGATTCGCGTCCTTTGGAGCAAGTAAACTCTCGGGATTCGAGGAATCCTCATCAGTACTTCGTCATGCGAAAACGTGAGAATCCACGCTCAGTCTATAATAATAATAATAACGCTCAGCTCTTGCTCTCGGCGCCAAATCCCTCCAAACCGAGATCGGGAATATGCCCGCCCCAACCGTTCCCTGCTCCGACCATCCTGCGACGTGAGTGGATGGTTCCGAAATGACTTCTGACCTCTCCCTTGGTCCCAATGCACGCAAAAGGAGTACCACTGCAGGCAGAGTACCACATGCGGAGCAATATGAGCCCAGCCCGCGCCTGGTCATTTCATCGATCTATGGGTGTGAATAGGATGAGCAGGAAGGGCTGGGCCGAATCATACCCAGACCTTGAAGCTGCAGAAGCCTGCATGCATGTCTCGCGGACAAGATGATGATGATGATTCTCTACGTGTATCAATATGGATCGAGAATCGCCTTATCTCCAATTCCAAATATCATAGCACATGAATAATGGGAATAAAATTGGGCAGAATATTCTTCTTGGGTTTTTTTTTTCTTCGGTTGTATTTTGCTTCATTGTAAACTAAGCTACCTACTCAGGCCCTCGGCCGTTGGTAGCGGTAGGAGTTGGTACCCAACAAATTTGCTGCATGGAATTCGGCTACTGGACTTTCCAGACTGCTGAAGACTTCATCCTCCAACACCGGTAAAGTAGCTCTGTTGCTCGTCACCGAGCTAGCTTCCCTCGCCAAGGTATTATATGCTTCGAATTGGGAAAAAAAAAAAAAGAAAGGAAGAAAAAAAGAACTCACGCCCCCTTCGAAACTCGATGCCTTGCTCGCTCGCTTTCCAATTATAATGTACATGCTCCACACACAAGGGTATCGGAATGAAAAGGCCGGTAAAATCAGAGTATTGCGTTCAAGAATTTTTTCTTTTCTTTTCTTTTTTTTTAGGCTTTCGGAAATGCTGATATTCCAGCCGGTAAGTTATTGAGTATGCTGTCGCCCTCCTTCTGATCCATTATTATATGGGGCATCATAAAGGATGGTCCAGCACCAAGGGGCCAACCGTCCACTTCCAAGCGAGCCATAGGCCAGTCTTTTTAGACCTTTTCATCCCCTTGGAAACCCTTCATGGCCCTCGAGGGTCAGGTTCCCAAGCCACCCGACCATCTTTGCCCCGAGATGTCGAGTGTCTGCCTCTTTATTTCTTTCTGTCGCCCTCGGTTCCAAGGAAGAGCCGAAGTCCGGTTCGGTACCTCCCTGGGAGGGCCGTCCCTCGAAAAACGTACATATGATGAGGGAATCGAGAAAGCGCAAAATGAAACTGAATCGACGCGTGCCGTGCTGTGCTGAAATATGAATGCTGAAGAGGAACAAAAGACAGTACAAGGGTATGAACTCTTCCGACTTTTGATGGGGATCGACTTGGATAAAAGGAAAGAGAAAAGGAAAAAAAGGAAAATACAACTCGGAAAAAAAGTGTTCTGGTGCTCAGTCGGAATCAATGCCGCGCCGTATATTCGGGGCTCCATCGCTGCAAATTCATTCTGTATGCAGACTGTGTCTTCGTTTCGCGGGTCTAAGTGCCACCCCTCCAAAAAAGAGAAGCGACACCGATGAGGAGAGTAGGGGGTGGGAGATGTTCGACGATAAAAGAGTTCGGAGTTCGGAGTGGGTTCATTCAGAGGTCGTAATAATCCAGCCATTCCTTATTGGTAGTCCATTACCATTGGGTGTCTTGATTGAACATGGCCTTGCGGAGTCGGCGTGGCAGGGCAGCGAGGAGGCATGGCGTATTCCCTTCCCATGCCGTTGTCAAAGCAGGCACCATCCGGCGTGATTGGAGGAGTCATGTAGCCGTCGAAGCCCTTGACTGCGGCACCTTTGCCATGGGGAGTGGCGTACACGCTCGACTCTTCGGGCGCCGGTGTGGTAGATTGAGGACCAGGCTGGGGACCCGATCTCCTGGTGATGGCGGCCTGCTGCCTCATGAAATCTGCTAGCTTGTGAGTGACCCGCGAGTATGTTGTTGAAGAATACTTCTTCGCAAGCGAGATGGATGGTTGGTGAAGGTGCTGAGAAAGGGCGAGTAGTGTCACATTCTCAACATGTCCCCATTCGCCGTCCGTGATCTCGGGCCGTCCAAGAATAGCACGCGCTAACGCCAACGAGGATCGAGCCATGACCGAAGGCTTGGTCGAAACGAAGTCTCGGTGGTAAAGGGCAATTTCGCTTATGTAGGCCGCCATATGCTCCACCTCGGTATCATCCCTCTCGATAGCTACCAGAAGTTGAGTGAAGAAGTCCACAGTAGGATGGCCGATGGTCCAGTCCAACGTGTTGAGTACATGCATCTCCATCTGAGTGAACATGCCAGGGTCGTAGAGACCACAGCACATGTTGTTGAGCTCATTGATCTGCGGCACTCGCTCCTTCTTGTCGCCGTACTTGGCCGCGATTAACAGCGCCGCACATCCGACGAGCTGGTAGTGTTGCTTGTAGACTACTCGCTTAGAGCAGTATCGGTCGAGGAGGTTGACGGTGAGGAAGAGGGTTTCGGGGAGAAGAGAGAAGCAGGCGTGAGCCTCGATAAGGAAGTCGATGAGGTACGGCCTCATGAACCACTGGATCTCGCGCTGCAAGTCAATGAGGTTGGCATCTGGCAACGTCTCGTCCTGCACAACTGTTGTCAGTCCACACAAAGCTTCTACACGGAACATTGCTGTTATTGTGCCCAGAGGCCCCGAGATCATCGTACCTCCATGTGTCTGAGATGCTGCATGATATCTTCCAAGTACTCATCGCTTGCTAACCGCGAGAGCTCATTTCCAATAAGCTCTTGTCGGTTCCAGGCCAACAGCTTTGCCGTCTCCTTGGCGTCCAACCACGGACGGGTAGGCTGGTCAGGCTCGTAGAACATGTCGTCGTCTTCAACAAATCTTCGGTACGCCATGCTGGGTGAAGGTGTAGATGGATGGGTGAGAAGGATCGAGGGTGGAAGAAGTCTGGGAAGAGGAATGCAGATAGAATCGTAGGTTCTATACTATCGAGCTGCCTTTGAGAGAGTGTCTGGCGATCGTTTTCTCCGGGAAACTCGGCGTTGGGCAATTATTACTCGGAAAATGAATGTCGTGTCTCGAGAGACAAAAGCGGCTTCGGGCTCTGTGTGCAGGAAGGCCGAGGCGATTAAACTACCATTAGGATTATAAAAAGAGTGTGTCGAATATTAAAACGCTAAAGAGTGACGGTTGGATGAATTGAAAAGAACAAAAATGAACGAGCGGATGGCTGAATCGAGTCCAGTGTGATCCAGGTCGATTGCGAGGGATGAATTGTCCTGTCGATAAACTCTGCATTGAAATCGAGGTTTAGCTGCGCTGCTCAATAGGAGAGAAGAGACAAGGGTTGGTGCACTAGTCCTGATGTTTCAGGGGTTCGAGAAGACAAATATGGTTCAGGCTAACGACACTGACAGGTATTCTTATTCATCCCCTGACTGGATCAATCGAGATTGATCCAGAGGATAAGGAGAATTGAGAACGAAAACGTAAACAAAGGGGTGGAGGATGAAGACTGAAAAAGATGTGCCCACTTACCGCCACCGTTGAAAATTTGCGAAGCCGAAAGACGATTCGAATCGAGATGGTTCTTGAGGCAGGTGGGAACAACGAGCTAACGTCTCCCACAAGTCAAACCTCAAGAGATGCCTGCTTAACAACCCCACAAAGGCAGGCCTTTTTTATTTAACTTCCAAAGTCTTATTGAATCTCCGAAGTCATGTATCCTCGAAGGTTGATCGTCCGGATAGGATATATCGCACTCAGGAGAACGCGGAATCGGTGACTTCAATCGAGGAATCGGTCGGAGGGATCGATTCGAAAAGACTGCAACTCGGTCCAAGTTCGACAATGGTTAAACTCGGCGGAAGATTGTCAAAGGAAAAAGAAAAGAAACCAAAGCTGTAAGGGATAGAAAAGATGACGGAATCGGGGGGTTCTATTCGAAGGTTGTCGAAAGAAACCTAACAACTTCTTTTTTTATTCTTTTGAATGAATCTTTTTTTGTGTTCTCGTCTCCCCCTTTTCCCTCGTGGGATCGGTCGGTGTTCGTTCTCCTAGCCTTATATATTGAAAAAGGTAGGGTGCCGGGTCTCAGGGCCGGTCTCAACCGTGGATCGCGGAAGATCGGTGGGCGAGACGACAAGTCGACACAGCTGTGAACTGAGAGGTTCTCCGCCTTCCTAAGCTCTGCGCTCTGTTGCGAGAGTGTTAGGGTCTCCCTTCTGCAAAAAAAGAAGGTTTGGAAGGAATGGACGGGAAAGGGGAATGAATGGATGGGGGAGGAGGAGAGAAGGGCGGAGGGAGAGGTGAGGTTGGAGGAGGACGGATGAGATAAAAAGGGATTGGAAGAGAAGTGTTTTAACGGGCAGTGCCTGTCATAAGTACGTATAACCCGCTGCACTGCGACTACCGAGTGTGCACAAGAGAACCGTGGGCACAGCTGGGGTGTGTGGGCTTGGAAGAGGAAAGAGGAGTTCAATGTACAATTGTACTGTAGCGACCAGGGGGCGGGTGGGTGTGGGTGTGGATGTGGATGTGGGCGTGTGGGCTGCTTCTCGCTGGGTGTGAGCCTAAGGGTACAGTACACTGCACGTCGTTCCGCGTACTTTACGGCGTCCCGCACGTAAACGTCCTTGGTCGTGCACTTCGAGATTATTAGGTGTGCCCGGCTGGTGTCTGGGCGTGTTGGAGTGCTGTGGATGCGTGTCAGAGTTAAGGAGGTCTGGCCTTCTGTTGCGTTGACTGGACCGTTTCCTTAGCGCGTTCTGAGCGAACGAGTGGAAGGGGCCAGGGCGGGAGATTGGGCGGTGCCAGTAATACGGAGGTACCGTCTCCCTTTACTGGACGTGGGCTGGCTGTTCTGACCCTGGCTGGGAGCAAGCGGGATCAATCAATGGACGGATTCGCCTGGTACCTCAGATTGCACTCTCTTCCAGGAAGAAAGTGCGTACAAAGTACTTCACCAGACGACTCCGTTCTTTGGTTTGTCTCCTGCGCAGCCCCCTGTCCAGCGTACGAAGTACAATTAACGAAGGAGCAGAGGTAGACGGGATTCTGAGCACAGTTACCATGAACCTCGTAATATGGTAGATTGCTCACTGCAGCGCGTCCTGCAACCGTAGATTAACGTCGCGAGATCTGTCGCCCTGTCAAGGTAAAGCTCGGTGACTTTGGCCCGTGGTTAAGGTGGAATTTACTCCTTCCAAGTGTCGAGGAGCGATCCAGATTTGCTAGATGTGTAATTTAACATGCGTCGTGTCGTCCTGAGATGATGGTTGACTTCAATGACTGCTCTGTCTTGCCTGTCACCGTTCTGACTGGTAACACTGTCTTCCCCGTTATTTCAGGAGACCACCGTACTTCGTACACTCAATTGATGTCAAGGACCAAAAAAAAGTCACAATTGATCAGGTCAATCAATCCCTGGACGGTGGAGACAGCTTGGTCTGGTCTAGCGGGCGGGGGTGCCGACAAAGAGTGATCTTAATCTTGGCGATTGCAAGTTGCTTTTCTTGACGTAGATTTCACCCATATATATGTAAGTAGTAAAAGTGTCCAATTCAAGATCTTGGGCTCTCGCCAAACTCCTTTCGAAGACTGACTTGCTTCTTATGAAGTATAGGGAAACTCGGGAAAGGTCTCAATGTCGACGGTCGAACTATGTCGATGGATGTATTTCGTACAGGCGTGATTCTCCGTTTCCTTGCCGGTCATCCAGAAGTGCAGTTCCGTACAGGGGAGTCCCTAGGTTCAAGGCGGAGAACAGGGGGAGACGTTAAGGCGCTGATGGCTCAACTGGTAGGGTAAAAGCTGTAGATCGCTCGGCCTAAATTCGAAGCTAGTGTCGTCGTAGCGAGTGCGACCGTAAGGAAGAGCCTGTGCAGTGGAAGATTGAGGATTGCACCGTCATGCTCCTGGCACCGTATGAACTGTACGCAGTGCTTGTCGTACAAGTGGAGTGTCCAATGGCATAGAGCGGATAACTTTATGAAGGGTACGGAACGATGGAAGATTCCGAAACGAAATGCTGGCGAGGAAGACGCCAGACGAATATCAAGATGCTCAGGTGCCAACGTTGGCTGAGGAAGGTGCCAAAAGGAAGATTTCATCATCAAGAGGTCCGAGGGGTTCTCCATATCTAGTTATATACATGAAAAGCAGAATTGAAGACGGGCCGGCCAAGGTGGCCCCCAGCTTCACTGATTCGTCTGACTTCGAGCGTCCTTCTCGAAAAATCTCGTTCGTTTGTTTAGATCTCCGCAACGCATGAATGCGACCACCAGGCCTCGACACATCAGGCCTGCTTCAGACGTCGCGGTGCGGTAGAGAACCAGGCCATATCAAACAACAAAGACGCAAGCTTTCCCGGTGTGCAAATGGGTCAATGATCCATGATAATCGTCAACCCCCTCTTTCTTCATAGACCTAGGTCTTCATTGTCGAAACCCGGATTACACCACTGCGCGTCGGCTGCTCACTGAGGAGACCACTGGGCCGATTTCCCCTGTATACGCTAGGCATTGACATGAAAAAAAAAAAAAAAAAAAAAAAAACACTGGGGTGGAAACAAATAAAACAATTGACATTCAACGGGCCTCATCTGGCAACCGACATATTCTTCCTGTATCACCAATCGCCGGCTGGGAAAGCGGCGTCTCTTAACGAAGAAAGCCCGTCTCTTACGTATGCCCTTGACTCGCAGGGCTACTCGGTTACCAGCTCAACAATACCGAAAGGCCGCCGGTTCTCATTCGTTATAATGCTGCCTTTCTTCTTTGTGAAGTGCAATCGCCTCAGCTGTTTGAGACCGACCTTCCCAGACAGATACATAACCGCACATATCTGGTTGGGTAGGATAAATGGGCACATATCAAAATGGGATTTTATACAGCCATTCCGTCCAAGTTCTGACCCGTCAAACCGGATTCCCGTCATCCTATAGGAGATCGTCAGAATTGACCCATTCGACGGGATTTGGTCTGCTCCGTTGGCTGATTCTACACTTAGGAAACGGCAGGTGGTTGGACATTTGTTGGCATCAACCTCCTCGGTAGTGCAGACTATCTCATGATGGACTCTTCTTATGGATTCCGCTTCGCATCCTGGAGCCTTTTTGCCAGACTTGCGAAGTATGCTACAGCAACCAGCCATGGACAAATGAAGTTGGACCAATCCAGCCGAGGAGGCGGGTTTCATAGTCATTTTAGACCGGGAAGGAAGCGAACGGGCACTTGCACTTCATTATACTAATCCGAGAGGACGGACTGTGCTCCGCTTCCTAAGGTACTGCGCAATATACAACATTGGGCACTACACCTAACTTGTACGCAGTATTTCGACTGTCATCGTTCACTTCACAAAGCCAGGCATCAAATCCAGCTTATGTACTTTGCAGTGTAGTATAGATTACTTCAGAGAGTGATTTCTCGTCTTACTTGCAGGAATTATGATGCCCTAGAGCGCAGCGTAATCCACTCCTCACTGGGGTTGTTCCTGGTCATGTTCAGCAAGGGAGAAGAATCCAAGCTTGGCATAATCCCATCTAATTACTCCGCTACGCCCCCAACCTAACGCACACACGACGAAATGAGACCAAGATCAGAGCCCACAGCCCACACGACAGTGCTGGTCCACAAATAACGCCAACGCCAAAAGTTTGTCTGGGCCAGTGTAACTCGACAGAGCCAGAGGAGGAGAGGAAGGGGGGAGCAAAAAAAAAAATTGTGAAGGCGCGGAGAAGTGCCCACCAGCATTTGTGAACCAATGAGAGATTCTATATACGCGTTCCTGCAAGAGGTTCAGGAAATCAATTAAAAATTCATGCGTGTCATGACAGCACCAGGATATCATGTTGCAGTTCCAGTTGGGATCGACTGGCTCTGGTCGGATTGAC